TTTTATAGTTTATCAAACATTGCATATAAAACAACCTTTTTCCTTTTCACTGTCTTCTTCTTCTTCTCCCTTATCATTTTTATTCCTTCTCCATCTTCATTCCCTCCTCTTCCTCCTCCTCCTCTTCCACCATAATCTTCTTCTCTTCCTCGTCTTCTTCTTCCATCGGAACGCCATTTTCCAGTTCTTCCAACTCCTTAATGATCGTCTCGCACTTCTGCTTCAACACTTCCAACGCCTATTCCTCACTCCCATCCCCTTCTCTCACTCGAGGAACCAGCGACTTTGCAGATACGCAGCCCGTCGACTCCACAGAGAAGATGAAGTCATTTCGGATCACGCCCAGCTGCACCTTCTCCCGATTCTCCGGAAGGCGAATACACTCTCGGCACATTCTATCTCGCACACTCTCACGATCCTTACGTGCAATTCAGATCATGCGCCACATGCAGCGTTTTCTCGCCTCCAATGTCCTCAATATCGAACACTCCCATCGGACATGTCTGCTTCATCCGCTCTGCGTCTTCTCCCACGAGCGGCTTCGGGAATCGGATCGACGGTCGCATGCGATAAACCGCGGTACAAACCGGCGACCTTTCCTCATCGAATTCCATCGAACCTACCATTTCGCGTGATCCTCGCCCACGCCTTTGGTCGCGTAGCACTCCAAATCGATGGCTTGCCCGGGAGCGAGCTTCGTCAGAATGATGTCATCATGCACCAGACCGATCTGTCCTTCAGGCAAATCCAGCTGTCTGCCCAGCTTCTCCAGCTCCAGGCTCTGCGAATACACCGTCAGATATTCCACGTTGCGGTTGTTGGCCGCTTTCTGCAGCTCGGAAAGACTCGGGCAAGTCACGCGCAGATTGAACTTCAGCGAGTTCTTGTCCGTGAAGTCGCTGCGGTTGTGACCGTTCTCACCAGGAGGACAGATATAATCGAAGTCGTTCGCGTCCGCTTTGATGGGGATTAATCCGAGACGATGGCAAAGCACTTCGTCCTATTCATCAAACCGGAGACCATGAAGTACCTGCATCACGGACGTGTTATTGTTCATAAAAACAGTACTTATGGCCATTGTTGGTACTTCTGCTATCAACACTCGGCGCAGAGCGTTTGCAATGGATGCATCAACGCCCACAAGTTCAAAAACGACCTGCTCATCAGACTAGACACTCATTTCGCTTCCACCAACGAATACCTGCGAGAGAATATTAATTTTCAAGTTCTCGTCGAGACCATCTAAATAATGCTCCACAGCATGGCTGGTTTCCACGACCTTTGCATCACATCCAAAAATAACGCAGTACGTCCCTAATTCCTGAGAATTCAACAGCGGCGATGGGTTTCTTTCCTGGCATTTGAATGTAAATAGATGGCAAACTGCGATAGTAAATCAAGACTCTTTTTGCTCGAAATATTGGAATTCCATAAAGGTATTTGATTGTTTCATATTATACTTTGTTCAAATGAACAGTAATCTAACACCTTGTATTTATCGTGGAATAAAATACAATGTGTTAGCCAAATTGGACTCTCTAAAATTTTATGTTACTGTAAAACCCTGTGCTCTTTATTATGGAATCGAGCAAAATAGAATTGAATGTATTATTTAATTCCGTATCTATGTATATAACTTCTAGGTTATGTTGGTATGATGGAGATTTCTGAACTCCCAAACCGAAATGAAATAAGTGAAATAAGCGAAATAGTGGAAACACATGATTTGTTATTAGCTGTAAATGGAATGCTATGCTGTTGCTTTGATCTTTCACTTTCAAAAGATAAATGGGCAAGCATCTTCTCTATGCTAAATTACCCCGCTATTATCACTTTTTTTAAGCTCACGTCGGATGGAGATGATTTCTTTGTTCCCATGAATGTGCGTTGATTGAATGTCGGTATAACTTTTTAGTGGACTTTTTGCGGAAATATGAAAATAACTGGTTCTATCTATGGAGTGTCGAGTGTGGAGGATGAGTTGGTTTTAGCTTCTTTTGGAATTCAACTTAGTAAGATTTTGATTTGATGTCTCTTATTGAAGATAAGTCGATGTGTAAAAATGGAATGTATACGGTCAATCAACAAACTCCGGAACCTGATACTCCTGTGACATTATCGCAAGCTGAAACTTTGGAATTGGAGAACCAAAGCATTTTCTCATTTTATGAATCAGATTCGTTGAGTTATTTATACAACGCAATCTATTATGACTATGAAAGGATTTCAAAAGAAAACGTGATTTCTTCCATGAGTCTGAAGTTGATCAGCAAATGGTTTCATCAGGTGTATGCTTTACAAAAAGAAGGGTCGTTTAAAGCCTACGAAGTGTTGTACCGGATTGGATCCAATCTTTGCTACATCATCCAAGAGTATATCAATCAAATTGATGCGTGGTTACAAAACCATAGGGAGAACCATCGCTCACCAAATACCTCTGATTTATTGAGTAAAAAGGCGCTGCTTATTGCAGTCTATAAAAACGAATTGGTTTATCATGAATTGATTGGGAAATTTTGTTTGTCCGCGATCGGTCGATCAGGCGGGCAGCTCATCGATACGCAGGATCAATCGTATGAATTTCATGGTGGATCCTTGTACCAAAACCTCTCCATATTTGAAGTCATGAACACTTTCATGGCTACATCGATTCCATCCATTGAAATGACGGATGTGTTTCCGGATTTGGAGCTCAACACAAAACATTATAACTCAGCATATCCCACAGTGGATGATAAACGTCATCATTCCTATAAAAGTGGAACATATACCTTCTCGAATGTGAATGTCGAGAACTTTGTGTATGAATCATCGAATCATACTATCATTGGAGGTTTGATTGTTGTCGTGATTTGATGTAGAATCTTCTGAAAGTCGATTCGGCGAACATTATGGAAACATGTTTACGCCTGTTCCAAACTGTATGTTTAACGAATCAATGTAAGAATTCGCATATTTATCTTTATCATAATCATAGTGCAAATAAAAAGCATGTGAATTCAATGGAAGAAATGGTTGATTATGTTGTTCAATCGGTGGAATCATCATTAAAAACGAATCCATTGAAGGGCGCTTTAATGATGATATCGAATTATATGAATAGAAAAGAGGCATTGTCTCGCCTCTTTCATCATTTAGCCCCAAAGAACGCTGTTTTTGTATCAGCCAGGAAAAACCTGAATGAATATCTTTCTCATGCTTTGCGATTGAATGGCGAACTGCATTATTCCATCATCAATATCGATTCACTCTCCTCCACAACATCACCCTTTGTTCTTGGAATCCATTATTTGGATTTTTTGAAATCGAATTTGTCACTTTGCTTTTCTCTTCTTCATTCATAGATTTTTAAGTTATCTAGTTAAAGCGCTTGATCCATCCTTTGATGGATTGCTAGTTATCGAAGATCTATTCCAGGTCTTTCCCCAGATCTGTACGATCGCTGGATTATACGAACGTCTTCTTTCTTCTTTATTCGAATTACAAAAGCAACTCCCTTCGGCTTACGTCGTTTACGTTTTATCGAGTAGCAATCTGAGTGAGGAAGATCGCTGCATCATGCGTCGAACCCGTCTCCCCGATCTTTTAGAGGAGTTGCATGCGAAGTATCCGTTGAATATCTCGTATCCGCTGTGCAACTTTGTTTGTGATTGGCAAGTCATGAAGGATCTTGACTTCCCTTGCTTCCAAGCGCAACTGAGTTCGAATGTGCGGGTCACTTTGCATTCCATGATGAACTCATTCATTTTAATTCCGTTGTATTCCTTATTCTCTATTTTCTATTGAAGGCGAAGCATTACTCTCCCGATCTGGGGACAACTCAAAGAGCTTTTTTCCAGAGCCTTAGACGTTTTCTTTTCGATCGAATTCTATCGAATAGATCGTAAATAAATACGAAACGACGGAGAATCTGCTGGTTCTCTCGGACGAAGAATTGTTCTCCTATGAAGATCACGTCCATGTGAACGATACATGGAGACTCTTTTGGAAATCCTTCGATCTCTTCTGGTGGCTTTTCTGTCTCTCCTTGAAGGTAGTCTGAATGGGTTTGGATCGACTGTGTGTAGTTTAACGATGTCGTGGAATTGGTGAATTCTTCGATTATGCACGGAGAACAAGTTGCTATCGTTTTACCGAGTGCTCGCGAGGTTGAGTTGGAATCGCTGATGCGCGGCACATTGCTAATGGAGCACCCAGTGATTCCTCAATTAGCGAATTTGTTAAAAGGATCGTTTTTCGAGAATCGAGGTAGAGTTTATAACAAAGTGTAACAACAGACCTCCGTTTTCTCGCTCACCCGATCTCCTTTCTCTATCTAATTCTCCTCAATCTGATCGAAAAAGGGTTCCCGACCATCGACGACTCCATGAAGTTCCGCCAATCATCGCCTTCGTCCTGTCTCTTCTCTCCTTTCTCTTCACCCCCAGCCCCAGAAGACCTCAAATCTCTCCACGAGCAGCAAGTCGCCACGCTGAACTCCATGAAGAACTACGCCTACCAGCTCATCATCAGCCAGATTCCCAATCTCACCACGCTGGACGATCTCATCACGCAGCTACAATGCAGCGCGCCGGTCGCCGAAATCACAAACCGATCCGTGCGGGTCTGCAAGCATTTCGCGAAGCAGGACGATGCGAGTATTGAGTTTTTGTGTTCCAAGTATGGAAACGGCAGGAACAACTTCTACCTCTCGGCCTTCCGCGAGGCGGAGTATCTGTACATCGATCAACGCGGTCAAACGCGCGAAGAAATCCGCGCGCTCAATTCTGCGGAGTGGAGCGACTTCTGGAATCTCAAAAAACGCGTCGCGATCATCGCAGAGGACGCCGTTTGGTGTCTGCCTCCGCCCTCTCCGAGAGAAGGAGTACGTTTTCGATTCGTTTCCGCCTGACTCGAAAGATTCGGTTGCAAACCATCGTGTTAACCGCGGATTCCGACGTGTCCTCGCAGGTCGATTGGATTCTGTCGTTCTATCCCTCGCGCAACATCCAGGGCGAGATCAGCTTGCTCTCCAGCTGCATCCAGGAGGATTTCCACATTCGCTCCATCGCCTTGGAGCTCGAAACCCGCAAAGAAACGCCCAACCTCGACCTGATTCGAGAGTTTCATTGTTCCGGAGTGAGCCGAACGCGCTTCGGTCGCTCGTTGACACTAAAACTCTTCAACGAATTATTCTGCGAGGAGAACCCGCTCTGTCCTCCGACGATGCTGGACGAGAAACAGCCCTCGTTTCAGATGTACAACAGTCTGAGCAAGGAACGGCAGCTCGATCTTCTGCGGCAGTGGATGAGCTCGCTGGGGCTGCGCGAAGACGCCGCAGGACTGGACTGGAAGGCGTGGCTGGTGCGGCTGAACTTGCTGCAGATCAGCCAGCAGCAGGTGCTGTTTATGTATGTGTACTCGCTGGCGCGCGAGATTCTGAAGAATTCGTTTTTGGACCCCATTGCGGAGGTGGAGGTGAGCGGACTGAAGTCGATTGCGGTGGACGTCGATGGGAGAAAAGGACTCGTGCATGTGGGAACCGTCTCGCCGCTGCCCGCAGCGTCGTTCATTCCGTACCTCTCTTATGGGTATTTCTTTGGGTCGATTGTGACGCGCAGATCGTTCTTTAAATCGAACACGCAGATCCTCTTTGTCCGGAAAGTCACCGACAAGCAGACCGATCAATGGCTTCCCACCACGTATATTCAGTGCTTCTCTCCGCAAGGCGGCCTTCAGCCCAATTACTGGACGTTCTCCGCTCTGATGGACGCGTATCACGAGGTTTCGATCGAGAGTGGAGCGGCGTTGTGGACGCGGGCGGTCGAGGAGTGTCGCGAATTGCCGGTAGCGGTGATGAGCGAAGGCGTGATGGAGTTGCTGCCGGAGATCGTGAAGTTCTCGCCGATCGGGTATGTGGTGCATCTGTGTATTATGCGCGATGGAGAGGAGAGGAAGGTGGGCGTTCGCATTCCTTGTAGGGGCTGGAAGCAGCGGTGAGATGTAGATGAAGCAGCGAAGCAGCTTGTAGAATATTCTTAGTGTTGTTTGTTACAAACACGAGCCTATGATTATAACTGAAGTTCCATTAAAAGTGCCATGAATTCATCCTTGATATCTTCTTTCTCTTCTTCTTCTTCCTCTTCTTCTTCTTTCTTCTTTTCTTCTGCCTTCTCCGCCTTCTCTTCTTTATTGATCGATTCGTACTGTCCATAGTTCTGCGCCGCACCATACGGATCCATTCCTCCGCTCTGTTCTCCCATGAGCGACCCGTCCATCCCCATCCCCATCCCCATCGCCATTCCGGCATCCATTCCAGGTTGCAAGGCTGTCTGCATTCCGCCCTGCATCGACCCCATCATAGGCGGCTGCATGGAGCCAGGCATGGAGCCAGGCATCATGCTGGCCATCGGATTACTCATCGGATTACTCATCGGATTGCCCATCGGATTACTCATCGGATTACTCATCGGATTGGCCATCGGGTTGCCCATCGGATTGTTTATCATGTTCGGCATCGCGCTGCCCATTCCCTGCTGCATCGGGTTCGGCATTCCGCCCTGCATTCCGCCCTGCGGTGCCTGCGGCTGCTGGTAATACTGCTCGTACCCCGCGGGCTGTCCATATCCCGCATACGCCGAGCCTCCATTTCCCCCGTACTGCCAATAATCGTACATCGCGTCGTACCCCATCGCCTGTCCATAGCCTCCATACCCCTGCACGCCTCCATACCCCGCGTAGCTCGCCGCCTCCGCCGCCAGCGCCGCGTTGATCTCCTCCTGGCTGTGCGCGTTGCGGCAATGCGCGCCGAACTGGCAATTTCCCTGCAGGAAGAACTTGCACATCTCCTTTTTCCCGCCTCCTCCTCGCTCTCCGTCTACTCCTCACTCCCCTTCTTCGCCCCTACACCCCGTCTGCACGCGCTTTCCCCCCGCGCTCTCCCCTACGCCGTACGCCGCCTCCATCGCGCGCTTCGTCTGCGCCTGCACCACTTCCCGGTCCTCCGCGCGCACGTTTTCCACGCGGCCGTACGGAACCGCATCACGATTCCCGCGGGAACCCTCCAACCCTCGCGCACCCGGACCTCCGCCCAGCGAATTCGACGCGGAATACGGTCCCGCGGGGACGTCGCGCGGCTGGTCCCAGCGGGAACGCGACGGTTTCGCGGGAGCGCCGCCGAAGGTGGACCGGCTCGATGAACTCCGGGGATAACCGCGGGGATCGGCCTCGGAGCGGGAATACCCGCGGGACTGGGAGGAATAGTCGGATGTTTGTGTTTGTGTTTGTGTTTGTGTTCTTCGATCGTATGGAATTCGATCATTGGAGTCGGTTCGGTAGTCACGTGGATTAGAAGAAGAGGAATAATCGCGGGAATCGGCTCTGTAGTCACGTGGATTAGAAGTAGCCGAATAATCGCGGGAATCGGCTCTGTAGTCACGTGGATTAGAAGTAGCCGAATAATCGCGGGAATCGGCTCTGTAGTCACGTGGATTAGAAGTAGCCGAATAATCGCGGGATGTGGAGTGACGGTCGGAATGGGAAGAAGAAGAAGGACGGTCGCGTGAATCGTCCCTTCGGCTGTGGGAAAAAGAAGTAGAAGAAGAAGTAGAAGAAGAATGGATGTGAGAAGAAGAAGAAATTTTGTCTTTTGAAGCGGAAGAAACGGAGGGGTCGCGCGATGATTTCTCGGGTCGAGTGGAGTGATCACGGGAGAGGGATCGCGAGGAAGAGGTAGAAGTCGTGTGAGATGAGGAATGACGTGAAGAAGTGGGGACAGAGGCAGTGGGTTGCGATTGACGCACAGCCTCGCCTGATCTTTCACGAACAATTTTAGTTTGTCCTATGCTTCGGGTAGGATCACGTTCCCGTTGTTTTGGCTGTACTCTGACTTCCTTTTCTTTAGAAGGAGGAGGAGCAGTCTTTTGATTTATCTATTTATCAGAAATTCGAATAGAGACAACAGCTAAGCGTTTTCGATTTCTCTCTTCGCGTTTTTTGTCAAACTCGAGAGCACATTCAGGACAAGCCCAATTTCCCTAAAGAATAGTTATTAAATTGAAAAATACTCACCTCTGGTATACTCTTTAGCGGCGGAACCAAACAACTCGTATGAAACGACAAGTTACAGTAATCACACAACAATAGGTCTCCGCCCTTGCCGCAAAGTTCACAGTAATTGTTTTGTCCCTTATGCCAAACTTTGATCAACTTCAGGTCATCTCCAACAATCTCTTCTCCCTGAGGGTGCGTAAGGAATGCCACTCGCCGATCCGGCGGCAAACGATCAATGGCGGAAGACATCAAAAGAAAATTTCTAACAAACAGCACAACCAACCTTATCACATAACACAATCCACAACAGCTTCACCCCTTCATCCCCTCGAATCTTCTCCGCGCTTACATGGCCTTGACCTCCCAGACACGGATCACATTATCGGTGTATCCGGCAAAGAGCGTGGCTCCGTCGAGCGACCAGCAGAGCGAGGTGCAGTAGGGCACGAGAGCCTTGGTCGAGCGAGGCGGGAACTCGGGCTTGACGCTGGCGACGCGCTCCTTGGTCTCCAGATCGAACAGCACGATCTCGTTCGTGGTGGCCACCGCGATCCAGTAGTTCGCGGGCGAGAACACCAGGTCCGTCACCGGGTCCTCCAGCGTCAGGCGGAAGTTCTCCACGCCGTTGGCCAGGTCCCACACGATCACGCAGCCGTCCTTGCCGGCCGAGGCGCAGAGCACGCCGTCCGGAGAGACCACCACCTTGTTCACCACCTGCGAGTGGCCGATCAGGTTGTACTCCACCTTCATCGTCTCCAGGTTCCACACCTTCACCAGCTTGTCGTACCCGCACGACACGATGCGAGGCTTCTCCTCCATGTTCGGAACGAAGCGCACGCACGTCACCCAGTCGTTGTGGCTCTCCTTGTCCAGAGTGAACTGGCACTCACCAAGGGTGTTCCACAGCTTGATCGTACGGTCGCGGCCGCAAGACATGATCAGGCGGTTGTCAGGGCTGAAGCACACAGACAGAACGTCCTTCTTGTGACCCGACAGCGTCTTCTCGCTCTTGCCCGTCTTCACGTTCCACAGACGCACCGTTCCATCCCAAGAAGCCGTCAGAGCGTACTGGCCGTCCACGGACAGACTCACCTCCTCAACAATGTGAGAATGGCCCTGCAGCGACTTCACAGGGGTTCCGCAAGACATCACCAGAGAGGGGTCGTCGATCATGTCACCCGCCTGGAGATTCCACACCAAGCAAGTGTGATCGCGAGAAGCAGACACCAGAGTGTTGGCATCAGCCGGAGAAGCAGCGATGGAAGTCACCCATCCGTTATGGCCCTGAAGGCATCCACGAAGACTGATTTGAGCAGACATTCTATACAAATCGGTTAATACGACAAATTCCAAAATTTGCAATGGGCAATCGGGTTACCAAACCATGTACAGACAACCTACATTGCAAACGAGTGTTATCAAAGTCTATTGTGAGAATTGTTGAAAAGGAATGAAAGGGCGGTTTCAGAAATGAGTCCAGGATTGAGGTGGGGAATTACTCATATCAAACCGCCACCCAATTCGCCCAATTAAATTGAAATTCGGGAATGCGAAAACAAATCAAATAGGAAATGTTGCCCAAGGAATGGACATGAGTAGAGAATAGGAATGAGCAATGCTGAAGGAAAACTGAAAACTTGGATGGAACAATGGGTGATATTCTTCCAATCCAAATTTCACATGCATAGAAATTGAAACAGACTAGTGAAAGACCCACAATGCAACCCCTTCACGATCCTAGCTAGCTGTACAATGGTATTGATCATCATACAAATCACTGTACGCCACAACCTTCTGGTCGTTTTAGAGTATTGCTGTTTTCCCAATTAGATCATGGTAAGTCGATAAGCAAAGCTGAAATGAGTCTCCATATTTGGAGATGATCTATGAGCGTGTTTTTTGTCGTTTTAAAGAATGTCGTAAGTAACGAGTTTGTAGACTAAGGGTACTTCTTCTTTCGGTAAGAGACACACAAAGACGCACACCATCTGCAGAAGATGCGGTCGTCGTGCCTTCCACATTCAGAAGAGCCGGTGCGGTTCTTGCGGATATCCCGATGCTAAGATGCGTCACTGTACATATTTCTAGGCTAGTTTGAAGGATAGACAACTGGGCTCTGAAGAGTTCTCGTCGCCGAGGTCAGGGAACCGGTCGCATGAGCTACCTGAAGACTATGACTCGCCGTTTCAAGAACGGATTCAGAGAGGGAACCGAAGCTGTTGCTCGCAAGAACTAAATTGGTTGGGTATTGGAAGCAGCATTATGGATTGTTTGTTGGAACAAGCATCGCTCTGTTCTAAATTAACCATATCGAGTTAGCTTTTCTTCAATTCCTCAACTTGCTCTTCTGTTGTCATGGCAGATGGCTTATAGGTCGGGTCGATAAATACGTACGCTTTTTTCCAATCTGCTTCTTTCATAGTCTCTGAACGACCATAGCGATAGCCCTTCCCTAGAATTCACATCCTTTTCTTCGATTACCCAGGACGTTTGAAGTATTTACACGCGTAACACGCACATTGTAGATTTTGTTCAAGTACTCTTTAATTTCCGGCTTTGTCATGTTCTTTGCTACTCGAAATATATAGGGACCTAGAGCATAAGCGATCTCGAATGAAATCGATATCCTACCCTCCTGAGTAAAGTCTTGAATATTCTTGGATAACAAAATCATATATTGCGTAGGAAAACGAATATACTTCCACATTTTACTGCTTCAACAAACAGAAAAACTATAATGTACATAATCACGAATGAGTTTAACAGCTTCCTCTTCCGCAAACGGAGCGAGTCTCTCCAGCGCTTCTTTGTCAAATACGAGCGTGGCATTCCTTGCACAAATCTCTTCCACCCGCATTAAACATTCCGAGCGCATCGATGGACTAACCTTTTTAACCAGCGAATAGAGTCTCCGCAGTGTCTTCCGTTCATCTCCCAGCTTCGAGTCCACTCGTTTCTTCAAGTCTTCCTTGCTTTCTGTGGGGGTAGGCGGAGCTGGTTGTCGAAGGTCTGCGATTCGCTTTCTCAGTTCTTCACAGCGTTGCCTGCTTTTGTTTAGATGCAATACAGTCTCATCAAGAGCGAGACGAGAAACGATCGGATGATCAGACAACGATGCTCGTAGTTTGCCGGTCTCTTCCTAGAAATAAGGTCATTAAATGTGATAGCGAAATACGCGGAGTGAATTGAGCTCCGTCATTAAGGATTCACTTTTTCGTTGCTCAGCCAAAATACTATCTTCGTTCAAACCTGTCAGTACTAATTCTGCTTGAGCATGAAGTGACTGAACGTTAGAGGATGATTTCTCGACCTAGAATAATAAAAATGAAAATAAAAGTACTTGAGAATGAAGAGCTTTCAACTGTGATTCAACCTCGGTTCGTTTCTTTTGTAATACTTCCATTTTTTCGCGATGCTTATTCTATAAAAACTAGTGCATAGCAAAGGAAATCCTACTTCTTCCACTTCCATTGTACTCGTAGCTTCCTCACTTAAGGAAGAAGATAATCTTCGTTTTTCACTTAAAATGGATTCTCTTTCCTTTTCCAAAGATTGATATCTTGTTTTCACTAAACTCAACAGAATTATGAAGGCATACATTCATCAATACATCTATTCATGTAGCGTATTGATTCTTCTTTATTCTCACCAGAAAACTCAGCAATCTCCTCTTTCAATACGAAGTTCGATTTGTGCAGCGAAACAAACTGCTTGTCTCTTTCTTCAATCTATCAAATTACAGGATTTCAAATAGAACTCACATTACACGTAATTGCAGCCATCTCGTTGCACGTGGCAACTACAGCATCGACTGCATTACAAAAAATATCAGCAATTCTTGAGAGGGAATATACTGAATCCATAGAACAAAATATGCTAATGGGATGCGTTTGAAATGTATGACATTGAATTATTGATGTTATAGCGCATTAGATGAATAGAACTGACAATAATCATAACCCAGAGATGATTGTCATTACCTCAAGTCGTGATAACGTGTCGATAACACGGCTGTGATACTTTGTATTGAGAGTGATACAAGTATCAGGTAGAAAAGCGATTTGCATATAGGGAGGTGATAAGAATAGTATAACATGCTATAATCGTTATGATACAACTTGTCATTTAATTATTTGTATAAAAATCACAAGCTGGTGATTACAGATAAGCAATAAAGTGTTTCAAAAGTCTCACAGTAAATATGCTTTAACCACTACTTGGTTTTTCGCAATATAAATCACAAACAGATAAAGAAAAAAAATGGTAAATATAGAATAATTATCGTGTTTCTTAAAGAAATAGTCTACAGCTATTGCTCCCATCAAAGCTACTGCGTGCTTTGCATGAATAAATCTAAACTGCTTGTTTAGAGCACCATACATTGATTCTCTGGGAATTTAGAGAAGGAACTGAATGGCATTTTTACCGCCACATATAGAATCTGTTTTTATAGGTGTATACAGAAAATTGGAGTCTACTGAGAATAAGGTCAGTAGTGAAGATTATAACATTCTGTGCTTCATATTGTTTTCAAGTGTTTTATATTTATATATATATGCAATTAAGAATTAAATATAATAGGTTAAAAAGAAGAAGAAAACAAAATAATAAACAAAACTGTTTTCTTAAAAACAGTTTGTTTTATCATGAGTGCATTTTGTGGTGGAATCGATCTTGGAACGAGTAATTCCGTGATTGCAACATATCAGAAAAATGGATCTGACTGTGTAACGACCATGCAAGGAAGACGTATATTTCCTTCCGTCTTAGCTATCAACAAAAATAACGAAGTATCTATTGGTGAATCGGCAGTTCCTTATATGCTTTCCCCTGCTCATTTTTCAATTCAGTATGCAAAGCGAGTTATAGGATATCAATACAATTCTGAAAGAGTTAAATTGATTAAAGATATTTGCATTGCAAATATGAGAGAAAGCAGAGATGGCAAAGTTGAGTTTTACAAGGAAGGTTGGGAAGTGACAGAAACCCCTGTTTCTGTCTATGTGAAATTAATGAAACATATGCTAGATCGTTCTGAAGTTTATCGAGGTAGAAAGTTGGATAAAGTGGTTGTTACAGTCCCAGCTGACTTTAAACAAGAACAAATCGCTGATACTGAAGAAGCAATTCGCCAAGTTGGTTTTACAAAGGAGAACTATTGCTTACTAAAAGAGCCTATAGCTGCAGCTATCTCTTATGGACTTGAAGGCATGACCGGAAGCTACACTTTGGTATATGATTTAGGAGGAGGCACTTTTGATTGTACGATAATGCAGATCAGTGACGATGTGTTGAAGATCTGTGGTTATGGAGGCGATGAGAAGATTGGAGGTTTAGCATTTGATGAAACGATTCGAGATTGGGTTATTCATGAAGTCAAAGAAGTTACAAACATGGAAATCTATGATTCTAAAAGCAAAAGCTATCAACGAAGAATGCAAAAACTACTAAGGAAATGCCATGAAGCCAAAGAAGGGCTGGTCGAAGCACAGTCTTATGAAATCGATCTGAGCGATATTGCCAGTGAAGAGGTTTTGGAAGAGATGGAACTGATAGACTTGACAAGAGCCAAAATGGATTTTCTTCTGAGTCCGTTTATCAAGCGTACGATCGAGGTGATAGACAACACGATCGAGAAGGCAGGACTTCATCAAGAAGACATCAAGCGAATTCTGATGGTGGGCGGTTCTTCTCGTTTGCGATGCGTTCATTCAGCATTGACCAAACATTTCGGATCATCGGTTTCTCTCAAGTTCAACGTCAATCCAGACGAAGTTGTGGCTTTGGGCGCGGCAACGTTCTGCCACATCTGGTCGGAGAGCGACCATGACCTAAGCATTCCTTTCAATGGTCGGCGAATCAAACTAGTGGAAGTACTGACGGTGACGCTTGGATTCCGAGGAAGGAATGGAGAGATGGTGGTTCTGGCAAAGAACGGCGATCTTGTGCCTCGAGGACCGCTTCGCAAACTCCTCGCCACACCCGTCGACAATGCGCAGTGTATGCGAATGGAGTTCTACCAGGGAGAGAAAAAGACGGCCGAAGAGAACGTCCGACTGAAGTGCATCGAATGGTCGAACTTCCCCTCGCTGCCCAAAGGCAAAGTGAAATTCGTTCTTTCGTTGTTTTACGTCAATTCGCTGTGGGAGTGCGAGGTCCGAGACTTCTACACAAAGCAGATCTATGTGGAGAGACAGCGAATATAATAATAATAATAATAATGAGATTGTATACATTGAATTCTGGTTGTTTGTTGTGGAACTAATTATGGATTGGTTTGGAGCGATAAGATATCGAAGAGGGAGGGCTATTGGGGATTAAACGTGGTTTGGATGAACTGTATTTCAAATGCTAAAGGTAGATGAAGAAATGGATGCGTTTTGTATTGGGATGAATCTGGTTGTTAGTTTGTTACCAGGAAATGGCTTCATTATTCGGTTCACTCTATTGTCATATTGCATGCATCCAGATAGAACATCATAAATAGAATCATCTCCATCACAAAATAGAGGAAAACGAAGAGTTAGACAAAATGACTACGAACTATGGTATATATACTACAACATTATTCACCAAACGAACAGTCATCATGGTAATATGACATTTCGTTGAATACTGCAAACTCATAAAACAAAATGTCTGGAAGGGGAGATAACACTGTACATCTCAAATGAATCACCAATGACCCCTAGGTGAGAAATCGAGATCCAGCACCCATTCAAATCACTGCTGAACAACTTTTGCGAGATACAAAAGAACGTCAGTCTTCTGAAGTGAAAACGCCTATTCAGAAGATTCAAAACTCGGAGGTATATAATAAATGTGCAAATCCGATGTGTATAGGAATTGGCCGAATGGAGATTTCTTCAGCGTCGTCACTTTGAAGAAGGTATAAAGAACCAGAGACAGCACATGGGAAACTACATAAAATATGCAAAATGGGAAGAGAAGCAGGTAAGTGTGTATATTGTTGATCGAATGACAGGATGAAATCGAGAGAGCCCGAAACATATATGAGCGTGCATTGGACGTCGATCCGACAGCTTATTCTGTGTGGATAAAATATGCGGAGTTTGAGGTGCGAAATCGCAACATCAATCATGCTCGCAACGTATACGACCGAGCTGTAACGATTCTTCCTCGTGTGGACCAACTTTGGTAGATTGTTGTTTTTTCTCCTCACCCAGGTACAAATTCGCCTATCTGCAAGAGAGCATCGGCGACATCATCTCCACTCGCACCGTCTTCGAGCGCTGGATGCAGTCCTTCCCCAATGAGCAAGCCTGGCTGACCTACATCAAATTCGAGCAGCGCTGCGGGAAACTGGACAACGTCCGCAAGCTCTACGAGCGAATGATCGACCAGCTCCCCGAGCAATCGGTAGCCAGCCCCTCTCTGCACTCACTCGCAGTCGTACATCAAATTCGCGAAGTGGGAGGAGCGAAACGGAAACAAACAAGCCTGCCGCGCCGTCTTCGAGCGCGCCACGACGGAACTTCACCAAGAGAACGTGGACGAAGATTTGTACTGTGCGAGGCCGGGAGATAACGGGAAGGTATCTGGAGTTCGCCAAGTTCGAGATTCGGTGCAAAGAGATCGACCGCGCACGTGCCATTCTGAAATGGGCGCTGGAGAATCTGCAGGGCCCCAAAGACACGCTCACGGCGGAATACACGCTGTTCGAGAAGCAGTACGGCACGATGGACAACATCGAGACCATCCTTTTAGCCAAGCGCAGAGACCAATACGAGGCCATCGTCAAGGAAACGCCCTTCGATTACGACGCCTGGTTCGACTATCTGAAGATGCTCGAGCAGCAGAACCGGCCCTCGGAGGTCGTGGAAGCCTACGAACGCGCGGTGTCGAACGTCCCGCCGAGCAAGGAGAAGCGGTTTTGGCGGCGGTGAGGGTTGGCGGGAAGGAGTGAGCGGCAGCTATATTTATCTGTGGATCTACTACGCTCTCTACGTCGAACTCGAGCTCGAGGACGCCGATCGCGCCCGCGAGGTCTACAAGAAGTGCATTCAGACCATTCCGCACAAGAGCTTCACCTTCGGAAAGGTTGGAATTCCAAAAAACCCTCGATTTTGTGTAGATCTGGATTCTCTACGCGAAGCTGGAAATCCGCCAAAACAACCTCGCCAAGGCGCGGAAGGTGCGGATTTGATGCATAACTGAGGAATAGATCCTGGGCGAAGCCATCGGCCGCTGCCCCAAACCGAATCTTTTCAAGTTCTACATCGCTTTGGAGTGTCGTTTAATGAACATGGATCGCTGCCGCGCCATTTACAACAAGTTCATCGAGTTCGATCCCTCGCGGTGCGCCACGTGGATTCAGTTCGCCGAATTCGAACAGAACCTCTCCGAAACCGAGCGTGCCGCCGCCATCTACGAGCTGGGCATTTCTCAGGAGTCGCTGGACACGCCCGAGCTGCTCTGGAAGAAGTATATTGACCTGGAGAACACGCTGGAGCACCGAGAAAAGGTGGAAGAGCTGTTCGAGCGATTGCTGCAATTGGCCTCGCACAGCAAGGTCTTCATTGCGTATGCGCAGTTCGAGAGTAAATGGGACGCGGAGAAGGCCAGAGCGATCTTGGAGCGCGGTATCGAGGAGTTCAAACTGAGCGGAGAGAACGCGATGCGCCATCAGCTGCTTGTGTGTCTGAAAAGTCTGGAGGAGAGTCTGGAGGACAACGACGAGCGCATACAGAAGGTGCAGAAGCGGCAGGCGCGGATTGTGCATAAACAGAGGGAGAACCCGGAGACGGGAATTAAGGAGGATTATATTGATTATGAGTTCCCGGACGATGCGATGGAGTCGATGCAGATGCAGTTCTTGAAGGCTGCGGAGAAATGGAAGATGGCTGCGCAGAAGAAGCAAGCAGAGGAGAAGCAGGAAGAAAGTGAAGCGAAGAGATCGAAGGTGGAGGGAGAGGAGAAGTAGTGAGTGAACGATGGGTTAGTTTGGATTGTTTGTTGTGAATTAATTGACCAATATAGAGATATAGAGTAGTCGGTGTGTTCAACAGAACGAAAAAAAGGGAATGAGGAAAAAAGAATTCCCACACCGGGAATCGAACCCGGATCGGCAGGGTGAGAGCCTGCTATCCTAACCTATTAGACTATATGGGACCTGTTTTCAGGTCTCGCTGATGCCATATAAAACTCCGGATAGAGTTTGCATTGTGAGAAATAATACCTCATATTCGAATCATAAATCCAGATACTCTCTGCAACTATACACTCCACACAACAACCACCATTGCTTTCTCTAACAAACACCTCCAGCAAACAAGACAAGTAAAAACCCTTAATCGCTCTCGGATTCAGACTCAGACTTTTTCTCCTTCTTCTCCTTCTTTTCCTTCTTTTCCTTCTTCTTGGGCTTCTCCTCCTCCGAAGACTCGGACTCGCTCTCGCTCTCGCTCTCCGACTCATCGGAAGACGACTCCTTCTTATGATGATGCTTCTTGGACTTGCCCGACTTTCCGGACTTCTTGGCCTTCTCGGCCTCCTTCTTGGCCTTCTCCTCCTCCTTCTCGCGCTTCTTGCAATCCTCCGTCACCTGCTTGGCGCGCTCCTTCACGGCCTTGGACTCGGGCTTGTACTCCACCATGGCGACGATCTCCTCATCCACGTTCGTGTGCTTCTTGCCGCAGATCTTCTCGATGTACTTCTCTCCGTACTTGAAGGTGAACTGGTGCTTCACACGGAGGAACGAGGGAATGCTGAACACATCGGCCAGGTAAATCACCACGGCCACGTCCTTCTCCAGCTCCTCAGGGCACTTCTTCTCCTTGCGCAGAGTCTTGGCTTGGGCCTGAACGTTCTCCACGATGGGGCAGACCTTCTCGATCAGAGCGATCTTCTTCTCGATGACCATCATCTCGGAAACTTTGTCTCTCATCTTATCCTTGTCGTTCTTCTTGTAGGCGAGGTAGGCCTGCTCCTCAGCGAACTCAAACTTCTCCTGGACCCATCCGTATTGCTACTCCTCAGGAATTTCCATCATCTCTACCTCGTTCAGCTCGTCAAACAGAAGGGAAGTCTGCGTTTTGAATTCCTCGGCGTTCCACTCCTTCACAGTGAGCTTCCAGGTAGGAATCTTCTTCATCAAAAAACCAGGATTAGGGACTATTCCATTAGCATCACCTCACTATAATCGTCCTACGGAAAGCCTTGATAGCCTTTTCAGCAGTGTTCACGTTCATTCAGGATACAATTCTTGATATACACTCATGGATTCACGTCAGAATCTAATCCTATTGTTTTCAATCTATTTTATACTTGGTATTTTGGGCATAGATTCGGGTGCATTTATATCAATATACAGAAATGACCCTATTATCTCAGTCAATATCATGTTCATGAAATAGCTTTGATAATGAGATTGCATTTTTATACACATCTCGGGTTCCATATAGAGTGGGGGTCCCTTTCAATCATTGCGTGTTTTTTATGCTTCGCTTAGGATCGATAGAGTATTCTCCACAAGTGTTTCTGGCAAACAAACACAGAGTTACTTGGAGAGTAGACAAGTGAAAAACGACACAACTCCCAGGTACATAGCCAGCAGCAAAAATGCTGCCCAGTTCTGCACAAATAAGGTCTTTATAGACACATTCACTACCGCAGTTAAAACATTTGCCTAGATCAAATGACAATAACGAATCTACAAGCAGAAACGCGAAAAGCTGGTGTTTGTTGAATGCATCCAAAATCATCGGGACAAAGAACGATCCATAGAATGTATTCAACGTGTATCCGCACAGTAAAATCGACATCATCACAAATAACACCAGCAATACAAATGCAGCATTACACTACACTCGATCCACCCTTTTTCTCTTACCATCCGTCTCGACGCAGGCTCTACAAAGCTGTTCAACATCCAGAATAAAGATCCGCTCGCTACCCAGAACGTCACCATCCATCCTGCGCATTTTCCTCCACCGCGTCGAAGAATTCCAGAGATTCCAGCGCACATCCAGTACAAACTCGTCAGTCCGAAGCAAGCGAACATCCCCACCGCATTCGCCATCAGCCATCCCTTCTCCGAGGGAGCGCGCAGCGAATCTGAAAGTCCGATTGAGAGCAGAAGCTGGTAATATCCAGCGAGCCCGAGACCGCTCGCAAGCAGAACGAACGGAGAGCGGATGAGATGCAGCGCCGTGCGACCCGCAGCGAAAACGACGGCGAGCGAGAAGAAAAAGTTCCAGTCGCGACCATACTCGAGCGAGGAAGCGACATAGCCCGTAACTAGATGAACACGAAAAGGCAGAAAAAACCGCGGAGAAAAAGCCAGCGCGTAAAACCCAAAGCCAACAACACGAGCTCCGATCGCAAAAAGGAAGCTAGGGATCGGCGCGACGATGCAACGAGAGCACTGATAACGATGTAGAGGCCCACACCGATATCCATCTGGATGAGAGATGGAGGGAAAAGTCCTACCAAAGAAAACCCCTGCAAATAAGTTTTGGCATATTTCCGTGGAAAGAGAGGGAAATCTACAGCCAAAATGCAGAGGATTCTATGTGGAAATGGGGAGAGAGAAACGGATACGTGTAGAGGACAACGATGCCGCGGAACATCGTGATGTATCCCTTGCGATCACTCTCAATCGACCCCATTGTGAGAATGAGCGAAGCGTTTTTCTTTGTCTCATCGTCAAAGGGGATGCTGGATATTATCATTCTTTGAGATAAAAAAATACAGTCTATTGATTCCGTGGAGTGCTGCGATGACGACTATACTGCCGAGATACAGATATTTGCGCTCATGGAACACAGTACACACACACAAAATCGGAATCACGATGATGACAAACTCCAAAGCGAAGTGGACACAGAATAGAATCCAGCGATGCAACTTTGAATACCACTAACACTCAATTCAGGAATGTGAGTAATACGCGTGATTTCATAAGCAGAGTAACCAGCTCGTGGTAAATTACGCTGACTACCGCGGAATACAGGATCGTTGACAAGATGTCAACTAAAGAACACCCGGTGGCATTGATCGAGAATAGCTCTTTTCCCTGTTTGTAGTTATTCTCCGCCACTTGCAATACACTCAATGTTGAGTTTTCCATTTCAATTGTTTGAACAAACATTCCACTCTTCCACGATATCCACCTTAATCGAAATCTCGTCTCCGTTCAAGATATCTTCATGCATGCAGCTAAACTGACTGAAGTACTCCATGCACTGTTCCACCTTCGATTTCTCGATTCCGAACACGCTATCCACTTCCTTCTACTCCTCACCGCGTCTCCTCTCCCTCACCTCCAACACGCCCCCCAGCAAGCTCAGTCCGCACAGTCCATAATTGGTATGATACAAATCGGGTTTCATTTCCGGTTTATCGCGTAACCCTCCGCTCCGCGGGTTCTGCTCCATCCTCAGCATATACTGCATCAACCGCGCGCGATCCGTCCACTCCTTCGCGCCCCTCGCCTTGGCCACATTCGCGATCGCCGACCCCACATACCACGAATAGCACCCATCGACCAGCTTATTGGTCCGTCCATTGTACCCTCCCTCCAGACTCGTCTGCCGGTCATACAGCCACTTCTACACTCCCATCTCTTCCCAATCCCCACTTCCAGCGCGTCCAAATCCGCGTCACGCAGACTCTCCAGAATCGACAGCCCCGCCACGCTGCAGAACGTGTATCCTCCGTGCGCCTCCGTTCCCGGAACGCTCCCGAAGCCTCCTTCGTACGTCTGGCATCTACTCACCAGCCCCGCGGAACACCCACCTCAGCAGGAACTCGCGAACCCCCGCGGTGAGCTGCGGCGTGAGCATGTGGAGGAGCTTGGCGATGGCGAGAACGCAGTACGTGCTTCGCGAGTCGGCTTCGCTGCGGAGAAAAGTGGAAACGGAGAACTACCCGTGCGTGTGGACAGAGAAGGAGCCGTCCGGCTGCTTGACGCTGAGGAAGAAGCGATAGATGTCGGAGCGATGGATGAGGGCGTAGGATCGGAGGATGGCGAGCGTGTTCACAGCGGCATAAGTGACCATGGTGTGCGGATACTGGGCAATGAGGGGAGGAGAGGGAGAGATACTTCGAGATGGCTGCCTGCGTAGCCGCCCAGAGCGCAGCGACACGCTTCGATGGAGTTGATGGCTTGGGGATAGCAGTCAATCGCCTCGGCGTTGAGCAGATCGAGCGAGTTGAGGACATAGTAGTAGAGCCAGGGTTTTCTATTTTTGTTAAAAACAGGGAAAAAAGAGAAGTACGCAGAGCATTGACTCATATAAGCGCCTCCTAGAGTGCCCAGGTGCTTGCGACAATACTGAATGTGTTGATCTCGCATAAAACATATATTTCCATGTTCATCAAAGTATCCAGATTTGATTCTAGTTGCTAGTTCGTCTTGAGATAGCATATCATTCGGAATTAGGTAAGCAGCGCATCGTTCTTCACATTCTTCTTGATCTATCGTTGTTCGTGTCATGTAGCCATCGAAATCCTTGCAATAGTCAACAACTCCTGCAATTTCGCAATTTGTCTCATTGTTACCAAAATCCTTCGAATCCGTATCTTCGGGCATTAGAAATACTCCTCTTTCTTTTAGAGATAATATACAAAAATCAAAATCTGCAGCTATTTCTTCCAAACCTGAAGCATTTCTCACCAATGCGTTGATATTTCTACCCATATCTTTGTTCGATGGCACTAGATTTGTGTGAACATCGTTTTCGATCCAATTCTGTATTCAACAAACCCATCTATTTCTTGTGAGAAAAGAAATCTGAAATGGCTGTTTGCTTTGAAGCAACATGCTTGCTAGAACGAGCAGACTCATCTTTCCGTCGTTCATTTGCATCGTGAACAGATTGTCTCCATTCTTTGTATTCCTTTGCTTTTTTCACATCCTGCGGGTCTGCTAACAATTCCTCCTCTTTCGATAACTCCCCATCTACCACTTTCGCTCTCAATCGCTTCTCATCCTCCACTATCCCTCACTTTTCCACCATTTTCTTTTTACCTTTTACTCTTTTTGCTTCGATTTCCTCCGAAGATTGCCTATATTCTCTCTGTGTCACTCAATAGCCAGAATTACTATAGTCAGGAAACACGGTTTCGAACAAGGAAAGTGTGTGATCGAACGTGTCGATTGGAATGAGTAATTCTTCACAGAGTTTGCGTCGATTCAGAGAAACGCCTTCTTTTCGTAGCACAGCGTACATGCAGACTGCAGGAAGGCAAGGCGAAAAAGAGAGTGATGCGCTTTTGGTGGTTTGGATGCGCTGCTCCTATAAAAAAACAAATCAAAGCAGCCTTTCATTCTATACCTTGTACTTTTCCAATCGATCTTTTATTCTCTCCTTAAAGCGCTCTCCTCCATACCGTTTTACCAATTCATCAAGGGACGGATAAATCGGAATGTTCAAAGCCATCGCCACCTTGCTCACTAACGGAGTGTACTGTTGTGTATCTGAAAGCATCGAACGTTTGGGAATATCATCGTAGTTAAATTCCCTTCCAAGAGAGCTGAGTATTAGGTGAAATGGGGTGATATTCACCGCAAGGCTAACTCAAACGCGGCCGCAGGAAGAGCTACACGAAGCTAGATCAGAGTCGTTGAGAACGGATACATTTGGAGAGATGGAGGCAATCTTCTCCGCCTTTGTGCGAATCTCATTCGTTTTCTGAATGAGCTCCTTGTCTTTGATATTGTAAACACGGAAAATGAAACTCATTTAGAAAACACTGTACATGAAAATCACTACTTCCTCTTCACATGTTAATGCTGGAATTGTTCTTTCCCTTTATAGTAATAATTCTAGTAGACTTAATCTTCGGATTCTTGATCTCCTCATCCTTCAGTGAGGTTCGTTTTACAGATGCAACCGCGTCTTTTGCGCTTTGATCTTGGTGAGAAATTGTCTCGAGAGCTGTCTCCAGATACCGTTTGTTGATAACATGTCGAGCATAAAAGAATGTTAGAATATATCGAAACGGATCACTACGGATAAAACACAATGATAAAAATTGAAATACAAGAGATCACTCGCCAAATTCGAGATGATCAGATAACTAAACTACAGATGAATCTACACCCTATTGACAACTCACATTCGGGTATTGTTGTACTAAAGTAATCGCCTTGCTGGTGTAGGCGGTTTTCCCTAGGAAATCTACAAGAGAATCCATAGGAAGGAGGCCGTTCTTGAGCAAAACATATAATCCTCCCCAAACACCAAGATAACTAGAGATTACAGCGATGAACGCTGGCATACACTACTGTGGTAAACACGACCACGTTGAGTCCGCCCAGTTTCAAGATCTGGTTTTTAATTCCTCCAACCCGCTTGAAGAATCCCTGGTTTCTATTCTCTGGTAAATCTATCAGACACATGATGTCCCTCCATTTTAGATTAGGAATATCCTTTTTAGGAGGTGAAGAAGATTCTACAACATAAAGAACGACAAAGTTGTACCCTTTCTGAAAAAGAGCCTATCCCGAAAAGGAGAATTCGAGCTCGAAAAACGAACAACAAGCGAGATGCTCGCTCTGCTTTGAACAGACCTGAGCAGCATAGGAAACTGCAATACGCGAGAAGTACTCACAACACTTCTGGACAACATCGAAAATCCCTAGTGTCCAAAATGATTCTAACAAACAACACACTGTTTCACATATTTACACGGCGTCAGCGGATAATACTGCTGCTCCTCGATGAAGCCATTTACCACATCGTCCATCGTCCGGAAGCTCATCAGTCTGATCTCCAGACCTTCATCATCTCCTACCTCGCCTCCCACTCCGCATCAAACCGTTCCTCGCACGCATTCGGCACGATCTCATCCCGCAGACTCGAGAAAAACGGATGTTGCAAAGCCTCCTACATCATCATCATCATCATCCCTTCCTCCACCGCCGCACTAATCCGCTTCGCCGGATTAAACGTCAGCATCTTCAGCATCAAATCCGCCGCATCCGCGGGCACCGCTCTCGAGATGCACTGCAAAAACGGCCGTTCTTCGACGCGTTTTCGCCTCACAAACTCGCGAACTTCCGCTTTTTCGATCATTTCCAGATCCTATTCTCAACAAAACGCATCGCTCTCACTTCCTCCGTCGGCCTGCCGAAGAAGCTGAGGATCAGGTCCATCAATTTGTCCGCGTTCGGAGCCTGGGAGTGACCGCTACCCGCGGGAATGACCTGGAAAAAGGAGGATCCGTGGAGCATTTCGGCGAGAACGACGCCGCAGGACCAAATATCGACTTTGTTCGTGTAGGTCTGATCAAAACCCGATCACTCCTGGTACCTCGTTTTCCACGAGCAGCTCGGGAGGGCGATAATCGCGGGTCACGACGTAGGAAGTGAGGTTGATCGCGTTGGAACGCGCCAAGCCGAAGTCGCAGAGCTACACGCCATGAAAGATTGTGTTTTTGTGTACCGCGACGTCGCCGGAGGACGTGAGGAGAATGTTCCCGGGCTTGATGTCGCGGTGGATGAACTAGGGAAAAGGGGAAACCGGGGAAAACGCCCGCGGAATGGATGTAGCGAAGACCGAGAAGGATTTGGTAGGTGATGACGCGGATTTGATCGATGGAGAGGTACTGGGGAAAAGGGGAAACGGGGAATGAAACGTTCTGTGCGTCGATGGCGACTTCGAGGTCGAAGGAGTAGAGCGGAGAGACCATGTAGAGCATGATGGAGCGGTTTTTCTGGGGAAGAACGGAGAGAGGGGAGTACGATGTTGCGGATGTCGCAGACGTAGGGATAGCAATAGAAATCGACGATGTCGAGGACTTGGGGGCACTTGTTGAAGAAACGCAAGTAGCGGAGTTCTCTCTAGGAAAAATCAAAAGAAAAAATGGGGAAAACGAGAGAACGAATATGTGTAGTATCGAAAGTGGGCAGCAACGGAGATATTTTGATTGCCACCTTCATGTTTGTCACCTGGACATGAGATAAAGACATTGAGAGAAACAGAATCAATAGCGGAGCAGACAATTCCATAACTGCCGCAACCTATCGCTGCCAAGGAATGATAGCGCGCATCGATGTGTAAAATCAGCTTCTTCACGGAATACGTCACAAAGGACCTGGAAAAGTGAGAGTGAGGAAAAAACCGCTACCGCTTCAAAAGCGCAACAGAGCTTATTCCCAAAGGATTCGGGACTGCCTCCATCAAGTAATTCAACAAAAGTCTAGGTTCAACAAGAATGGAGTGAAAGCGAATCTTTCCCTCTTCATTTCTCTATTGTCCTCTGAACGTATGTGCTCGTAAAAACAGAAATCCAAGCGCGGTATTTAAATCTAGTGTGTAATTGTGGGTATTGAGACATATGTCCTTGTCAATCGTTTCTTTCGCTGGATACCTGATAGGAACCACATTTGCCAAATTCATTTTATGCCAAACTACGGTTCCCTCCCTATTTTACTTTGTTCAAACAAACACAATATCACTTTCTTTGTAACGCCTGAAAAGCCACAACAAATTCCTTGAGCGCCTTCCCCTGGTTCTGAACAATACGGATAATCTCCCGAATTTTGGAATGCAATTTGTCATCTTCCTTTTTACTCGTCGCACACATCTCCTTCACTCGTTTATTCTCCAAATCCAGTCGCTCATTCTCCCTCCGCAGCAGATTCAGCGTAGACGCCAATCCACGTCGGACCAATCGTAATGTGTCCACGATGTCCTTCAACGAGCTCATCTTCTTCGATTTATCGAACTTCGCCAGCAGACAAATATTCATGCACTCCTCGATCAAGCTCGAGAATTCCGGAGGCAGCTTCGACTCCTTCTGCTCCTTCCTGAGCGTTTCGCTCGTTTTTTGCTCATTCGAAAGCGACCGTTTCGTCTGCTCCAATTCCACGTTCTTCTGCTCCAACTCCACCTTCAAATCCTTATATTTCTGCTCGAATTCGTTGCGTTGTTTGATCACGTCCTTCACGAATTTATCTGCTTTCTGATCGATGTGGTCGTGACCCGACGCGTACGACTGCAGAACCGCGATTTTCTGCGAGAGATCGGTGTTCTGCCACTGCAGCGAGCTCCACTCCTTCTTCAAGCTCTCATACAGCGACTTCTGGTCCTTCAGCATCTGTCCGAGCTGCACGACGTACTCCGCCACGCTCTCGATTCGCAGCAAAATGTGAGGGAAGAAGGGTTTTAAAGCGGTGAGAATGAGTTGAAGCTGCTGCTGATACACAAGCGAAGACGACGAAGACAACGACGAAGACGACGAAGGTTGGAGGAGTTTCGATTCGGCTGTGAGTTTTTGTGCGGTCAATTCGCGGTTTTGGCTTTCGAGCGTGGCGATCATTCTCTGGAGATACGCGTTGTGGTCCTCCAGCGCCTTCATCGCCGCCTGCACCGACAGCGGCTGCGTGCTGCTCATCAATCGCTGCGACAGCATCTGATCCAGCTGCGAGAAGCTCGACTTCATGCTCTCCACCAGCCCGATCTCCGTCACCAACTGCTGCTGCAGGCGCGAGACTTCCTGCTGCTTCAGCGACAGCTGCGCGCGCACTTCGCTCAGCTCGCTGGACTCGCGACTCTGCGCCGCGACGCGTCCGCGCAGCTCGCCCAGCTCTTGCTGCGCGCGCTGGGAGGCGAGGTCGGACTCGCGTTTCGCCATCTGCACGGAGAACTGGAGCTGCTGGACCTCGCCTTGCAGCTGCGCGATGCGCTGGTCTTTGAGCCGGAGCGTCGCGTTGAGCTGAAGATTGGCGTCGATCGGCGCGTTCTGAAGCAGCGCGTTGAGCCGAGCGCATTCCTGCTCGCGCAGAGAGACCGTCTGGCGCAGCGTGGCCAGCTCGGCGGTGTTTTTCTCGAGCTGCGCGACCGCCTCGTTGTAGAGCTGCGTCGTCTGGTCCAGCTGCGACTGTAGAGCGGCGCTGGCGCGCTGTGCGGTTTCCACTTTTTGGGTCCAGACCTCCGCCGAGGCGAGCGACGCCGTCGATTGCTGCGATTGCTGCGATTGCTGCGATTGCTGTTGTTGTTGTAAGCGAGTGATGGAGGCCTCCAAGGAGCGAATCGTCGCGAGGGATTCTTGCAGTTGCAAAGCGGCGTGCGACGATTCGCTCTGCAGCAGAATGATCTGCGTGTTCTTCTCGGAAAGCTCCGAGCGCGCAGCGGTCAGCTCGGATTGCAGTGCGTCCAGTTTGGCATTCAACGCGTCCAAAGAGCGCGTCTCCGCTTCGCGTTGTCCCACGCCCGACACATTCAGCTCGCTCGAATGAAGCGGCTGCGCGTCTGCGGGTCGCGAGCCCAAAACCGAATTCATTTGACCCATCGAATTCATCGAATTCATCGAATTCATCGAATTCATGGAAGCCAGCGAAGTCTGCGCCTTCTTCAGCTCGTCTTCCAACGCAGACAATTGCTGCGCGCGCAGCTGCAGCGCGCTACGCGTCTGATTCAGTTCCTGCTGCAGCGAGGCCATCGCGTCCTCCTTCATTGCGAGCTGCGAGCGAACGTCCGATAAAAGTCCTTCCTGCGACGCGAGGCGACTCCGAACCTCGCGAAGCTCCGCTTGCAGCGCCAAAACCTGCGAGGACGCCGAGTCGTTTTGACTCATGGAGGCCACTTGCTGCTCAAACGAAGCGATCTGGCTGTGCAGCGATCGGTTCTCCGCGAGCATCTGCTGGCTCCACGCGTACAACTCATGCAGCGATCCGCTCACCCCTTCAGGAGTCTCAGCGGACACTTCGGCGAGCGAGTGGCCTAGAGTTAACGCGCTTGCTTCCGCAGTCCTACTCGATCGGTTCATCGCCGAACCCTGCGTCACTTCCTGCAGAAGCTCGTAGAGTTGCCGCGCCGTGCTTCGCAGCTCGGCTCGTGTCGCTTCTTCTTCGCTCTGCGCGCGTCGCACCGCTTCTTGCAGCTCCAGAACGCGCTGCTCGCTCTCCTGGTATTGCCGTCGCGAGGTCTGCAGCGCCTCGTTCGCTTCGCGAAGTCGCTGCTCGCTCTGCGATTGCATGGCAGTCGTCGATTCGACATTTTCCAGCAGCGACTTCTCGCGCTGCTCCTTCTCTGCGAGCTGGTTCTGCAGCATCTGTACGTCGCGTTCTCTCTGCTGCGTCGTCGCATTGAGTTGCTGACTCGTAGCACTCAGCTGCTGGTTCGCAGCGTCCAGCTGCTGCTTCAGCCGGTCGATTTGGCTCTGCAGCTTGCTCACATCGCGGCCAGCCTGCTGGTTTGTGAGCGTCAGGTTGGACTGGAGCGAGTCGCGATCGTCACGCAGCGAGGCCAATTCGCTCAGAAGCTTTTCGTGCTGCGCGTGAAGCGAAGCCAGCTGATTCTGCGCGCTCTGCGACTGGTTCTGCGCTTCTTTCAACTCATAGAAGAGCGACGTCTTCTCCGTTTCCACGCTTTGGAGCCGCTGCAACGCCTCCTGTTTCTCCGATTCCAAACTCTGCACGAGCTGCAACGTATCTCGCTTCTCCGTTTCCGAATTCTGCAATCGCTGCAGCGTTTTCTGTCTCTCCGCCTCCGCACTTTTCAATTGCTGCAGCGTTTCTTGTTTCTCCATCTCCGCGCTCTGCAATTTCTGCAGCATTTCCATCGCTGCCTCGTAGTCGCGCTGTTTCGTCGCCATTTCCTGCTGCAGCGACGCGATTTCCTTCAGTTTCGCGTCCTTCTCCTCTCGCAATCGCGTGTAATTCTCCACCAACGCGTTGTACTTCTCCCCCAAATCGCGGTATTTCGTCTCCGCCTCGCGCTGCACGTCGCGAACCTGCTGCTGCAGCTGCGTCACCGCGTCCTGCGACGACAACGCCGCCGCCTTCTGCGCCTTCTCCTGCTGCTGCAGCGCCGATTGCAGCGCCGCGATCTCGTTACTGGCGTCCGACAGCGCGCGTTCCTGCGACGAACACCGCGCCAGCACGTCGCTCAGCTGCGACGCCGAGGCCTCCAGCGAGCCCACCTGCTTCTGCAGCGACCGGTTCTCCGCCTGCACGCGCTGGCTCCACGACTGCAGCGCGCGGACGGACTCCTCGACACGCTCCGGCGACTCGGCGGCCAGCTGCGCGGCCGCTTCGGCAGAGGAGAACGAGGCGAGGGATGCGGGGCTGGGGGTGACCGCGGCGCGGACCGCTTGGAGAAGATAGGCGGCGCGCGAAGCGACGGTTTGCGATTGGAGCTGCTGGGATTGCAGCAGCTGGACCTGGCTCGAGGCGCTTTCCGCGGAAACCTGGACTTGGCGAAGCGACTGGTGCAGCTGCGCCACCTCCGCTTCTTTGTCCTTCAGCTGCTGCTGGAAGGCGGAGAGGTCGCTCTGCTGGTGCTGCACCGTGCCGCGAAGCTGGTCGATCAGCTCGTTGCACTTGGAAAGCTCTTGCGAGGAGGACTGCTCGCGGAGATAGAGGCCGGAGACCTGGTCGTTGAGCGCTTTCACGTCCTGCTCGCGCTGCGATAAGTTGGCTGAAAGCTGGTTTAGTTGGTCGGAGAGCGCGGCGTTGGCTTGGTGGAGCTGGTCTCGCTCCCTGGCGTCTTGCTCGCTTTGAACGTGCAGAGCATCGTTGTCTTTGCGAATGAGGGCGATGTCGTACTCGAAGGAGGAGTTGCTCTTGAGAAGACGAGCATTGTCCTCTTCCAGCTCGCCCACTCGCGATTTTAACTCATCGATTCTTTGGACATCGTAACTCATATCGTCCACTTGCTGTTGCAAATGGTCGCGTTCCTCCTGGAGAGAGGCAATCGTTCGGTCCATCGACTGCACTTGATTTGATAACTCTGGAATAATTTCTAAGGGAGTTAGGACTTGATTCAATCCATACTATTTTGCGCTTCTTTCAATTGCTGCTCTAAGTTGTCGGCTTGACTTTGCAACATTCGTTTTGATTCTTCCAGCTCCTTGTTAGCAGCAGAAAACTCAGAATTTGCTGATTCGATTTGACTTTGCTGATCAAGCAATACAGCTATCTTTTGGTTCAGGGAATTTATCATCGATTCTGCAATTTATGGTTCCATTACAGCCATACCTTTTTCATCCACTTGATGCAAAAAAGACTCAATCTCGTGTGCTTGGGAGGCTAAGACCACCTGCATCGCCACGGGACCCGAATCCATTCCTGGATCAATAAGATTACTTTACTTCAAAACAATATACTGCTGATATCAAAAAGAAAATTATGGATTGATATGGTAGGACGAGTATGTGCAACCATTTAATTTTTGAGAGTTTCAAGTGTCAGACGATTGAAAATCCATAGTGGAGCGAAAGGATTGGTTAGGGTATTGTGGTAATGAGAAAAGGCCAATTACGAGATAATTACCAAAGTTTGGATGAATTAGAGAGACAAATATGAGGACCGCGGTTATTTCATTGTTTTATGGGAGACTGTCTTTCCTGGTTCTCCAACCAGTGACTGACCAAATAATCATCAGCTAGAAGTTGAAACTATGTCCACTGTAGGTTTTTGTTGTGATAACGAAATGGGTGCGTTTGAAGACGGGAAAACGCTAATGGTTGTATAGCCTGCCAAGAAGATCGAGTTCACCATTGATTGCTCTGCTCCTCTGAATGATAAGGTCATGGACCTTGCCTCTTTTGTAATTTGCTGAGCAGGAGGTTGATTTCTAGGAGAAGTTCCTGAACGAGCACATTAAGGTCAACAACAAGACCAATAACCTCGGAGACGTGGTTGCTGTCTCGAGCGCTGATACCAAAGTGAGCGTGACTGTTGCTGGTAAGATGGCCAAGAGATACCTGAAGGTTTGTCCAGAAAGGTGGATTGACGCGTAGTACCTCACCAAGAAGTACCTGAAGAAGCAGAGCCTTCGTGATTACCTTCGTGTGATTGCCAACGGAAAGACTGGTTACAAGGTTGGATGTGTTTTTTGCTGTTCACTGCTTAGCTCACCTACTTCAATGTTGAGAAGGATGAGGAATAAACTTGTTTTCTCTGATGATTATCGAATGTTTGTTCAACAAACCGTTCACCACCACTCTTCAGACAAGTCTACGGGAGGGACAGTAGAAGACGTGACTTCGCTCGGCTGGGTGCTCAACTCCTCTTTCTCACTATTCCTGATTTCTTCCGCTTTTTGTTTATCCTTCTCCTTCTCCTTCTCCTTCTCCTCTTCCTCCCTCATCTCCAAGACAGAGTTCTCCACGATCGACACGATCGTATCTTCGGGATTGAGCTCCTCCTGCTTCTTTTTCTCCTCCTTCAACGTCGAGAAAATCCCAGGAATCGGAAACAGCAAGCGAGCCGGCTCCTCCTTCATCTGCGCCTGGAAGTCCCGATCGCCCTTCACCTTTTTCGCTGCAAGTCGCAGTCGATAGATCATCTGCATGATCATCTTCCCCAAATGGTACATAGCTATCCGACGGGATCTGCCGGTTGGCACAAGCAAGAATATTGGTCAATTGGAGGAGCGAGAAGTACTCTGTGCGTGATTCCTTGATCATATCGACCAGCTCCGGGTTCGATTCCTCTAAAAAAATCATTTTTTTCGAACCCAAAACGATGAAATCGGAGCGGATCCAGCACCGACGGATGTCGCAGACTGGGTCGCTGCAGCTTCCGATGGTAGTGCGATTGGATGTGTTTGAGAATGGACAGCACGTAGGTGCGATGCACCCCGCGGTTCTCGCCGTCCTCCTCCCGGGCGAACTGGTAAAAGTCGTTGATTTCCTTCTGGACGGTGGAGGAAACGGGGCTGATGTCGAACCATCGCTCGCCCTATTGCTCATTCCCGCGGGGAGGAGCGACGAAGAGGTAGAGAGCGTAGAAGTGGGGGAGGGGACGCAGCGATTGGAAAAGCGACACGACGTTGGACTGGGTGAGAGGAAGCGACGCGTCGACGGGGAGCGCGGAGAGATCGATCCACTGCGTAGAAGGAGGAATAAAAAAGAAAACTTCGTCGAGGACGTCGAGGAGAGAACGCATGGAGGCGATGCGGTGCGATGGGTCGGAGAGAATCGCCGCGGCTAAGCGAGTGGCGAAGAGGGAATAGTCGTAGTTCGCGTACTGAGAGAGTGAGAGAGAGCATTGGGATGAAGGTACTTCTTCAGCAGATTCTGGAGGAATTATCGAAAGCTTGGAGAGATAGTGAGCCAATTGGGGATGGGAACGAAGCAGATGAATCCGCTCGGCAGGATTGGCTCGATAGTAGTGTCCGTATAAGGATCCGACAGAAACTGCTATACCTGCTCCAACGAGAACCGTTTCAAAAACATATCTCTGTTCATTAAAGAGATATCGGAATACCACCCTATTCTTATGGTTTCGAAGTTGTTTCTCTTTTAGTATTGCGTCTGCAGCTTCTTTTTCGGATAAGACATCTGTAGAAAGCGTTTGCGCGTCCTCCACGGAATGAATGTTTATTTTTATATTTTTCTATAAGTTGGTCACGAAACAATTAATATCTACACCATCTGTATAGAGAGTGCTGGAATCAGCCACAGAAGCAGATTCTTCCTCTCCAAGAGTTGAGAAAATCCGTTTCTGTTTCTATCTGTAAAATGTAAGGACAAAGACTTGTACCAAGCATTGACGGCTACGACGTAGAAGTGGAGCTACAGCTTTTCGTAGCATAACCCCAGTACAAAAAATTTAAAAAAGTCTTTAAAGTCAGAAATGATAATAGATAGATACACAATTACTTAAAAGTTTGGTTTGTGTCAGGGAAGCTGTTGTCTCTTTTTGGTTCATGAATATCCTTTTATTGCTACGAGGCCAAAAGTGCCGTATCGTCTGCTACCTTATCATGTAATGCAATTGGTGATGTTTAATACTGTAGAACCGTTCTATTTGTACTATTTAATTACTTTGCGTCACCTATTGATAATACTGTAGTGTGAATCATTGCTTTCCAAATAGTGTTTAAGCGATATTTTGTCAAACGAGACTTTAGATCTTTTATTAAAAAGTGATGTAAGTGGTTTTAGCTCCTGTAGGTATTTTTTGGTTTTTGATCACGAACAGCTATACTTCATACTCCTTTAATCGATTTTTACGATGCTCCTTCTCTAAAATTCTTTTCGCGGACAAAAACTGTCTATGCTAAAGACGTATGGAAGTGGGTTCGCAACCACAGATTCCGAAACGGGATCTCGAAACAACTCGACTTTATTGCACAAGATTTAAGCTTTGATTCCTGCAATCAAGTGATTCGTGTCCATCCTATTGTACTGGATGAGTCACCAAGTTCATTTTTCTTACCAAGTGTTGATATAGTGGATGAAACAAATGCAATTCACACTCCGGAGTTCACTGCCATTTTTGTTTGCAAGTGGGTCTACGAAGCTATGTTTATGTTAGTTATATCCGGCTAAATGTCATTCCACTCCGAGTATCTCAATGGAATGGGTGACTCTCGATGCGCCTCATCATTCTCTAGACCTTGCATTTTCATGATCCACATCACATCGGAAGAGCAGCAATCCATGCTCTCTCGTTTCCTCCAATCCCACTCCTTCCCCGACACCGTTCAAATCTACATCTCTGTCTCGGAGCCGTTCTGCTACAGCGCTACGCACTTCCCCATCAATCGTCTTCGCAACTTCGCCATCGAGCACGTCCGCACAAGCCACTTCGTCGTGCTGGACATGGACCTGCACTTCTCCGACGCCATCTACGCCAATCTCCAGCGCGCCGACCCTTCTCTCTGGGCGCTGGAGCGATCCGTGGTCGTTCTCCCCGTGCTCTTCCTCACCGAGAAGGCAGTCAACACGGCGGCGTGCCGCGAGACGGAGGCGTGCGTGCTGATGTAGAGACGGAGAGGGCGTGGGACGTAGGAGCGATCGCGTCTCGCCGAGTTCATTCGAAGAGCTGCGGCGATGTGTGAAGACGCGGAGCTGCAGCCTGGACAAGAATCGACTGGGGTCGCATGTAGGGGCGAGGCAGGGCGCTGAGGGGCAGCGATACATCGATCGGAAGTGGCTGAAGGGAGGCGCGAAGCCGCTGCCGCTGCGCTGTTTGAAGTTTGAGGGGATGGAGCCGTATGTGATTCTGCGCCGCGCTCCGGACACGCCCTTGTTTGATCCTCTGTTCTACGACTACGGAGGGAATAAGCAGACTTTTGTCGAGTCTCTTCGGTATTATTGTGCGTGTGGAGCGCGTGGCTGACGATTAGCCGATCAGTGGTTCGTGCTGAATAATGTCTTCGCCATCGACTCGAGACATCCCAAGTCGGAGAATCGCGCTTTCTTGAGGAATAGATCCGCTTATCGCCAGCAGTTCGATGAGACGTATCGCCACCGAGCCGCGCTGAACAGCTTCCTCATCCAGCTTCGAAGCCATGAGCTCCGACACTCCCAGAAAGAAAAGATGCCGATCTGCTCGCGCTTTTTCTCTCTTGTTTTCATCAAACACAAGGACGACAAGCATATGTTACAGTATAGATTTCGTTAATTTGGTTGAACAGTTGTGAAAACGGTGGATGGAGACACAACCCAAGTTGGCACGTCCATCACCTTGGTATATTCTGTAGAACCCCTATTACCATTATTATAATAATAGTAAGATGAAGAAGCTAATGTTGGATGAGGTTCAGAATAAGAGGAAGTAGTAGTAGTAGAGCATCCAGAAACAGGAACAGCACCGTGGGTGTATGGAGCCTGTATGTAACAAGTTACAGGTAAACCTTGCAAAATGCAAGAGTCTTTTGTAACAGCAGGAACTAAGGAAGTTTGTGTTTGTTGCTGAGGCAAAATAGGGCAGGACATGGAATGAATAGGAACGGCGAAGCAATTACTAGGACGAGGACAAATGCTGCCTTGAGGGGGGGATATAGAACAATTTGAACAGCTGGCATAGGTGGCGCAGCATGTTGGCGGGTAATTAAAAGAGGGGCAATCCCCGTAAACCTTAAAAATGACACGTAATGTTCCAGCTGATCCGGAATACTTTGGACTCGTTAAATTAACATTCAAATCTAGTCTTCAGTGAAGAACATGACATCAAACCTTGGCGACCAGGAGGTAAATTTGATAAACGGATGTCTGCATACCCAATAAGTTTATCCTTTATAAAATGGCTATCAAAACTAAGCATTAGCCCCAAGTCGAGTGAACCGTACACTTCTACCCGGAGATCGGGTTCTTTACCTGTTAGGCACATCTCATAATTCCACCCTAGAATAAAATAGGGATTTGCAAACCGTACTGGGAGAACAACCTCCGTCATGAATAACAGATGTCCTATATACACTCTTTCCATAAGAGATTTTAACATAAGGGTCCAGTTTACCAAAAGTACTCACATTTCTTAATCCCGTTGCTCCGACAATAACGAATGAAACACGACACTCTCCGTGGCACATAACAAACTCTTTGCAATAGGAAAGACAGCGTTACTATAATCAGAATAATCTTGAAGTAGATTTGTGGAGAATGGAAACGATTCCAGGAAAATTCTCGGAAGAAGTTCGATTTTTAATATTTGTGTTCTAATTGTACAGAACGCGAACCTGCTAACTGTAGAAAAAGTCTCTGAAGGAATTATCTCGATTGGTCCCTGAATGAAGGAAGGTGTACATGGTTGTACACCCACATCGTGTTTTTATTTTCGATGACACTATATACCTATCCCTCCAATTTTGTCATTATCTTTTATTTCGATTGGTGATGAAGAGTGCTTCGTATACCGGAAGAGAGTACAGTAGTGGGGCTCGCGTATACGATGACTTTGAATCCGATACGAACGTTCTCCTTGATTCGAGAAAAATTAAGCAATTTCCAAAAAGCAAATACAATCTAAAGGTGATAGTCCCAAGTCTATGTGCAGTATTGTGTATGTTCTATGTGATTGGCCATTATGGGAGTTCTAACGAGTCTGTGAATTTACGAAGCTCCTCCTTGAAACAAGATGGCGTGTTTGATCTCGTGATCGTGTCTGACCTCGACAAAAAGAGTCGTATTGTCGAATCTCGCAAAGGAGAGTGGAAGAGCATTATGAAGAAAGGAAGACTTTTGCGTGACAATGAGGGACGATATTCCATTGAGTGGAAAGGAGAAAGCACTCTCACTGGCAAAATCAGTGAAGCGGGAAGAGGAATGGAACTGAGTGCACTCACCTGGTTTAGGAACAAGCTGTATGCGTTCGATGACCGAACTGGAATTGCTTTTGAGATTCGCGGTTCGAAGGCCATTCCTCGTTACATCATGATGGAGGGTGACGGAAACAACGACAAAGGTCAGAAGACGGAGTGGGCGACCGTCAAGGACGACAAGATGTACGCAGGAAGCTTTGGCAAGGAGTACACGAATCCCGACGGTTCGATCAAGAACACGAACAACATGTGGGTGAGTGTAATCGATTCCCACGGGCAAATCACACACGAAGACTGGACCGATCGATACAACAAGCTGCGGCAAGCAGTTGGCTGTCCTTATCCAGGCTACATGATCCACGAAGCGATTAGCTGGTCGCCTCATCGCAAGCAGTGGGTGATTCTGCCGCGTCGTGTGAGCAAGAAGCCGTACGATGAGAACGAAGACGAGCGGCGTGGGTCGAACACGGTGATTCTGGCTTCCGAAGACTTCAGCGAGATCGAAGTGAGGCATATAACGACGCTGACGCCGACTCGCGGCTTTTCGGAGTTCAAGTTTTTGCCTGGGTCGAAGGACAGCGTGATTGTGGCGTTGAAGAGCGAGGAGAACGAGGAGGAGAAGACGCAGAACTCGTATATTATGGTGTTCAACTTGGATGGAACGATGCTGATGGAGGAAACGGAGATTCCGGGGAAGATGAAATTTGAAGGACTCGAGTTCATGTGATGTGTTGTTTGTAATTCGATTAACGAGTGATTGATTATTTGTTTGTTTGTTTGTTTGTTTGTTTGTTTGTTGAATTGATTGATTGTCTTTTGGATTGTTGGTTAACAAACACAGCAAGGCATCGAATCTAAAATATCCTTCGTAGCCTCGAAAATCTGATTCTGCTCTTCTTCCGACTTCACGCGCGGAATCAATTCCTTCTTTTTACAGCAGCAGCACATATCTCCAGACTTGCAAACACTCTTCACCTTCTGACTCGCCGCTGCAAACGCGATCGTGCACGCGCCCTACTCCTCACTCTCTCCTCCCATCGCTACCTTCCACGTAGGGAAGAGGCACTGACAAATCTTCCACTGAAAGATCTTCCCAATGCAGCCCAGCTCCCGAGCAATCGCAGTCCCTGCGATTCCTGGATCACACGCGATCACGAATAAGGACGGATTGCGTCGCGCCAGATACTGCGCATAGGAAGTCACCAGATACTTCGAGCGGAAATAGGGACTCCATTTATCATAGGCTTCTTGGCCGATGCAGAGATGCGTCCGATCGATTGTGTCTGGAGCTCCTTTGTTATACGTCAAGGAACTGACGAAGATCACACGAGCATCCCCTTCCAACAAGGGAATGAGAGATTCCGTGAGTTGAACCACACCAAAGTAGTTGGTTTGACAGGTCAGTTCTTGGCCCGTGGGAGCTTCCGTATAGTTCGGAATCAAAGACACGCCAGCATTGTTGACCAAGACATTGAAGCGAATTCCTTGCGAACGGATTGTTTCGACGCAAGATCGAATAGAGGCAGCATCCGACATATCAACAATGAGATACTACAGAGATTAGCTATTTCAAGAGTTACGTTGATGCTTTCATTTCCAGTCTCCTCCTTCAACGTGTTGCATGCTGTGATAGCCCGTTCCTGTGAACGGCATCCTGTAATTAACAAAACAAAGAGAGGTTACCTATTGTCACTTTGCCGCCGGCCTGAAGCAGCATCTTAGCTACTAAAAATCCAAAGCCGCTGTTACCACCCTAAATGGAAAAATCACCTCAAGTACTACAGTAATGAAAAAAGAACGATTGGAAATATCTTCGCTCTTTAATTCCTCGGTGAGTGACTTGACAGAATATCTGTATCAAGAAGAGACCAAAATGCCTACTTCATGTCTCAAACAGATAGGAAATGGATTTTCTACAGAGTAGCATACCAAAACAAAATATACAAAGTAGAAATATAGTTAATTTTGTTTATTGGTAATAATGAGATGAGAATAATCTGTACAAAAAAATATTCTAGAATTGGTTTGGAATAGTTTAGATTAAGAGCGATTGTTGCCAAGAAAATAGATTAGTTACAGTTGAAGAAGCAAGGATTGGACTGTTATTATGTCGGTGACATAATGGTGCGATAAACTATGTCAATTGGATTGAAAATAACGAGAGAGAGTCGAAAATAATATATTAAACAGTAAAAGTGATATATTTTCTTTAAAAATGGTAGTGTTGCAAAATGATGGTGAAAGAAGAGAATTATGAAACCAAAATATGACCTATGGGAATATACTATGAATTAGCAGTTAGATATTCACTGTGTATAAGAGTAATAGGATTCATGAGAATTTACCTACGTATATAATGAGAGATTATGGATAATGAATTGATGGACTCGCGAATTGAAATAATACTTTAAATGCTATTTCCTAAATCGTAAAAAGTTCAACCATATTATATCACTTCGCAATTATAACAAGGATGGTTGAAAAGAGATCAAACAAAGATTGAAAATATGTTCCAATAGTTGAAAAACTCAATGATTATCAAAAAAAGAAGATGCTAAAAAACAGAAATATCTTGTGTTCTATTTAACTGATTCTGTTTTAAAATGAAGCGTTTCCCCTCATATTCTTTCTTATTTCGAGGCGTAAGATTGCTGGATTATATTCATATTGAGTAATAGAGAATGTGTAGTATTGCAATTCAATAATGGAGTATTCATGAATCAAGGATTAGTGGTCAATGAACAGAAAGTGTTGAAAGTGATTGGAAATTATCAAATTGGTGCTATTTCATATAATGAAGAACAATCCATAGAAGTAGTAGAAGGAATCGTGGATTTGGATCATGGAAGTCGATTTGAAGGATTGATATTGACAGAAAACAAATTGGGCATTCCATTTGGATATGGTGAAATGTATGATGATAATGGATTCTTGTTGTACAAGGGCATAATGATCAATTGGAAACGATTTGGATATGGAACGAGTTATCATAATAATGGATGTATTGAATATGAAGGATATTGGTGTGATGATAATCGATTTGGAATTGGAAAAGTGTATGATCGATATGGTAAATTAGTGAATGAATGTGAATGGTATAATGGAATTGAATGTGATATTGATGATAAATATGAAGGAGATGGCAGCAATCCAATGAATATCGGAATGAAACATTTGAAACTGAGTGACAATTGTGTATTGGTTGATTGGGATGTTTCATTGTTGTATAATTTGGAATCAATCGAAATCGGTAATGATTGTTTTGAATCAGTGCAAACATTCATAATCGATGGATTGAATCGATTGAAAACTATCAAAATCGGATGCAATTCATTTACTCAAAAAAGAAAGATTGGGGAAATGATGAATCGAAATCATTCCACATATTGAATTGTGAATCATTGGAATCCATTCAAATTGGTGAATATAGTTTCAGTGATTTTGCTGGCGACTTTGAATTGAAGAATCTGCCACAATTACAATCCATTCAAATTGGTGATTGTACACTTTGTGGAAAAAATAATGATTCGTGTTCATTGATAATACGAAGTAATAATGAAATGATTCGAAATGGTTGAAGGTAAATCTTCCAAATATAACATTTGATATCAATAATGAGGAAGAAAGCTTCAATAACTATCGTTTCGTGACATTGGAAAGTGGGTTGGAATAAAGAATACTGATAGTATTTAGATATTTCAAATCTTCAAAAAACTATGTATTTCGTGGTTGCTGATTACTAAGACAAAAGGGTTACTTCCAGGATATCATTCGATAAAAAAATACCTGAATGGAAATCAATTTCGAGTTTTGCTTGTTTGAGGGATTTGATTTCAGCAATAGATGTTTTTCCTATTCTCGCTAATCTTCTACAAAGCATCTTTAATCCTGATCCTGAATATTAATATTATTGATTTCAAAATTCCGAATCTGATTTTGATTATGATTGTAATTCCGATATTGGATTTGCGCATTTAATTCATTCTTTTTTAATGACGAATTGTTTATTCTATGCTTACATTGTGTTTTATTATACAATTACACTTTCTAGGAATTAAGATTCGTAACGAATTTTTCAATACGTCGCGTATTTACATGATTGAGAATACAATAAACAAACAGATAGAATCGTACGATATTAATAAATACTTGTGGAAATTGTAAATAAAATGAATTCATTCTTTACCAATGTAAATCCAATGTGCAACCAACATTATCCTTACTCTGTATAACCATGTTTTGCAAAACAATACTATGTGATTTGGTTGCCTTCAACACAACTATTTTTCAGCAGCAATGCTTGAATACAATACCAATTCTCAATGAACAGATATGTTATACTCTTTCAACAGGCAATGCAATACACATAAAGCTATTTTAACAATATCAATTCCCACTTACACAACAAACAATGACTTATAAACAGAGTTGTTGTCATTACTAACAAATAGAGTATTATTAATCGTATGATATTCAATTCCTTCAATCCCGTATATCCATGCTGCTATTTAGATCAAATAGTATTGCTCCTATAATACTAACATAATCAATCCAACCTATTCAGGGAAAAATGTAATTCCAAAAATTCCATTCATTTCTTGATGTGGGTAAATACTCATCAAATGGACGCTCTCCTTTTCTCTGCAGTGAGGGAACTTGGAATGTAGCGGTAAAAAGATCCCTATTAAATTTTAGATACATTCCTGATGACATTCTCTCTCTGGAAGATATGGATAGAGTTTTTTTCTTTAATCTCTGTGTTCAATGCCTTTCCATGCTTTCTCCGGTAGTTCTCGAACACCCTGGTTTCATCTGCACAGAAGAAGACTTGAGTCATTCGAATTGCCTCGAACTAGCGGAATCTTTCATCGTAAGTCTTCCTTCTTGAATCCATATCTAGAGTTGTGGTTATAGCCAAGAAATCGGTTTTAGCCTGTTTATGTACCCCGAGCCTAAAGATATTTCTGATGTTTTAACCTGGTTAGTGTCTTCAATCTCATTTTCACTCGAACAAGTTTGTTTCTTCACTCTTTTTCCATTTTAGGAGAAACGAGTATCGGTGGAGACAAAAGCTTCTGAAGGAAACGCAATTTTGAAATCGATATCCAATTGGCGCAATGGCGATATTTCTGAAACAGAAAGTTCTCGTATGGAACCACCAACGGACGAAACACATTTCTCTTTTAATGCCTCTACCTTTTTGGAAAGTGAATCAGAACTGCTTTGTAAGGAGCATCTGCGTTTTAAATGGAATCGAATTCCCTCAGTTGCAGTTTTCGCTTGTTCATATCCGTAGACAGGACTCATCGCCTTGTTCGACGACAGCGTTGCAAACGCCCACATTTCCTTTCGAAATATCCAACGTTTTCTCTTTCTCTCTTCTGCTCTCTTCTAGTAATTTCTCTTTCCTCTGACCTCGAACCCCCCAACGAAGTAACATCCCTCTCCAACTCTTTGATGTGAAGGAATTGACGGCCATCCAGACCGACTTAATTCGGTGTAACCGGGTCTTTTTTTCTCACATTCGAAATATCAATCGATTGAACAAACAAATCAACTCTGTTTCGCCCTCTGTTCTTTCTTTACGATTCTAGCTCAAACGAAACATTACAGAATTGAACCAATTAATCGAATTCACGCGAACGTCCTTTGAACAGAAGCAAAAACTCATCGAGGACATTGACGTCTATCTCAAACAAATCAGCAATTCCTGCGACACGGTCGCCTCGGAATCATCCAAAGAAGAGTTCATTTATCAAAGCGAAAAAGGCGAAATCGTGAAGTTCATCATGGATTTGGAGTCTGAAAAACAAATCCTCTGGGTGAAATGCGTCCAACATGCATTAGATTTAGGAAAAATCGCAGGAGTTACTCAAGAAAATCAACGAAAGTCGACGCGAAATCGAAACGATCACAGCGATTGTAGGCGAAAAGAAACGAGAAAAGGAAGAGCTGGACGAGATGCTCCAGACAATTCCCCAGGTTTGAGCAGCGTTCGCGTGTCATTTAGCAATCTTTCCGAACCGTGTATTTGAAACGCTTACAGGAGTTATCGCAGCGCAAACAAACGCAGCAGATCGATTTGACGAACGTCTCCAAGTCCATTGAACAGCTGAATTTGGAGATTAAGGACGTTGCGACGAAGGTGAAAAGCGCGGAGGGAACGATCGAGTCCACGCTTCGCGCGGTTTTAGGGAACGAAACGGAAGGATCCGAACTTTACAATCAGTTTTACAAACTGAAGAGAGTAGGAGAGAAGTGAATGTTGGGAGCTGTAGGCGTTCCATTCGTTTCTTACGGTTTTGTATACTCTTATGGAGACGGATGATTCCATCACTTCGATCGCATTGCAGTTGAACAAGATTGATGTTCCTGTCATTTGTAAAAATACGGACTATCTCAGACGGGATATTGAGAAAGTTCGAGTTTTATGGCGTTTTGAGGTATAGTTACAACATGAGAACAAACTTCTAGCCGATAAGATTGCTCAGTTGGAAAAGGCATTTTCTGTTTGTTGAAGACGCTTTTGATCGCGTTGAATGAAGGAAAGACAGTTAACGGCAATGAGGGTTTAATCAAATGCTTTTCACAATTCCGCGGGAAAATGAGATTTTTACCGGAACAATGATCAAACACATGAATATCCCCCACTTCAAAATACCTTTCCGTTATGACTAGAAGAGCCATTTCCAAGAGGCAGCAAACGGGATACAGCCGACGAAAGAAGAGACGTGTTAGAAAGTGCTCTAGTTGCAAGTTGTTAAAAACAATGAGTTTTTACAAACCGATCATCCTTAATGGGAAAAAGGTTATGCCCAAGACCTGCCAGACGTGCAGGGACAAGAGAACTCAGTACTATTGGAGTATGGTTATATCTGCTTTTTGTAATGTAGCGTACGAGTCAAAGCATCCTAGAGATGCATCACCCAGTCTGGACACTCTTAGTTCGTCCCAAAGATCATCATCCCTTGATTTGTCTGCGGAGGAGAGAGACTCCTATGAATCTACAAGCCCCAGTAAAGAGGTTATTGTGAGTTCAGGTACGAATGACTACCCGGATATCTCTCTTCCTCCCTACCCAGTATATCAGTCAGTATCATCTGACTCGGAATCACCGATTCCTCTTTGTAATTCTGACCAATTTTGCCCTTCTGTTGATGTGTATGCTAAAGAATCTGTTTTTGAATATTTTATGAATGATTACCCAATGGAGAACAGTTTTTACTTGACCAATGATATGTATTAAAGTAATATGGTTGTATGATATGTTGTTTTCACAAGACGATTTGTACCCTCATTTTATCTTTCAAATGCAGCGCACTTGTATTCGTTTTGGTGAACAAAATACTTGCTAGTTGCTCGTAGTTTTTCATTCTTATCGGATTTGGCAAAAAGAGGGATCGTTCTTCCTAAGGTGTCAAAACCTGTTGGTAACTATGTCAGCATTCTCCGAACAGGAAACATGCTGTATTTGTGTATTATCGGTACGTTTTCTTCTGATGTTGTAGCGGGTGCTTTACCGATGAAGGAGGATGGGTCATTTTACAAAGGAAAGGTATGTGAAGAAATTAGGAATGAACTGTGAAGGTTGGAGCTGATATCGACGAGAAAACTGGATACGATGCTTCAAGAAGGGCGGGAATGGTGTTGGCAGCGAACATTTTGTGTAATCATTGTGATTCGGGTCGATAATAGCTGAGATCTCGGACCCGACCAAAGTTCGTGTTTGCAAAGTAGGTACCCTCGTTTTTTTCTCCCCATAGATAACTGGATTTGTGAATGCATGTCCTACGTTTGAGAAAGTACCTGCGGTTGTGAACGGCGCTTCAGATGTTTTAGTCGAGATTTTCGGTGAGAATGGCAAGCACATATCCATTTCTTGAAAGATTCTGTTTCTTAACGCCAGGCTCGTTCTGCAGTGGGTGTAGCGACATTACCTCTGGGAGTTCCTGTTGAAGTGGAGGCAATTGTAGAGATTTTGTGATGAAATGTTTGATAACAAAACTCTGTAAGAGGAAGGATCGTTCTTTTTCTTCTTTTTCTTCTTTTCTTCGTCTATCGAAGAAATCAGCTCGTCAATTTGTGAAACTACTTTTGGCTGTCGACGGGCAGCTAAACGCACATCAGAGGGAGAGACAGTTGCTCGCTTGGCATGAGCGGCAAATGCCTCCAAGTCCTTTGCAAGAGACTCTATGGATTACCGTACGTAAGGAGACTAAATACCCGAAAAATAGAGCACTAATTCACAAAGTGCAGCTACAGCCTTGATAGAATGTTATTTTTATTCCTACATCATTTTTAACTTCATAGTGACCTGTAGATCCTACAAGTGACCATATATACATAGAAAAAAACCTTCGTGCGCTGCTATATTCGCTACTGTATAGTAAATGGATTTCTTATCAGACTATTTCATAAAACAAAATAATAAAAATCCATACATCCATTTTTTGGCTTATTTTGCCGCTCTTTTCTATACTAGTGTTTATTACAAATTATTTTCTGATTCTATGAAACAGAAAAAGCAGGTCAAGAAAAATACGGTTTGCTTGGAGCGATTTTGTTACATGTTAGGTCTTCTGTTATCCAGTCATAGGATCAGATTCTTCATACATTAAGTATGTCAAAGTAGAGTCTCCAGAAGTACGTGGTTTCGCTCCCTTTGAATTGCAGGCAACATCTGTTGTTTTGTGCCCAGATGAGTGTTCTATGTATGCAACAAATGATAGTGGTATGAAAGTCGCGATCCAATTTCCTTCAGTTCTTTCTATCACAACAGACTTCCTTTCGATTCTTCGCTCTTTGCTCTCTTCGTTTTCATACAACTTCCTCGGTAATTCATAGACATAGCTGTGCGTTTGTGAGGGAAACTACGGATTCAAGCCTTTGGCTGTGTATTCAGTTAGCAAAGCTTTCCACAATTCGCAAGCCCGTTTATCTTACCAAGCTCCTCTCCTATCTTCCTGTACTCTATCCTCAACTGTATCCGTCCATCTCTGACTCCTCCTCATCTATATCAAGCAAAGAAGCCATCAACCAAGTTGAAAGTATGATCGAAGGGTCGGAGAGTGCTCAAAGTAGCACAGCAGACAATCATCAAAACGGCACAGCAAACTCGACCATCAACTCAGAAAATGGTTTGAAACAAGAGGAAGACAACTCTGTGGATGAAATGGATAGCGACGACAATCTGGGTTCCGAGCTTTCCTTTCTTTATTCCTGTCTTTCCATGCATCCCATCCCCGAATCCGTAGTTGCCTCGATCTCTGCCTCAATTCCTTCGTTTGTTCAATCTCAGCCATTTCCCCATCAGATCTTAGCGCTTTCGTGGATGTTGAGTCGTGAAGGGCTTCATCACGATTCTTCCTCCCCATCCAATCCGTCTCTTCATCCCTTGTTCTCCTCCTGGCCGCCCGATCCCACATTGTATGTATCGCCGTGGACAGCAGTGTTTACACGAGAATTCATCCCGAATGAGACGGTTCGGAAGGGAGGAGTTCTCTGCGATACGATGGGACTGGGCAAGACCTTTGAGATGATTTTGCTGATTCTGATGCACCCGAGAGATTCCCAGCCCATTGTGAAGAAGGAAGTTGCTTTGGGAAACGAAAGAAAAGAGATAATGTCTGAAAGTGATTCGATTCGGTGGAGTGCACCGAACAATCAGCGAAAGCGAGCGAGGAAACTTAGAGATGAGGAATTTTCGATGGATAATGAGGATTCTTGGGATGCGAAAAGAGGCAAGTATGAAGAATACAACATAGACAATGACGAGCAGGGTATTTGTTGATAGGAATGTTTATTAGATAGCTTTTTGTGTGTGTGGAAAATGTGAAATCCATTCACATCAGAACCTCATTCTGTGTACGAAATGCCATCGATATCAGCATTGGAATTGCATATTGTGGGTATCGAATGGAATTGATAACGTGCAGCGGAAAAAACAAGATGCCAATGCCTCCGTCGGAATACATCTGCTTTGATTGTAGAAAGAAACACCAAGATGAGTTGCCTATGTTGAAAGCAAAAACAACGCTCGTGATGATGCCTCTCCATATTTCAATGCAGTGGATCAACGAGCTGCACAAGCATCTCGTAGAGCATCCAGACGATGAAGACATCGTCAATGACTATTACTGTGAAGGCCGAGTTCATAACATTCGCTATCTTTTATATCCTGGAATCTCTGTGATCTTACAGAATAAGAAAAAACGATTGTGTAATGGTTATTTGTAACGGAATGTGATGCATAGACGATAACTTGCATTTGCTTCTACATCCAGAGTATCTTGCTCAATTCGATATTGTTTTCCTTCCGTATGAAAACTTCAAAACCGATTACGATTACTATATTGCCAGACAGCCAACCTTGCGAAGAGAATTGAAAGTCATTCACTACAACTCCCCATTGTTCTGTATGGAATGGTGGCGTGTAGTTTTGGATGAAGTTCATCTCGTGGAGAATTCGATTAGTTTGCTTTATCGCTGTGCTTCTCTTCATTACGACAATATCTGGTGCATTTCTGGAACTCCGTTTAACAAAAACCTCTCAGAAATGCAGGAAGCCATGTTTTTGATGAAGATTCCGCAGTATAGCAACGTTTCTGTTTGGAAAGAGTGCATTCAAGTTCTCTCTTCTCTACTCCTTTGATATGTAGAAGCCGTTTTCTCTCAGAATCGATGGAGTGGCGGATTTGTTGTCCAACTTGATCTCTGAATACTATTGGCGAACCACTTTTAGAGATTTGGAACGGCTTTCGCCCGGTTTGATTCCTTCGCAGTCTCGAAGTATCAAGTTTGTGTTTTCAACGGGCGTTGAAGTTGGGAGATTGGCTATCGATATGAACGATAGAAAATGCACTACACGAACGTGAAGAATCGAATGATGAAGCAAATCAAGGAATACGTGAGCAAGATTCGAAAGCACTATGGAGACGATTTCTTAGAGTGCAAATTGAATCCGAAGGATTTGTATCACGTTTTGAACGATCTGAAGCCTCTCCGTCAGGCATGCAATCACTATCAAGTTCGCATTTTTCAAGCATTTTCACAGATAGATCGGCTCGAAAACTCTCTCTGGAATGAATTGCGAGATCCTTTCTCTCGAGCAAGTGAAGGAAAAGCTCGTGGAAAACCAAATACTGGACTGTCAGAATAGTCTGCGAAACTATGTAGCGTGCCACAACGCCATGGCGGGTCTGGGCATTCTGCAAGGAGACATCGAGGGTGCAGCTGCGTGCTACAAAGAGACTCTCGCGCAGTGCAAGAAGTACAACGAACTGAATCAGATCCACACGGATTTGGTGCAGTTGATTCATTGCAACTTCAATCTCTTGTGTTGTGAGGAAATGAGGCCAGGGTTGTTGGAGCCTTCTTTTCTGCAGGAGGTTCGGGAGTCTCTCAGGCAGGAGGAAGAGGAATTCCTCGAGAAACCAAAGAAGAACTTGGAGAAGGCGATTGCAAACTGCTTTTCAAACGATCTTCCGCAGAATCTCATTGAGGATTCATTTCGATTCATGCAGTCGGTTACGACGGAGTTGAATGATGGAATCGCTGTGGATGTGGGAAGTCGACTCCATTCATATGGAGATGAGAACGTTCTTTCTGTTTTTCAATTTGTCGACCGTTTGCAAGACTCGAATCCAAAGAACAAATCCATCATCGCTTTCAAGAAGTCTTTGCGAGTTGGGCCTTTTCATTCGCTTCATAATAGTCGAACCTTCATCTCAGCGTTCACAGCAAGAGACTCAAGCTGCAAAGCCTTTCAGGCTGTCTTCAGTTTTTGTTTCGATGGAAAAACGTTCTCACTTCGGTTCGTTCTTCGATTCTGCAAGAGCTTGTTACGTTTAACGAGACTCCTTCTCTTTCTCTTGTTCATTTTGTTGTCTCTTTTCATGTTTAGATTTCGCAGTGCTCGAGCTGTCCTCGCTGCATTTCGCTCCAAAGCTCAGAAAAGGGAGCCCAGTTCAGCGATATCCGATCGAACGCTCCGCTATGTGCTCATTGTGAGTTCGAAAAGCGGATTCAACTCTACGATTCGTTAATTTTCGATGTTTTGCCGAGCAGCAAGGCGAACTTGGATGATCTAAAGTCGAATAATCCAGAAGTGGTTTCCAGTTCGCTAACAAATGGGATCGCTCTTCAACTCATCCTTCAGTTCTTCACGATTTCGAAAGCTACATCGATCGAAAACGATGAATCACGCCGTTTGCTTTTTCTCTTTCCTCTCAAGTCTAGAATTGCTTCAGCGTTTTGTCACGCAGTTGCAGCGCGAGAATGTTGCGATTCATTCACTTTGGAAGACGCAGCACGCCTGTCTGATGAGTTACGAGGAATTGGTTCAGTGCCGCTCTCGCATTTCGGTCCGCAGTCCTTCGAGTTTCCCTCAACTTGGCCTTCAAACGACGGTTCGTGAAATCGAAGAAAGCGATATTCCGGTTCTTCTCTATGAGGAAACGGAATCGTGCAAAAAATACTCCGCAACTCTTTCGTATGATCCATTCTTTTCTCTCTTTTTTAACCCTCATAGAACGCAAATCAGTCAGCTTCTTTTCATTCGCAGTTCCACTTCTCTTCTCGTCGAGAAATCCGATCTGACTTGTATGATTTGCATGTCCGAAGTCACATTTCCCTGCTCGGTTCTTCCCTGTGGACATATGTATTGCACGGAGTGTCTGGAAGTGATGATCGATTCGTTTCGACGACGTTCCTCTAATTTGACATGTCCTCTCTGCCATCGAATCTTTTCGATAAACGAGGTTTTGGCTTGCAGTTTGTTCTCAGAGAGATAGGTGACGATTGGAGATGCGTCGGCGCATGGATTAGTAAATGAAAATCGCTGGGGAATGAAGATGGGCGCGTTGGTGGACTTGATTCGAACCATTCTGAAAACGGAGGGAAGCGATCGGAAGATTTTAGTGTACAGTCAATGGGAGGATAGTTTGGTGATTATAGGGAACGTTTTGAAGTAACGAATTGCGGATGGGTGAGAGATATAGAGCGTGTCAAATAAAGTATCTGATGATGAAGGAGAAGAATCGCTATGAATCGACAGAAGCGTTCAAAACAGACCCCACAGTTCCCGTGTTTTTGATGAGATTGCAGAAAGGGAATAATGGACTTGATATGTCGGTTGCTTCACACATTGTAATCTTCGAACCGATTTTGTCAGCGAGTTTGGGAGGGAAGGAGAGAATGATTGGTAGCAATGGAAGCGCAGGCAGTGGGGCGAGTCCAGCGAATTGGGCAGAAAACGCCGACAGTGGTTCATTACATTGTTGTGAAAGACAGCATCGAGAGCAAGATGTAGGAATCGTGTGGTGTAAGAGAATGTAGATATTCGCTGTTCGAGCATCGGAAACAGACAGAAGTGAGGCATTGCGGTTATGGGATATTGGAGCGAGAAACACTCACAGGACAAGAACTTATAGATTTGTGCAATGAATGGAATGTTTGTGAGTAAACACTTGATAAATTCTTTGTATACAAATCAGTAAACGTATGCTGGTTCGAAACAAGGATCTTCAATCGGGCGATCGATCCACTCGTGAACGAAGGAAGATCTTTCAGATTCGGGATCGTTAATTCTCTAATATGTCTCAGCAGATTCGTAAACTTCGTCTCTTCTTTCTGCAGTAAGAATCCGCAGGTTTCTAAGAACGCTTCGATGTTCTGCGGAGCTTCTAAAAATTGTTCACAATCTGCCAATTGAATGAATAACAGAATCCACTTCCAAGCGAACTCAATGGGGAACAGGCGGGGATTGAACAAAAAGAGGCCTGCAAACAACCGAATCATCATTGAATGCTGCATCATAGCGGGTTCAAACTTCTCCGCAGAGAGTGAATCCAGGTTGGAAGCTTCCAAACGAATTAATGGACACTCCTTATACAGCTGTCCCATAATCATGTTGACAAAGAGAGAATCGAGCGATGCAAGCTCAGCGAGTAGGAAACTGAACGACATGCAAACGGTGGCTTCGCTGGCATCTTTTCCTTTCATGATGAGCCGTTTGGCCACATAATTCTTCATCACGAGCTCCACATCTTGATTGTGATAGCTCTGAATGCGATGAATGAGTTGCTGTGCGCATGTCTGAATCACGTTCCGATTGAACGCGACTCGATTGAGAATGCCCTGCAATTGCCACGATTCTTCCTTTAGAATTCGATGCGTTTCGTGTTCTGTATGGCCATTTTCGAGAATGGAATCTAATTCAGTGGCCATGTTAACGAGATCGGAAGGAAGGAGTGAGTAGGATTCAAAGAAGGTGTGGATTTGGGTTTTAAGTTTGTTTTTATCGATCAAATTGTTGGAAGGTGTGGAAGAATGAGTGAAATGATTCATTTGATCGCGTGGATTCGTTTCAAAAGAAGGAATCGAGGTTCTCGACCCATCAACAACATCATCACTATCCAAACTATCATCATTGGAATCAATTTCAGCACTTCTTTCTTTCTGAATCCTTTCGTTGGATCCAAAACTATTGATTTCATCCAATTTTGGTTTCTCCAATTGTAGTTTCTCCATTTCGATTTCTATTTCTCTCTCTTCCTTTTCCCTTTCCTTTTCTTTTTCCTCTTTTTCTTTCTCTTTTTCTTTCTCTTTTTCTTTTTTCTCTTCCTTTTTCTCTTCCTCTTCCTTTTCCCTTTCTTTTTCCTTTTCCTCTTTCTCTCTTTCCCTCTCTTCTTGTCTTTTTCTGCGTCTCTCTTCTCTCTCCTTCTCTCGGGTTCTCCGTTTCTCCTCCTTTCTCTTCTCCCTCATCGTGTCCTCCGTCTTCTTCACAAACTGCTCCAGCGTTTCTTCTTTCGTCTCCGCCATTTCCTCCGCAAATCTCTCCATTTCTTTCTTTCGCTCGGGAAGGGGCAGCTGGCTGCTCTCCCAGCGCGATCGGATCGCAGCCAAGTATTCAAACTCCACTTTCACCACGTCGCCGCACAGTTTTGAAAGCGTGTCGAGACCGGATTGCAGAGGCTCTGGACACACTTCCACAGGAGGACTAGACTTCACAAATTTTGAAAAAAAAAGTACATAGAGGGAGGTTCGATTTTGGAAGTGAAAGATTGAACGAGTTTTTGGTATGATTCTTGATGCTTGATGTAATCCTTGGCAGTCGACTCCAACAATTCGCGGTACTTTGTCGACTTCGAGGTGATAGCGTCTACAGAAACTTGACCAGCTTGAAAGTGGTTGATGACTGTAGGATTAAAGTAGGTGTCGGCATATAGATCACTTCGGATTTCTTGGATACTGTCGAGGCGTGATAAGGCATACGAATTGTATAATCGCCTCTTTTCGTCAGCTTTCCTTTCCTTCTCTTCTTCTATCATCTGGTTGTATTCAGACACATTGATACTATAACTTGATCGTCTTTTCGACGAATGGGAGTCATGTGTCAAATCCTTGGGATAGCCAGCTACTCCTCAATACCATAATGATTATATACAAATTCTACGGCGATCTTCAGAATGATGGGTCTCAGGCTGTAGAGAAAAACGAGTTCGCGAGGTCTAGCTCGTAACACCCATCGAACGCGCTGTACTTTACTCATGATTCAGTACGAACCGATGATGCAAATCTCTCCCCAAAAATAGGAAAAAAGAATAATAATCAACATACATTTCCAACAAACAAAACAACCCTATAGATCGCTTGGCGAAATCACATCGTCAATCTTCAGCACCATTCTGCACAACTGGGTAGCCAACTGGAACTGCTGCTGCTTGGAGATCAACGTCTCGATGACATGCGCCTCCTTCATATCATTGCTCCCATTTCCCATGCAGTCCACGCCCAGCCACGGCTTTCCCTGCTCCCTCTGACACTTCTTCAGGTAGGACACAATCTCCATGGAGGGCAGTCCGCTGTTCTCCGCGAGAGCGACCGCAATGTCGTCCAGCGCATCGCAGAACGCTCGGTACGCGTACTGCTCCATCCCTCCCACCGTCGCCGCGAACTCCTCGATCGCAATGGAGCACGCCAGCTCCGCCGAGCCGCCTCCATACACGATTTTGTTGTCCTTGATCAGATTGCGAGTCACGCAAATCGCGTCCCACAACGATCGCTTCACCTCCTGCACCATCATGTCGTTCCCTGCGCGGATCAACACCGTCACCGTCTTGCTGTTCTTGCACTCCTCCACCACCAGCAGCGACTCCTTCGTCGTCCCGACCGGCTCTTCCCGGACGCACCCGGCAAAGCCCAGCTTGTCCGGCGATAATTCCTCGAAGCGAGGCACGATCTTGGCGCCCGTCGCGATCGCCAGCGCCTCCATTTCGAGCCCGCCGACCCAGCGCACGGCGTGGATTCCGTTCTGGTAGAGCAGCGAATTGGCCTCGTCGTCGAAGCCTGCGCGTGAGCCCATCCAGCCAAGAAGAAAGAAGCCTACCCCACTGGCAGATGGCGAGATTGGCGCCGCTGTCCTTGATCAGCTTCACCATGTTGCGGAAATAGTTCTGCTCCTGCTCGTACAGATCCATCAAGTCCTATCCATCACGCCAAACCCCGATCAGACCACCTTGCCCGATTTGATCTCCACTTCGTGCTTCGTTTTCGGCTTCGGCGGCTCGAACGGACACGTCAGCAGGCAGATCTTCGCGTTCTTGAGCTCTTTCGGCATCTGCGGGTGCGAGAATCCCTTGTCCAGAACCAGCCCGTTAATCAGACACGTGTCCTCCAGCTTGCCGCCCGTTTTCGTCTGCACTCGACGAGACACAAGTCAACGTACGGTCAGTTTGATGAGGTCGAAGCGGACGTCGCGACGGGGCAGATCGGCGACCGAGAGCACGGCGCGCACGGCGATCTCGGCCATCTGCCGCTTGAATCTGAGGGTCAGAGAGGGCGAGAGAAGGGACTTATTCACGATTTTGGAGGAGAGAGTGGTCAAGGCCACTTCCACCAAGGGCTCGATGTTCGTCTCCGTGAAGTCGATCGTCGTCGCGATCTTGCTCAGATGCTCCACGGCGATTTTGCAGGCCTGCTCGTACCCGTCCGCGATCTTGACCGGGTGAATGCCCTTGTCGAGAAGCTCTTGAGCCTACATCGAACAGCCGCTCGAGGCAAACCTTTTCCAGCATGGCTCCGGCGAGGACCACCACGCCCGTGGTTCCGTCGCCCACTTCGTCGTCTTGAGATTGGGAAAGTTCGACCATCAGCTTGGCCACTTGGTGCTCCACTTGCATGTTCTTCATAATGGTCGCTCCATCGTTTGTGATCGTTACTTCTCCGTCTTGGCTCACCAGCATCTTATCCATACCTACAGAGTGAGTTTGTCCAATAGGAGTACACCCTTGGGTCCGAGAGAGGTTCTTAAAATAGAGCACAGAGTTCGAGCAGCCAGAATATTCGCCTACGCAAATCAGAAGAAGGATCAACAAGAAGTTACACGAATTGCCTCCAAGCCCTTGACACGCTGTTTCTTTTCCTGCTCACGAATAATAATGTAAGGATTTCCAAACTCGTCAAATGTGAGACTCATTTCTATTTATCACCTTCTCTTTGGCACTCTATACCTTTCCACTAATAGTAAACTATAAAATAAGGAGTCAATGAGTTAAATATAATGGCCGATAATTGGCGTTAAGTTGTTCTTGATAATCATTCGATCAATCAAAGTGTATAGCAATGAAACAATATGAAATAGTTGACAGGCAGACGCGTCTCCGCTCATCCAAACCGTCGCAGAAGAGAAATAAAAAATGAACGAATTTTACTGGAACACGTAGATACACAATGGAAAATAGTACTTACGCCTTTTCATTTCCATCTAATCAAATATAACAACTTTCGATTGTGTCCCATAGTTCGGAGTCAGTTTTCTTTTATATTAATATTTCAGGAGCTCTTTATAGTAATTAGCGTTTCTATATGTCGTGGTTTTGGAAACGACGACCTCTCTCCGAAAGCCTAGATTGGAAACGAGCAGAAGACCAAATATTGAGTATATTTTGTTTACCACCACTATTGCTTAGTCGTTGGAACTGTCACAAAGTCTCCAACAAACAAGGACGCTCATGAAAACAATGTCGATGACTTAGCCAAGTTTCTGAAGGAGCAGTATAAGGACGAATTTTTAATTTTCGACTTAACGTTTGTATTCGTTTCATTTCTGATTCTTAGTTCTCTCTTAGGAGAAATGGCTCAATTCTATGGTCATACGGTTCGATTCACATTGAGCAACATTTCTCTTGACTCCGTTTTCCGTATCCTCTATGCTATCGACTATTGGAACAATAACCCTAAACACTGTGGTATGAATTATTGAAAATTGCGACACCCTAGTTGTATTACACGATGAAAAATATTCATTCATGTCTGAGTTGATCATGACTTGTTACCATCTTCGTAGAGCTATCGATCAGGGACAAGCCTCTGCCTTTGAAATTCTAGAATACTACATTTCAATGCGATACACAGCTGGAGACTTGGATCACATTCCTACTCTTTTGACCCGGTTTGTGAATGAATTCCAAATTAGTCTTTCTGTCGACAGCTCGGCGGAGTACAAAGGTCCCTACTTACTCACCCAAGTGGCCTGCAACTATTTCTACAAGTCAAATGGCGAAGAATTTGATGTTTGTCTTTAGAGCACCAATTCATCTCTAGAATCCCCCGATTCTTGAAGTTTACAAGAGTCAGAATCTGATCTATTCGTCGATAGGAAACGAATCGAACATTATTTGGGACGATGAGCCAGGCTACTTTCTTATCCGGTTGAATCAAGAGATCTTTGGAGATATGACCTTTGCGTGTTATGAGCAGCTGGATGATGGCAAACGGCGGCTTTTGTGGAAATATTGGGTGCATACCGCGTTTTTACCGAAGTCAAACGATTCGGAAGCGACGGATCAAGAATCTGTTGGGATAAGGAATGGGTTTCATGTGTAGTGTATTTGTACAGTGTATAATAACAAAATTGATATCGTGAATAACTCTATGGTGAATGCCTTGTGTCTTAGTTATGGAATGAAGCGATGCACGACTCACATCACACAGTTCCAAGACGTTTCTTTCTTTCTTAAGAACGTGGACGCACGAATTCAAGGTTTAGTGGATATTGTGAAGCACCACGGAGTGATCGTGAATGGAAATAGCTTCAAGGCGTTGCGATCAGCCAGCCGAGACGAGAATATCGTGAAGCTGTCATTACAGCTGTCGATTAACGATCCGAAGAAAGCCACAAAAATGTTGAATGACGGCGTTTTGGATCCTTTGAAGGTGTATGTGTACTCCCGCAGTATTTATTTTATTCATGTTTTATGAACTGTAGAGCCTACGATTGATAGTAGTCCGAAGGCTGTAATGCCTATAGAGGAAAATAGCCGTCTGGTGTCTCCTCGCCAGGAAGTACGCAATCCGCCCAGTTCGATTCTGTCAATCAACATTAACAATTTGGATGAGAATGACTTGGAGAATATTGACGTGGACACTTTGGTAAACATCAAGGGATTGGATACGACTACATCTCTGAAGGATCTTCCGTTGGACAGCGTGAAGGATATCGATATCGGTTTGGAAGATTTTAGCTCGATCAACTCGAAGGACATTTGCGCGATCTGTCACCAACACAAGCCAAACGAGGTCGATCAGTTAATAAAATGCACGCACTGCGGGAACAAATACCATACAACTTGCTTGAAGTTGCCGCCCATTCCATACTCCGTTCTGATTCCACTCGAAAAGAGAAAGCATGACAACTATGTTAAAGACAATTATGGCAAATGGTTGTGTTCAAACTGCAAGAAAAAGGAACCTTCGACCTCTGGCATGCAATCTCCCAGTATCCAGTCTCCTGCTACTTCTCCCAAGAGGCCACATATCGGTATCAGTCCGATTCCTTTCTTCAGACCTTCAGGAAAGACTACGACACCACTTACTCCCAGTTCACCAAAGCTCACACCCTCTTTGCCGGCGTTGGTGCCATCTCCAAACAGTCAACTTTCTCCTTCGCCTATTTCTTCACCTCGTCCTGTTCAACCTGTTATAAAGAAGGCAGCAGGGGCGGATCTTTCCAATGGTGGAGTGATCGTTGGCACGCAAGATTATTTGTGGCTACAAAAGCAAATGAAGATAGGAAAAGTTCCAGAAATTCCTTCTGTCCCGATTCCTAAGCTAGAGACACAGTTGGTACCTATTTATACAGACAGCGAGGCATCATCAGAGGATGAAGCGGCATCTACAACAGCATCTACAACAGCATCTACAACAGCATCTACAACAGCATCTACAACAGCGCCAAAGCAGACAAAAAAGAAGCACATCAAGACCGAAAAACTGAGATCATTTTTGCAAAGCTTATTGGTAATGCCGAATGATACTACAGATTTTGATGAATTCATCGTGAAAGTAACAGATTTAGTGAAACAGAATAGCCATCCATCCGATTTGGATCTCGTATACGCAGTTCCTGTGTTTTTGTTGAGATCTATGTTACAAACCGCGGCTATCTCTCCATCATCGATTCCGATGAGTGGAATTTCGAAGATTGATGGAAAGGAAGTGACTCGAATAGCAGATCATCCTAAATTAAAGCCTTATTTTGACCGTTTACAGAAAAGTGAGAAGGTAGAAGATATTAAAAAAGATATGACTGGGGCTGGAATTGATGATTCCCTGCTTGATAAAGATCCCAATACAGTCGTTCTGTTAGACAATTACAATGTATCCTATGTGCAATTCGAGAAAACTTCTGTCTCTAAACCGCAGGAAGATGAGGTGAGCACGAGTGTAATTCGTCTGAAAGCTACGGATCACCCGCTCTTTAGGAAGTATTTCAATATGCTAAAGCGAAATATTCCTAGAACAGATGTGGAGAAAAACATGATTAGTTGTGGACTAGATCCATCTGTTTTGAATAAGCCGAATGAATTAGTGGAGTATGTGCCCCCTCCTCCTCTTCCTACGCAAGAGTCTACAGATAAGGTGATTTCTAAGCCTGAAATAGAACCTATAAAGTCTGTGGAGCCAAAGAAAGTATCTACAAAGAAGATAGTGAAGTTATGCGAACATCCTGTATATTCTAAATACTTCAACATGTTGAAAAAGGGAGTTCCCGAGGTAGCTGTTCGTCACTCGATGATGCGAGACAAGGTTGATAGTTCTATACTGGATCGCGATCCTAATGAAGAAATTGAGATCGAAATCGAAATTGAAGTAGAAGAAGGAGCAACAGCAGCAACACCATCAAAGAAGAAAGTAAAGTTATGTGAACATCCTGTATATTCTAAATACTTTAACATGTTGAAAAAGGGAGTTCCCGAGGTAGCTGTTCGTCACTCGATGATGCGAGACAAGGTCGATAGTTCTATATTAGACAGAGATCCTAATGAAGAAATCGAAATTGAAGTAGAAGAAGGAGCAACAACAACACCATCAAAGAAGAAAGTAAAGTTATGCGAACATCCTGTATATTCTAAATACTTCAACATGTTGAAAAAGGGAGTTCCCGAGGTAGCTGTTCGCCACTCGATGATGCGAGACAAGGTTGATAGTTCTATTCTGGATCGAGATCCTAATGAAGAAATTGAACTCGAAACCGAAGAAGAAGGAGCAACAACAACACCATCAAAGAATGAAGAAGAAGGAGTAACAACAACACCATCAAAGAAGATAGTGAAGTTATGTGAACATCCTGTATATTCTAAATACTTTAACATGTTGAAAAAGGGAGTTCCCGAAGTAGCTGTTCGTCATTCAATGATGCGAGACAAAGTTGACAGCTCTATTCTGGATCGTGATCCTAATGAAGAAATTGAACTCGAAACCGAAGAAGAAGGAACAACAGCAACACCATCAAAGAAGAAAGTAAAGTTATGCGAACATCCTGTATATTCTAAATACTTCAACATGCTGAAAAAGGGAGTTCCCGAGGTAGCTGTTCGTCATTCAATGATGCGAGATAAAGTTGATAGTTCTATTCTGGACAGAGATCCTAATGAAGAAATCGAAATTGAAGAAGAAGGAGCAACACCATCAAAGAAGAAAGTAAAACTATGCGAACATCCTGTATATTCTAAATACTTCAACATGTTAAAGAAAGGATTACCTGAAACAGCTGTTCGTCACTCAATGATGCGAGACAAAGTCGATAGTTCTATATTAGACAGAGATCCTAATGAAGAAATCGAAATTGAAGTAGAAGAAGGAGCAACAACAACACCAACAAAGAAGAAAGTAAAGTTATGCGAACATCCTGTATATTCTAAATACTTCAACATGTTAAAGAAAGGATTACCTGAAACAGCTGTTCGTCATTCGATGATGCGAGATAAGGTTGACAGCTCTATATTGGATCGCGATCCTAATGAAGAAATCGAAATTGAAGAAGAAGGAGCAACAACAACACCATCAAAGAAGAAAGTGAAGTTATGCGAACATCCTGTATATTCTAAATACTTCAACATGTTAAAGAAAGGATTACCTGAAACAGCTGTTCGTCATTCAATGATGCGAGATAAGGTTGACAGCTCTATTCTGGACAGAGATCCTAATGAAGAAATCGAAATTGAAGAAGAAGGAGCAGCGCCATCAAAGAAGAAAGTGAAACTGTGCGAACATCCTGTATATTCTAAATACTTCAACATGTTGAAAAAGGGATTACCTGAAACAGCTGTTCGTCATTCAATGATGCGAGACAAAGTCGATAGTTCTATATTGGATCGAGATCCTAATGAAGAAATTGAACTCGAAACCGAAGAAGAAGGAGTAACTACAACACCATCAAAGAAAGAAACTAAGATGATCAAATGTATTGATCATCCAAAATATGGAAAGTACTTTAAAATGCTTTATGATGGTATTCCTCAACGATTTGTTGAGGAAAAAATGAAGGAAGACAATGTTGATATATCGATTTTGGAAAATAATGCTACGACTATGATTGAAGTAGATGTTAAAGATATTCAGGAAAAGCCACAAGTTACGTTGAAAAAACGAAAAGTGAAATTGTGCGAACATCCTGTATATTCTAAATACTTCAATATGTTGAAGAAAGGATTGCCTGAAGTTTCCGTCCGCCATTCGATGATGCGGGATGGAGTAGACACAACTTTTATAACGCATGATCCTAATGAAGAAATCGAAATTGAAGAAGAAGATGAAACAGCAGCAACACCATCAAAGAAGAAAGTAAAACTGTGCGAACATCCTGTATATTCTAAATACTTCAACATGTTGAAAAAGGGATTGCCTGAAACAGCTGTTCGTCATTCAATGATGCGAGATAAGGTTGATAGTTCTATTCTGGATCGAGATCCTAATGAAGAAATCGAAATTGAAGTAGAAGATGAAACAGCAGCAACACCATCAAAGAAGAAAGTGAAGTTATGCGAACATCCTGTATATTCTAAATACTTCAACATGTTAAAGAAAGGATTACCTGAAACAGCTGTTCGTCATTCGATGATGCGAGATAAGGTTGACAGCTCTATATTGGATCGCGATCCTAATGAAGAAATCGAAATTGAAGAAGAAGGAGCAACAACAACACCATCAAAGAAGAAAGTGAAGTTATGCGAACATCCTGTATATTCTAAATACTTCAACATGTTAAAGAAAGGATTACCTGAAACAGCTGTTCGTCATTCAATGATGCGAGATAAAGTCGATAGTTCTATATTGGATCGAGATCCTAATGAAGAAATCGAAATTGAAGAAGAAGGAGCGGCACCACCACCACCACCATCAAAGAATGAAGAAGAAGAAAAGCCTCGAAATGACGAAATCAAAGTTACTCCTAGAACACACAAAGTGGCTTTGAAGGAAGCTCCAGAATACAAACAGTTCTTTGTTATGCGTGAGCGTGGCGTTCCTATTGTCCAAATCAAGCGATTCATGAAGAAAAACAATCTAGATCCATCGATAATCGATAGAGATCCACAGTCGCTCATTGAAGTGGAAGTAGATTTCATTTAGTCTTTACTCAATCTAGGTGTCCTCAGCTCCTCTTTACGATCATCCAGTTTATGCCAAATACTTCGCCATGCTGAAAGGAGGCCATTCGAAGAAGGAGATTGAGATGATTATGAAAGGAGATGGAGAGAATGCTAATGTAATTCTGCTGTGTTTGGTGTAAAGTATAGGTTCTCAACTATGATCCGAAAACGGATTGGCCTGTCGAGACGAAAAAGAAACAAAACCAAAGACGCAAAACAACGCGAAAGAAGATTCACTGGCACCCAGTCAAGCTTTCTGAGGAGGATGTATACCATGTCTTTATAGATTCATTTGTAGTTGAAGAAGAGTTACTGGAACTCACTGGAGACACTCACATTCCTTCAAGAAGATGATGCTCTCATGACTGAGTTCGAAAATATCTTTGTCAACAATCCAGATGAAAATAAGCCTGTGGAGGCTAAGCCGGTCGTCGAGAAGAAGCCTCGATTTGTTAGTCTCTTGGTTAATTTCATTATAATAGGCGACCTTCCTGGACGGAAAGCGTTCTACAAACGTTGGCATTTCAATCTCCAAAATCAAGGTTGAACCTTCAGTTTTGCGTCGTTCTCTTCTATTACTAGAGCCGGAACTCGCGGATATCTCTCTCTCCACTCTTGAGTCGCTTAATGTTGCTCTTCCCACGCCAGAAGATCTCAAAGCTTCTTCTGCTTATACTGGAGATCCCGAGAAACTGGCTCCATCCGACCGTTTTATTTACGAAATGGCGAAACTCCCTCGCTGTCGAAACAAGCTGGATTGTTTGTCTCTGAAAATGACGATTACGTCAAGTATTGAAGACATCAAGCAGCGTGTCGGATTTATCACCCAGGCTTGTTCTGAGTTGCGTACAAGTCAGCGATTCCGCACACTGATTGAGTGTGTGCTGATGATTGGTAATACTCTAAACGTGCAGAACGAAGAAGCCTCTCGTATGGTGATTGTTCAGGCGTTCCAACTGGACTCGTTGCTGAACCTAACGAATACCAAGGGATTCGATAAGAAAACATCGTTATTCATGTATCTGGAGAAGCTTTTGGTGCTAAAACATCCCGATGTGTTCGATGTACAGATGGAGTTGAAGAGCTTGCCACAGGCAGCTCGCGAAAGCTTCGAAAGCATTCAAAAGGATCAGGATACGCTGAGCAGACAGCTGGAGTCGGTGGCAAGTGAGCTGAAGAGTATAGAAAACGAAGTGTCGTCTGCAGAAGGTGAAGCAAAGCAAGAGCTGGAAGAGGCTGCGAAACGATTGGGAGATTTCGCTTCAACGGCGCAAGTTCAGATCGTGGATTTGCGGAACGAAGTGGACAATGTGAAGGAGACGTATATGGATTTCTTGCAGTATTTCTGCCAGGACACGACGCTCAAGTCCGACGAGTTTTTCGCATCATTAAACGGATTTTTCGACGAGTTGCAATCGTTACACGCAAAGATGACAGAGCAGAGAGAGCGTATGCAGCGAAAGAAGGAGAAGGAAAAACAGAAAGAGCTGTTATCGAAGAAGCAAAGTACTGCGACCAGTCCAGTTTCAAGTAAATCAGAATCATCTTCCAGTAGTGTGTAACATGTTTGTCTCAAACAATCTCAACTATCCCCCATGATTCCTCTCTTCCTCCATCTCTCGGATCTCGTCCACATGAGGAGAGTGCATGAGGACCAATTCATCTAACGAATATGGAGTGAAAATGTCCTCCAACGAGTTGGACATTAAAATTCGCGGATTGACGCGACGCTTCTGATAGACGTACACAGACATCACAATGAACATTATAACCAGCTCCACTAGAATCAACACACCGCCAACAATGATTAAAATCTTCCCAGAACGCGTTTGCTGCAGCTTCGAGGTTCCGAAACATCCCGCATCGATGCCTAAAAAGAGCTTGTCGTCGCTGCACCCCTTCGTTTCTTGGCTCGCAGAAATCATCGGGTCAAACACGTTCACTACTGAAACGGGAATTTCCGAGACTGAGGAATTCTTTGAGTAAATCGCAGGCGACCAAAACTCTGAAAAATAACAGCCTGCGTGATAAGGATCGATTCGTCTAGCTCAAATCAAGGCTTAAAAAAGTACTCAGAACGATCAATAACCGCAGAATCCTCGGTTAGCGCAACACGGTAGCAGATGCTGGTGAGAAAGAAGGTGATCACACATTCTCCGCTCATGTAGTCCCAGACTCCGTTACGTTTGCTGCAGTAATCCACACAGGTGTTGACATCCCAACAATCCAACACCCTCTGGTTCAAACGTTTGGTGGATGAGAGTGGGATTGACTCTGATAGAATTGAAGTGTGATTGACTGTGTAGAGAGTGACATTTAGGACATTTGCAGAAATAGATATGTTTGTTGTATAATAAGTAGATGCACTAAATACACAACCTTCTTCAGGATCACCAGCTTTTGTGCAGGAATCCGCCACAGGATAATATGTTGTGTTTGGTGTTTCATATAAACGTAGAGGAACTTCATTTACGGTAAATTCCATAGCTTTCCACTGTGGGAGTATATCGAAATAGTGATCTAGCCTTTCATTATACCTATAGTGAAGAGTAGACAAAAATGGATACGATATAATGGAATTAATTCGTGCATTTCCAGTACACACAATTACAATTCCAAGAATGCATACTACGATTGGAGCCACAAACATTAGGGAAATAGACAACGCATATTTGTTTATTAGCTTGAGATATGCCACTTTGCGATATGGAGCTGTCATTATGATATTATACAACGAAAAACTCTAACTTCAGGGGTTTCTTGATTTAAACAACCGCGGTTATTATGAACAATACAGAACACTGAAGAATCGTTTTCTGGAGATAGAATACTCTAGGGTTCATATAAAAATGGTCAGTAATGTGTTTCGGTAAGTAAATCAGAGCTATCGTTTGAAGGGGAGTAGGGTCTTTTCCTATGGCGTGTATGGAACAAATGGGTTCTAACAGTACCCACAGATAACTAATCATAAGTAAGCTCATAAAATGAAAAGAAAAGCAGCAAATCTAGGAAATAGAATTCATAAGTAACGTCAATTTAATATGATATATCGCTTATTTTGCCTAAAACTTGATTGCTCGTTTGCCTTTAAAAAATGGGGTGGTTACGACTTAGATACTTCCAATTACGGCGATTACTACAGTTTACAGCCTCAATGTTCAGTCTTTCTTCCTATCTTCACCATAGTTGCTGGAGAGTGTGCATTATGCATATACTTTAAAGTCCCAAAGACTTAGCTATTATCACTGATTTCCAAAAATCTGACATATTTCTTCCATTTTTCACTTCTTGTCAATTCTTATAAACTCAATGGATCACTCTTATTCATTCTCTTTAACCACATTCAGTTCTTCCGGAAAGCTTCTTCAAATCGAGTATGCACTTAACGCAGTCAATAAGGGGAAAATGTCCGTAGGCGTAACGGGTAATGATATGGAGATGCGTTTAAGCTTAGCTACGAACGGTGTAGTGATTGCCACAGAAAGAAAGGTTCCTACCATTCTTATTGAAGAATCTTCGATCCAAAAGATTCTTCCTCTTTCAGAAAATATTGGTTTGCGTGCTTTGCCCCCATTGACATGTAGGTGTAGTCTACTCTGGAATGGGACCCGACTTCCGTATTATCGCTAAAAAGGCACAGAAGAAGGCTAGTACATACTATGCTACATTTCACGTACTGAAGCACATTTAATTATTTAGAAATAGGAACAAATACCCTGTACGATTCTTGTTCAGGAAATCGCATCGATCATGCAAGAATACACACAGTCCGGTGGTGTCCGTCCGTTCGGAATCTCTCTGCTTGTAATTGGATACGACGAAGATAAACCACGCCTCTACCAGGTGGATCCCTCGGGCGCGTACTTCTCTTGGTATGCCACCGCGATTGGAAAGAACTACATAAGCGGAAAATCGTTTTTGGAGAAGGTTGGTGCGACATTTCGTGGTGATGATTAGCGATGGAGCGAAGACATGGAGCTGGAGGACGCTGTTCACACAGCGATGTTAGCGTTGAAAGAGAACTTCGAAGGCGAGGTGAGAGCGCGTATTGTTGGTAATGATGGGTAGATGAACGAGAACAATATCCAAGTGGCGTACGTGTCGGAAGAAACGGGTCGCAAAATCCACATTTTGACGCCCGAAGAGATAAAGGATTATTTGGAGGAGATGGAATGGAGTGTTTGTTGAAGGAAACAATGCAAAAGAGGAACAAACCCGCTCCGAGAAGTCTTCGCGAGTCTCGGAAATAAACTTTCAGGAAGATGTAGGCGAGGATTAAAAAGAAGAGAACGACACAGAGCTCCAGGACGCTGCGAGTTTAAAACGAAGGTTAATGGATTGTACTTGGACATGTTGACGTCAGGCTCGTAGGATCCAGTGCAGGTGGCGGAGATTCGACCGCTTTCAGAGACGGTGAGCGCGACGCCGACCTAGAAATGAAATCATGGAATGGATCGAGAACGGAGTGAGGATCTTCGATGTTGAGATTGTTGAGCTTGAAGCAGAAACTACCAAGTTTCTATGATGAAAAGAGTGGAAACGCGTGGATACTTTCATTTCATTGGGCGAGTTTTCTTCTTCTTTGACTTTTGTTTCTGTTTTCTCCAATTCTTCTTCTTGTTCTTGTTCTTGTTCTTTTTCGATTCGCGATTTCTTTCGATATACATTAATCAATAATTCCTTCTGATTCTCCTCATTCAACGCCACTTCCACGCTTCGTCGACACGGAATCGTCGCTCCCTTCGGAATTACTACTTTGTACCCCATTTCGGTTTCGATGCAGAGATCGTACGGCAGCAAATCAATGAAAAGCAAGGAGCGAATTTCGTCCTCCGTCACTCCCATCCAACTCGCACACTACAATTCAACGATTTCTGCGTGTTTTCCACTTGAATGGCTGCGCCGCTCACTGCGACCGATTCGTTCATATTGTTTTTTGGATTGTAAATGCTCAGCAGATCCGGGAAGTACTGTGGATTCATCCAATTCATCGAACGAAATACAGTGTTCGGGAACAATTTCTGCAAGTACTCGTACACGAGATTGCAATTCGCGACGCCTCCAGAGACCAAAACATCATCAAACTCTTTTAGCGCGATGAAATGGTCATGGAGCCACGTTTGGAAGTGTGAATCAAACGCTTCGATTTGCTGCTCTACGATTTTCTTAAACGCCTGCGGCGAAACGACGACGGAGACGTTCGTTCTGTCGATGTTCATTTGCTTATCGATCGATCGGAGCTGGAACAATCGCTTCGTTTTGTTCATTGCATCGTAAATGTTCAGCGCGACGCGATTTCGATGCGCGTAGTTCGACTCGATTCGATCTCGAATGCTTTTTGGCTATCAATCAGAGAACGAGGATTCGTTCACATAGCGGCTATGAATCGATTTCGCGAGCGAAGAAGCGATCGAACTGCCGCTTAATTCGGAAAACTCCGCCTCGTGAAGGACGCGGAATTCATTGGCGTGTTCCACGATGGAAAGGCGAACCGAGTCCCATCCGAAGTCAAACAGAATGAGCTTTTTCGTAACGTGGTTATCAAAGAATCCGTAAGAAAGACAGAGACTTGTCGTCGTTTCGATCAGCTCGATTTGGATCGAAAGACGCTGCGAAACGACGGAGAAGAAAGAACGCAACGCGTCGGTGATCTCTGGAACTACGAGGAACATGACAGAGATCGATTTGTGGAGATGCGACTCGGATTGAGTCTGGAAATCACAACTTGGATGAAAACTCACTTTGACTGCTCCTAGAAAATCGCAGAATACATCGTGCAGGGAGAGCTTTATGCTTTCGTTATTTACAATGATATGCCACTAACGGTAAACGGTTTGCACGATTCTACTCTCAAAGATTCTTCCGCATTGCTAATGACTTCACAGGCGGTTAGGGAGGAGTAGGTTGCAATCAATTCATCCGTTATCGGATGTTTCAGAAAGACAGGGAAATAACGAATCACTTGCTTGGGAGAAATGAGCAATCTCTCAATTGCCTCTACGCCAATCGCATAGCTATATCGTCCCTAGGTCGAACGCACTCGTTCATGTCTTACAGAGTATGCAATTGCTGTAGGAATTGAATTCGATTCTGATAATGGCAGCAAACTCGAGCACCCATCTTCCGGATTCCAATAAGCAACTTTGGTAAATTCACTTCCCACATCCACTGCAATGACTGCACTGTTTTCTGAATCGATTGTTTGCTCAGGCAGCCGGTATTTCTCCACTTTTAAATAGCTCCCGCTCATTCAGGCAATGTATTTGAAACAAAAAGTGTTAGTGCATCCTTATTCTGTCAAGTAATTACTCAACTTCAGGGATAAGTCCAATGAATCGCTATACGCAACAATCATTTGAATAGTTGGATTGGCTTTTCCCTTGATTGCTTCCAGTGATGATTTATACGCCTATTTGTAAAGTACTGGATCAATCTAGACTTCTGTAGCATTCTTAAGCATTTGTGCTTGTTCATACTCCGAGATCTCTCCTGCTGCTTTCATTTTATATTCCAGCGTGTTCACTAGCAGAGTATTGCATTCGTCATTGTCCGTAAGACTGGAAGTGAGCTCGGTAGCCTTCTTTGTAAAGTCGTTGGTTTTTTCATGGATTTCAAAGCAGGAAGCAAGGTCGCCGGAGCTTGTCAATTCTGCGATCTTTTCCTGATTCGTCTTTAGGTTTTTCGCTAGTTCCTTCAATTCTGCAGCTTGCTTTCGAAAATTGCAAAGTCTAGTGACTATTCACATACATTTACACACCTAATTTCCAGGATTCTGTTTTCTTCCACAGTTCCCATAACGACAAATCGATCTTCATAATTTACACACGGAAATTGTAAAGGATCCGATGGTACATACGAGGCATTGTTGTGGGAATAAAGAGGAGGAGGAGGAATGTTTCTGCGGAATTGCTGCCCTGCGATTTCCAGTACTTCTATAACGTTTCCCTTGTCTCTTCCAATTCGAAACCCATTTTCTGCAGAGAACGCATACCCATCAAGGCAATGACCGACTTGCTTTTCCTACATGTTACCTGTTTGGAAACGTGTTACAAAGTCGGATGGTTTCGGCACGATGGAGTGTAAAGAATTCATTCGGTAACCACATCAAGTCGGCGAAGATGACAAGTTGTCAATGAATCATCCAAAAATGTGTATCTCCCTAATTTTCTTTTTTGTAACATCATCACGTTATACACATCATCACACTCCATTTTCAACAAACACTCCAACCAAAAGTTGTATAGTAATAATCAAAGTATTGGTGGTGATAGCAGTAGTAGTAGTAGTAGTATAATACTCAAATTAAAATAATGATTGTCTTTCGAGGTAATTCATGAAAACGTTCATTCTTCATTTCTTTGTTGGCACTCTTTAAGAACTATCAATACATTCTTCATTTGTTGTATCCTTCATAAAGCGATCGAGCGAGCGTTTTAAACCCAATAATATTATCAAATTCGGGGAAGAAGTAGCTACAATTATCGAACAGACTGTGGAACAACACCGAGAGCGAATCATGCAGTCGTTTCTTTTCTTCTTTGGACATTCCCGTCTTCTCTTTTCCCTTCCCTTTTCCTTTTCCTTTCTCCTTTCCTTTTCCCTTCCCATTTTCTCTCTCTTTTTCCTTCTCTCTCTCTTTTTCTTTCTCCCTCTCTCTCTCCATTTCTCCATTCTGTCGTTCCTCACCCTCCTCAGTTTCCACGTTTCCCCTTTTCTCGGTGTGAGTGACCAGCATCCCCGTAGGAATCATCGCGTTGGACGGCAGCGTGTAGAACCGCGCGCACAGCCTCTTCAGCGCCTTTTCCTCCAGCGAGAACTCGTACTGCGGGATCTCCGTGCGGTCCCTCTTCTCTGCGGGCCGCACCTGTCTGGACCGCAGCAAGCCGTCGACCGGGGACGCGTCCACGAGCTGGTTCCCCACGTAGAAGCACACCTCGCTGGGATTGGAGGGCGCGCGCGGCTCGATGAGCTGGCAGGGCAGGGTGAGGTTGAGGTTCACCGCGCGCTGCGAGTCTCCCGAGACCTCCACGCCCTTCCCGGAGCGCACCAGGAGCACGGAGCGGTCGAGCGGAGGAGGCACGTCGCGGTCGGTCGGGGAGGGCGAAGGCAGCGGGCGGTCCTCCCAGTCGGCGCGCCAGGCGGAGCAGAGCGTGTCGCGATCGAAGGCGGGCGGGAGGGCGAAGAGGTCGAGGCCGAGGAGCGGGGAGAAGTCGGAGGAGGCGCCGAGCGAAGGGTCGACGATGTCGGGGTAGTAGGGATGGGAGGGGAGCGAAGGGAGGAGGGACTCGGAGAGAAAGGAGGCTGCGAGTGAGCGGGAGAGGGCAGAGAAACAGGCGCGATCGTCGTGGGGAGGGTCGACGGGGGGAGGGTCGCTTGTGGAGGGCCGAGGAAGGGCCGAGGAGCGACGAGGAAGCACGGGAATGACCACTGGAGAGGAGGAGGGAGCGTCGGGCTTGTCCGCTCCGGAGAGAACCATCTGCTTCATGAAGAGGACTAGAGAGAGAGAGGGAGAGAGAAGGGGAAACATTTGGACTCGAGAACGACGGCGTCCATGTCGAATTGGGAAAAGACGGGGAGAAAGACGTGCTGGAGAATGATGTACGCGACGTCCAGAATGGTGAAGGGGAAGACCACTTCGGCACTGATCGGGTAGGGTCCAACGAAGGTCGAGGGACACTTTGGAGGCAGGAAGGGAAGCGAAAACGAGTCTGCAATGAGAGGAGAAGAACACACGTACTGAAGGGCTTCGCGTGGCGAGTGGGGCGTTTGCTGAGGGTAATTGAGGGAGGAGAAAACGTACACGTAGAGAACAATGGGACACTGTTGCGGGTGATAGGGAAATGCGCTGATGAACTCATCGGACTCGAGAAGGTCGCGAGGTACGAAAATAATATCATAGAAGCATCCGTTGATCATTTTACAAAGCAGCTTGCGATTGGAGAAGACATCGAATGAGCAGAGCACGCCACAGTCACTGAAAAAGGATGTCAACATGTAGCTAAGCTGCCGACAGTTGACACAGGAGTCAGCAACCAAGAGTGCGCGACAAGAGCGACTTTCGTGAGAGAGAGTGTCATCTGCTGCTGAAGCTGGTTTCGGAGAGTCGTGCTTCGGATCCTGAGGATTTTTATCCGTCCAATTTGAAAGAGTCACTTTCCTTCCAGAAGGGATATCGGTATTATGATACACCTAGACTTGTTAGCGGGACAGTCCACGCATACGGAAAAATCTTGATTAAACATTAAACTGCCAATATTTGTGTCCCAGCCTCCACCAAAATCCATAGTTACGATAATGTATTATCAAAATACAGTAACCAAGAAATCTAAAACACTAATTAGGTTGGACAAAACGTAAAATAAAAAACAATCTGCTTACAGAATCGCTCTCTTAAAGCTTTTTCGTATTTCAACTTCCTATTTTGGAAGGAATTAAGTCACAAGACTTGGTTACACGTATAGTGGTTTATGATAATCAACAATACAAACACGATTATCGATTTTTGGAATGGAAGTATTTCCGCTTTTATTTGAAACTTGAGAACATGATAGAATCCCGATTCATTCACCTCGGTGTATCGGTATACTGTACTGTATCCTATTGATTTCATCATGAGGTGATATTCGCTCTATTGATAGAGAAAATTGGAAAATCGAGAATCCTTGATTATCATAAATTTCGATCACTGAACGTACAATGACTGAAGGCTGATGTATGGATGCTCTATAATCATCAATTCCTAGTTCCCAGAAGAGGTATTTTGAGATATGAAGATAACACTGTCTACTAATCATGTGGAAATTCCCGAAGGAGGTAGGGAGTCGTTATTTGCGGGTTTATCGTTTTAGTGAGCGTGATCGTCAAGAACCGACGTGTGATCGTGAAGGGACCTCGTGGTACTCTGCACCGCGACTTCTCCCACCAGTTTGTGGACATCCGCAAGGAAGGAAACAGAGTGTATGTGGATCTCTGGTTCGGACTGCACAAGAACATTTCTGTGGTCAGAACGATTTGCTCGCACATCCGCAACATGTTCACCGGTGTGACTCACGGATACCGCTACAAGATGCGTTTCGTGTACGCTCACTTCCCCATCAACGTGGCGATCAACAAGGACGGTACCAAGGTGGAGATCCGTAACTTCCTCGGTGAGAAGCGTGTGCGCCACATCCATATGCAGGAGGGCGTGACCGTGACCAAGTCCGAGGCCCAGAAGGATGAGATCATCCTTGAGGGAAACGACATCGAGGCCGTGTCTATTTCTGGTATGTGTTTTTAGGCAGAAGGGATAACGAATAGCCTCTCAGATCCACCTGTGCGTGTTGGTGCGCAACAAGGATATCCGTAAGTTCCTGGACGGTATCTACGTGTCTGAGAAGGAGCTGTGTGTTGCTGAGGAGCAGGAAGACGAGGAATAAACTCGCCAATTCTTGGGAACGGATGTTGTGTTTGTTGGAACCAAACAAGGCAAAGGGACAGTTCGCCTCCCCATTCAGCCTTTCGAATCAGTCGATATTTCTCCAGGTCGTCTTTCATCTTCCGCTTTGAAAAGATTCGGCGCTCCAGCGTGCCTTCGGGACTGCAAACGTCCACCAAAACGTGCTGATCGCGCTTGATCGGCGTTTGCAACACTCGCCAGGTCTTGGCCTCCTTTTCCTCCGGAGTGGAAGTCGATCGAGGCGTTGGATTTTCTGTTGTTGGGTGCGTTGGATTCTCAGCTATTGGGTGTTGTGGTTTCTCCGCTTCACTGAGAGCTAAATTCTCCGCTTTACTGTGTGATTGACTCATTGTCTCGCTATTCTCTTCATTTTCATTTTGATTCTCTGTTTCCATTTGCATTCCCATCTTTCCTTCCTCCTTCCTTCCACTTCCCTTCTCCCCTTTCTCTCCCTTCCCCGTTTCCACCCTTCCTCCCTTCTTCCTCTTCTCCATCGCCACATACGAAAACACCTCCGCCGCCCTCCTTCTCGCCTTAAACTCCTACACCATCCAGCCCTCTCTTCTCCCCTACCGCCGTCGGCCCCGGCTCGCACTGCTGCGCGAACCGACACCAGTTCTTCCGATTGTCTTTCAGCGGACACTCCGCATCGTGCGGACACGGCGCCACCACCGCCGCTCGCTTCGATTCCGCCTCCATCCGCAGAACCAGCGACCGCGCGCACCGCACCAAATGAAAGCCCCATCGCGTGCCCGCTTCGGAGATGAGGAGCGTGCCGCCAGGGCGAAGAAGCTCTGCGAGATGAGGGAGAGAAGAGGAGGAAAATACCCCAAGCGATGGCGATGGCGGAGATTCGCGCCTTGTTCGATGGAAGTTCGCTGAGAAAACGGTCGATGCAGATGAGATCGAAGTCGGGTTCTTTCTGGATAGGAGGGAGAGGAGGAAGCGAACCTCTTCGAGGACGGAGAGCAGCGAGGGGTAGGTCGTGATGGAGGGGAGAGGCGAAGAAAGCGAAGATCGACGTGCGTTTAGAAGGGAAGTGGATTGGGCGAGCATGTATTCGCTGCTATCCACGAGAACGATGTGCTGGAGGGTAGGGAAGCGGTTGAGGACGGAACTGAAAGGTGGAAGGAAGAGAGAAAGAGGGTACAGCGTCGAAGCGCCACAGCCACTACCGATGTCAAGGAAGCGTTTTGGGGAAAAGGTAGGGGAGAGGTGAAGTGAGATATCGGAGAGAATCCGAGAAGAAACAGCGTAGCTAGACTGAGAAAACAGACATGAACGAACTTTTTAGCGATGCGATATTCTGCGTATACGACGGATGTCAACTCGTCGTAAATGAGCGGCTTCATCATTTCCGACGGATCTTGGTTGGAAAGAACTCCATCACCCCAATTCACAAAATCCTTATGTACCTCACGTGATCTCACCATCGCCAAATACCTATTCTAAGCACAAAAAGGAAAAAGCAAACTCCTTCCATTGCTGCTCGCGATTTCGGTGCAAATAGCGTTTACACGCCTTACGGACATTTGTAGCAGCATATTCGGGTAATTCAATCTCTTGTCTCCAGCGAGGACGAGAAGGAATAGGAATAAATTCATTATCTACTTGAAATTGCGATTTACAACCTATTACCTGTTGATTCATGTCGCAGACCAACACTGTAAATTGCTGATCTTCCTAAAAGACTCGATTTGAAAACGAATTGGTTTCTACACCTGTACAGCATTGTACAGGCCTGAGATAACATCCTCAACTTTACAATTCGATGAGTCCAAAAATCACAACTATTTTATTCTGTATTGTATTTATCTTATTACTTGTTGAATAGAATCTTTGTACGCTCCTAATGAAGTATTTATACCTCTTGATGCTTCTCTTCTGCATAATTCCTATTATTATGCAGGAATTCGATGATGATGACGAGAATAGTGATATTGAGGAGGAAGAGGGATCTCTGCTGGACTTTGACAATTTTATTAAGAAATTTGGCAAGGATTATGGGTATGGTGGAAAACTTGACCAGATTCGAGAGCGCGAATTGAAACGAGTCCATGGAGCAGTGTACTTGGACTATACAGGAGCAGGAGTCTATCAAGAATCGCAGGTTCGTAAGTGCAACGATTTGCTTCTTGATTTCCTGCTTGGCAATACACATAGCGTTAACCCCTCAAGCAAGAAAACAGAAGAATTGGTATTCAATCACTTATATCCCCTGACTTGCAGGTTGAACATATTCGTACGCAAGTTCTGTCCTTTTTCAACACTACTGCAACCGAGTACAGTGTGATTTTCACAAGTGGAGCAACGAATTCGCTCCATATCATCGGTGAGATCTTCCCCTGGACGAAAAACAGCAAGTATTACTATCTTTCCGAAGTATTCATTGTCTCACTCTCCTCATTCCTTTCAGTGCCACAACTCCGTTATCGGTATTCGTGAGTACGCCTATCGCTACGGCGGTGGCTTCCGCGCAGTCAACGAGGAGGACCTTCCATCCAGCGGAACCTTCGAAGTATCCTACTCTGAGACCTCTCCGTTTTTCAACCCGAACCACACCTTCAGCCTCTTCGCCTTCCCCGCGGAGGACAACTTCGCGGGCGTGAAATACCCGCTCCATTGGATCAAAGACGTCCAGAACGGCTTCTTCAACGACGTTTGTCTGTTTCTCTGTTTCCATTGCAGGGCTCGCAGTGGCTCGTCGCGTTGGACGCCGCCGCGTTCGTCCCCACCAACCCTCTCGACCTCTCCCAAGTCCATCCCGACTTCGTCTCGCTCTCCTTCTACAAGATGTTCGGGTTCCCCACGGGAATTGGTGCGTTATTGGTGCGCAACGCGGTGGTAGGCGTGCTAGACAAAGTGTACTGGGGCGGTGGCACGGTGTCTCTGGCGAGCGAGCTCACCCGCTTCAACAAGTTCCACGTAGAGATCGAATGGATCGTGAGACCCAGAGCCGGCCTTCCAGCAAGTTCGAGGACGGAACCATCAATTTCCAGGCGATTGCGTGCATCGGAATCGGCCTGGACACCCTGCAGTCGCTCGGAATGCACGCCATTCAGAAGCACGTCGCCGCGGTGACCGCGCTGCTCTACGACGGACTCAGCAGTCTCTACCACTCGTGAGGTTTGGAGCGCGATGCGATGTAGGAACGGAATGCCGCTCGTGGAAGTGTATGGCAAGCACGCGTTGAAGGACCCCTCCGTGCAGGGAGGCGTGCTCTCCATGAATTTGAAACGTCCTGATGGGAGTTACATCGGGTATTATACGGTGCAGGTGGATTCGGCGCGGGCGAACGTGCATTTGCGGACGGGGTGCCACTGCGTCCCGGGAGCGTGCCGGAAGTACTTGAACCAGCCGAAGGAAGTGTATGAGGAGCTGTGGAAGCAGAAGGATAGTTGCTCGGATTCGATTGATAGCTACAAGGGAATCCCGCTGGGAGGAGGTGGACATGAGGAGGAAGGATGAGGTGTAGTGCGAGCTTCGATGGGGTATTTGACCAGTTTCGAGGATATCACGCGGTTTATTGATTTTTTGCGAGGTTATCTGGATAAGGAGTGAGGGAATGGTTAAATGAATGGGACTGGGATTGTTTGTGAAACAAGCATGGTAGTTGAAATGAATAGGCATGCAATATTATCGATAGACTGGAGATAGAGGATATGACCGACTTTCTGGACATCAGGCTGTTCACTAAGTATGTTCGAAGCTAGACTGATCAGGAGTAATAAAGGAAAGGCAAAACCCGAGATTACTGCTGCTTATGAACAAAGACCCAAGATTACAACATCTACTCCAACAAAGACCCAAGATTACAACATCTACTCCAACAAAGACCCAAGATTACAACATCTGCTCCAACAAACACCCAAGATTACAACGTCTACTCCAACAAACACTCCCAAACAAAACAGCTACTACAGGATCTTCTTCAGCGAGGCTGGAAGAGAAGAAGGCAGCTCTGCGCCTCCCTTAACTTGTCTAAGCAAGAACATGATCACAATGAACTGGCCTTCTGTTACACCTTCCTTCTGTCCGCGCGGCACCAGCCTCATCACTCTCTTAATGCCCTGATCGTCGACTCTCGACCGCTTGAACTCCTTGAGAGCCACGGCGTTGGCCATGAGATCCTCGTCCTCGCTAAGGTTTCGGAACATCTTTCGCAGCTGGTTGTGCGTCTTCTTGTCCAGCACCCACGTATCATCTTCCTCTTCTTCCTCTTCCTCTTCGTCTCCCTCCTCCTCGCTCTCGTCGACGTCTTTCGGAACCTTCGGCGATGGCTTCTTGCCGCGACTCTTCTTGCCTTCTCCCAAGAGCTCTTCGTACGCGGGCGGCAGCTTCGCGGGCAGTGCCGCGCCCTTCTGCAGCGCGTTCAACATCAGCATGCAGGCCACGAACTGATTCTCGTTCAGCGCATCGACCTTTCTGCCACACACCAGGAGAATGCTATCGCTCACTCGCTTCTCTCGACTCCTACACGTCGCGGATCTCCGTTCGCTTCACCTTCGACTGCTCGAATAGCTTGATCGCGTTCTTCATCGGCAGCTCTGCCTCGCCGCCGCTCTGCTTCATGAACAAGCCGTGCAGCTTCGCCTTGGCGGCCTCGTTGATCTCCCAGTTCATCTCCTTCTCTTTCTTCGGCGACTTCTCAGGCTTGGGCGACTTCTCAGGCTTCGGGGATTTCTCGGGCTTCGGGGATTTCTCGGGCTTGGGGGAGGAGCGGCCCAGCACGATGGCGAGCTCGTCGGGAAGGGATTCGGGTATTGGCTTTCCGTCATACGCGAGCTGGGGGTGAGAGGAGAGAAAAGGGAGCGACCTTGCAGATGTACATGATGACAAGGAACTGAGCGAAGTTGAAACGAGACGTGTCGGATGTCACCATCCGCTCGCTAGGAATGAGCCACGGCAAACCACCTCGCTGCGTACATGTGGTTGATCGCATCCTCATCTAGTCCGCAATTAGCGAACACGACGGACGCGTCCTTGTTCGCGATAAGCCCGTTCTTCTCTCTCTCAACGAAGTACTTCTTGAATTTTTTGAGGTGGTCGATGGTCAGCGACCATTCCTTGCCCTGCGCGCTTTCCTACGCTCAACCAGCCCCTTCACTCCTCCTACGATGCGTCGTGCCACCTCTTCCTCGCTCACCGGACCGTTAATGTCCATCGCTGCCTCTCCCATCTCCGGCGCGGCAACTTCCGGCTCCTCTTCGCTCGGCGGCTCCTCCGGCTCCTCCTCGCTCTCCGGCTCGATCCACGTCTGCGGCCGCGGCAGACCCAGCGGCAGCGAGCCGCGACTGGCCGCGCTGAGCACGCCCATCATCACGGCATACGCGGATGCTCTGATCCGCCGATCGTTCACGAGCTTCTTGACGGTGTCGGCGATCTTCTGGAGGTCGCGGTCCTCGAGGTCGGGCTGCTCGGGCTCGACTTCCGGCAGCTCGCCCCAGGTGTAGGGCTCGATGACCGATCCGGCCTGGATGATGGCGTTGATGATCGACACGTTGGGGTTCTGCTCCTTGTCCACGGTCGGCAGCGAGCAGATCATGCGGAGCTTGTCGTACGCGGAGTAGGCGCGCGCCGCGAGGACGAACTCCACGCAGTCCTCGCTGGAGGCGAAGTTCAGCTGGATCTGCTTGCCCTCGATGAAGAGATTGGCGCTCTCGGGCTCCCCGCGGATCGACGACACGAACGCGTTGGGGCCGTACTCTTCGTTGTAGATCGTGCGGCCGCCCTTCATCAGCTGCAGCCCGTTCTTGTTCGCCTGCACCGCGAAGTTGCCGGCCTTCTTCGCCTCTACGCCTCAGCCCAAGCCAGAACGCCCACTCGCCTGGTCTTCGGGAGGGAGGTCCGAAGTGCCGATCAGATCCTTCCGCATCGCTCGCTTCTTCTTCAGCAGCAGGTTAATCTACCGTCACACTCCGCTCGCGTCGCCCACCTCATCTTCCATTTCCTGCGACACTTTCACGCAGTCCATGTCGTACTCCACCGAGGAGCCCTTGTAGTTCACCAGCAGGCGCACGCGCTTGCCGGCGTCCTCCGCCACGGGCGTGAACACGGGGCCTGTGGCCACCTGCACGGGCATCTGTCCCTATCCGTCACCGCCCAACCCCGTGCAAACCGCGCGGGACGCGAACCAGGTCAGCGTCGACGCGTCCGTCAGCGGGAAATCCTGCTCGTGGTAGCGGATGCGGCCGCTCACGCAGTACTAGCCATCAGATTGGGAGTAGGAGGATACGGAAGAGCCGACCATCAGAATGTTGTTGGTCTTGAGGTGGAGACGACCTCGAATGTTTCCTTCCTTCGCCGTGGCGAGACTACCGCGCAGCATGCGCAGCTGACCCATGGCGTAGTCGATGGAAAGCTGGAGATGAAGTGGACAGAAAAGGACTACGTTCAGAGTGTTCACGGCACTCTCATCTAACATAATTTCGCTACTGCATTTTTCCTTGACAGATCTCGCTTTTGCATTCGTCACACCGCGTCCCGAGGTCAATCTGGCTCTTTCCACTCCGGGGATTTTCGATAAACGCATTTCCACCTTATTAAGATATTTCAGAGAACCATTGCCCCTAACATGAACATGAGCAAATTAAACGCTACGACGCAACAATACAGATTCCGGATCTGCCCTTCTTGACATCAAGACTATTCCACTCAACATCTATCAGATTAGTGCACAGTGAAGGACCTCACCTCCAATTTCAACCTCACTAATTTCTTCCTGAACATCTTCTGGTCGTTGTCCAGGTTTTAGTTGGACCATAATCTCGAATGAATCTACGATGTGACCCCTTATCATCTGCTATCCACTTTCAACGCTCATCCCAAGCCACTGTTTTATAATACTGTTCACAACGCTTCATTGCATAGTGATTTTTGGATTGCTTGATTAGAGCCGACCACTGTACGCTCGATGATACTATTTTTGGTCTTTTTTTCAAGTAGCAAGGCTTCTCTTTTGGAATTGTGATCACCAATCATTAGAAAAATGCATAACAGGGCGATATCCAGTATAAAATCGCAAATGAAATTTAAGCTATCCCGTGTGGGAAAAGTGTAGATTCAAACATCCTTTTTGCCTTCCCGCAAACTCCGCGAAACCAATACAACTCTCGTACGATTTTATGCAAACATATCATTCAAACAAACACATCCAAACAGGCAATTACATAACAACACAACACGCTTTGCAGCCCTTCTTCATCAACTCCGCTCTCTCCTGTGCATTGTTCTGTGCCTCTCTCGCCCTCTCCACCGCGGACTGTGCCTGATTGATCTTCTGCTGTGCCTGATTTACCGCGTCGTTCGCTTCTTGTTTCCCCGATCTCTGCGCCGCCTGCCTCGCTCTCTCCCACATCTGCTGTGCCTCGTTCGCCTTCGACTCTGCGGTCCGCGCCGATTCCGCGATGGACCGCGAGGCCGCTTCCACGATTTCCACTTCAATCGCTTCTTCGATCTCTCCCATCTTTCTCTCCGCTTCACTCGCCGCTTCGTTCGCCGCCAGCACCAGCTCCATCGCCTTCCTCGCCAGCTCCACGGCCTCTCGCATCGCCCTCCGCTTCTCCACCTCGGTCTGCACGTTCTTCGCGCGCGTTTCCACCGCCGAGCAGCGCGACTGCAGGTCTTCCACTCCCGCCACCGACTGCGTCGCGGCGTCTGCGAACTCGGAGGCCTTGACGTAGCCGGAGGCCTTCGCGGCCTGGACGGCGGCTTCCTTCGCTTGCGTGGCCTCGGTGAGCTTCGGCCGCGCTTTGGCGACCGCTTCGATGACTTCCTTCGCGATCGCGAAGGCCTGGGAATCGGATTCGGCGGTGGCGGCGGAGAGCTTGGCTTCGGCTTGAGCGATTTTGGTTTCGGCTTCGACCACGAAGGACTGGGAGGCTGTGCTTGCTTTCTCGGCCTCTTCGGACTTGGTCTTGGCCTCCTCTTGCTTCTTGACGCGCTCTGGGTCGGGAGGGAGGAACTCCAGAGGGATGTCCACTTCGACTTTGGGACGCTGGAACCCTCCCACGTCGTATTCCACCTCAGGGGGAGGATTGGTCACGACATCGAACTTTATGAAGGGCATGATTCTTTTGCGGAGGTCCGAAACATACTGAATGGTTTCGTCAGAGAAGCCGCGAGGATACTCTCCTGGAATTGGAGCAGGGGCAATGGGCGGATGTTTCATGATGGTTGCACGATTGACATAATGACATTTTTCAGGAGGATCGTAGTTCTTGGTGGGCATAACAGGATGTGCAAAAGGACTCGCTCGATAGAAGGGTTCATAATGGGGATAATCTTCCTGTTCCTTTACTGGCTCTCCGGGTTGACCGGGCTTCACTGTAGCAAGCCCAGACGGAGAGGATTTAGACAAACCCGAAGTAGTGGAGGGGATTACGTTACTATCCATCGAAGCTCTTACGGGCTTATCCTAGAGATAAGATCAAGTGTCTAAAACTACCAAAGAGCCAAGTTTTAATAAGTTTCCACTTTGAGCTGAATTCATACTCTATACATGAATCTTCGAGTTAGTAGGCTTACTCAATTTAAATATATAAATAGAAAGTCTTCTATAAACGATTGTTTGGGGCACAAACGAGATTTGTTATAAACTGAATAGTTTATTCTTTTGATTTAATATATTTTTGTGAAATATACGATTCATCAAACACACCCGAATCTGTAGTGTAACAAGAAATCATAACAATAATGTGAAATGAAAGGGTGGGAGCCATATGGATAATGCAACATATTATTTTGTCATGAACATTATGTATAATTGAAAACAGGCAATCTAGCATCTTCTAGAGCTTTCTTGCTATTAAATGTGTATAGTTTTGAGTTTAAATCATACAAGATGCAATATTTCTTTCCATATAATACGATCTTCAAAGAATATATATATATATATTGAGTACTTGCACTGACAACTAGACTCTGTATTGACCTTTTCATCAAATTATATTATACGAAAGCAAACAACAACCTTTCGTTGTATAGTTTCATTGACCATACTAAAAGATCGAGTGATTCCTATTACGATATGATTACAACCGCTTTAGCGTTCCATTTATGACAGAGTCAACAGATTCAATTTTAAAACAAATGTGCCTATTCATTTTTCTTGCAAATCGTAACTCCTCTCCATATTCTGCAGTGCTCTTTCTGAGAAGGCAATATTTGCTAATCATATCAAATTTAAATGAGTAGCAACCTTCAATCGTCACCCCAAGATGATGATGAGATCCAAAAGCAAATAGAGCTGGAACAGCAGCAACAGCTTGATGAAGCTCTTATCATCCGTGCCCGTAAGTGGCAACAGAAGAGAGTGAAGAAATTTCACCAATCCGAGAAGGGAACGATTGTTAGTATGCAAACTATCGAAATGCCTGTGGAACACCTTCGAAAGATTGTGCGCGATCACGGCGACATGTCGTCTCGTAAATTCAGAAATGATAAGCGTATCTACTTGGGCGCTTTGAAGTAATCTTCGTTGTTGCACCTTATCGATTAGATTTATGCCTCACGCAATCTTGAAGCTGCTGGAGAATATGCCCATGCCATGGGAGCAGATCCGCGATGTCAAGGTGCTTTATCACATCACAGGTGCTATAACCCTGGTCAACGAGGTTCCGATGGTGATCGAGCCCATCTTCATTGCGCAGTGGTCGACGATGTGGATGATGATGCGGCGAGAGAAGCGTGATCGTCGAAACTTCAAGCGAATGCGATTCCCTCCCTTCGATGATGAAGAGCCTCCTCTCGACTACGGAGACAACATCCTGGATGTGGAGCCGCTCTCCGCCATCCAGATGCCCGACCTCTCTCCCGAGGACGACGCAGCGGTCATCGATTGGTTCTACGACCACAAAGCGCTCAGCGAAGACACCAAATACACAAACGGTCCCTCCTACAAGAAGTGGCATCTCTCGATCGCGATCATGGGGAATCTGTATCGACTGAGCAACCAGTTAGTGACCGACATTACAGACCAAAACTACTTCTATCTCTTCGACAAGAACTCGTTTTTCACTGCGAAGGCGCTCAACCTGGCGATTCCTGGCGGTCCGAAGTACGAGCCTTTGGACCGCGATGTGGAGGTGGATGAGGACTGGAACGAGTTCAACGATGTGAACAAGATCATCATTCGAAACCCGATCCGAACCGAGTACAAGATCGCCTATCCCTACATGTACAATGAGAGAACGAAGCACGTTTCCATCCCGTTCTATCACTACGCGGCGTCGGCGGTGATCAAGACCAACGATCTCGACCAGCCTGCCTTCTACTACGATCCGATCATCAACCCGATTCCCGCCTTCGAGTCTGCGAACGCGCACAGCGTCGTGGTACGTTCTGCACAGCCTGCGTCATGGATAGGAAGTCGATTTGGACGAGGACATCGTTCTCGATGAGGCGGATCTTCCCTTCCTGAGCGACGAATCTCTCTTCCTCCGTACTCTCCTCCCTTCCAGTTTCTCACTTCTAGCGACCACGGCGGAAGGCATCGCGCTGTACAACGCGCCGCGCCCGTTCAATCTGCGGTCCGGACGCACACGCCGCTGCTTCGACGTTCCGCTGGTGAACTCGTGGTACCGCGAGCACGTGTCCTACACGCTCCCGCTGAAGGTGAAGGTCAGCTACCAGAAGCTGCTGAAGGGCTGGGTGATGAACCAGCTGCACCGCAAGCCGCCAAAGGCGCAGAAGCGCCGCGACCTGCTGCGGTCGTTGCGGTCGACGAAGTTCTTCAAGACGACGGAGGAGGACTGGGTGGAAGCCGGGTTGCAGGTGGTGCGGCAGGGCTTCAACACGCTGAATCTGCTGATTCACCGCCGCGGCCTGAACTATTTGCATCTGGACTACAACTTCAACCTGAAGCCGATCAAGGTGCTGACGACCAAGGAGCGAAAGAAGTCCCGCTTCGGAAACGCCTTCCACTTGACGCGCGAGATTCTGCGTCTGACCAAAATCATCGTCGACTGCCACGTGCAGTTCCGACTGGGGAACATCGATGCGTTCCAGCTGGCCGACGGTCTGCAGTACGCGTTCGCGCACATCGGGCAGCTGACCGGAATGTACCGCTACAAGTACCGCCTGATGCGCCAAGTCCGCATGTGCAAGGACTTGAAGCACGTGATCTACTATCGATTCAACACCGGCGCGGTCGGCAAGGGCCCGGGCTGCGGCTTCTGGTTCCCCGGCTGGCGCGTGTGGCTGTTCTTCCTGCGCGGAATCGTCCCGCTGCTGGAGCGGTGGCTGCAGAACTTGCTGGCTCGTCAGTTCGAGGGTCGACACAGCGACGCGACGCCGCACACGGTGACCAAGCAGCGCGTGGAGAGTCAGTACGACTTGGAGCTGCGCGCTGCGGTGCTGCAGGACATCCAGGATATGATGCCGGAGGGCATTAAGAACAACAAGAGCAAGACGATCGCGCAGCATCTGAGCGAGGCGTGGCGGTGCTGGAAGGCGAACATTCCTTGGAAGGTGCCCGGCTTGCCGCCAGCGATCGAGTCGATGATCCAGCGCTACGTGAAGGCGAAAGCGGACTGGTGGACCAACGTGGCGCACTACAACCGAGAGCGAATCCGCCGCGGAGCGACCGTGGACAAGACGGTGTGCAAGAAGAACGTGGGGCGACTGACGCGTCTGTTCCTGAAGAAGGAGCAGGAGCGCCAGCAGAACTTTTTGAAGGACGGTCCGTACATCAGCGAGGAAGAAGGAGTCGCAATCTACAAGACCGCCGTGAACTGGCTGGAGTCTCGGCACTTCTCGCCGATCCCGTTCCCGCCCACGCAGTACAAACACGACACAAAGATGCTGACGCTGGCGCTGGAGCGACTCCGCGAGAACTACAACAGCAACAGCCGAATGAACCAGAGCCAGCGAGAGGAAATGGGTCTGATCGAGCAGAGCTACGATAATCCGCACGAGACGCTGCAGCAGATCAAGCGCTATCTGCTCACGCAGCAAGTCTTCAAGGACGTGAAGCTGCAGTTCTTGGACCTGCACAGCCATTTGTTGCCCGTGTACGAGATTGATCCGCTGGAGAAGATCACGGACGCCTACCTGGATCAGTATCTGTGGTACGAGGCCGATCGCCGCAAGCTGTTCCCGAACTGGATCAAGCCTTCGGACGAGGAGCCGCAGCCCTATTTGGTGTACAAGTTCTGCCAGGGCGTGAACAATCTGACCGATTTCTGGTCGTGCGAGAATGGGGAATGCAATGTGTTGATGGAGGCGACGCTGGACAAGGTGTACGAGAAGATCGACCCGATTCTGCTGAGCCGCTTGCTGCGTCTGATCGTGGACCACAACATTGCGGACTACATGAGCAAGAAGAGCAACGTGAAGATCACCTACAAAGATATGGAGCACGTGAATCACTACGGTCTGATCACCGGACTGCAGTTCGCAGGCTTCATTTTCCAGTACTACGGACTGATTCTGGACCTGCTGCTTCTGGGAATGCACCGAGCCTCCGAGCTGGCCGGTCCCCCCACAATGCCGAACAAATACTGCTCCTTCCACGACACGGAGACGGAGATTCGCCATCCCATCCGTCTCTACACTCGCTACATCGACAAAGTGTACATCGTGTTCCGCTTCACCGCGGAGGAAGCGAAGGATCTGATCCAGCAGTACCTCACAGAGCACCCCGATCCCAACAACGAAAACATCGTGGGCTACAACAACAAGAAGTGCTGGCCGCGCGACAGCCGCATGCGTCTCATGAAGCACGACGTGAATCTGGGCCGCGCCGTGTTCTGGAACATGAAGTCGCGCATTCCTCGCTCGCTGACGACGTTCGAGTGGGACAAGAGCTTCGTGTGCGTGTACTCGCAGGACAACCCCAACTTCCTCTTCGACATGTGCGGATTCGAGGTCCGGATTCTCCCGAAGTGCCGCATGCCGCGCGAGCAGCAAGTGCAGGCGCGCGACGGCATCTGGCCGCTGCAGAACGAAAGCACGAAGGAGCAGACCGCCGTGGCGTTCCTGCGCGTCACCGAAGAGGAGCAGCGGATGTTCGAGAACCACATTCGCCAGGTGCTGATGAGTTCGGGCGGCACGACGTTCACGAAGGTGGCGAACAAGTGGAACACGGCGCTGATCAACTTCATGGCGTACTTCCGCGAGGCGGTGATCAACACGGAGGAGATGCTGGACATTCTGGTGAAGTGCGAGAACAAGATCCAGACGCGAATCAAGATCGGACTGAACAGTAAGATGCCGTCGCGTTTCCCGCCCGTGGTCTTCTACACGCCGAAGGAGCTGGGCGGACTGGGCATGATGTCGATGGGACACATCCTGATTCCGCAGAGCGACCTCACCTACTCGCGCCAGACCTCCACGGGAATCACGCACTTCCGAAACGGAATGTCCCACGAGGAGGACCAGCTGATTCCCAACCTGTCGCGCTACATCACGCCGTGGCTGTCGGAGATCGAGTCGTCGCAAGAAGCGTGGGCGGAGTACACGTCCAAGAAGGCGGAGGCCAACGCGATCAACCGCCGGTTGACGTACGAGGATCTGAGCGAGAGCTGGGACCGCGGTCTTCCGCGAATCAGCACGCTGTTCCAGAAGGACCGGCACACGCTGGCGTACGATAAGGGCTACCGCGTGCGTCTGGTGTTCAAGCAGTACACGCTGCTGCGCTACAATCAGATGTGGTGGACGCACCAGAGCCACGATGGTCGCCTGTGGAACCTGAACAACTACCGCACGGATGTGATCCAGCACCTCGGCGGCGTGGAGAACATTCTGGAGCACACGCTGTTCAAGGCGACGGGCTTCCCGACCTGGGAGGGACTGTTCTGGGAGAAGGCTTCGGGCTTCGAGGAGCAGATGAAGTACAAGAAGCTGACGAACGCGCAGCGCAGCGGTCTGAACCAGATTCCGAATCGTCGGTTCACGCTGTGGTGGTCTCCGACGATCAACCGAGCGAACGTGTACGTGGGTTTCCAGGTGCAGCTGGACCTGACGGGTATCTTCATGCACGGAAAGATCCCCACGCTGAAGATCAGTCTGATCCAGATCTTCCGATCGCACTTGTGGCAGAAGATCCACGAGAACATCGTGATCGATCTCTGCCAGGTGTTCGACCAGGTGCTGGACGATCTGGCGATCAGCTCGGTCGAGAAGATGACGATCCATCCGCGCAAGTCGTACAAGATGAACAGCTCGAGTTCGGACGTGGTGATCAACGCGTCCTATCGCTGGAACACCTGCAAGCCCTCGCTTCTCCACGACGACCACGACGAGTTCACCGACCAGCCCACGCAGCAGTACTGGCTGGACGTCCAGCTGCGCTGGGGCGACTACGATTCGCACGATATCGAGCGCTACTGCCGCGCCAAGTTCCTGGACTACATCTCCGACTCGATGACCACGTACGCCTCCTCGACCGGAGTGTTGCTGGGCGTGGATCTCGCGTACAACATGTACTCCGGCTTCGGCCACTACATTCCGGGATCGAAGCTGCTGCTGCAGCGCGCGATGGCGCGAATCATGAAGGCGAACCCCTCGCTGAGCGTGCTGCGCGACCGAATTCGCAGCGGCCTGCAGCTGTACTCGTCGGAGCCGACGGAGCCGATGCTGAGCAGCCAGAACTACCAGGAGCTGTTCAGCAACCAGGTGGTGTGGATTGTGGACGACGAGAACGTGTATCGTGTGACGATGCACGCCACACACGAGGGAAACACCACCACCAAGCCCATGAACGGCTTCGTCTCCGTGTTCAATCCTCGCTCCGGCCAGCTCTTCCTCAAGGTCATCCACACGTCGGTCTGGACGGGACAGAAGCGTCTGACGCAGCTGGCCAAGTGGAAGACGGCCGAAGAGATCGCTGCGATCATGCACAGCACGCCGGTGGAGGAGCAGCCGAAGCAGATCATCGTGACGCGCAAGAACTTGATGGACGCGATGCAGGGCATGCTGGTCGATTTCCCGAACACGGTGCTGAAGACGTCGGAGATGCAGCTTCCGTTCGCTGCGCTGGGCAAGGTGGAGAAGATCAGCGACCACGTGCTCAAAGCCACGGGTCCGCGCAACGATCTTTTCAATCTCTACGACGACTGGCTGGAGACGATTTCGTCGTACACCGCGTTCTCGCGTCTGATCCTGATTCTCCGCGCCATCCGCTTGAACCCCGTGCAGGCCGCGGCCATTTTGCGCCCCACGGCGGACACGATCACGCAGCCGCACCACGTGTGGCCGACGTTCACCGCGGAGCAGTGGATCGAAGTGGAGCACAACCTCACCGACATGATTCTGGCGTACTACAGCAAGAACAACAACGTGTCGGTGACGTCGCTCACGCAGAGCGAGATCCGCGACATCATTCTGGGCATGCCGATCGCGCCGCCCTCGCAGCAGCGCCAGCAGATGGCGGAGATCGAGTCGCAGGACCGCGACCAGAGCCAGATGGTCTCGGTGACCACGCGCACCACCAACGTGTTCGGCGAGGAGATGACCTCCACCACCACCTCGCAGTACGAGCAGCAGACCTTCTCGTCGCGTGCGGACTGGCGCGTCCGCGCGATCTCCACCGCCAACCTGCCTCTGCGTGCGCAGAACCTCCACGTGGCCACCAGTCTGGACAGCGAGAACGCTTACGTGCTCCCATCCAACCTCTTCAAGCAGTTCGTCTGCATCGCCGACCTCCGCACGCAGATCTGCGGTCTGCTGTACGGCGTGTCGCTCCCGGACGACCCGCACACGATGGAGGTGCGTCTGATCGTGCTGCCGCCGCAGATGGGCTCGCAGATGGCGGTCAAGATCCCCGACCAGCTCCCGCAGCACGAGCTGCTGGAGGGCCTGGAGCCGCTGGGGTGGATCCACACGCAGGCGCGCGAGCTGCACGCGCTGTCGTCGCGCGACGTCTACACACACTCGCACATGATGGACACGAATCCGTCGTGGGACGGGAAGAAGACGGCGATCATCACGTGCTCGTTCATTCCGGGCTCCGTCTCCGTGGCGGGCTACAACATCACGAAGGAGGGCTACGACTGGGGCCGGCTGTCGAAGGACCAGGGCGCGAACACGACGGGGTTCGACGAGAACACGATGTTCCACACGTGCTCGGTGCTGTTTAGCGACAAGTTTTTGGGAAGCTTTTTGGTGCCCGCGGAGAACAGCTGGAATTACAACTTCCGGGGAAGCCAGTTCCGAGCCAACGATCCGTACGACGTGGTTCCGGATGTGCCGAAGGAGTACTACGATCCGGTAGGAGAGGGAAGAGGGATGGGGTTAATGGGTAGGTGCATCGCCCGGAGCATTTCAAGAACTTCTGTAACATCGAGCAGGACGGGCCGCAGGGCATCGAGCAAGAGAATGTAATGGAGCGGGAGGATGAGTTCAATTAAAAAAAGAGTGGGTTGTTTGTTGTAAATTTTGTTTTCGGCACATTTTTTGGAGAGTGTTCACCAGCTGAGGATGGAGGATGCGGAAGTGAAATCCCGAACGTTTGCGAAAGAGGAGTTCAGTATCGAGCGGGATTGTCTCGAAATGCTCCATCGCAAACCCCGTGTCTCTAAAAACGTTTTTCAAGCATACCACAAGGAGATTACGGAAATTGCAAAGGCGAGTAAGCAGTTGTTGCTAGATATTATAGAGAAGAAACGGAAGTAGGGGATTTCGCGTCGAAATACATGATTTCTAGATATGTCGCGTTCATTCAGCAGTTAGAAGACGATCTCCTATCCGAAAAGTCGATTCAGGAGCAACAATTTGTGGTCGTGGGAACAGCAATGAACGAATTGAAAAACAGCATTGCTCTGGTACTTTTACGTTTCGTTTTGCTAATTTCCAGGGAGAGTCTGAGAAGAAGCAGCTCCAGTCCGAAATTGCACGAATTCAGGAAGAGATTCAAGCGAGCAGTCAGCGCGTATTTTTGTCTTGATTCTTTGAAGCGTAGAAACAAGACGTTTCCACGATGCGCGACAAGCAGGCCTCGGAGATCCGTCTGCTGCAATCCCAAGTGGATTCGATCACCAACACCACCGAATCCCTTCGAAAGGAAAAAGAAGAGAGCGAAGCGACCAAATCGCAGCTAAGCTCCGCCTTGCAGCAGCAACAGCAAGAAATCGGCACATGCTCGCAAGTTTTGGAGGAATCCTACACGCAGAAGCATGTGAAGCTGACCGCGGACATCAATGAGAAGAGAGAGCAATTCGAGCGTCTGAAAGAGCAGTTCGCCTCGGAGTGCGACGCACGTGCCAAGGAACTCAAAGAGCTTCGACAGACGATCGAAGCGACCTCCAACCGTCTGCAAGACCTCGAGAGCCGAGCGAGCGAATTGCAGCAAAATTCGGCGGCCGCCGAAGCGGAGCTGTACGTGCACGCTGATTGGCTGACCCGCAGAGCGAACATTCGATCGAACATTCAGCAGATGGAGTCGGATTTGGCGAACACAACGTCGCGTTTGCAGTCGAGCACCAGCGAGATGACGGTGCTGTTGCAGCAGAAATCGGACACCGACACGTTCTACAGCCAGCGTGTGGACGTAGGCCGATCGAATTCGATTCGAAGCAGGCGCTTTCCGCGGAGAAATCGACGATCTACGAGCGCGTGGTGGAGGCGGACGTGCAGAAGGCGCAGGCGGAATGCGAGCGACGCCGCGTGCAGCAGGAGCTGGAGCGGAGGCAGCAGGAGCTGCAGGGTGATCGTGGAAACGTGGAATGAGGGGTAGAACATTCGAAGAAGGTGGAGGAGCTTCGGCTGAAGATCAGCCAGGCGGAGAAGGAGTCGGAGACGGGGAACACGATTCTGGCGCACAGCGAAGTGGAGATTGCGAACTGCAAGGAGCAGACCAAGCTGATTTCCGCGGAGATCGTGCGGAATTCGAATGGAATCCAGCGTAGGAAACGGTCGTCGCGTCGCTGAAGACCCGCAACGAGAAGATAACCGCGGAACTGGAGGAGTTGTCGATCCAATGCGAGGAGTTGGAAGACAAAGTGGCGTTGGTGTCGGAGGAACGCAACTCGCAAAAAGTCCGGATCGACAACCAGCTCCGTAGCGACCGCCTGGCTTTGGTTCAGCCAATAGAATCGCTGCAGGCTACGCACGCGGCGCTTCGGTCGCAGAACGCCTCGCTGCAGGCGGACTTTGCGAGCGTCCAGGAGATGAAGAACTCGTCGAAGGAGAGCGGACGGTCGCGGATTCGGAAGCTGCAGCAGTCGGTGCAGGCGTTGCAGCGCCGCGTGGATGAAACGTCCTACGTGGATACGATCTACACGGAGCAGAAGCAGCGGATTGAGAACCTGGAGAAGAAGGAAACGCAGGCGGAACAGACGCGTCGCATGCTGAGCGATAAGATTCAGTGCATTCTGGGGAACGTGGAGAGCGACATCATCGTGCACGAGAACGAGCGGTTTCTTCAGAACACGCTGGATATAACGCCCGATGAGACGGGCGTTTCGGTGTATGGGACAGGGCAGAAATCGGGGGTATTTGTGGCCGACCGCGTGTATTCGGGAGTGATCGAGAACGGGTCGATTCTGAGTCGGATCGAGGATATTTTGTACACGGCGTTGGACGGGAAGGTGATAACGATTTTGAACTTGGGAGCGATGCAGCTTTCGTATGATAAACGTGAATTTCTGTTTAGTATGTTTTGAATGAATGATCAAACAAAGACGATTCGTCGTTCGGTCTTTTTACGAATATCATTCGATTGTTACACGCACAAACCGAGCGATTGGCGCCCCTTCAGCAATATTACGATTTCTATGTTTCCATTATCGAAACCGATTTGTCCACCTCGCAGGATTTCACAACCGACGAGCAGGATCCCAGCGTTGGCGAATCGTTCATCGCCGACGAATCGGAGATCCACGATCTGCTCGAGATCGGTCGGTTTTCGATGGATTCGAGCAACACGAACTTGAAGCCGCTTCGACGACGCGAAGTGCGGAGCGAAGACGATCTTCAAGACGTGTTGGGGCTGATCAATCGGCAGCGAGCGTCGATTTCTCCGAATGATCAATCCGACGGAATGACGTTTGTGATGACGCTGTGCGGATGCGAGAGAAACGTGAGGAATAGAACGATCGAGGGGGGAGAGATGAAGTCGGACCGGCGGATTTGCGGGCAGATTCATTTCTGCGATGTGTCGTTTCCGTATGGAATGAAGTTCGATGGTAGGCGATCAGGAGAGAGAGGAGTTATTTCGAAGCTCCGAATTCTGTGCAGAATTTCTTGTGGAGATTGACGCCTGCGTTAGAGCTCGTGATGGCGAATGCGCCGCTGCAGGAGCGAAAGAAGACGATGACGCCTTTGCAGCAGCTTCTTTCTGTAGAGAGCGTGTGGATGGATTGAGGGTAGTTGTTGAGTAATAATGGGAAAGTGATCGGGTTTACGCACGTGCAGCTGTTTCCGGTGGATTTCAGCGAGACAGTGGCTTTCTTGTCGTTCGCACAGTGGGGAGCGGAGTGGGAGTGGCATGTAGAACGCTCGCGAATTGCAAACTGGGTCCTGCGGCGAGTTATTATGTAGAATAGAGTGTGTTTGTTTGAAACGGGAAGGAGGAGGTGTGATGAGAAGGGAAGGGAAGAGAAGAATTAGTGGATGGATGTAAGGAAGAATGAAACATTGGATGGATGTAAGGAAGAATGAAACATTGGATGGGTGTAAGGAAGAATGAAACATTCAATGGATGAACCATTCAATGAATGAACCATTCAACGCATTTCTAAATCAATGAATGAATCTCCACCATCGTGTATCCATCATCAAACACTTCAAAACAACCAGAGATATTACACAAACAAATCGATTCTTCCACACTTCCTTCCTCCATTTCACTTTTCTGGATTCAAACTACGAATAATGTCCGAGTATTGCTTCGGCGATCTTCCCCTCCTCGGTCCACAAATCTCCTCCATGTCCACCGACGTTATCGTCTCCTTCTTCAACAATCTCTCCGCCACTTTCTCCATATTCTCTCTGTTTGTCTCCAGCATTTCCAGCGCTTGCTTCATCGACTGCGTCAAAATCCTCTGCGTCGCGAAGTCAATCTCCCGCCCCGTCGCCTCACTACCCTCGAGTTTCCACGTTTCCCCTACCTGAACGGCTTCTGGAAGCTCTCTCCCATCTGCTGATAATTCACCGGTCCCACCGTCTCGTCGAAGCCATAGCCCGTCACCATATCCGTCGCCAGCTTCGTGGCCTTGTTCAGATCGTCCGACGCGCCGGTCGTCATGCTTCCGCAGAATAGTTTCTCCGCGGCGCGGCCGCCCATCAGCTGCACGATCATCTCGCGGAGTTCCTCTTGCGAATAGAGCGGTATCTCCTTAGGGAGGCTCTGCGTGAAGCCCAGCGCGCCGTTCGAATGAGGCACGATCGTGACTTTGAGCATGGGGTCCACGTGATCGCTGAACCAGCCAATCATCGCGTGTCCTGCTTCGTGATACGCGATTCTCCGCTTCTCCTCGGGGGTCATGAGGTTGTGCTTCTTCTCCATGCCGCAGAGCACGCGATCGACCGCAGAGATCAGATCGGTGAGCTGCACTTTCTCGTGTTTGTTGCGGATGGCGATGATCGCCGCCTCGTTCACGATGTTGTTGATATCCGCGCCTGTGTACCCCGGCGTCAATTCTGCGAGCTGCTGCGCCATTTCGTCGGTGTCCCCGTCCAGCACCACTTTCGACAGATAAATCTTGGAGATCTGCTTGCGACCCTCCAGGTCGGGTTTGTCCACTGCGATGTGGCGGTCAAAGCGACCGGCGCGAAGCAGCGCGGGGTCCAGAATGTCCATTCGGTTGGTTCCGGCGAAGATCGTGATGCCGTCGCGCGGCTTGAAGCCGTCCATTTCGATCAGAATCTGATTCAACGTCTGCTCGCGCTCGTCGTTCGACCCCGAGAACTTCTACCCATCAGCCAATCCAATCGCGCCAACGCCTTCGCCTCGCTTCTTCCCCACCGCGTCGATCTCGTCGATAAACACGATGCACGGCGCGTTCTTCCGCGCCTCCGCGAACAATTCGCGCACTCGCTTCGCTCCCAATCCCGCAAACACTTCCACGAAATCCGAACCGCTGATACTCAAAAACGGAACGTTTGCTTCGCCTGCCGCCGCTTTCGCCAGCAACGTTTTACCCGTTCCTGGAGGACCCGACAAAATCGCTCCCTATTCCATCAGAAAGGAGAAACGTGGAAACTTTGGGGAGTTTCGCGCCGAGAGCGGCGTATTTGTCTCCGTTCTTGAGGAAGTCGATGAATTCCATGATTTCCTGCTTCGCCTCATCGATTCCCGCGACATCTTTGAACGTAACTCCCGTGTTCTTGACGATTTCGACTTTGTTGGATCCGAGACTTAAAATCTCGCGCGTGGAGGCTCCGGATCTTCGAACCAAAAGCAAAAAGATTCCAATGGTGAAGAGAGAGAAGAGAAGACTCGACTCTCCTGGTGTTAAAATGTTGAACGTGTAGCCAATCGGAATGAATTCTTGGCGCGTTTTGCCTGCAGAAGCTTGAACTTCTTCGATGGTCTGCAGGAAGAGATTGATATCATGAACTTTGAACCGGTAGATCTTGTTCTGGGGCTCTCTCTTTTTTGTTTTTTTAGGGTCGACTTTCGTTTGTGCTAGTGTGAAACAAGAATGAAGAAATGTACTTTCTTTGAGCATGAACGTCACGCTTCCAGTTCTGGATATCCTCATTTCTTTGACTCTTCCAGAGAGAAGGTACTCATTCATAAATGTGGAGTACGGGATGCTGACAGTGTCTCCATCAAGCGATTCAAAGCGAGATATGATATATAAGAAGAGCATTTGGAAAAGCTACGTGGAGATGGTCATGAAAGAAGAGATACGATTAGATAGATGTTATTCAGAGCGCCTCCGTCGTTCGATGAAGAACTGCGGAAAGACTCTTCATTCGAGTCGTCAGGCTGTTCTTGGGAAGCTTTTTTCGACTGTTTGTCTGGCGAATCGCCCGAAGTATTCTTGTCAGTGGACTCGTTCGCTTTTTCATTCGCTTCCCTGCCTTTCACCTCGCTCGATTCTTCGTCTGCTGCGTCATTCGATTGCTTCTCTTTCGCCTCCTGCTGAGCCCCACTCTGTACAGACGCCTGTAAACTCCTCAGTTTATCCAAGAGCTGCTGCGCAAGCGGACGCAGAAACGAAGGAATCGTTCCATCCTTCAGTTCTTTCTCCAAAGCATTAATAGAACTCTCACCCTGCTTCAACACTTGCTCCGTAAAGTCAGAAAACTGCTGCACCTCTTCACTATCTCCCTCAGCTGCTTTGGAACCTTTCGATTCGTTCTCTCTCCAAAACCCTGACTTTCTTACTCCTGACACTGCTTCTTGAGACTTCTTACTCGACTGCGCCCTTTCCTCTATCTTTTTCATCTCCTTCTCTAAGACTTTTCTCATTATCGGAGAAACTTCGCCCGAATTTAGCATTCTTCTCACCGTCTCGTTGTACTTTTCATCGATCGACTGCGATCCCTGACCCACTTTGCTATCGAATAACTTTTTGCTCTCTTTGTCAACGTTTTCACCAACTTCGTCAAATGAACCTTTTACTCCCTGTTGCTTACTCTTGTCCCCTTTCTTTGATAGACTACCTTTTCGAAAAAAGCTAGAATTCCGTCTAAACAAACGGGAAGAATAGCCTTTTCGTACAACAAAAAGGGGATATCTACTATATGATAATACAGAGCTGAAAGCCTATTTTATAATTAAAAGTACGAAAACAGTACCCGTCGCCAAACAGGCTGATTCATCTCACGACTGCAATATCGAATAAAAATTGCAGCGCTCATAACAGCAAATTTCCCAAACTACAAAAATAGATTTTTATAAACTATTTGTAGTTTTTGGAATGCCTAGAAACGACTCCTTGGACGATGACTTTGATTTTCGGATTGAAGATACGGAGTCTGATGTATCGCTTATGAAGCGAGTATACAAGAATGAGGTTGTTCGTGCTTTTTATGTTGTAAGGACCATATAGATTGCTCCGGAGATTCTAGATTACAAATTAGAGCTAATATCAAATTTAAAAGAACGGATTTCTATTTTCGTGGGGATTTTGGTTCTGAATAACAAAAAGGAAAAAGAGCGCGATAGAGAACCCACTGATGACATTGACAGTTCATTCAAGATGATGCTTTACGAAGTAGAATAGCACTTATCATTTCGACCTAGATGGATGTCGAACGTGTCCGATACTTGATAGTGAGTTATTTGCGCGTGCGATTGCAAAAAGTAGGGTTGAGTGATTCGTCATTCACTAGATTGAGCGGTATCACAAATATATCATAGAGCACGATCAACTCTCTCGCTTATCAGCGGACGAGGCAGAATATATCAAGGGATTTTCAGGTCTTACAGAGCGGTATTTTGATGCTACCTTCTTCCATCACTTCAACAATCCTCCGTATGTAACGGAGGATGAGAATTTGAACGAGAACAGTAAAGGTTTTACGCTTTTTTGATATAGTTCGTGTCATTCTCAATTTCAAACATTCCAGAGAGGATGAGATGAGCTGTTCGATTCTTTGACAAATCTCACATGTAGCTCCCTTTGTAAATAAAAAGAAACTCGTAGGTGTTCGACTACACAAAAAAGGAGAGCCATTTGAAATCTCGGTCGATGAAGAGGCCGAAGGCGGAGAGATAAGCAGTGTCCGAATAACGAGCGAGCAGTGGACGATTGTGGAATATGAGCTGATAGAACCTTATCTGTTGGGAAGTACCTATTTTGAATTATCATTTTCTGTTTGAGGGAGCAAATGAATAGTATCATTCTTGAACAACCAAGAATCATATACACACTGGTACTACAAAAATAGTACTTGTTTTGTTTTTTTTATATTTTGAAAAATGAGAAAAGAGTTAGTAATTTTGCAATTCCATTTTTCAAGTATCCTTGGTAAACAAGGCTAATGATCACTATCCGTGGCAATTCAGAAAACTATCCATTCACGAGTTAATATTGAGAAACTATGGGTATAATTTGATTCTATATGGCGAGTACTTGGTTCTAATCGTATTATAGGTATTTGTCGTGATTCTCGCCACAAGCGTCGTTTGACCGGAGGAAAGGTTGTGATCAACATCAAGAAGAGAAAGTTCGAGATGGGTCGTCAGCCTGCCATGACCAAGCTGGGAGCCAAGAGAATTTACCTGGTCCGCTGCCGTGGTGGAAACATTAAGCACCGTGCTATCCGTCTGGATACTGGTTCGTTCTCCTGGACTGGAGAGGGTGATTTTTGTCCAATGAAGTGATTTGTAGCTTTCTCTGCGAAGACCAAGATCCTGAACATTGTGTACAATGCGTCCAACAACGAGTTGGTGCGTACGAACACCATTGTGAAGGGCTGCATTGTTTCGATCGATGCGACCCCCTTCAAGGCCTGGTTCGAGAAGCACTACTCCTGCAAGATCGGAGCGAAGGGCGAGGTGACGAAGGACGATCTGACCAAGCTGGAGGGCGTGAGCAAGTCGAACCTTGCGAAGCTGCAGAAGCTGCAGGATTCCCTTCAGGAGCAGAAGGAAGTGATCGATCAGCTGGCTTCGGGTAAGATCCTGGCTCGCATCTCGTCGCGTCCTGGTCAGTGCGGTCGTGCTGACGGATACATTCTGGAGGACGAGGAGCTGGCGTTCTACCACAAGAAGATCAACCAGAAGAAGAAGTAAGAGATGAACGTGATGGATATGTGAATTGTTTGTTAAAGATTGGATGTTTTGTTGATAGGGAATTTAGATGTGATTAGAATTGGAAATGAATGTAATTGACGAATGAGAACATAAAAGAATTGGTCAATTGAAATGATTGGATGGACAGATACTATGTATGAACAATTCATCTACTTAGAATTAGAATTAGTATGTAGGTGGAAAGGAATTGAAATCATTCATCGTGTTAAAGTGTGTTATTGACATTCATCCAAATTAGTTAATTCAGTTTTTGTAATTTCTAAACAGACATTGAATTGAGGAATCCAATTAAAGTACAATCCATTCAAATAAATATAAAAATTGGAAGTTGTATATTCCACACTTCTGTTTCAGGTTTTCGGTGAAAGGAGGTGTTGATATGACATTAAATATGGTGTAATAAGATCTTCCAAAACTGCATTCAATACTGTAGGTGGTTGAATAACCAATATGTAATGTTCTGAAACATAATCTTCTATACTTAGCAAAAATTAAGATAATTATTGAGGATGAATCAATACAGTGCTACATATATTATTCTGCTCTGACTTTTAGTCACCAGCATTCTCCTTCAAGTCCTTCAACTATCTCTTGTATTACAACAAGCAATAACACTTCTCACACATACTCTCTAATGCGCAGCAGAAATGGGAGTCAAAGCTTCCCGAATACACGATCCATACCCCTCTTTATCTACAAAAATCGCCAGTTTCTTTGCTTGTTCGGCCACCTCCATACTCACCGAATAATATGAATCAAAACAGCCACTGATATCCTTGAATCCATCCTTCAAGAACTTGCTTTCGCCACTCTTCGTCTCCACGTACACCTTCACATAGCAGCACGGAATGCCCGCATGCGTCTTCTTATCCATCACTCGCAACTGTCCAGACTTCACAGACAGCGCCACAAGCAGCGAATTGTTCAGCGAATAGCAGACTTCGCGCAGCGTTCCGTTCCGTTCCGTACTTTCACCAAAACATTCTTCTCCTTGTATTCTATCGGAAGCGTGTAGCAAAACTCGCCCACGCCATCGACTTCAGGAGGCAGCTGGACATGCTGCGTGTAGTTGGGACGAATGAAGAGCGACGAAGACTTGTTGAACACGAAGGAATTCAGACTGAAGAGCAACTCCACATCCAGCTCGTAGAGATTGATGTCTGCCTCGCGTAGATTGTAGTAGTGCAGCGTAATCACCTGATTCGTGGATGACACTTCGAGCGAACTGTCCATATTCATTTGCGATCGTTTCGATTTGAATTTATCGTGAGCAAGGTCCAATTCGTCCCTGATTTCGAAGGTCTTCTCGACATCCATCGTTCCATCCACGCTTTTCACCATCGAAGAAATGTTGCTGAATAGATTTCGCCAGTACAGAACTGGATAGGACTCATAGCGAGCACAGATCTCGCGAGCCTGCGTCAAACTCTCCGTGAAACAATCAAAATACGCGATCATATAATCGACCTGGACGTTGCAAACGCAGTCTGCGCGCGGAACAAAGCGGCCTTCTCGCTCTTCACAGACGAACTGTTTAAACACAGAAAGGGCAGTCATCACACGATCCTGAAGAATCAAATAATACACCAACAACGCGTAATCATTGCATGTGGGCTTCTTTTGCATCAGATACTTCAAGAAAAGCTCGTATTGCTTCTTTAGCTTGTCGTTCGGAATGTTCATGCTCTCTCCTAATCGGAAACAACGATTATTCACGTAGGGTTTGTACTCGCGAATATTGAAGAGTCCCTCAGCCACTGAATCGATCATGAGCATCGGCGAAGAGAATGCCAATCCAACACGCTTCCTCATTCTCATTCCCACAAGATCCTTCGTGGACTGCAGATCGCGGTGTTTCACTCCGAACTTCCAGATATCCTCGTTATAGAATCAAATTCTACTCAGCTCGGCAACCAGCTTCGTAAAGAACGAAGCATTGGACAGTCTGCCCAGCACATACTTCCATTCCAGCTCCTGCACATCATGTGATCGAATGGAATCAAACAGAACGTCCTCCGAAGCGTTGAGTGCCACATCTTTCCACGAAGTGACATCGAGCGTCTTCGCCTCCTTCACGCAGTGGAGCGTCGTGAAGGAAGGAGACGCGACAGCGAGGATGGTCGCCTTTGTTGAATCGATGATGTGCGCTGGAAGATGCTCAAAGTCTCTAACCTTCGGGAAATAGAACGAATAACTCAACGTGCAGGTGCTGAAGGCATCGATTGTCTTCACCTCGTTCACCAAAGACTTGAGATTGGATAGAGGGTACGATCCCCGCGGAATCTGATACATGACCTCCACGACTTGCTGGATGGGAGCCACATTCGTAATGACAATCATGCAGGTGTACGAAACTCCCGCGACGAACTCGTTGGTTTCCATGAAACGCTCCACTTTCTTCCCGTTCACTGTCTTCCAGTGATTGCTGTTATCGATGTACTTGGTCAGCACCATGAGAGGACAATCCGCAGGCTTTGTTCCCTCCTTCAGCATTATGTGGAACACGAACACGGGCGAGTTCGTGACTAACTGCGATTTCTGTAGGTGATAGGCGGCTTCTTCACTCTGAATCCCCAGCACAGACAGGCAGAATAATACTTCCGAACCAGAGTGAGTGCAGAGAATGAAGTCTTTGGAGAGGAAGGGAAAAGACGAGCCGCTGCGCAAATGATGGGAAAAGGACGCCCAAAACGCTGAATTGGGAACAAGACTCACAGGAGAAAACATTTCAGTGCTTTGGTAATAGTATCCCTCTTGATACTCCTTCGTTTTCTCTAATCGTTCGTAGTGATGTTCTACACTCTTCTTCTTTTTGTAAGTGCCAATGTCTTCCATTCGATCAGCCGACTGAGCAATGAATCGATGAGATGGCATGGCATCCATTCGACACATTCGTGGAACGGCCATCGGAGGAGGCATTGGCATAGAACAATAATAGACTGCATCAGACATACACTCAGAGTCCATGCCTCCATTACAAGCTCCAAATCCCATTATTCTTGGTCCAAAATTAGAATCAGTAGACCTCACACACATCTTTGGTTTTCTAGCTCCATAAAGCATTGGCTTTGGTCGATATAACTCTTCCATAGGACGAAGAATAAAGTCACTTAGAACTTCTTTTTCTACCTCAAGTGGAAGCACAGAAGGCGGCGCATTCCAACTCTTCAGATTCATCGCACTTTGGAAAATGGAGGCGAACGCAAAGCGAGAAAGAGGATTGTGCGCAGCATTATTCTTCATCCCAAGTTCGATTGTTGCGCCTTCTTCTTCAGAAACTCGACTGGCCAGCAAAGCGCGCTAAAAAGCATTCAGACGCTCAAAGAATTGGGGTTGAAGGAAGCGAGACACATCGCCCCCAGTAAGCCACACATCCAAAAATGATTTCTCGACCTTCAATTGCAGAGAAGAAGCGAGATATGCGTCAAAGAAGGGACGGTCACGGAAATAGATGAAGACATTCACTTCCGAGCAGTTGTATTTGCTGTACAATCGCATCTTTTTCTTCTCGTTCATGCTGTCCTATGAAAGAAGGAACGAGAATTGTTGTAGCCTTGAATCGTCCAACAACACCTTCAAAAGCAGCCATACATCCTCTAGAGACGCCAACACTTGCATCTCTGACTTGCTATCAATCGACAACGGTTCCTCCGCCGTTACTACCGATATCTGCTTCTCCTCTGTGTAATTCTTCGAGGGATCCAGCGATTCCTCCAGCTCTTGCTGCTGAACCATCAGTGAAACACGGTCATCCTCGCTCCCAGAATAGAACAACACAGTGTCCAAGAAGCGACCTTCATCCACTGCAACCACTTCAACCTCGCATCCATTCTCCTTGTAATCACTCAGATCGATTTCTGCTTTTCCATCTACCATTTGGATGTTCGGCAGCAAACGAGAAAACAAACGGATCGTCTCACGACTATCGCGCTGCTTCATATCCTTTGGAACAACATCCAACTCATCTCGTGTCTTGGAAACGTAGGCTCCTTGACATTCTTCATGCTTTTCTGCAAAGTTCGTTCCGGCCGATGCCTCCTTCGCTTTCGTCGTCGTTTCATCCACTTTGATTGGATTTATCAGCAATCCAGGAGGAGGCAGCATGTTGCCAGGCAGTGTTCGATTCGCTCGCTTTCGTCCCTGGATGTAGTCGTACTCTTCTGGAAGTTCACGATCATTCACGATGAGAGAAGAAACGGGATCTAGCTTAATTCGCGCATAGGAAGGATTGTTCAGATCTCGAATGTGATTGCCTAGCATCAAACTCTCGTAGAACGACTTGAGCAACACATGAACGTGCGCAGATGGTGTGATTCCATAAAGCTGGATCGTAAGATGCTGATCGTTCGGCGTGCAAATCATTGAAATGGGAGCATTGCTCAGTTGTCGAGCCCAGGAGCCAAAGAACGCATAATGCTCAGTAATGTTCATCTTGGAAACTTGATAAACGCTAATTCGAATCGTGTACAAGGTTCCATTCCTATCTCGAACATACAACACATATTTTCCATGCTTCAGATTGTGAATCAAAACATTGCCATCGACCCTTGCCAAACAAGATTGCAAGGATTCAATTCCGTCCTCGCTCTTCCTGATACGAAATTAAGTAAAACATTCGAGTGTAACTGTGGAAGTGGTATTGAAATCGTATCCGAATCATTCACATCGGCTGGTACAACTCTGAAACAAGCAATCACACTTGTTGCCAGTAGATCATATTTGATCACGATTGATGCGGTGATTTCATGTTCGAACTATGAACAGGTGCTAATGGGATTCACAAGCACGCCGAAATTAGTAATCGGTGCAGACGCTACACGTATTATCAACATTCCATTGAACAATCTCGTGCCTACCACACTTGTGAGTGGTTCGTCCGTGATTACACCGACAAAGACGAATCCAATGACGATCGAAGTGGTTGGTAGTGTCGCCACTACGATCACACATTACTTTACAGGATTGAAGGTGAGCGTGGTTAAAATGTAAGAGAGGGAACCATGGCCAATGTGAAAGGCAAGCCCGCCAATTCACTTTGGCAAGCGCACATGGAACTTGTTGATTTTGTCCTTTTTATCCTCTCAGAAAATCAAAGATTTCCCCTTCTCTAACCCCTTTATTTATCCTCTAATGAACTCTTCAATTTTGGTATGATCAAAGACCACGCCGTAGATTATGATTTCGATGGTTCCAATGAGCGGACAGACACAATGACCATCGATGTTGTACCTGTCGACTCCGTAAGGATCCATTGAATACAAGAGCAAGTGCTATACTTCGTAGCTATCCTGATCACAGATGGTTTGAAGTATGTGCTTAAAGTCGGCTGAGTAGAACTAGACTGATAGAGGCATGTTTTCAAAGTCTTTTAACATTCCCGTATCTGGATAATCGACGAACGAGTTGATCATGTCGAATATGTATCGCCAGGCAATTTCACGTCGTTCTTCAGTTATCCAGTAGTTCATTTCTATTTAGTAAATACATGATTTCACTCTAATCTCTGTTGGACTGATTGTGATGTCACTTCCACTATCATCTTTGGATTCATTCTTTTCGTTGTAAACACATAGACAGCTACAGCGATCTTTGCTTTTCGAGTCTAGCACCAGTTTGTGGTTCTTCCTCTTACTCATCCATTTCCATATTCCTTTCAACCATTGAATAAAGCGGCTCATTTATGAATGAGATCAAGGAACTATGGAAACCAGCAAAACGAAGAGGTGCAACTCGAATGATCATCAGTGGATTCAAGCGAAACATATACTTCATCGATCTTATCGATTTCTCTTCCAAACAACACAAATCGATACAGGAAGTATTAGGAAGACAAAAGAGTACCGGATTCTACAAGAATCGTGGATACAAATATGTCCTTGTATGGATTGATGGATATTCGAAATACCTGATGACTCGGAAACTGAAAAGCAAGAGTGCTACAGAAGTCACTCATGCGATGAAGGATATCATTCAAACATATGGCGAATCATCAAAGCATATTTGCTCGGATCGAGGTACCGAATTCACCAATGCGATCTTTCGTACCAACATCTTGAACAAGTATGACATCACCATGTATCACATGGATTCAGCGAATAAGGCAGTACTAGCTGAACGAACAATTCGAGATATCAAGGAATACATCATGGTTCCATTCAATCAATGGAAAGGTGTATGGTTTGATTTGATCGATGGTGCCGTTCGTAGACATAATGGAAGGAAGAACAGAGACATCGGATATACATCCAATGACATTTGGCTTAACAACAACAACAACTATATCTTGTACACGGAGAAAACAGAACCATCCAACATGACAGTAAAGGACACAACACCTCAATTCAAGGTTGGTGATTATGTTGGAGTGACACGAAGACCTCGCATTCTGGAAAAGCGATCATTGACGAGCAAATGGTCTCAGGACTTGGTTGAAGTTGTTGACATTGACGATCACATCATGCCACTGATGTACGAAGTGAAGAATGTGAAAAGCGATAGCACACAGAAGTGTTATCATTGGGAACTGCTGGCTAGCAAATGCAAACCACAACCAGCACCACCCATCACTCGATCCAAGAGTGGTAAAGAACCCAATGCATTGAGAGAGGCAGCAAGATCACATCGACCCATTACGAGCACCCAGAAGAAGAAGAAACAACCTCGCCCAAGTGTTCGAAAACGATCGTGATACTCTTCACACCTCTCAGACATACAAGAGAAGGGATATTCGTGAATACAGAGATCGTATGACTCTCACTTGTCCATTTTATTCTACTTATCAGTTTGGTATGGGAAAGGGTCACAAGATTGTTGAATATAACGATGAATGGCACATCGAGCAATCACACACCATCCATTGAAACACTCACCTTGTATCCCTTATCCACAACCGATTCGATGGAATCACAATGTTTGAATAGGTCATCATTCTCATTGTAACATGGAATCGATGTGATCGCCAGATATAAAGCAGAAGATAATTGGAATTGGCATTGATTATTGAATGGTTGAGTGGATGTGTGTGTATGTTCAAAGAGTGTGGCATTATTGACTTTCACAAAACACCCAGAAGGTATCGTCCATGAATATTGAGGAACGCCATCCACTGTCTCATGCACGATGACATATTTGCCATCGTTCTCTGGCATATTGATGAGCATGTTATCGAGCTTCTTGAACGAGTAATTGTTTGGATTGCTGCTGAATATGTACGACATTGATTGATTCAATTTACTTTGGTTGATTTCGTTCATAGGGTTTGACATAAACACCCTTCAAACAAGCTCCATTCATATTCGAATATGTGAACCTGTTGAATGAGAAAAGAGCCAAATTCATCACTACTGTGGAGAAGAACCTATACAAGTTATTGGCAAACTCGACACATGGCAAATATGTGGTGACTGGGTTGAAACGAGTGAAAGTGGAGTTCGTCACCATATTGATCGTGTCCATATTACTGAATTTTACTTGATTGGGTTTGAATAGCACAGTCATGGACGTGATGTAAGGATCCTTAAACTTGGAAGGGTTGATTCATTCGAATGAACCATTACTAGGTGAACCTTGTATGAGCATGGAGTAATGCATGGGTAATCTCTATTTAACAAGGGATGGGACGCGAGGTGATAAATGGTGCGATGTGAATAAGCCTATTTTTCGACCTTATTCATATGAAGAACAGAGATACAAGTTGCCCCTGTGAGCAACAAGAAACACTCGTTGCCAGGGGTTAGAGGGCGACTTTGATTGGAATCATATTCACGCTCTCTTCGTCAATTACATTCAACTAGCACAACTTCAGTAAGGTATTCAAGAAGATAGATAGATAGATATCAATGTCTATCTTCTATATACATACATATATATCTGAAAAGTAATAGTTTGATTGTTGCCTCCAACAAATAATCAGCCAGATATGTCTCACAGCTTGATATTGGACAACTACTCATTCCCATAGAGTCCATTCTTATGGATTTCAGCTTTATCATCAACAATACTGATATCACTATTAGTGAGTAATTCTATTCATCCTAATGAGTTGGGAACCAAAGCATTTCACTTTCATCAACCAACTCAAACAGCAAGTATTATGTATACTATTGTTATTCATGTTCGTAATAGAACAACATTGTGAATCACTTTGTATCCCTATTGAAGTGTACAATTCGATCCTTCCTTTAAATAGGAGATATTCTGCATTATTTGGCAGGTGGGGGATACTATATGGATTAGAATAAGGGATAGTATTCTCTGGCAATATAACAAACTCTGATAGGTTCAGAGTGCATCAAAACGACAAAAACTGCACACCAACTATCCAAAAACCTAGAAACAGTGGAATATGAATATATCTCTATTTGTTCGTATAAAATATATTATGTATTCTACCTTATTTTGCTCAGTTCTTCAACGACACACCCACCTTTCTCACAAACTCTACTATTCGATTCTACTATACACATATCACATATTATTACTATAAATGATAACCCAAAAACTGTTTATCGCTAGCTTTTCCATTTTCATTCCTATCATCATCTTCTACATACCCTATTTCTTTCTATCCCATCTAGATTAGATTCCAAATGAATAGAACGAAAAACAAAACGCTTCCACTGGAAACAACACTCTTCGATCTATTCATTCCACAATATCCCATTTCCGCTCATTTCCTTCCACTTCACAGTAAAAACAACTCCCTCCCTATTCGAAATCTATTCTTCCACTCATACCCAATTTCAACACTATTTTCACAATTGCACAATTCCTGTGTATTTTTGAAATCATTTGTTTTACAATAAAAGCTATTAGCTTCGTCTTACTGGGTTTGAATGTATTCAAAATTTGGAATTGGACTTGTATGTTCTGTCTTTTGTTATGTTTTGTTTTGTTTTCGGACTTCTATGTGTTTTTGTGTGTTGTGTTATGGGAGTGTAAGTATTGTAGCTGGGATGGGTTCTGTCGTCAAGTTGGTGTGTTTGAAGAAGCTAGTGTAGTCTGCGCTATCGGTACTTTGACTAAACTGTGTGTGTGAGATATGCATCGTGAACGCATTCAATACCATAATGGGGGTGGACCCTGGTTCCATTTTTGCTGTGTGGAGTGTGTTCCGAGTGAGGAATTTCTGTACTTCAAACTGTGCAACGTGGCGAACCCATTCATGTCATGTGGGACCGCGGATACATGGATATAACTTGCAACGTGGGAGGTATCTGGTACAGGCACGACGTTCTTGCCTAGGATATCTGTTCTGTTTCTCGTATTTTCATTTTCATATTGTGAGGTGGTAGAGTGTGGTAGAGAGAACGGATTTGCGATGAGTGAAAGGGCAAACTATGGGAGGAAGAGCTGTAGGTTTGTAGAAGCGGAGCGTATGTGGAACTTGGGAGAATGGGACAAGAAGGCGGAGTATGCGAACTGCTGTGGGTACGGTCCTCGCCTCTGATTGATGCGAGTCGAGTGAACTGGAATGGGCAGTGGGAGCAGGCGAGTTCCAAGACGGTGCAGTTCTGCATTTGTGGGTCTGTTGAGCATGGGAAGGTGGAGGTGTGCGTGGTGTGGGCGTGTGGGAAGTGTTGGAATGGAAGAGAGGTGAGGTGCGTGGCGGTGGTGTGCCCCGCGGACGAAGCGGCGGGGTAGCCAGAAGGGCACTTGGGGCAAGTGTTGGATACGAAGTGCGATGTGGACTAGTGGGGCATGATCACGGATGGGTGCAACGCCTATCAGCAGTGGGAATCGATCGATCGATCGATAGGGGACGGGCTCCTGCCAGCCCATCCTGCCGATGCTACGCTGCGTGGCGGGCGATGGGGCGAGGGACGTGGCGCTGTGGACGATGGGAGATGGGAAGCAATCCACGATGTACTGCACGAGCAATGTGGGCGTGGGCGAGGTGATCAACGACCCATTCGAGCCCATGAACATCCACATCGTGTTTGAATTGGCCGAGGCCACGTTCTCCTATCCCACCACCGCGATCTCCATCTCCGACAACACCATTGGGTTCGCCTTCGCCTTCGCGTTCGATGGCTCCTTCCCGCGGTTCTGCGAAGGCACGCACGCTCTACATCAATGCCAACAGGTTGGTGTCCCGAAACGGCCTCCCCTTCCCCGCGGAAACCCTCATCGCGACCTTCTCGACCCGCGCCGGCGTTCGGTTGGCGTTCGGTTGGCGTTCGGTTGTGGCCTGCTCGCATTGTGGAGAGCGCGATTGGGATGAGGGAAGTGGAGTAGGCGCAGCGCAGCGCAGCGTGTCTGTGCAGATGGAGGTTCCCTGGAGCAGTGGCATCTCCGATGAAGCCCCGATGGATGGCCTTGATGGGCAGCAATGTGCAGAGCCAGTTCTTCGAGACGCGCTCCGTGTTGGTGGCGGGCGCCATTGTGAACAGCGTGATGGCCATCAGCTGGCGTGTCCGCAAGGGCGCCTCCTGGTCCGCCTTCGCGTCCTTCTCCGTCTACCGCCCCGTCGTGCTGCTGCCTGCCTGCCTGCCTGCCTCCGCGCCCGTCGTGCTGCTGCCGCCTTCGAAGCCACGCAGGTGCGCTGGGTCTGGTGGTGGTGCGAGCTCTTCGTGCAGGCCTTGGTTGGCTCCCACTCCCAGCTCTTCGCCGCCGACGCGCTCCTCCAAGAGGGCGACGTCCAGCAACCCGAGCTCTCTCTCTCTCTCTCGATGCGTGCGTGGCCTACTCGCTGCGCGTGGCGCTGTGCTCCGCCGCGTGCTCCATCCTCTCCGAGGCCTCCTCTCCCATCACCCTCGCCGCGTATGTCGTCGCGCCCGGCGCGGTGCAGAACCTCGAGGTGGCCGCGCTCTCCTCGACCTCGCTGCGCGTGCAGTGGGCAGAGCCGGCGGAGCTGGGCGGCGCCAGCATTCGGTACTACGTGGTGCGACGCTCGTGGATGGCGTCGATGGCCGTGATCCAGAGCGAGAGCGAGAGCGAGGTCGCCAGCACGAACTGCTTCCTGGACCTGCAGAGCGTGCAGAGCGTGCAGAGCGTGCAGAGCGTGCAGAGCGTGCAGAGCGTGCAGAGCGTGCAGAGCGTGCAGAGCGTGCAGAGCGTGCAGAGCGTGCAGAGCGTGCAGAGCGTGCAGAGCGTGCAGAGCGTGCAGAGCGTGCAGAGCGTGCAGAGCGTGCAGAGCGTGCAGAGCGTGCAGAGCGTGCAGCACGCGCCCATCTATCTGAGCGTGGCCGCGTTCACCGGGTATCTCTCCCGCCAAGAGAAGATCCCCGCGGTTCTGTATGCGGTGTGTGTGGAATCAGGCGGAGGGCATTGAGTGGGACTGTGCGATGGCGATTACCGGATCCTTCCATGATCTCTGCACCGCCACGTGCGAGCTTCGCGCTCCCGCCACTTCCTCCTTCCTCCTTCCGCCGAACCGTCTGGTTCCCCGCGGGACGCGATGTGTGGGACGTGTTGGAGGGTGGGATCCCCGCGACTTCCTACACGCTGGAGTGCGTCCCGAGCGAAGTGGGCAGTGCCGAGTGGATGGGCAGGCAATTCGGAGTGTCCACGATGGCCACGTCGGAATTCGTTGGGTGTTGGTGGTGGACGGCGAGCCAACCTCCTCGCTCACCGGTTCGCTCTGGGTGTGGGTGTGGGTGTGGGTGTGAGTGAGCAGGAATCTGGTGGGCGATGGGGTGGGGTCCGTGGCTCCCTACGAAGGTGTGCAGAGTCGACCGGGCTCTCTGGATCTCTTCCTGTCCAACTGGGCGCAGAACGCCACCGTGGTCTCCGTCACCCAGCCCCTCCGCCTCCGCCTCCGCCTCCGCTTCCGCTTCCTCTTGGCCTACGACGTGACCGGCGCGCTCATCCGCACCCACCTCGTCGATCACGCCTGGTGCGCCGTGGGTCGCGATGTTTCCACGTTTCCACGATCCAGACCGATTTGGCAGTTGCTGAGAGAGAAAGAAAGAGAGAAATGGTTGCGGTGTTTGGTTTGGAAGATGGATGGATGGATGGATGGATGGAATTGTAGAGATGTGGAATGGTTGAAGCGTTGTAGGATTTGAATGAGAATCGAAAATGTGCTTAGGAAGGAAAGAAAGAAAATGTAGATTTAGAGTGTGTAGGATGTTGGAATGATTTAGAAACATGAACAGAATAATCCAGAACGAGGAACCAAACGACTCTAGTTGATAGGAATAATAATAGTAATAGAGTGCTGTGAGTTGATAGTTGAAACAAAGAAAGATAGATAGAAAGAAAGTGTATTTAGAGTTAGTTGGTTGGTTTAGGATAAGGAAATGATAGAAAATGGAGTGAATGGTTAACGATGTGCGAAGATAGGTTCTTTGTGTGAAAATCACTGGATCAATACCAATTTCCATTCCATTCGATTTGATTCGATTTACTAGTTTTACTAGTTTGAATTGCTTTCAAACCCAACCAGTCCCAAGTCAAAATGATTTGGCTAGAATCATGGATGGATAGATTGGATTATCGAAATGATGATGATAATAGTGATAATAATGATAATATAGACTATTTAGACAAAGTGGAGTGAGCAACCAAATCCTTGCTTCATAACACCATTTCACTATGATATCATAAATATACAACCTATACAGACATAGTAGACAACAAAATGGACTTTTCCATTCTGAGTGTTTCCAAACAATCCTGATATTATTAATATTATAAATATCTATACCTCCGAACTATTTCAACCACAAAAATGTGAACAAAATGATGCGAAACACAAGTGAGTACTTCACTTGGAAATCTTGGATCCAATGTGTATATGGTAGCACTCTATCATAATTTTTAAATATGAAGAATACTTAGGTGTAAGGAAACAAACTGATCTCTCTGTTTTCTTCATAAATTCTTTATATTTGGCTACAAATTACGGATTCAAAGAGTAGAGGCTAAGGATATGTGATAATAAATAGGTAGAATGCAAGAACTTAAGGGAAGCGAATTTCTCCTGGACGGTTACATAACGCTTGGTAAAGCAAAGGAAATCACTATTGGAGGCTGCAACTATAGCCTCCAATATTATCAAGGCGATCACGAGGATGAATACACGTTGACGAGAGCTGGGAAGGTTTGCCTATTCCAAAATGGCATACTGAAGATGTATTACGAGTTGGATGCGAACGGGAGCGAAATCGGTGACTTCACGCGATTCGAAAATGGATGCGTCGCTTTTGTGCAGTCCTATGACGATATCTGGGACAGAAAGAATTTTCGTCGTATTATAAACCATGTCCGAGGCGAGCGTATGGAAATCTATTCGCATGCGAGTGATCACCTGATTTATCACGGTGAATTCAATGAGAAGCGAGAACGAGAAGGATGGGGCATCGCGTATGACGAAGAAACGGGTGCCATGCTGCTTGAGGGGATATGGAAGGGTAACAAGCTGGTGGAGATCATCCGCAAGATCGAAGGAACTATTATGACGGAGTTCAAGCGAAACGGTAACAACACAACCGCTTCGAATCGAATTCCCCTCTATGTGGGTGAATTCGTGTATGATGAATCGAAAGAATCGTTTCTTCGAAATGGTCGAGGATACTGGATCGATGAAGGAACTCGGATTGCTACTCGCGAAGTGGAATGGAAAGATGGAGTGGAAGTGAGTGGAAGAGATCTCTATGATGGATGGCATATTCATTCACTCACTCACTCAATATTACTTGTTTATTTTATACTATTGCTATGTTAATCACATTGCATTTCACATTGTTTGTTGATCAAATAGAAAGCAAGGTTTTCATTCATAGGATTCATGGATTCCATCCATCCATCATATTATTCAATCGATTGTTTTGTTTAATGATACTATGATTCCTATTCACCATTTCAATCTATGAACCACATTCCTTTCTCTGCAATATCATTCTTTGTACTCAATATGGATGATCATTGTGACAGAAGAGAATCGAAGTATCAACAGAGAATCAATACAATAATCCACTTGTCAAATAGAAATGATGGATTTTGCATTCTACACACTACTGCCATACTCTCTATTACGAATCAAACCATTCCAACAGTATTTACTATTGTGAGTTCGATTGTTGCTAAACAAGATTAACTACCACATAACTGATATATTTTGAAAAGCATATATCCATTATAGACTTAATAGAACAGCCATTCTGACATGAGAGAGTAAAGGTGATCAAAATGCGTAATAATTTACAATTATAGCTATAAGTATCTAAAAATAACACAAAAATAAATGAATAGATGGAAATGCACCAAAATAAAGAAAAATAGAAATGGGTGGAGAAAATGAGATTTTATTATATCTATTCTAGTTTGTAACATACCAGAATATCAAAGCCATACACAATAATCCATGACGTGTGTTCTATCGAGAAATAATAAAACAGATCTTGTTTCCAAAATAACCGTTTTACCATATTTCTTTTCATTTCCATGCAAAACATTACTGATTTTGTCAATTCTGCTATTAGTAACTATCATATTGATAGTTCTATTATTCAAAATGTGCAGGGATGCTTGGGCAAAAAATGGAAACCAAATGGCTGGATTTCACTCATATTGAGTAACAAAGAATGTATAGTATTGCAATTCAATAATGGAGTATTCATGAATCAAGGATTTGTGTTCAATGAGCAGAAAGTGTTGAAAGTGTTTGGAAATCATCAAATTGGTGCTATTTCATATAATGAAGAACAAGCCATAGAAGTAGTGGAAGGAATAGTGGATTTGGATCATGGAAGTCGATTTGAAGGATTGGTATTGGCAGAAAACAAGTTTGGAATTCCATTTGGATATGGTGAAATGTATGATGATGATGGAATATTGGTGTACAAGGGCATAATGATCAATTGGAAACGATTTGGATATGGAACGAGTTATCATAATAATGGATGTATTGAATATGAAGGATATTGGTGTGATGATAATCGATTTGGAATTGGAAAAGTGTATGATCGATCAGGCAAATTAATGAATGAATGTGAATGGTGCAATGGAAATGAAAGTTTTATTGAATATGCAGGAAATGGTTCAGAACCACTGAATATCGGAATGAAACATTTGAAACTGAGTAATAAATGTGTATTGGTTGATTGGGATGTTTCATTGTTGTATAATTTGGAATCAATCAAAATCGGCGATGATTGTTTTGGATCAGTGAAAACATTCAAAATCGATGGATTGAATCGATTGAAAACTATCAAAATCGGCAGCAATTCATTTACTCAGGAAAAGAATGATGAAAATGAAAATGATTATTCAAAATCATTCCACATATTGAATTGTGAATCATTGGAATCGATAGAAATCGGTGAATTCAGTTTCAGTGATTTTGCTGGCGACTTTGAATTGAAGAATCTACCACAATTACAATCTATTCAAATTGGGACAATTGGAAGTGTTTCATGCAATTTCTTCTGTAATTCATTTGTAATTCGAGGTATTGATATGATATTGAATATTTGAATGATGCATAGATCTTCCAAATCTACAATCCATTACATTAGGATATTATGCATTCTATGATTCCTTCTCAACAATAATTGAAAGTATTGAATGAATTCGAATGAAATGATTGATATAGATCTTCCATCATTACAATCCATTCAACTCGGTAGATGGGCACTTTATGGAAGAGATAATTATTCAAGTTCATTGATAATGCGAAGTAATAATGAATTGATTGGTTATGATTTGTTTTGTAGATCTTCCAAATCTAACATCAATAATCAATTCTGTAGAATATAGTTTTTATAAACCTCGTGTAGTGACATTGGCAAGTATTTCTGAATATTGAATATTGATAGTATTTAGATATTCCAAATCTTCGTAATGTCAAGCTACTTAATTCATTCCGATATGTTCGATCGAAATCAATTTCGAGTATGGTTTGATTGATTTGATTTGATTCATAGATGTTTCTTCGATTCTCGCTGATCTTGTCCACGAAATCTAGCATTAAATCTATAATTTTGATTTGTTTTGATTTGTTCAGTGATTCGTCATTGTTTAGGAACATTTCCATTGATTGATTGATTGATTGATTGTTTGTTTCAAACCGATTCTTGATCACAATTCATGATTCTATAATTATCAAAATATCAATCCTACCTGATTATTATGATGTTCTTCTTTACCATTTTAACAATGATACTGAATTATGATTGTTGTTTCTATCAATCAATCAATCAATCATTGTTTTCGATCATTATTATCATTATCATCATTATTATTACCAATGAGCCAATGATCACATATTGAACATTCACAAATGATGAATCCAATCTACCAATAATAATATTAATAATAATATACAAATGATGGTTTGAATAGGTTTGAACTAGGATTTGTTCAATATTGATAGGAAACTGCTTGCTTCGAATAATCATAATAATCATCATCATAATCATCATCATCATGAATAATAAGATTGGATTTGCTAGTGACACAATGGAATGGTTGGAATCGATTGATATTGGATGATTATTCACATTTGTGAATCCATTGTTAAATCGGTAGATAATACAATACAATACAATACAATAGAATGATTGATATTGAATTAGGATATTGATTTTGACTTATTGAATAGGAATCGATCACTGTATACATAGAATAGAATCAAATAGAATAGAATAGAGGTGAAATGGATAAAACAAGGCAATGAAACTACAATAGAATAGAATAGAATAGAATCCGATAGAATAGCATTGGAAATCATATTGGATTCACCATTCAATCAATCCAACTATCATTCATTCATTTGTTTGTTTGTTTGTTTATCAATGAGTCACAAAACATGGATTTATCAATTTGATAATAATGGAATCAAATCGGATGTGTTTGATACTTGATAGTTGTAGTTAGTAGTAATATCAATCGTGGTTTAACAATTCGATATTTGGATGGAATGTCGTATTCTTCAATATCACACAAACCACTCACTCACTCACTCATTCAATCAATGGATGAAAGATAGCTGATTCAAAATGCAAATGAATGTTGAATATCGTAAAGAATCAATTCATCATTCACACTCAATAATACTGATAAGAATAGAAATATTGTTCAATCCATTGATCGATTGAATGAATGAATGAATGGTGTGTATTTGGTTAGTTTTCGATCTCCATTCATCATCATCATAATCATTATTATTGTATCATCATCCACATGATTCATCGGTCTATTTCAGCATATTGAATACCATTAGATCACTTTGGTATTGTTGATCATGAATAGAATGATTGGATAGGATCGATCAATCAGAATCAGAATCAGAGTCAGATTGATGATGAGTATTCAACCATCAATCCTCGTCATTATTATCATTAGTAGTAGTTTTTGTATTTGTTTTTGTTTTTGTATTTGTTCGATTATCAATGATATAGAATCGATCGAATGATTCATTGATAGCAATCCAATCGACTGATAGAATTATACAATTGATTCGATCGAATCCAAATGGAACAATCACTCAAACACATTGTAGTCTCAATGGTTGTTTTGCAATTGAATCGATCGAGATTCATGAAATCATTATGTTCGATCATTGTATTAGCTGGAATCTATCATTGTGCTGTATTGCATAACAATACTCTTATTTCTTTCTTTCTTTCTTTCTGATCATTATTATCATTATTATCATTATCATTATTATTGATATCATTCAAATCATTAGATCCCATTCGAACAAGTCAATATGGAATCAGCATTGGATAATCACAATACAATAATGAGGTATATTGTGAGAACCATTTGTGTTGTGGTTTGAATATGAGTATTTCGATAATGAGTTTTCTTGGAATCCATTGTTTGATTGTATATTCAATATGCTGTTTGTGATGTTACACCGATGAATCCACAAATCACATATTTCGAATGAATCTTGATCGAACGACTTCAATCGAATCGTTTTGACAAGATTCATTGCACTTAATCCAATTGAATCAATAGGAATCGACACAATCCATATTTGTTTGTTGAGATAGTATTAATTTGGATAATACTCAATGATTCAATATTCTTTTGTTTTTGTTTTTGTTTTGTTTTGATGTTGCTTATCTATTATTGATTATTCCATTTTTCATTTGTTGTTGTTGTTGTTGTTGTTGTTATTGTTGTTGTATTTCAACTTTTGGAATTGATTGTAGTTCATTTGATTATTTCATTTTCGATTTTGACTTTTAGTTTATTCTTGTTTGTTTTGCTATTCTTTAGTTTTCTTTGTTTCTTATTTTCTTATATTTGGGCATTTTATTCCTCTTCCTTTTTTCTTTTGTTTTGTATAATATGATTCTAATTTGTTTTTAGTTTTTCTTTTTTGTATTTTCTTTTTTTTATTATTTTCTAGCATTCATCTCATTATTCACTATCCACCAGACAAATTGGATTGTGTCGATTCTTATTGATTCAATTCTCATAAGGAAATATGTGATTATTTGTTTGGATTGTTCCATGTTTTGTTTTGCTTATTTCTGTTTGTTTTCTGTTCATCATCATCATTATTATCATTATTATATATCCATTATAACCAATCATCGAATCAATAATGTGCCATCAGTTTGAAACAACAATACAAATTCCACAGATCATTGTAAAATGAACCAGATAGAATTGTTCCAATCATAATCAATCGAAATGTGTTCCTATTAAACGAATCAAATCAAATCAAATGATCAAGCGGAATAGAATGAAATACAATGAATCGAATCAAATCAAATCACCTAACAAGGTAAGATAAGATAAGCTTAAACTTACCAAATGGAATTGAAATCTATGAAAATCATATGAAATCAATTCCATTCTATTTATCAACAATACTCGAATCGATTTCGATTGAACATACCCCAATGATACAAGTAGATTGACATTTTGAAACAGATTTGGAATATCTATTTACCATCTCTATTCAATATTTAGATCCACTTTCCAATGTCACCAAAACGAGGACAACAGAAACTCCATTATACAGAAGTTAGTGATGTTAGACTTGGAAGATCCAAAGCAAATCATAACCAATCAATTCATTGTTACTTCGAAGTGTCAATGAAGTTGAATCATCATTATCCCATCTTTCTCCCCTACCTTCCAGTATCCGATATCATATAACACACATATTGTTTTTCCTTTTTCTTATTCATTCATTCATTCTGTTTTCCTTCATCACTCACTCACTCACTCATTCATTCATTCATAGATTAATGGATCATTGATTGTCATAAAGGAAACACTTGATTCTTTACTTTCATTGATTCCATTTCCTCTTTTGTTGACAAGGAATATTGTTATCGATTTTGATGGTTTGGAATCAATGAATGAATGGTAGGGGAGAAAGAGAGAAGTAGCAATAGTAGCAACAACATCCACAGCAACAACAACAATAATAGTAGTAGTAGTAAGCAATGGACCAAACTATCTATCAAATGATTTAATCCATAATCAGAACCTACAATACGAAATCATTTCAAATCAATCGGATTGATGTTTCGTGATAACAATCAATCTTTCCATGCAAACCGACAATCAAATGATCTTCTCTTCATTTATATTGAAATCTGAATCGATTCACATAGATTCATTCAATTATGTGGATTGTTTGAAATTGATATGCATTCTTGGTATTTGTTTGTTTTCACATATCGAGTTTGTTCTTCATTTCGATCATTCCACATAACAATCTAATTGATCTATTATCCAGAATCGATCAGTAAGTATTATTGATTGATTGATTGATTGATTGATTGATCTATGATAATAATAATACTCATATTTCCAATAATATGACTATTATCATGGATTTGGTTCTTTCCTTTTTCTTTATTAAACTACACATATGATTGTTTCAATATCTCTTTCTATGATGATTACTAGTATTATTAATCATCAATAGCTATGAATTGTTCTCAGATATTCTTATTATTCTTATTCCTTTTACTGTTATTATTCTCATTATTACTTGTTATTCACATACACATTGATTGTTCTACATCAATTTGGTATTGATTCGATATCGGACACTGCATTGAGTTTACAATTCATCCATTTGGATTATTACTCATGTTATTGTTCGTTCCTATTATGTTGTTGCTGCTCATTACTTCATTTCATTTCATTTCATTTCATTTCTGTTCTAGACATTGCTTTTGAACACATAATCTTATTATTATTATTCTCATTGATTTCTATTACTGTTATTATTGTTGCTGTGCCATTTTAACGAATTCATTGTCGTTATTATTGTTATTTGCTTTGTTGTTTGATAGATTCATATTATGAAAGAGTATACAGAATAGGCATCGATTCAATCAATCAATCAATCAATCAATCATGCGCTAAACAGTTCTAAAAGCATGAACAAATGATTGAATGAATGAATGATTAATTGAATCGATGACATTATTGATGCAGAATTACAGTTCACTGGTTGTGATAAAGGTCTTTGTTGTTTTGTGAATCACTCCACAGAGAGAGAATCTTTCGTTCATTCATTGATTCATTCAATGATTTGTTGGTTGATTCAATCATTCAGTCAGCCATCCAAACCAAAGTGAATCAAATATGATTATATGAATGAATATAGAATAGAATAGAATAGCATAGATTGAATGAATAAATGACATTTTTGTTACTGATTTACAGATCATTGGTTGTGAGTAGTGTATTGAGATTGTCAATCACTTCTTAGATAAGATATCATTCATTCATTCATTCATTCATTTGATCGTATAATCATTCAAATATCCCATTGCAATTCACATTATTGGTCCACTTTATACAGATTTAACGATATTTCCTTGTCAACAATCCATCATTCATTCTTATGGTACAAAATATACATAATCACAGTATGCACTCAATTCAAATCGATGTTTGTAGGATTACTCATTCATTCATTTGTTTACTTTTCAGTGTTGAATTGCTGAAATCGTATCGAATCCAACTCCAATATCACAATCAATCACATTCCCATTCATTTCGATTCTCTCTCATTCACTCTTCATTATCATAATCACGTATTACATTCATAAATAAATAACTAATACATATCATTGAATGGATTAAGATCTTAAGCAATGAATATTATTTCTTCTTTTCGTTTCTTTTCTTTCATCCATTTATGGTACAAACCATCTCCATGTTATGCAATCTTTGTACATCCAACTCATATTCGTTCAATAGATTGTGACCAATTACACAAATCATTCCAGTACTATTCTATTCACATATAGCATACAATCTGTGATAATATCTATGAATCATTCAGTTCCAACCACTATATACCAATCATTGTGCATTCCAACTAACAATAACGGAATTTACTACAAACTCCAATCAATCATTCATTCATCGATTGGTTATTCCAGTACTAAGTATCAACAGTATTGTTCCTGCTACTCAGAATTAGTTATTTTATGAAAATGGATTTAACAGAATCAAACATTGTGTTAAACCAATGAAATGACAGAATCGTGTTTGTCTGGATTTTGTTTGTTTTGAAGCAAAACTATGCATGATCTATATAATTCGTTTCAGGATGTGCTAAAACAGATCCCTGTGAAATATCATCATTTCAGCTATTGTTCGTCATAATTTGTGAAAATGACTTCATTTCCATTGCTACTTCATACATATGTTATTTTCTACTATTCTATTACATTCTAGTATTGTTGTTTTCATTCATATTGGCCATTTCTGATTATTCCACACTTACCTATCTTATTTTCACAGTATTCTATTCCATGGAGTATACTAATAAGCCAAAACATACAATCAATCACAAATACACATTATTCTATCTTTCCATACAGAATAATGATGATGATAATGACAAAACATCAACTATTCACAATCAATACTATTGAGAATAACTATTGTGAAGACTCTTGTTTGTTAATACTGCTCATTCCTTCTCTCAGATTATAACACGAACTAGCAACATTATTAGTTGTCACATTTAGAATGTGAATTCATTATGGGCTTTGATACAATTCATATCACACAATATGCACAAAAATGAAACACAACAATGCATATCTGAATATTCTAGTATTGATCAATTGTATGTTCAATATGACTAATGATTAACAGCAAATGATTATCGATATTTAGCAGAAATAAGTATCACTATTATAATAACTAGTGATAATGGCTATACTATTTTAATTGTAATAACAATACATGATCCTGGTTATAGTATTGCAAGATTATCCAACTTTGTGTTGAATAGATTGAATAGGCATTATGAAACTATGAGAAACATCATCCATTCACATCAAAAATCAGTTGTTTCGACTTATAGAGTTTTATCAAGTGTTGATACTTGGATCGCCAATGATTATTCTCCAAATCAAATGTTTCTTCTTACTATTTCTAAATCTAAAGAAGACATTGTTACTACCAATTCGGATAATCTTAAAGTGTCATTTCGGAATACTTATTATCCTCATGAATCAATCCTTTTTTGGTAACGAAATAATGTGTTTTAATCAAGTGACTCTAACATTTCAAATTGAAAATGATACAGAAATAGTACAATATCGTTTATCATAAGGGAAACATATTGTGGATAAGATAGGTAGTGATACAAATAACGATGTAAACTGCATGATATACAATTATCAAGCCCCACAATACATGTTCAAGTCTTTCTGTACATCTGCAATTCATATTAATTCCAGATATCTTAATAGTGCATTTATAGAAGTGATACTATTTGTGATAATCCATTATTTCCTTTTTAACAATAATCAAGTATTCGTAGTATTGATTTGATTTGGTATTTGATCGATATTTACTCATCATAATGCCAATTTGAGCAACACCTATATATTTATCAAATGATTTTTCGAATGGATTTGGTATATCTGAATTCCTGAGTTCTGTAAAAAATGTTGTAGGGATCATAGCGGTTTATCAAGAATCGTTCAAGAAGTCTCAACTTGTGAATTCATAGAAAGAGGAAATACTATGATCATTTAATACCAACAATCTATTCATTAAACACACAGTTACAATCTAATAGAAGTAAGTGGAACTGGAGGAAAGGCAAGTAGAAAGTAGTCTTGGAAGCAGGCTTCTTAGGCAGGGTCTTTCTGTCTCTTTTGACCATGAAGAGAATGCCGAGAATCAGCAGAACCACACCGATGATGACCAGAACAATTCCGATCAAGAAGTACAGATCCAGCTTATCCTCCACACAATACGAAGTCGGAATCGACCACGTAGCCGAAGCCTTGTCCTCGTTCAACACGCACGTTCGCTCGCTCACTCCCTTGTAGCCAGAGATCAGCGTGCAATCGTACGAATAGCTCTCGCTCGCGGCGGTTCGCGGGAAATCGGCCATCGCCGGGCAGTGAGGCACCTCCACAGTGAGGAAGATCGTCACGTTGGCGCTGCCAGCAGAGTTGCTCGCAGTCACCACGAACTCCGTGCGATCCAAAGCCGTCTCCGAGGTTCCATAGATAGCACCCGAATCCGAGGCAATGCCCATTCCCTCGGGCAATTCCGGCGAAATCGTGAACGACTCCACCGTTCCGTTGTGCATAGCGCTCAATCCCTCGTAGTTCACGTTGGTGGTAACCACGATCTCCTTCTCCTTGTAATCCAGATTGGTCGGCAAGTCCAGCACGCACTCGTCCATCTTCAGAATCGACAGTTCGCCATTGCTGCAAGTACGATACGCCACACCGTGGTAGTTCTCGGGGCAGGGCTCTTCGTAGTGCTCTCCGTCAGCCAGCGAGATTCCCTCCACTCCCGAGCAGCCAATCGGCGTGACCGTGATGGTCACGGTCGCCTGGGCGGTGCCCGCGTCGTTGCTCGCAGTCACAGTGAAGGTGTAGGTGTCCGCCTCCTTGATCGATCCGGCGATCACTCCGTTGTCCAGCAGCTGCAGACCACTGGGGAGCGAGGGGCACGAGAACACGTCCACCTTGTTCGACACAGAGGGCTCGATGCGGATCGCTTCCAGCGACTCGCGGCTCATCGAAGCGGGCGAATAGGAGAAGCTGGAAGGAGCCAGCAGCGTGCATCCCTCGTAGTTGATGGGCTGGAACACGCCATCGACACACTCACGCGTCGCCATGCCCGAATAACCTTCAGGACACATAGCAGCCTCCGAGGTCGCTCCGTTCATTGCAGCAGGGAACTCGTCCAGAGCCTCGCAGCCATTATCTTCCACCGTGATGCTGATCGTCACCGACTTGGATTCCGCGCTGTTGGTTCCGGTAATCTCATAATCGGCAGCAGGCGAAGCCACAGTGGGCGTACCCGAGATGGTTCCGTCCTCACCCAGCACCAGACCCTCCGGTAGATCCTTGTTGCACGAGATCGAAGGGAACGCTCCGTCCGTCAGCAGAGAGATCGGGGTCAGTTCCTGGTTCGTCTTCAGCACGATCGAGTTCACTCCGTAGGTGAAGAAATCGCTCAGACGCGGCGTGCAGTGCTCCAGACTGGGCTCCTCGAACTCGCCTCCCATGCAGCGAGCCATCGCGTAACCCGTGTAGTACTCAGGACACACAGCCACCGAGTACTCGCCGTGGTTCGTGGCCAGATACTCAGCCGTGGCCTCGCAGTTCACAACGATCGAGGTGAGAGAAATCTCGGTCTGCAGCGATCCAGCCGAGTTGGTCGCCGTGATGGTGTACTTGTTTCCAGTCTGCGTGCTCTGCAAAGCTCCGGAAATCACTCCAGTGGTGGGATCGAGCGTCAGATCGGCAGGCAGCTCGGGAGCCACGCTGTAGGAATCGACCGATCCGCTGACCGTGGGCTCGAAGGACTGCTCCTTCTGGTAGATGATCGTCACTTGGTTGTTAATGCCGTAGACCACAGCGATAGGAGGCAGCAGCGTGCACTGGTTGTCCTCTTCTTCCTCCAGCTGGTTGCCCGTTGGCGTCGACACGTAGTTACGATAGATGAAGCCAGTGTATCCAGTGGGGCAGGAAATGAACGCCTTGCTGCCCACGTACGCGCTCGAATAGTTGTCCTGCGAGTCGCAAATCTCAGCAGCCTTGGTGTTTCCGAAGTAGACCTCGGCCATTTCAATACCCTCCAGATTGGACTTGTAGGCCTCCAGCTTGTACATGTTGTAAGCCACCGTGTTCGTGAACGAGTACTCTCGGTTGTAGCCATAGCCTCCAGCAGTCTCCCAGGTAGGCTGCTGCGCCATCAACAATTGCCAGGTCGCACCATTATCGTTCGATCCGTACAGATCCAGATTCTTGGGACGACGAGGAGCCTCACTTCCAGCATAGAAGCGAAGGTAGTTGATGATCACACGGCGGTTGTTGTTGTAGGTCCAGGCAGCCCACACGTGGTACGTTCCAGACACAGCAGCTGTGTTCAGGACGGTGAACTTGTTATTAATGTTCTTATCGAAAATGTTGACATTGGTCTCGTGCCACTCATCATCATCATAACTGAAATCCGAAGCGGTCATCGTTCCATCCACCACCAGATCGGTCGAAGTGTACACGAACTCCACTTCCACGTTGAACTCGTTCTCTTCAGGGACGCTGATCGTGTGGGTTTCCACGCACAGCACGTTGTTCTGGTTGGAGATGTGGCTCATATCGATCGAGATGCGAATGCCCGTAGCGGCCTCCGCCTCGGTCACAGGCTGCGTCAGATGGTTCGTGGCTCCCTGAGGCAGGTTGTAGCGAGCGTTCTCCTCGTCATCGATGTACAGAATGAAACCTCCACGCGTGTGCACAGTCACATCCATGGTGGCATAGGGCAGAGCCGAGTACAGATTGAACGTGGTGCAGTAGTAGGCAGCAGTGTACTGAGGAGCAGGCATATCGGCGAGCTTGCTGGTCTGCCACTCGCCATCGAACGAACTCGTGTACCAGTTGGAAACAGGATCGGTGTTGTCCATCAGATAGCGCCAATCCAAATCATCACTGTAGCCCTCTCGAGGGAAGAACGATTCCGTCTTGGGAGTCACGCTTCCACCCACAGTGAACGAGGTCAAAACCTTCTTGGAGGCCGTCAGAATCTCAAGGCTACCCGGCCACGCCACACGCGAGTAATCCTTCATAGTGATCTGGTAGTTGCGCAGACCCAGGCAATAGGGATGATACATGTACAAAGCGTTGTTGTCGAACTCGCTGCGGCTACCCACCACAGTGCCCGAAACAGGATCCACCAATTCGTATCCCATGTAATAACCACGCGAGCCAGTGTCGGTGATGTGGACATACACAAGGGACTCGTCTCCAGTGCACTGCTTGATATCAATGGCCACAGTGGTGTTGAAGGCCTCGCCGTTGATCGAGATACCGGTGATCGTGTACACACCCGAAGCGGTCTCGGTGGGAGTTCCGTAGATCGCTCCGTTGCTTCCGAATTTCAGACCAGCGGGCAGAGCGGGGCTCGAAGAGAACTCCTCGTAGTAGGGATTGGCAGGAGCAATGGGCTCGATCGGGACGTTGACGATTCCACTGATGGCAGCAGGAGAGAAGGAAAGATCGGGAAGAACCTTGTCCGTGTTCTCCTCCAGGAAATCGAACAGAGCCAGCTCCACGGTGGTGCTCTCGGACGCAGCCACAGCGGTGAACTCGAGCTTCATGCCCTGAATGGCCACAGGGTTGGAGAGGTAGAAGCACTGGCGCTGAGCACGCTCGGTCCAGTACACACCCGTGTAGGTTCCCACAGGGGTCCAGTTCTCTCCGTTCAGAGTGGACACAGTGAACGCAGAAGGCTCGTTACCCGGAGCGTTGGCAGCGGACACCAGGCAGAACTTGTTCACTTGCTGGCGACGATACTGCGTATCCGTCCACTGGAACTGGAGGAAGGCACCGCTCAGCTCCGCGTTCCACTTGCTCGCGATGTTTCCGTTGAAAGCGTTTCCAGCAGTACCGCCAGAGGCAGAGGAAGTTAGCTGGGTTCCATGGGCGAGATCGGCAGTCGCCGCACGCAGATTCAGAGTGGCAGTGAAGTCAATGGCTCGCTCCGTGGCATCCTTATTCACAACAGCAATAGCGAACACGTTGCTTCCCTCCTTCAGATAGTTGGCACCCACCAATCCGACGAGCACATGAGGATTCAAGCTGTTGCTATTGATCGTGGAGGTGCTTCCAGAAGTCACCTCTCCTTCCACGCCCACACGGTACACTTCAACACCGTTCAGATACACAACCACACCCGCACGACAGTTCATGTTCAGCTCGTAGCTGTTGTAGCCCTGGATGGTGTCCATCTCCACAGTCGAGCGGAACAGCCACACAGACTGCGACACCGTGTTGCCTTCGGTCAGAGTCGTCCACGAACCGCCGAACTTCACAGTGTTCCATCCCTCAGGCACCGTTCCATCAGCCAGATAGGTCCACTTGTCCATCTCTCCGCTCATCAAGAACTTGTTCGAGAACGTGATGCGATCGCCGTTTCTCATTCCAGAATACACTCCAATGAAGTAGCTCGCCGCAGTGTGCGTGTAGGTGTTCAGCGTGATGGACGATCCGTCCACCAATTTCTCAAATCCATTCTCCGTGTGGAAGACCATCTCATAGCTTCCTTCAGGCAGACAGAAATAGTCGGTCTGGGAGGTCGACGACGTATCACTTCCAGTGTAAGAATTGCACACTTCGATCAGATTGACCGACTCCACGACTTCTCCATTGGACACGATATCGTAGCTCTGGCGAGCACGGCGATTTCCCTTTATCGCATCGATCTTCACACGACGATATCCATTGCCCAAGCAAGTATGGAAGTTGATAGAGAGCTCGCCGGTCACAGGCTCCTCCGCACCCGCCAGCGTAGCCGACACGGTGTAAGTCTTCTGACCCACCTCCACACCCGAAGGCACGGTTCCCGCAATGAGACCGGAATTGGGATTGATCGACATGCCGTTAGGAAGAGCGGGGGTGATGCTCCAGTCGGAGAATCCCTTGGCGACAGGATTAATACTCACGGGCTGTCCAGGGTAGAACACGAAGTTCTTGCCGTAGGAAATCTCCTTGGGAGCGATTTCCAGGTCCATCGCGTAGAGCGAGACATCCGAAGTCTCGGCCTCGTTCATTCCCGAAGCCTGCAGCGTCCACCTGAACATTCTGTATCCCTTGGTCACCTGGGGAATGGGGAAATGCTCAGTGTTGCCGTAGCCATCCCACGAATAGCCGATGTGCGCGTCCAGCAAATCCCAGTTCTCTCCGTCATTGCTTCCCTCCAGCTTCCACTGCGTGGGGCGACGCTCCACATCCTGGTTACCGGTGGTGATGGTGTAGTAGTTCACGTACTCCGCGCGATTGCTGTTGAACGTGTAGATGTTCTGCGCGGGGAATCCCTCAACGAACCACTTGTTGCACAGCTGGTTGTCCCACAGATTCGCACCCAATTCATCCCAATAATCCTCCAGATGATATCCCGACACCGATCCATCGAAGGTACGGTGCGAGTTGCCGTACACCAGATTCACGAACGCGTTGAACGGATCCACGATGGGCGCGTGATCAGCAGGGAAATGAATCTCCACAGCCAGCACAGCCGATCCGTCGAGCAAGTGGCGATTCGCAAAAGCACGATGATAGTACGCCTCCTCCTCCTCTGCTTCCACGGGAGTGGTGGCCGAAGCTTCAGCAGGTAGGTTGTGGCGATAGATTTCTTGTCCATTCACGTACATGGCGATACCGTAGTTTGTGTTCACAGCCAGCTCGAAGGAAGCAAAGCCCGCCAAATCACCGAATGAAACGGTCTTGCGGTAGTAGCGTGTGATAACGTCCGTGTTGGCGACAGGGAAGTAGGAACCCGAAGACCAACCAACATCAACAAAGTCTTGCGTGTTCCAATTCTCAGCATAGGTGCTAGAGTACTTCCAGGATGAACCCTTCTCCATAACCGAATGGGGCTGGAACTTGAACTCGCGGCGTGAATACTTATCAAGGGTGTAACGGCCAATCATGATACCACCTTCCTGCGAGATGGTCATGTAGGAGTCACGGGTCCAATAGTTTTCACCACTAGACATTAATCACGAGTCGTGTTTCGTACGCATCCAAAAGAACCAAGGTGTGAAGAGCCTTATTCAAGCAAACCTCATAATTTTGTTGAGTATTTGCCAAGTCGAGGCCATTCTTCTCGTACATCAGAGTACCCGTTTTGGGCTCTCCTTCCCAAATCTGGAAAGTTTCCTCAAACGCGTTTCCCTTGAAGATACGATTGATGTAAATCGGGACTTCTCCGGTCTCGCATTCAATGGCAAACGAAACTACATATGACCATTCCCATAGGTTTATTATATGCAAATAGTAATAATAGAATATACACTCCTTTCATAAATGATTGAATGGTATTTTCACAAAGAACTGAAAATAGTCCATCAAAGCCACAATATAATACAATAATAATCACAACGGAGTGTATACTATTTGAATTAGCATATGAAAGATACATTTATTTCCTTATTTTCACACCATTGGTCTTCTACGTAATGCTGGCTTTAGCAACTATTATTCATTTCCTGTGGAATGTTTTCAATTTGTAGGGAATTACTCAAAGTCTTGGCCATAATTCATTATTGTGTTCATAGATAGTAAACCAAGTTGCAAAAATCATATGTTCCATATTGTTATAATACCCCTCTACAACCTATACGCTATACTAGTGAATAATACATTCTTTTTTAATTATCTATATTTTGTTACCCCTGACAGGATAATAAAGCTTTCCCTAATTTCACACTAGAGTATTTTTGTTTGAATTATATTTTCCTTCTCAGTAATCATATAAGATGTAAGTAACAGAAGACCAAAATTCAGTGAATATGTAACTAATTGTGGAAAATGTGTTCGAAAAGGAAGGAAAAAAGATATATGTAAGAATAATGGTTTAAAGGGTGTAGGATTGTTTGGAATGATGCAGAAACATGATAGGATAATTCCAGATCTGTAAACTAAACTACCTAAGATAATAATCAATATAAAAATAGAGTACTGTGGGTTGATTAATGATAGAAAACTGAAAATGATATATTACAAGTGGACTAATTGGACTGGTAGTATGCAATGACAAGAAATATGAAGAAATGAGTAATGAATGATTAGCGAAAAATAATATAAATGTGGAAATAACTGGATCAAAATCCATTTTCGATTAAATAGTTAGATGATATTCATAGCGAACATTCCTATTTAAACATGATTTGGCTAGGAGAATAGATATATATAGTTACTACGTGAATAGTAAAACTAATACCAAGTTAACAAAAAAAGTGGAATGTTAAACAGTATTCTTTCGTAATTACACGATTTTACAATAACACTTGAGTAAACAGCCAAAATAAACATGTTAGATTATACTCGTGTTTTATTACTTTTAGATTGTTTTTAAACAACATTTGAGTTTTGTATCTATTTTTTCTGTATATTGGAGAATTTGTATATGATGAATCACAAGAATCATGTTTCAATATTGCAGAAGATATTAATTCAATGTAAGCAGTCAAATTGATACTTGAAATTGTGAATGGAATGATAGAGTGGAAATGATCTGTATCATAATTGGAAGGTATACCCATCAGCCATTGCTATCGCAATATAGTCATGTTTGAATCAATTTGCTTTGTTGATCAATAATATTCAATGTATTTGTTCATTGATTCTTTGCTCCGATCGATAATAGAATCAATCATGTCGATAGCCTTTCAATTCTTATCAGTATTATTGAGTGTGAATGATGAATTGATTCTTTACGATATTCAACATTCATTTGCATTTTGAATCAGCTATCTTTCATCCATTGATTGATTGAGTGAGTGAATGAGTGAATGGTTTGTGTGATATTGAAGAATACGACATTCCATCCAAATATCGAATTGTGAAACCACGATTGATATTACTACTAACTACAACTATCAAGTATCAAACACATCCGATTTGATTCAATTATTATCAAATTGATAAATCCATGTTTTATGACTCATTGATAAACAAACAAACAAACAAACAAACAAATGATAGATAGTTGGATTGATTGAATGGTGAATCCAATATGATTTCCAATGCTATTCTATCGGATTCTATTCTATTCTATTCTATTCTATTCTATTCTATTCTATTCTATTCTATTCTATTCTATTCTATTCTATTCTATTCTATTCTATTCTATTCTATTCTATTCTATTCTATTCTATTCTATTCTATTCTATTCTATTCTATTCTATTCTATTCTATTCTATTCTATGTATACAATGATCGATTCCTATTCAATAAGTCAAAATCAAAATCCTAATTCAATATCAATCATTCTATTGTATTGTATTGTATTGTATTATCTACCGATTTAACAATGGATTCACAAATGTGAATAATCATCCAATATCAATCGATTCCAACCATTCCATTGTGTCACTAGCAAATCCAATCTTATTATTCATGATTATGATTATTATTCGAAGCAAGCAGTTTCCTATCAATATTGAACAAATCCTAGTTCAAACCTATTCAAACCATCATTTGTATATTACTATTATTATTATTGGTAGATTGGATTCATCATTTGTGAATGTTCAATATGTGATCATTGGGCCATTGGTAATAATAATAATCAATGATAATAAATATAATGATCGAAAACAATGATTGATTGATTGATTGATTGATTGATTGAAACAACAATCATTATTCAGTATCATTGTTAAAATGGTAAAGAAGAACATCATAATAATCAGGCAGGATTGATATTTTGATAATTATAGAATCATGAATTGTGATCAAGAATCGGTTTCAAACAAACAAACAATCAATCAATCAATCAATGGAAATGTTCCTAAACAATGACGAATCACTGAACAAATCTAATCAAATCATAATTATAGATTTAATGCTTGATTATGACAAGATCAGCGAGAATAAAAGAAACATCTATGAATCAAATCAAATCAATCAAACTATACTCCAAATTGATGCCCATCGATCTCTCTGGAATGAACCAGGTAGCTTGACATTTTGAAGATTTGGAATATCTAAATACTATCAATATTCAATTTTCAGAAATACTTGCCAATTTCACTACACGAGCTGAATAGAAACTATATTCTACAGAAGTTATGGATGTTAGATTTGGAAGATCTACAAAGCAAATCATTTAGAATCAATTCATTATTACTTCGAAGTGTCAATGAACATGAATCATCAATTCTTCCTTCAAGTGCCTATCCACCGAGTTGAATTGATTGTAATTGTGGTAGATTCTTCAATTCAAAGTCGCCTCCAAATTCACTGAAACTATATTCACCAATTTGAATGGATTCCAATGATCTACAATTCAATATGTGGAATGATTTCGATTTATTATTTCCATACCCATTCTTTTTCTGGGTGAATGAATTGCTTCCGATTTTGAGAGTTTTCAATCGATTCAATCCATCGATTTTAAATGTTTTCATTGCCGATTTCGATTGATTCCAGATTATACAACAATGAAACATCCCAATCAACCAATACACATTTGTCACTCAGTTTCAAATGTTTCATTCCATTATTCATTGGTTTGTTTCCATCTTTTTCATATTTATCATCAATATCACATTCAATTCCATTATACCATTCACATTCATTCACTAATTTACCATATCGATCATACACTTTTCCAATTCCAAATCGATTATCATCACACCAATATCCTTCATATTCAATCAAACCATTATTATGATAACTCGTTCCATATCCAAATCGTTTCCAATTGATCATTATGCCCTTGTACACCAATATTCCATCATCATCATCATACATTTCACCATATCCAAATGGAATTCCCAATTTGTTTTCTGTCAATATCAATCCTTCAAATCGACTTCCATGATCCAAATCCACGATTCCTTTTTCTACTACTTCTGTGGATTGTTCTTCATTATATGAAATAGCACCAATTTGATAATTACCAATCACTTTCAACACTTTCTGCTCATTGACCACAAATCCTTGATTCATGAATACTCCATTATCGAATTTCAACACTACACACTCTCAATCACTCAATAGAAGTGAAATCCAGCCATTTGGTTATATTTCCTTACCCAGACATATTTGAACACTTTGAATAATAGAGTTCTCAATACAATAGTTATTAACAACAGAATTGGCAAGTTCAACAATGCTTTACATCGAAATATTACTCATAAACAAAAAGATTATATATGAATGCAAGATCTGTTCATGGGTTTCCAGCAGTTATTCATAGGAGAAAATCACTTTGGTTTATATACAACCAAACAGCAGAGTTGCGAGATATGAAGTTGTATTCTAGAAATACAAAAAGCCACTTGTGATCAAAATGCTCAGACAAACCTGCATTTTACTTCATATTTCTATATCATCGAATTCCCAAACATCCCAAAAAGCCTGAATAACAATTCCAGCCTCTTTTCACAAACTGTTCTCTTCACTCCCAACATAACAATACATATACATCCTTCCCACGATATCCATCGAATCATTTCTAGAGTTCACTCCTTTTCCATTTCCCCCATCATCTTTCAAATCTCTCCCTCCAATTCTTCTATCTGCATCATGTATTCAACAAACAATCCAATGTCTTCGATGGAAGAACCAAATCCCTCCCACGATCACTCCGATCACACTCACCCACACCGTCACCGGCCATAAAAATGACGCTGCGCCTTCTCCTTCTCCCTCCTCCTCCGCTCCAATCTCGCAGATTTCCCTTCCTTTCACGCCTCCTTCACCCCCTACGGCATCATCGCACAGTCAAACATCAGCGGAAACAGCCGGTCCTTCGCATACATCGACGTCAGCAGCGACTCTTCCAGTCCCCACTTCGCACAGAATTCTTTGCATTCTCTGAACACCTCCGTCGATTCGTACTTCTATCCCTCATCCCCGCGGTTCTGACCCACCACGCGTAGCAAATCGCTCTTCATCGCCACCAGCAGCACCTTCGTGCCCCGCGGGAATCGGGAACACAATCGCATGACATAATGAAGGGAGTCTGGACGCGTCACATCCCAAACCAAACACGCCAAATCGCAAAATCGAAGATGCTCAAACGCCTGGTTCTCCGTTTCCTCGTTTACTTCCGTCAGAATGAAACTGTCCACCGCTCCTTCTCCGTGCTTTACTATGTTCACCGCGGTTTTTAGGCTCTGGTCAGGTAGGTATTTCCCCGCGGGAGAACTGCCCAAAAAGCGGCGAAGCAGACTGCTCTTTCCCACGCCGTGGGCTCCGAACAGAAACGCCTGAACCACTGAACGTTCCACCGTTTCTCCGAGTTTCCACGTTTCCACTTTGTCGGGGAGTGGCTCCACAAACGAGGAAACATCGGAACCTCCGAGCTGGTTTAGCGCTCGAATCGTGGAAACTGGGGAAACTCGTACCAAGAGTTCCCATTCGCAGATCCAAGCGGTCGGTTCCACGTTTCTCCGCGAGGATTCCGGCAAATTGGCGGGAAATCCGGGCGCCAATCTATCCCTCACAATTCCCTCCAATTCTCACAGTGGAAACGTGGAACCCCACGGGAGTGGATCCACCACCTGCATCATTTCATCGACCTCCTCGCGGGAAAGTCGATGATCGCCATCGCGATCGAATCGCTTGAACAAGTCCTTCAAGAAGTGTTTTCCCGCGGGAGAGAGACAATAAATCGCGTCGTTTTCGGGCGTCCACTCGGGGAACCGCGGGTATTCTCCCTCGAATCTAGAGAAAAAACGAGAGTATTTTTGGAATACTGCAGAGCGTTGAAAACGCCCCAAACGTTTTCGGGATGATCGTGAAGCAAAAAGAGTTTCATGATTTCCAAGAAGTTCTGTTCAGTGATGCCTTCTGAGGCGAGTTCTATGCCCTGTCGCTGCAAACTCGATTTGAACTGCTCGATACCTTCCTCTGTGAGAGGACTTCCATAACAACATTCCTAACAAGAAGTGGCTATTTCTGGAATTACGTTAAACGCGGAAAGTTCGGAATCGGAAAGGAAACGTGTGTTGGATTGATTGAATCGCCGAAACGCAAAGCTCAGCATGCGAATGGCTTTGGGAGTGAGTTGCTAGTGCGGTTTAGTTGGGTGGGAAAGGTGGGTACGTTTGTGGTGCGGTTTAAAAGAGGGGAAATGGGGAAAGCTACGAGCTTTTCGCTGTATGTGATGAGTTGGTCGAGATTGTAGTGCGTTTTTGAGGAGCATTCTAGACAGACCTCCACGTTCTAGCGGTGAGGAGATGAGAGAGAGAAAGCAACAGAGACTCGCTTGAGGAGAGTGCTGAGCTGAGAACGAGTAAACGATTGATCATCCGAAGAAAGCAGGTCGGTCTTGCTCGACACAATGATAATCGGTGTCTATTCTCAAGAAAGGTAAAATAACCAAACGTTGGGGCACACAAACTGAAGGGTAGGCACCCAATCCGACAAAAACGACTGCATGTTTTGCTCGTACTTTAGAAATGCGACAAAGACAATGACGTCCGCCTACACTGATAGAAAAATACAGATCCGCACTTTTCTAAGAAGACTTTGTGTTTCCACTTCATCAGCGGGGTCCGCTACATTCTAACGATTCCTCGATGCTCCCTACACGACGTGTCGTACAATACCATCGGAGTATGCGAAATCAAGTTTTCTTCCGAAATCTCGCAGGGTTCAGCGACTTTTGGGACATCCTCGACAAAGGCACCGTTCCGGATAGACTCAATCAAAGTGGTCTTTCCACTGTTCGCTAAAGCTCAACTCGCCCGCTTTCTCGCCCTACAGTCCCCGATTATCACCACGTGATACTTTCTCATCCTTTCCTGCATCGATTGGAAAGTTTTCATAGGAAACTCCAGAAAACCTCCCTATTTCCACGTTTTCCAACAAACACGCCACCCTCTCTTATTTTCCGCCTCTTCCCTGCAGCACCTTCATTCCTCCCATATTCATCTTCTGTCCCCGGGTTCCTCCCATTCCCGCACTCATCATCCCCAAATTCGGCGCCTGCGCCTCCATCTGCGCCTGCTGGCTCTTCGGATTCTTCACGGTCTGATCGACCGACAGAATGGCGCAGGCCGCCTCGCACGCCGCGGTCATCGAGTTGATCTTGGAGGCGAGAGGCTCCCAGACTCCCTTCTGCAGCGTATCGCAGACGGACTCCTGGTCGATGTCCACGCCCATCCAGCACGCCTCCGCGTGGTGCAGGTGCCGCAGCTCGTTCAGAATCTCCGTGGAGGCGAACCCCGCATTATCGCACAGCTGCCGTGGAATCACTTCCAAGCTACGCGCCACGCCCTCCACGACGAGCTGCAACTTCCCGTCGATCTTCTTCGACTCGCTTCGCAGCACCGCGGACACCGCCATCTCCACCGCGCCGCCGCCGCCCACCACGCGATTGCTGTGAATGCACTTCTTCGTCACCATCAGCGAGTCTATCGCTCAGTCTCCTCTCGCACGACGCACCGTGAATCGACCGCTCCGCCTCCTCCAAGAACTGCTCCGCGCCGCCTCGCAGCAGGAACGTCGCCGACGTGGACCCCGCGCAGTCCGTGAACAGATTGTACCGCTTGCTCCCCACCTGCACCTCCTCGAACGCCCCGCAGCTCCCCAGCACCGACGGCGTCAGGCCGTAGACCGTCGACTGGATCTTGGCGCCCGTGGCGCGCTCCAATCGCTTCATATCGCCGTCCGAGACGCGGCCCGCGCAGAACACGCCGCGGTCCGCGAAGTACTGCGTGGCCAGGTCGCCGATGGGCAGGCGAGAGAGCACGATGTTCGCGCCCGCTGCGATGCAGGCGTCCAGTTTCTCGTAGATCAGACGCCACTCTGTGTCCACGATGCTCTGATACTCCGAAGGACTGATCCGGATCTACGTCAAAACGGGGAAACGGAGGTACCTCCGCGTTGTCACGCTCGCTCTTCAGCTCCAGCTCGAGGTTGAGAAGGAGGATCCGCGGGGAAGTGAACTGCTTGGGCTGCTGCTCGAAGCCGGCGTAGGAGAAGGTTTTCTCGAACGCCACGCCGTGGATCAGCGTGGAGTCGGTTACGCTGCCGCCCGCCACCTTCTTGATGCCGATGAGACCGAGGTCCAGATCGGCGTCCAGCATCGAGACCGCGTCGACGATCATTTTGGCGAAGTATTCGCGGTGCGAGCGAATCAGCTTCGAATTCAAAGCAGTTCCAGCCACCTTCTCGAGCATCGCTCGCTTCTCTTCGGGGTTGGTCTCCGAAATCGTGACCGCCATGGCGTTCAGACTCTCGATGGCTTTGCGGAGAGCCATGCGGATACCTCGGATGATCACCTGCGGGTGCATGCCCTCATTGATGAAGTCCTTGGCCGTTTTGAGGATCTCCGCTGCAAGGAGAACCACCGTCGTCGTTCCGTCGCCCACTTCCGCGTCCTGGGCTTGAGCAATGTCCACCAGGGTCTTTGCGGCGGGATGGACGATGTCGAGCAGCTTCATAATGCTCGCGCCGTCGTTTGAAATCACCGGCTTCTGCTGTGTCTGTACTAATTTGTCCATTCCGCGAGGACCAAGAGTTGTGCGAATTGCGTCTGCTACCGCTTCGCAGGCGTTGATGTTACTAATGAGTTGACCACGACCTTGACTCGTGTCGGTTCCATCCTTTAGAAGGATGATTTGGGGTTGCTAGGAGTGAATTCGCATAGAAGGAGAGAAAACCATCATGTAACTCATCGTTTAAACTTTACAAAAGAATATTTGGTGAATTTGGGACTAGAACGTTGAATGTGCAAACTCTGTAGGAATGAACGGCGCGTGCCGAGCGGATCTCTTTTGCAATTCTGGAAATAAAAACCAGCATTTTGGGGGAAGACGCGACGCTTGTTTCCCAAAAGTGCGTTGTATTTCGCAATTAAATTGTTGATTCGAAATTCACATCCTTTGGGACTCGAATGAGCGAGTTTGGACAGGGAATTACTCGAAACGAGTGTGCAGAAAGCGCACAAAGAGGAGGAATCGAATAGGATGGGATTTTGAAGCAGGTGTGTCTGGCCGATCGACTTTACCAATGTTTCGTTGTTGAGAATGCCAAAAAGACGAGTAAGTCGAAATCAAACAAGACAAACTTTCAAACTCACTATTTCTTTTGTTCGAGATTTGATCTATGGTTTGCAAACGCTGTGAACAGAAGCTTGGAAAGCTGATTGTTCCCGATAAATGGAAGGAAGGATCTCGAAGTGAAAACCGAAGTCAAGGTTTGTTGATTTCGCTTACCAGTAAATCGTGTAGAGAATGAGGAAGACGGAAGAGCGGGCGTGATTCGTAGTATTGAGCATTCTCGTCGAACAATGAAGTAGTTTCGTGTTTGCCTATACATCGTAGATCGGACCCCATGGGCAAATCTTGCCGCATTTGCAAAGTCGCTATCGAGCCCTGGGCGAATTACTGCACTACTTGTGCTTATAAAAAGGGAATTTGCGCTCGCTGCGGTCGTAAAATCCAGGACACAAAGTTCCTCAAACTTTCCAACAAGTAGTTTCGTTCTGTAGTATATTCCCTCTTTTGCTCCAACAAACACTCGGACTCACTCTCCCTTCGATCCCCGTCCACTCCATCCACTCAATTCTCCAACAACCGACTCCATCGATTCTTCGCATCCCAAAACCACTCTCTCCACAAGCTCCGCAGCCTCGAATTCTCCCCAAACACCCACTTCTCCATCACTCCCTTGAAGTCCTGCACCAGGCTCCCACACCGATACGACATCACCATGCTGTCGCACGCATACCGGAACCCAGTATTCTTCTGATACGCCAGTCGCAGCCCGATCACCACTCCCAACGCGTACACCACATACCGCAGCCGGAACCGCGGCTTCTCCTCGTCCTGCAAAATCAGATCGTCCAGACGGTTCCTCGACCGCGGCTGGTGCGACATCGCCTTCATCGCCTTCCGCTCCTCCGCCGCCTTCTGCTCCTCCGTCTGCCGCTCCGGAAACTCCTCGCCGGGCAAGTGCGCGAAGTGGTCTGCGATGAACTCGATAAACTAGCAATGATACAGCGAGAGGGAATGAGGATCCGGTCGTGCTCGCCGATGTTCATGATGAAGGTGAGACGGTGGAAACGGTAACGCACAAACAGACGCTTCTCCTCGCCCACGCAGCAATCGTAGAAACCGGGAACCTTCGTCAGACTGTAGCCCTGCTCTTTGTTATCTGGGAGTGAGTGTGGTGGGGAAGCAAGACCTCGGGTGATTTTGGAGTCGATGATTTGGATGGTCATCGGGATTCGGACGTCGATGATGCGACCTAATTGCTATAAAAAGATAGAGGCTATTTAAGGAATTGTACCATGTCTTCGATGGTCAGATTCGGGTCCACAGAGTCCATGATCGCTCCGAACCAGGCTTCTTCGATAATGAGGCCCTCGTTTTCCTTGCGAAGCTCTTCTTCCTCGATGAATTGAGCGGTCATTCGCATGTTTTTCACCAACTCTTCTGCTTCGGCTTTATCGTGCTTGAGAATCTGGGAGTTATTCCCTTTTTCAAAAAAAGAAGGTGCATACTTCGCGCTCGTCGAATTCTCCGACCTGGAAGTGCAGGAAGTTGTAATTACGATGCTCGCCCTCGTTTTCTAATGTCTGCAAATCAGCAGTATAGGAAAATCAAACGTTTTTGGCCATTCGTACGTATTCTAAAATCTTGTCACACTCTTCATCTAAACCCTCGGGAGTTCTAGGTCATACGCTCGCAAAATAGATACTCCACATTACGGAATACCCGACGGCGTCGATCCGGATGATAAAACATCGACATTGCTCGAACAGCACTCTTTATATCGGTATCACTCGCCTACGGAACGATCGACTTTCTAGCTATTCATTGTACTTTACAGTCCAGTCCGAGAATGGCGTAATAATCGAGATCGGTGTTATCGCTCGTTCTTGGGGGCTCTTGGAAGGGTCGGATGCCTAAAATCATCAGCACTCGTATAGACATCTCAAACCTCCAGGGAAATGAACATCCTCGAGTTTGATCAGCTCCGTGTCGGAATCTGACTCAACTACATCTGGCATGTTGGCTGTCATTTCTGTGTAGAAAAGAATCACTACACAAGGAAAAGATGAGTTGGAAAAAAGGTGGAAAAAGGGTACAAAACGAAGAATTGGATGCAATAACAGAGTCTAAATTTAGGCAATCGTGGTCACTCTATTTGCTTTCTCTTTAATCCAATACCAAATACTAATCACTTCCTTCTATACCAGAATCCACTAAAATTCGCGATTCTATCTCCATCGGTACAATCTTTCAATCACGATACAATGCAGCAAACGAGAATGTGAAGCATATGTCCACACGATAGAATCCAAATTTATATTTTGATTGACAATTTAGGAATTGATTGTGGCTTTTCCCATCCAATTCCTCTCCAGATTCTGCCGTGAGATGAGTGAAAATCTCCAGTATTATTTCTTGAGTGTCTTCGTTGCCCCTCAGGTTTACTATTTGTCAGAACTATGCGTGAAATCGTATCTCTTCATATTGGACAGGCCGGTATTCAACTCGGTAATGATTGCTGGGAGCTCTTCTGCCTCGAGCACGGAATTAATGCCGAGGGTTACAGAGTGAACCCCAACGACCAGACGGAGAACTACCGCACTTTCTTCAACGAGTCTGACTCTGGAAAGCTGGTTCCTCGTGCCGTGTTCGTGGATCTGGAGCCTACCGTGATCAACCAGATCCGCAACGGACCTTGCCGCAACCTGTTCCACCCTGAGCAGCTGATCTCCGGAAAGGAGGACGCCGCTAACAACTACGCCCGTGGACACTACACCGTGGGAAAGGAGTACGTGGACATCGTGATGGACCGTCTGCGCAAGGTGGCTGATGCTTGTGACTCGATTCAGGGTTTCCTGATCTTCAACTCCGTGGGTGGAGGTACCGGATCGGGTTTCGGCTCTCTGCTTCTGGAGAGACTGACCGTGGACTACGGCAAGAAGTCCAAGCTGGGCTTCTCGATCTACCCTTCGCCTCTGCTCGGAACCTCGGTGGTGGAGCCCTACAACGCCGTGCTGAGCACCCACAACCTCCTGGAGAACACGGAGCTGACGGTGGTGCTGGACAACGAAGCCATCTACGACATCTGCCGCAACAACCTGAGCATCGAGCGTCCGACCTACACGAACCTGAACCGTCTGATCGCCCAGGTGATCTCCTCCATGACCGCCTCTCTGCGTTTCAGCGGCGCTCTGAACATGGATATCAACGAGTTCCAGACCAACCTGGTGCCGTACCCTCGCATCCACTTCATGCTTTCCTCCTACGCCCCCGTGATCACGCCTCACAAGGCTCTGATGGAGAACATGTCCGTTGCCGAGACCACCAACCAGGTCTTCGATAGCAGCAGCATGATGTGCAAGTGCGATCCTCGCCGCGGCAAGTTCATGGCCTGCTGTCTGATGTACCGTGGCGACGTGACGCCCAAGGACGTCACTGCGGCGGTGACCACCATCAAGAACAAGAAGACGGTGCAGTTCGTGGACTGGTGCCCCACCGGCTTCAAGTGCGGAATCAACAGCCAGCCGCCCGTGCAGATCGAGGGCAGCGAGATGGGTCGCGTGCCTCGCGCGGTGTGCATGCTGAGCAACAACACGGCGATCGCCGACGTGTTCGGCCGCATGAACCAGAAGTTCGATCTGATGTACGCCAAGAGAGCCTTCGTCCACTACTACGTCAGCGAGGGAATGGAAGAGGGAGAGTTCGCCGAGGCGCGTGAGGATCTGGCCGCTCTGGAGAAGGACTACGAGGAGGTCGCTCAGGAGGAGGAGTACATGGACCAGGAGCTGTAAAGTTTTGTTTGTTCGATACAAAAGCATGGCGATCTATTCTCCCGACGAGTGGAGGCCGCTCTTGATTATACTGCAGATTATAGCGAACCAGGTAGACAAGAAAGGCAGAGATGAGGGAATAGTGCTGGTTCTATGCGATCTGGATGAACTTACACTATATCTCGGCAAATCTACTGGGAATGGATTTGAATATGAACGTTTCGTTCTTTTTCACCGATTACGTACGGTTCACGATGAGATTGTAAAGGGTAGGAATTCAGTCTTGTAGACACGCATTTTTACCTTATCATTGTTGAGTTATCCTTGACTTGTGCCATCATGTTTGAGAGGATTATTTTGTCTCACGCCTAGGTCTCCAATCGTGGTGTTCATTGTGGAGAGAGCCAAAAAGTGCCTCGATTTCTGTTTCACCATTTTCCTGATTCACTTTTGTACTTGCTGCTTCTTCAATGTACAGGAAATTGCAGGGAGATTTGAAACGTAGGGAATTCCTCTCAATATCTACTGGTGGGTAACAATGGGAGTGTGTTTTGGAGTTATGACGCTGACCTGTATGAGGAGGAAAAGGTCTTTCATTTGTAGCTGAACGAATTGCAATCAAGCGAGAGCTGGAGGATATTCTTGTTTCTGACATTTTAGAATCTGTATGATACGTGTGTTTTGTTTTGTTTTGTTTGTTGATAAAAGGGTGAGATGAGGAATGAATTTGGAATTGTTCCGCGTGATTGATTTGTCATTTTTAATGAGAAGGACAACAAAGAGATCAACCTCTTCTGCCAAACGATTGAAGAAGGTGAAAGAGGATGATTTGGTGTTCCATTGGGTTGGAAAGGGGGAGAAACGCGATCGTTCCTATTTCTTGTGAATTTTTAGTATAGAAGTTATATACTATAATGAGGTTGCGCACGGTGAAGACCATTTCTGTGTTGGAGACACTGTGGAACTATGTGCGAGCGGCAGACAACCTCCACTCTCGGGAGACTATAAGGTAGTTTGTGGATTTCGATTTTGATTGTGGCAGAAGAGTTGGATTGCGGAAATCGATTCTTTGTGGGAAGACGAGGAGGGGACAATGTGGATGGAGAATCGTTGGTATTACGCGAGCCATGATATTGCTGCATCGTCCAGACCTCCCTATCGCAAGCGGTACACTTTTTTTTATGGAATTTGTTGTAGAGAACTCTTTGAATCGGATCATATCAGCAACAACGTGCTTGAGGCTATTGTGCAGAAGGTTTCTGTGCTATCCTTGGATGCTTGGAGTCAGTTGAGTGAATCAGAGCAAGATGTTTCTTTTTTCTGCGAATCCTTTTTCTCTACAAAGACGTCCTATCTCCGTCCACTGTTTGGTACATTGCATATCAATGGTTGCCTTATTTCGATTAGACGCATCTTCGAAGAACAAGATGAAACGAATCCAGCTGTATTCCTATTCTTCTCAGAAGCGAACCGAATCTTCGGAATCTCCCGAGTTGAATGAATCGATTGACCAACAACCCAAATCGAAATCAGCTCGCATCCAACCCCAATCGCCTTCCAAAAGCAAACGAAATGCCGCTTCAAGCAAGGCATCAAATCAAAAAAGTAAAAACACACAAAACCAAGGCGAAATCCAAAATCCAAATTCAAATTCAAATTCAAATCAAAATCAAAACCAAAACCAAAACCAAAACCAAACACTTATCAATATGGACAAAGCGAAAGAACACCTGATGCTTTCCTTCGTTCCCGAACACATTCTCTGCAGAGAGGCTGAGCGAGCCGACATTTATAACTATCTTCATAACAGCATTCTTCAAAAGGGAAACGGCTCTCCGCTCTACATTTCGGGTCCATTTTTGATGGTTTGATAACGATAGGAATGCCTGGAACCGGCAAAACAGCGACGGTGCGTGAAGTGATTCGCGAATTGCGTGAAGAAATCGATTTCAACGTACGATTTTGGCTTGCTTGCTGAGCGGGAATAGTATTTCGAGATCAACGGGATGAAAGTCACTTCGGCGAACGCGGCGTTTTCGATGCTGCTGAACTTCATCACTCATAAATACGTCGTGGCTTCGAAGGCCGCTGATGTGAGAAACGCTTGGGTACGATTGATTGGATAGATGCTGAATGATTATTTTGCGAGACCGAAGCGAAGTGCGATCGAATAAAGCAAAACGTGAATTGTAGAGCGAGACAAGGTGCTGGTTGTGTTAGCAGACGAGTTGGACTACTTGTTCACGAAAAACCAACACGTTATTTACAAACTGTTCGACTGGCCGAGCGATCCGCACTCCCAGCTCATTGTGATTGTATTGTGATTGAGTCATTCATTGAATTGAAGGGAATTTCGAACACAATCGATCTTCCTGAACGAATTATGAACCTTCGAAACATTAGCCGACTGTCGATGAATCGTGTGATGTTCAAACCGTATAACCGGGAACAGATCTCCACGATCATCTCCGTTTTGATTGATTGTTTGTTTGCATCACATAGAATCGATTGAACGAACTTACCGTTTTCACACCGGAAGCCATCGATCTGTGTAGTCGAAAAGTGAGTGCGGTGAGTGGAGACATCCGGCGCGCTCTTTCCATTGCTCGCAGAGCGATTGAGATTGCGCAGCAGCAAAAGCTAGAACGGTAGGAGATCTGAAAGAAAAAACTTGATGAGTCGCAGAGTTCCGATCGCTGCTATTTCAGAGGCCGCGAAAGAACACGCAGAATCGTACAAAATGAGTGTAAAAACGATCTGATCATTCGATTGTAGCTTTTGCAGCACTGTTCCATGTATCAAATCTTGCTCCTCATCTCGTTGGTGCTGCATATGAACGCGATTGGAGTTGACTTTGTTCTCTTAACGGATGTTGGTGCGTTGTGTTGTGCGTGATTGATAGATTTTCCCTCGAATGAGCACATTAGTTCAGCGATATCACGACAAGGAGTTGCTGTTCCCGGAGCTGCAGGCCGTCGCTGCATCGCTGAATGAGGTGGGGATTCTATCGATTATTCCGCCATCGACAAAGGTAAGCGATTGAGAAGAGAGGGCGAGCATTAGTTTGACACTCTGCTGAAGTTGAATATTCAACCCGATGATGTGTGCTTCGCTTTAAAAGACAATGAAATTGCAAAGAAGGAGATTAATTTACTCTTATGGCGTGTTTGTTAGTAAATTGCTTGCGTGTTGCGATTTTCTGGAAATGGACTGGGAATTCCGGAGATCGCGCAAACGAGATGTGAGCGAGGATAGTGCTGAAGAGAGGAGGAGTCATCGGATCAATTTCAATGATCGTGTGAATTTATTGTATACACTACTCTCTAGGAATCGATTTTTTCCATCACAACGAGGATTCTACCTTGTACAGGCGAAATCTGTGTTTTATATGTCAAAATCCGAGTATTGTAATCGACAAATCGCGTACACTTGATTCTAAATCCAATAGCATAGAGAAATGCGAGTCTTGCGGAAAATTGGTTTGTCACAATTGTTCTTATATCTGCAGTCGCTGCAATCGCTTTGTTTGTTCCTTCTGCGAAAATACCGTGTATGAATCAAATAGGGGGTGTAATGTAGGTATTCTTCCAAGGGAGAGGAGGCTGTTTGTATCGACTGTTGTTGCCGCAGCCAGTAGTTGTCTATTTGCATCATCCAATGCATCCACCCTTTCATATTGTTTGTTCACAAACACGCACACACTGATTGCTCATATTGAAACAATTTATTCCACAATTCCGTCACCGACTCCTTCGAGTCCTCCTTCTTCGTCTCCTTCACTTCCTCGCTCATCGCGATGCCCCCCAGCCACGACAGCAAACTGCTCTGCTCCTTCCGCTCCTCGAATTTCTCCACTTCTTTCAACACACAAACGCGCTGCTCCTCCTCCGACAGTTTCTATTCCCCATTTCCCCGTTTCTCCTTTCCTACCAGCTGCTCCATCAGCGCCTTCAACGCGGCTCCGCCTCGCACCGACGTCAAATACGTGATTAAAAGCTGTCGAAGCGTGCGGAGCGCCAGCAGCGCCTCCTCCTTCTCTTTGGCCACGATTTCTTGCTAGGCGATCATTCATTCATTCATTCAGTCGCTACTTCTTCCATCACGCGGCGGCGGAGTTTCATGAGCTCCGCGTCCATTACCGCGATTCTTCCCTGCAGAGAGTCCAAACGAAGCGACTTCTCCGCACACTCCGCACAGACGGGTATCTCCGTTTCCACGGTTGGAGAGGGAGAGCGATGCACGGTTTCCTCGGTTCCGCTCATTTCGGAACGGTTCGTGTTTCCACTGTTTCCACGATTTTCATTGGCTGGGGAGCTTTGTGCCTCCATTTTCTCCAATCCCCGCGATTCTGCACTCTTCTCCACCTCCTCTTCCCCATCTCCGTTTCCACCGTTTCCACCGTTTCCACCATTTTCACCCATACCACTCCCTGACTCCATCCCAGCGTTTCCCTCCATGTTTCCACCATTTCCACCGTTTCCACCATTTCCACCGTTTCCACCATTGCGATTACTGGTATACACGGCCAGCGAGGCCTGCAGATTTCGCACGCAGAGCTGCGCGTAGTCCAGATCCTCCTGTGCGTTTTTGTGTTCCACCGCCAAATGCTGCGCCTCCGCCTCCAGCTGCGCGTGCTGCGCGCTCAGCTCCTCCATGGCCTCCTTCAGCGCGGCAATCTCGCGCTCCCGCGCCTCGAGCTGGCCCTGCAGCGCGTCCATCTGCTCCTTCTCCTTGCGGAACTGCAGTCGCTCTTCGAGCAGCTCGTCGTTCTCGCTTTTGTACGTCGCCAGCTGGATCCCCAGCGACTCCATCTCCGCCTTCTGCGCCTCCAGACGCTCCGTCAGCTTCCCCACCGCCTTCTCCGCGTCCTCCGCGCGCTGCTCCAGCGCCTCGCGCCGCTGCGCCATCTGCAGCCCCTTCTCCTCGCTCTGCATCTGCTTCGACCGCAGACCTTCGATCGTCTCCTCGTACTCCTGCTCCTTCCGCAGCAACTCCCGCATCTCCGCCTTCAGATTCTCGCACCGTCGCTCCACGTTCGCCAGGCTCAGCGAGCTGCGCTCCTTCTCCCGCCCCAGCGCCGCCGTCTGCTCCGCCGCCGTCTGCTCCGCCGCCTTCACCGCCGCGCGCAGCGCCTCGTTCTCCGCCGCGCGCGCCTGCAGCGACGCCACCAGCTCCTGCAGCCGCGCTTCGCTCCCCGCCGAGCCGTCCAGCGAAACGCCCAGCCCTTGGAGGGAGCGCTGGAGGGAGGCCTGGAAAGCGGCGAGCGCGTCGGAGGCGGCGGTGGCTTCCTGCTGCGCGCGGGCGAGGCGCGATTCGAGGGCGGTAACCGCGGTGAAGAGACCGTCGAGACAGAGGTAAAACTCGGCAGAATCCGCGGAGGGAGGAGGGGGCAGGGCGGTGTCGGGGGAGGGCGGCGACTCCAGGTGCTGGCGGAGCGTTTGGAGCCATTGGAAGACTTCGGGGGAGGGGGTTTCGGAGTGTGCCGCGGGGGAAGGATCGTCCGGACGGGACTGCTGGAGATTGCTCTCGACTCGACGGAGTTTCTCGCGGAGCGATGTGTTTTCCTTCTAGGGATGGCGGGAGAGAGAGGGAACGAATACGGTAACTTGGTCGACTTGCTCCTTCAGATGGTCATCTTTGCGTTCGAGCGAGTTGCGCAGCTGTTTGATTTCCAACTCGTAAGTCTGTGTGATTTCTACTATGAAAATGGGAGAAACTCTCATACCTTTCGTTTTCTTTTCCAACTCGGAGGAAGACTCGCTTACTTGCTTCTTCAACTCATCTCTCTCCTGAGTTAACTATGCAATCACAGAATTGGAGAAATCACACCTTTTGAACTTGCGAAGATAAAGAAGAAATCTCGTCGGCCTTTTCTTGTATCAGGTGGTTGTAGTTGTGAATTGACTCTTGCGAACTCGTTTCTGCATCGCGCAATTCCTCACGAAGCTTAATCACCTTTTCTTTATACCTATTCCTCGACAGAAAACGAAATTCCCACTTTTGTAGTTCCGATTTGATCACACGAACCTCGTCTGTGGAGGATGTTCCAGTTTCTCCGCTCTTGTAGTCTTCATCGCTCATATACTCGTCGTCGTCATTGAGTTCGTCAACGAATGAGACAATTCTCGACCACATTCTTTGTTTTTGGAAGGGATTTCGTGAATTCCGATTTTCCTGCCAAAGTGTTCAAGTGAAACTCGTTCTATTTTCAAGAGGATTTGATACAATTTTAAACTCGAATCATTTCACTCGTGTTGCTATTGTGTGTTAAATCCACTGCCAACCTGGGTATCAAATCGGAAGCACGCTATGAGTATTGTTGAAGCGTATGCAAAGTTGCACGGAAAGGACCAAGACTGGTATATAACCGGACTCCCTTTTGTGTTTGGACGAAAATCGGAGAAAAGTCCAGAGCATTTTGTAGATATTACTCTCGGAGAGGGAACGAAGACTGTCTCACGAGAGCACGCCGTTCTCACATATTCGGAGGAGAAGGTATCTGTGTCAGATGCGTGATAATTCGTAGAAAGCCTATGTCCTTGAAATTAAGGGGAAAAGTGGTTGTATCATAAATCGTAGGGTTTTCGTATGCTGTGTCAAGTATAGGAAAGCAATATGTCAGGGGCGAACGTTGCTGTTTATACAATAAGGACGCTGTGGAAATGGCGCAGTGCAAATTCTACTTTTTGCTTCCGACCGGTGCGTCTCCAGAGGGAGCGAATAAAGAAGAAGAAGAAGCCGCAGCTCCTTCAGCCAAGAGAGTTTTGGAGGAAAATCCTTCCGGTCAATCTTCTAAGCGTGTCGAAACGATAGATGTGAATAAGAAAGAAAAATAAGAAGAATTCTACGAATTGCTTGCTTGCTTGTTTTATCAAATAAGGTCAAAACAGAGAATGAAGGAGGGTGCGGCAGAATGGGAAGATCCCCGTTTTCGCCGATTGGAGAACCTACATTTTTTCTCAGCAAATCGTTCGCCAAGATGCCTATGCAAATTGTCTTCCCCATCTCCATGGTGGCAGTCGGCGTCACCGGAGCCGCTGCTCTCCTGGCAGTTGGAAATAGAATGATGTACCACAAGGTAGGATTACGCTAATTTGAATTGATTTTTATAGTGGCGCAGACCTGTGATGGTTGATGAATTCGATGACCAGCTTATAACGCGTGATGCTTGGGTTCGACAGGAAAACGCCAGGATACGGAAAATTCGGCAGCAGATGAAATCCTGAGAGCGATAGAGGAACGTGTACGAAGGAACATCCATACTTTTTGCGTGTTTGTGACTTGAACAAACAAGACGAGCCCAATATTAATTTAGCAAGGAATCAAAAAGCGGCAGCACAACCGAAGCACAAAAGAGAGGATGGAGAGAAGAAGGAACTACTTGTGTACATCGCGCGTTCCAAATAAATAACCGTCATAGTCGTCTTCACTAACTTCAGCACAATACCTCTTTTTGATTTCAAAGTATGTATCTGCTGTCAAGCGACTATCACTACCGGATTGATGTCGAATGCCTCTCCGCTTGATCTACCCTTCGTCCCGCCCCTCAATTCTCACATTTAGAAACTCTGCAAGCCGACTGAGTCCCGTGCTCAGGCAGTTGTACTCGTGAGACAGGTATTTGACGTCGAAAATGTGAGGAAAGAAGATGTGTCGAATGGCCTCAAAGGTCTCTACGCTCTCGGGGAGATCTTCCCCTGTTAAAAGACGGATGAGGTAGGCGAAATCGTAGTCGCCGTGAAAGGAGATCCATCGGACGTTGCTGTTGAGTACTAAACCCGACATGGTGAGTAACTCGCTAAAGCGGGTTGCGTCGATGCCGTTTTGATTGTGCCTCTGAAAGTCAAATCCACATTTGAGCAGCATTTGCATAGAGTCTTTGTTGCATTGGTCAGTTCTAGGATCACACGAAAATGCGAAGTTTACTCTGGATTAAATTTGAAATTAAATTGCCAAGTCGGGTAATCTGTCGCTACTTGGCCAGATGCCGTACACACTGTAATACCGAGCTGGATAATTTTGAGTTTGTTTACGTTATTCCGTAGAATGCTGTATTCAAAAATATTCGAATTCTCCTCAGAACCTGGGTAACAAACCCCGGGAAACTCGGTATCCTGAAGCTCACGGATTTCTCACTTTCTTACCATTGCAATGTATGGATAATTCTCTACTGCGGCCATTAGACTGCGCATTTCTTCATCAAGGTTGGAATCCCAGACATTTCGCAGGTTAAAAAATTGAGAATCTGTGTACACAGTTTCTGATATTGAATTCCCTTTAATAAACGAATATGATCCTGGTTGCATACTCATCGTTAAAAGCACCTACAACTCAGCGCCCTTTATTCAAATAACATACAGTGTATCAAGCTATCTAAAATACCGAAAGAGACCTACAACTACAATTATTGATGGGACTTTTGAGGTTTTCAGAAATCGGCCGATTTTCTGGAACTCCAAAAATATATGTTACACAAGTTTCCTTGCGCTTTGATTTCAACGCTTATCAAACAAAACAAGGTAACAGCACTTCTTTTTAGATGACCTTTCTGTACCGGGCTGTACGACATCGTCTACGTCCTAAAAACAATTTGTAGCCAATTACCATTCTCCTCCTTTCCCCAAATATCATCATATATAACAATCGAATCTAACAACTTATCAACGCTATCGCTAATATTCATCGCCGTCTTCGCCGAAACCTGCATGTCAGGCGCTCAATCAAACCAAACTCGGATCCACTGCGCAATCCCGCACTTTTCGCAAACTTCTTTTATTTGATCATCGCTGAGACCATTCTCCGTCAAGTCGGACTTATTCACAAGCAAAATTACAGGGAGCGGCTTATCATTGGGAAGCTTCACGTTCTCATTGAGCTGATTCTTCCATTTCTCCACGTTCTCTAGAGACTTCGCGTTCACATTATCGCACACAATAAAGCATCCCAGCGCATTGCGGTAATAGACCTAGAACGTTACGAATACACACCGCAATCAACTCTCGAGATACGCTGATAACGTTCCTGACCCGCAATATCCCAGAGCTGGACCCGATAGGTTACGTCGTTTTTCGTTAGCACTTTACAAGAAAAATCTACGGTAGCGGTGGCAACGTGCTGCTCACTGAATGTGGAATAAATGTATCTAGCTCTTTGATGGATTGTACAGCCACTTACTGTTTGATTATACTGGTCTTTCCAGTTGCTGCGTCACCGATAACAATCACTTTAACGACCTTTTCGTCACCTGAGCTCATTGTTTTTGAGCTGTGTTGGAAAATGTTCGACACTATTCTTGAATGTATTTGGTTGTGCTCCTGTGGATTCTAAGCGCAACACATCCATGTTGACTCCATGCTTTCTTTTTCCTTTTTTGTCCTGCATCCTATCCATCTTCTCGAGCCCTACGCGTAGGCATAGTTTATAAGATAGATATGCGATTGAAACTCCCAAATGGAACATTCCATTTTGGTGAGAGTTCCAAACTGACAGGAATTCATATTTTATTTTTCAATTTAGTGTAGGTTAAAGAAATGGCTGAACAGACTGAGACCTTTGCTTTCAGTGCTGATATTACGCAGTTGATGTCTCTGATCATCAACACGTTCTACAAGAACAAGGATATTTTCCTTCGTGAGCTGATCTCAAATGCTTCCGATGCGCTGGATAAGATTCGTTATGAGAGTTTGACTGACCCCTCAAAGCTCGAGTCGAACCCTGAGTTGGTGATCGAGATTACTGCTGATAAGACAAACAAAACGCTGACGATTCGTGATACCGGTATTGGTATGACAAAGGCTGACTTGATCAACAACCTGGGTACCATTGCTCGCTCTGGAACGAAGGCGTTCATGGAGGCTCTTCAGGCGGGAACGAGCGATGTTTCGATGATTGGTCAGTTCGGTGTGGGTTTCTACTCCGCTTACCTGGTGGCTGACCGCGTGGAGGTGATCTCCAAGAGCAACGACGACGAGCAGTACGTGTGGGAGTCGTCTGCGGGTGGTTCGTTCACGATTCGTCCCTCGACGGACGAGCCTCTGGGCCGTGGAACGAAGATCATTCTGCACATCAAGAGCGACCAGGAGGACGTGCTGGAGGAGCGCACGATCCGTGATCTGGTGAAGAAGCATTCTGAGTTCATCGGCTTCCCGATCCGTCTGTGGGTGGAGAAGACGACGGAGGAGGAAGTGCCTGATGATGATGATGAGGAGAAGGAAGAAAAGAAGGAGGGCGAGGAAGGAGAAGAGGAGGAGGATGCCCCGAAGGTGGAGGAAGTGACGGAAGAGGAAGCGACCAAGGAGAAGAAGACGAAGAAGGTGAAGAAGGTGACGCACGAATGGGACGTGCTGAACAAGCAGAAGCCGATTTGGATGCGTCCGAAGGACGAGGTGACGGAGGAGGAGTACAACGCCTTCTACAAGAACATCTCGAACGACTGGGACGATCCGCTGGCGCACGAGCACTTCGCGGTGGAGGGTCAGCTGGAGTTCCGCTCGATCCTGTTCGTGCCGAAGCGCGCGCCGTTCGACATGTTCGAGACGAAGAAGAAGCCGAACAACATCAAGCTGTACGTGCGCCGTGTGTTCATCATGGACGACTGCGAGGATCTGATGCCCGACTACCTGAACTTCATTCGCGGCGTGGTGGACTCGGACGATCTGCCGCTGAACATCTCGCGTGAGGTGCTGCAGCAGAACAAGATCCTGCACGTGATCAAGAAGAACCTGGTGAAGCGGTGCCTGCAGATGTTCGAGACGATCGCGGAGGACAAGGAGAAGTTCAAGACGTTCTACGAGCAGTTCAGCAAGAGCATCAAGTACGGCATCCACGAGGACAGCGCGAACCGCGAGCGTCTGGCGAAGCTGCTGCGCTTCCACAGCTCGAAGTCGGGCGACGACGTGGTGAGTCTGGAGGAGTACGTGGAGCACATGAAGGAGAACCAGCCGGGCATCTACTACATCACGGGCGAGAGCCTGGAGGCGGTGCGGAACGCGCCGTTCCTGGAGAAGCTGAAGAAGAAGGGCTACGAAGTGCTGTACATGGTGGACGCGATCGATGAGTACGCGATGCAGCAGCTGCGCGAGTTCAAGGAGAAGAAGATGATCTGCGTGACGAAGGAGAACTTGAACTTGGAGGACGACGAAGAGGAGAAGAAGAAGCTGGAGGAGGAGAAGAAGACCTTCGACGAGCTGTGCGTGCTGATCAAGGAGGTGCTGGGCGACCACGTGGAGAAGGTGCTGGTGTCCAACCGTCTGGCCGACTCGCCGTGCTGCCTGGTGACCAGCGAGTACGGCTGGTCCGCCTCGATGGAGCGAATCATGCGCGCGCAGGCGCTGCGGAACGACGCGTTCGGCATGATGTCGGCGAAGAAGATCATGGAGATCAACCCCGATAACTCCATCATCAAGGTGCTCTCGGAGAAGGTCAAGGCCAACCGCAACGACGCCACCGTCAAGGATCTGGTGTGGCTGCTCTACGACACCGCGCTGCTCACCTCCGGATTCTCGCTCGAGCAGCCCATGGCCTTCGCCAACCGCATCCACAAGCTCATCCAGCTCGGACTCAGCGGAGAGGACGAGGACGTGCCCGCTCTGGAGGAAACCAACACGGAGGCCGCGCAGGAAGCCGCCGAGGAGGAAGAGGGAGAGATGGAGGAGGTCGATTAAGCGAAAGAGAAAGAAAAAGAAAGGAATAATAGTCGTCGCGATTGTGTGGATTTTGTAATAGTAGTTGCATTGGTTGGATTGTTTGTTGAATGAATAAATGAATCAAGGTATGAATGAATAATGATGGATGTGTGGAATAAGAAAAAAACCAGAAGAATAGGATATTCGGAATTCCATAAATCGAAACCTATTTGTTTGGTTGAAAAAACAAAGAATGGCAGAGTCCACCGAAAACATTGAACATCGCTGTGTCTTGATCAAGGCGAATGGAGATCTGGAAGAAGTGAAGGTAATTCTGTCAGACAAGGAAGCGGTCAAGAAACTAGTGGGCGGAGATGCGGAATACAAAGGAGAGATGGAGGGAAGACAAATCGCTATTCTTGGGTACTGTCTATTTGGGTCTGTGAGTGTAGATCGAAGGAAACGGAAGGAATGGAAAAGAACGACCTTGGATTCGAACTATCTCCTCCGTGCGACAATGTTTATGGAACAGTTCTGGCTTTTTTAGTGGGAGTCAACGGAAAGCCGATTGACCTAAGTATTTCCCAATACAGGCGAAGCAAGAAGAATTTGCGAAAGAAGCAGAACGCAAAGAATCAAAAGGAAGACGAAACAGAAACCAAAGAGACGAATGGCACAGCAGAAGACGAGGACGTCAATGAATCCGATAAAAACCAAACAGAAGTGCATTTGCAAGGACTTCCCTACGATACAACTGAAGAAACGATTCGTGAATTCCTGGGAGAGTGCGGAACGATCAAAGAGATTCGCATTCCAACGTTTTCGTTGTTTGTTTTGTTAATTGCAGATATCAAGACTCGGGGCGCTGCCGCGGTTATGCCTTTGTGTCGTTCACAAACCAGGCAGGCGCGCAAGCCGCGCTCAAGAAGAATAAGGAATACATAGGCGAGCGATATATCACAATCAGTTATTCAAATAACCGCAACGACAACATTCCCATGTCGAAGAAGGATGTCATGGTGCCGATCGATTGCCGCTGCATTTTCGTCAAAAACCTGCCCTACAATGTGACCGAAGAGGAAATCCGCTCTGTTTTCATGTATGGATGGTAATCGTGATTCATCTCCAGGCGGTTCGGAAAAATCAGCGAGGTGCGAATTCCGGTGTGGAACGACACAGGACGACAGAAGGGATTGTGCTATGTGGATTATCTGACGAACCAGAGCGTCAAACTGGCGGTGGCGCAGAGCGGCGCTGTGGAGATGAAGGGACGAAAGCTGTTAATTGATGTGGAGTCAGGAAGTCCAAAGGACTCGTTCCGAATGCCTGACGGTAATTTGTGGAAGAATGAACATAAGGGAGAGCGAAGAAAGCGAAACAACCAGGGAAAAACGAGTTCGGCGGGGAAAAGGGCGAAAAAGGAATAGTATGTTTGTTAAATACTGACAGGGATTTTGAGAGATTTCGTGATCAATGCGGATAGAAGAGAAATCACAAAGGGAATCTATTTTGAATTGGAATGAAGTGGAAAGAGAGAATACAAAATAGGGCTCTTGATACGAATGAAATGGTCAATTCATAAAAAACACAGGATATGGAGAGAACTCACTTCTTCTAATAATCTATATGGAAAGGTTAAAGAAAAATGAACCAATGTTAATATTAAAGTGCCAATTGTATTCTAGGTTTGCTTTTATTGTCCAGATCAGTTATAATGATTAGAGGCAGAACATTACGATGTTCAAAAAGAGGTTAATGCTTATCTACTATAACGAGGTACAACAATATGATTATTGAATGTGCCTCGATACATTGTTTTTACAGATTAGAATGAGTTCGTCATGTATTATTGCTATTTTATCTTACCATGTAGCGGAGATCATTACTGCAGTTAAAGGAGTGGAATATCTTCAGGCTAAAAAAATATATATATAACATATGGTGATCCAAAGCCAATTTAACATAATGGGATAAACTGTATCGTTCAATACTACCAAAGGGATCACAAGAATAAGTTTCTCATTCGTTCACCAACGGGTGAAGTACTTCTGTACGAGAATAATGTTCCAAAGCAGCAGTGGGAAGAGAATGAGAAAGGAAAAAGACTTTATGAATATGTTGCTTACAAGAATGGTCGAGTTGATTTCCAACAACGTTTCGAGGATATTACAGAGCAGAAAGATTACAACAGAAAAGAATAAGAGGTGGTTCTCTGTTTTGGTACATAGATAAGCCTATCATTCAAACTGCAAACTTACCCTTGGCCTTCCAAAAGGTAGTTTCCCAAACAATAGAAGGTGGCTATTATCTTGATAGGAATACTAAAGTATTGATATATCTTCTATTGTAGTTAATGTTATGATTGATGCAATGAGCCAATAGTCTGTAATTAGTGTGGGTATTGTGTATATGGTTCATATACATAATATGAAAAGGAAGCATTATAAATATGATCTGTTTTAACAAATTATAAATGTCATTTCCTGCAAAATGCAAGTCATAAAATTATGGATTAAAGTTTACTTAATATAAATCTTTTTCTAAACTTGAAATAATTTCAACTATTATATCATTATCATTATCATCATTTTCTCCATTATTATCATTATTACTATTATTATTATTATTATTATCATCATCATCATTTTCTCCATTATTATCGTCATCACTATTATTATCGTCATCACTATTATTGTCACCATCATCATCATCATCATCATCATCATCATCATCATCATCATCATCATCATTTTCTCCATTATTATCATTATCATCATTTTCTCCATTATTATCATTATCATTATTATTATCGTCATCATTATTATAGTCACCACCATCATCATCATCATCATCATCATCATCATTTTCACCATTATTATGATTATAATAATTATCATTCTCATTATTATCAATATCATTTCTATTTGGCTGGTATAGAGTATCGAAAGATGATTCATGTAGTGAGGATGATATGTTTCTTGTTTTGGATGGAACGCCTAATCTATCTAATGGTATTTGTTGGTCGTTTGAATCCACATGTTTTTCCCCTAAACTTTCCTCAACTACATTCAAAGAAACAAGGTCGGCTAGAATATAAGAAACATCACCTATGAGTGAAATCAAATCAATCTAATAATACTCGAAATTGATTTCGATCGAACTATCGCAAATGAATCTGGTAAATATACATAATCCAGATTTGGAATTTCTAAATGCCATTAATATCAAATGTTTGGAACTACTTTCCATTGTCACCAAATGAGGAAACTGGAAACTCCATCCTTTAGATTCGATGGACATTAGATTTGGAAGATCTAAATTCAATTATTTCGAATCATTTCATTCAAACTTTGCATTGACAATGAGCAGCATTCATTATTTGTTCCATTGAGAACCCATTTACCAAGTTGAATGGATTGTAATGATGGAAGATCTACATCAATCATTTCATTCGAATTCATTCAATACTTTCGATTGCTGTTGATAAGGATAAACAAAATGCATTATCACCTAATGTAATGGATTGTAGATTTGGAAGATCTATGCATCATCCAAATATTCAATATCATGTCAATACCTCGAATCATAAATGAACTATAATAGAAATTGTATGAATCACTTCCAATTGTACCAATTTGAATAGATTGTAATTTTGATAGATTCTTCAATTCAAAGCCTCCAGCAAAATCAATGAAACTGAATTCACCAATTTGAATGGATTGTAATGATCCACAATTCAATATGTGGAATGATTTTGATCGGTTGTTTTTATGACTATATTTTTTATCAGTAAATGAATTGCTTCCGATTTTGAGAGTTTTCAAACGATTCAACCCATCGATTTTGAATGTTTTCACTGAACAAAAGCATCCATCGCCGATTTCGATAGACCGTAACCATTTGTACATCTTTAGATCCAAAACATCAAGATCATTACAGCATCCTACTGGAACAGTTAAACTAGTCACATGCAGAATCATGTTTGTCAAATCAATTTCATTGTGTACAACTAATTACTGGGGAATACAATCATATCTGCCAAAATATAGATCCACTCCACTCACTTCTTCCTTATCTTTCCATTCACATTCTCGAGTGGCAATTCCAGTCTTTTCATCAATCAGACATCCTTTCCCTTCACGAATAAATCGTTCCTTGTCTTCATCATAGAGAAATCCACCCATATAGATCGGAATTCGTTTCGTTGGATCCAAACTATCTGCTCCATTTCGCTTCAATTCGGTCATCGTATCTCCATTGAAACAGCGAATCACTTCTGTCAATACTCCTTTGCTCCATCTACCTTCTACCAGTGCCATACCACTCTCTTCATCGTATTCGATGCCCCAGCCTTCTTTCATTCGTCTTTCGTTGTACTCTCCATGATACATCATACGTCCCGTTTTACCTGACCAGATTTCCATTCGAAGTCCTTTCTTGTGGTAAACAATGCGCTTACTATCCATTTGTCCCATGATATACTCGAATCGCTGGCTAAAATCAACTCGACCATTCTTGTATCGAATAAATCCCTCCGATTTCTTTCCATTCCTTTTCTCTTGCCAGTATTGTTTCAGTACATTATTTTCATACAAAAATACATCACCATTTTCTGAATGCAACAAAAATTCATTTTTGTGTTTTCCTTGATATCTCTGGATGCTATACTGCATTCCATTCCTATTCAGATATTCCAGATCGCCGAGTGTAATATATCTGTTGAGTAAAAACTCACTTCCATATACCTCTTCTAAAGTTGCTATTCATTACGCTTATAGACAATATATACATTCCTCTCTCATTTCTCTTTATTCGAATATTAAAATAAGTAAAAGTGTCAAAGGAGAAACTGTTTCATTTATCTCACATTTCAATATAATAGTACTCAATAATATGTATATAAATTTTAAGAATTGCTGTAATGGACTGTCATCATGTTAAACAGAGATCAATGACCTTCTGGAATAGAATATTATCATGTCTATCATTATGTTCTATGCTTGTATTCTAATTTCATCAATTTATAATTATGGTAGATTCATTTCTTTTGTAGAACCAATTATCTTTAATTGATTGGCTGAACTAGTTGTCGTAATGAATGAAAAATGCAATTCCACAAATATTGATTATTTCTAAGATCCATGCAAAACATTGCTGATTTTGTCAATTCTACTATTAGTAACTATCATATTGATAGATCCATAATTCAAAATGTGCAGGGATGCTTGGGTAAAGAATGGAAACCAAATGGCTGGATTTCACTCATATTGAGTAATAGAGAATGTGTAGTACTGCAATTCAATAATGGAGTATTCATGAATCAAGGATTTGTGGTCAATGAGCAGAAAGTGTTGAAAGTGTTTGGAAATCATCAAATTGGTGATATTTCATATAATGAAGAACAATCCAGAGAAGTAGTGGAAGAAGGAATCGTGGATTTGGATCATGGAAGTCGATTTGAAGGATTGGTATTGACAGATAACAAGTTTGGAATTCCATTTGGATATGGTGAAATGTATGATGATGATGGATTCTTGGTGTACAAGGGCATAATGATCAATTGGAAACGATTTGGATATGGAACGAGTTATCATAATAATGGATGTATTGAATATGAAGGATATTGGTGTGATGATAATCGATTTGGAAGAGGAAAAGTATATGATCGATATGGTAAATTAGTGAATGAATGTGAATGGTATAATGGAATTGAAAGCGATACCGATTATTGCGGAAATGGCTCAGAACTACTGAATATCGGAATGAAACATTTGAAACTGAGTGACAATTGTGTATTGAAAAATTGGGATGTTTCATTGTTGTATAATTTGAAATCAATCGAAATCGGCAATGATTGTTTTGGATCAGTGAAAACATTCCAAATCGATGGATTGAATCGATTGAAAACCATCATAATCGGAAGCAATTCGTTTACTCAGAAAAAGAATGGAGGGAGAAATGATGAATCGAAATCATTCCACATATTGAATTGTGGATCATTGGAATCCATTCAAATTGGTGAATATAGTTTCAGTGATTTTGGAGGAGACTTTGAATTAAAGAATCTACCACAATTACAATCCATTCAAATTGGCACAATTGGAAGTGATTCATACAATTTCTATTATAGTTCATTTGTGATTCGAGGTATTGACATGATATTGAATATTTGAATGATGCATAGATCTTCCAAATCTACAATCCATTACATTAGGTAATCATGTATTCCATGATTCCTTCTCAACAATAATTGAAAGTATTGAATGAATTTGAATGAAATGATTGATGTAGATCTTCCATCATTACGATCTTTTCAACTTGGTGCGTGTGCACTTTGTGGATGTTTTGAAGAAGGCTGTTCATTGACAATGCGAAGTAAATATAAACGTTTTGAAATAACTGAATATAGATCTTCCAAATCTATTTTCTTTAGTCAACTCTCAAGGAGACAGTTTCTTTTTTCCTCGTGTAGTGATATTGGAAAGTATTTCTGAATATTGAATATTGATAGTTTATTTAGATATTCCAAATCTTCAGTTTGTCGAATTTCCTGTTTCATTTTATCATGTACAATCGAAATCCATCTCGAGTATTGTTTGCTTGATTTCATTTCATTTATAGATGTTGCTCGTATATTTTCCAGTAAAATCAAGAGTAAACCGTTTTTATTATAATTATGTGCGTTTGGAATCAATTTATTGCTCCTTTTGTTTTGCATAATATATACATTATAATCATATCATTACACTGTTTTTTGTTGTATTACCTTATTCATCCCATATAAATGCTCTTTTGTATTTTCATGGCTCTTCTCTGAAATGTGTGTTCCTTGCTTCTATTATTGCTCCACATTCGGGAATTACTAACAAATGAAGGTTGCTTTCTCTATTTGTATCAATATTCATGTTATCCATTAACCTCACACCACTCTCAATCCTTCTCACACCACTCTCAATGCTATCACCTCCAAAAAAATCGTCATCCCATTTCCCCTTCTTCCCTCGTCTTTCCAACAAACATTCCAATTATACACCATATACTTCGAGGTGGACGAGAACTTCTGATATCCCTTAATCACCTTATCGATCGCCTTCAAGAAATCGTCCTCCGTCACCGCCTTGCGCCTTGCCCGAATCGCGAACATCCCTGCCTCCGTGCACACGCTCCGGATCTCCGCGCCCGTCGTGTTCGGACACAGTCTTGCCAGCAATTCGAACCGAATCCCCCGCTCGCACGTCATCGGCCGCGCGTGGATCTTAAAAATCTCCGTCCGGCCCTCCAAATCCGGCAGCGCGAATTCCACCTTCCGATCCAGCCGCCCCGGGCGTTTCAGCGCGGGATCCAGCGTGTCGGGACGATTGGTCGCCATGAGCACCTTGATATTCCCGCGGGCATCGAAGCCGTCGAGCTGGTTGACCAACTCCAGCATGGTGTTCTGCACGTCCGTGTCGCCGCTGTCGCCGTCGCCGTCGAATCGCGTTCCTCCGATGCTGTCCACTTCATCGAAGAAAATCTACGTGAGATTCCCGCGGGGATGGATACAATGCACGCCTTCTTGCTGCGAGCGAGCTGGAACAACTCGCGGACGATGCGCGCGCCCTCGCCGACGTACTTCTGCACCAGCTCGCTGCCCAGAACGCGGATGAACGTCGCCTCCGTCCGGTTCGCCACCGCCCGCGCGGACAGCGTTTTCCCCGTTCCAGGCGGGCCGTAGAGCAAAACGCCCTTGGGCGGGTCGATGCCGAGGTCGGTGAAACGCTCGGGGTGGAGGAGAGGAGTCTCGACGACCTCGCGGAGCTCGCGAAGCGCGTCGGCGCAGCCGCCGACGTCGTCGTACGTGACGTCGGGCTTTTCCTCGATCTCCATGTTGGATACGGAGGAGTCGATGGCGTTGTCGAGCGATTTCTGAGGAGGAGGAGGGAGAAGAAAAAAGTACGGCGATCGTGTAGTGGTCTTGGGAGACGGCGACCCGCTTGCCGACTTCGATGTCCACCGAGGAGACGTTCTTGTCGAGACCGGAGACGAATTTGGCGAATTGGGGGATTTGGATCACGAAGGCGGGCTCTTTCTTTTCGGTTGTGATCGCTTGTACGCATTGGGCAATCTAGAGTCGATACAAGAGGATGAATGTACCATGTAGCTCTTGCCCTTGGCTCGTTTGCTGTCCTGATCCAGATTCCATTGACTGGGAGGGGCAAGACCCGTATCGCTTTCCTTTGCGCCTATGCTGTCAGACATACTGCTATAAAATCCTACCAACAGCCTTGTTCACTTCCGATTCGAGTTCTTTGATTTTCTTCTCTATTTCCTGAATTTCACGAACATAGGGTCCCATCTATATCCGTTATGCAAATGACGCTCTCTATACATATTTCTTCATTTCGTCCACTTCAGCTTCCTGAAGAGCCTTTGGTGACGTCTCTTCCTTTGGCGTCTCTTTTGGGCTGCTCTCAACTTCCATAGTATCTGACATTTTCAGTCCTAAAAAACAGCGTTCTAACAACGCAAATTATAGAACAAAATGGATTGACGGAATTGTTTCACTGCTTTATTTTTATCCTGCGATTCGATGGTACGCTCGCCGTACACTATTTTAATTCTCTTCCCAAGCAACGCTGTACATCTTCGTTTTCCTAACAAACATGCAAACAAAGCAGATTTCGTTTAGGGGTGCCGTTTTCGTAGCTCTTTAAACGAAGAACGAACCATTAGCACCTGCTTAACACCATTCTTTTCCTTCTCGACTTTCTTAAAGAAAATCGGCTGGAGCGCGGGGGACTCATTCATTATCTCCCACCGGTCACACATTTTCACATAATCACGATGTCCCTAATGATGATGCTCCGACGTTTGCGCTCCCACCTGTATTCTCGCATATACAATATCGCAGAGCTTCAAACTCGATGACTTCGGCCATCTCTTCTTATGCATCTACATCTCACACATCTCTCCAACGGCCCACCGCATTATACAATTTCAACACACTCGAGCAGTTCAACAACGACACATACCCATATCCCAGATTGCACGAAGTCACTTTGTCGATCGGCAGATACAGGAACTCGATCTCTCCCTGCACATACGTCTCCAAAATCGACAGCAATTCCTCCTGCGAAATGCTGTTCGGGATGTTCCGGATCATCAGGAATTGCCGAGGGTCCTCGTTCGACTCCACTTTCCTCGGATCGATCACGTATTGCTCCGCGTTTTTCATCATTTTGTTCTTCTTCGACCGACGATTTCCCTTCCCCGTTCCACTGTTTCCACTGTTTCCACTGTTTCCACTGGTAACACCGTGACCGCGGGAAGACGCCAGCGCCGTCAGCGAATTCGATGGAAGATTCAGCGCCGACAGCGAATTCGAAGGAAACGCCAGCGCCGACAGCGAAACGCCCATGGAATTCGATGGAAGGCCCAGAGGACTCACCGCGGTTCCCTGCAGAGTCATGGCGGGGGGCTGCGTTTTTTTGGCGGGCTTTTTGGCGGGGTTGAGGGAGCGGTCGTCGGGCTGCGCGGCGATTTCCGCGGGGGAGGGATCGGTGGGAAGAGAGCCGGTTCCGCCGATTGGAATAGTGTTCCGCGTGTTCCGCGTGTTCCGCGCGGCGGCGAGGTTTCCGCCGGGAGGGTCCATGGAACATTCGATCGAACATTCGATCGAACGGTCCAGTGAGGGATCCAGTGAGGGATCCAGTGAGGGATCCAGCGAACCGTCCAGCGCGGAGGGCAGGAAGCAGCGCGCGGCGGCGGACTGGGAGTACTCGCAGTCGAGAGGGTCCTCGTAGGACACCGCGTAGGGCGAGCCGGCTAGGCGTCAGGGAGGGAACAGAGAAGGACAGAAGCGAGGGTAGTAGCGGGGAAGCGAGGGAGCGGTGAGCGGGTGAGGGAGAGAGCGACTGGGCCGAATAGAGGGAGCTGTAGGAGTGGCTGTCCGGAGAGAGGTACGGCGCAGAGGGGTCGTCAAAATGGGAGAGAAGAGGGTCTGCAGGGAAGGAGGAGCGGTAGCGATTGGGCCGTCCTTCCGAGCTAAAAGCAAAAGATGGGTTCAGGTTCAGGGATGAGGAGGACTGGGAGTAGAACCGGTCCGAAAAGAGCGAGTTGGGAGGAAAACCGTCGTCAAAAGTCTGATACTCACGAGAAGAACCAAAAGTGTGCAAATGCATGTCTTCAATTCCAGGAAGCATGCGGTTCTGCTGGCTACCTGCGCTTTCTACATGGGGACGGAAAGAAAAATCATACCAGACATATACATTTGAGATAGACCTGGAAGATTGGAATGATCTTCCTCGCTACCTTCAAAAGTATCATGTGATGTGTTCAAGTAAAGGGACGTCGGCTTCGAATTATACTCATCCACAGAGGACTACAAATAAACCAGGTAGAGCACACTTGCCTTTTCTGAAGATATGGGCACTGATTTCTCTTTATTCTCTTCCATCGTCTTATATTGCAAAATGAAAGAGACAAAATGCAAGGAATAAGGATGAATATGGTCCTTCTAAACCGACTATTAACTTGCATATTACGATCATTTGACCTTTTACGTTTTTATTTTACTATTTTTCAGACTATATCGGTTTTACACGACTCCGGAAATGTGCTTACAACTATACCAAGCTACTGAACCCTCAAGTATATCCTATTTCGTTCCTTCTCATGCCAAATATCCCGGGTATTTTGCTTTGCTTGTACTGTACTATACATTCCTGCTAGACTGGCAGTGTAATTCTTTTGAATTCTATTTCAGTTTCGTACGTTCTATCGAATGGAAACCCAGGATCATCGCCTTTTCGAAAAGAACTTTCGTTTGCTCGAGTGGTATTTCTCTCTCTCTCTTTGTATTCTCCTCTCAATGAGCACCTCTTCCACTTCCCACTCCATTCCTTATAAGCGGTTGTTGCTCCCTGTTTTTCACTTTTGGACATTAAACTGGTGCGTTTATTCCAAATTTCTGTTTAAATACCATGATGAATCTCGACGTGAATAACGATCCGCGCAGGCAGCGTTTGTTTCTCAACATGTATCTACAACGCATGTGCAGTCCTCGTCAAATGGACTTGGACTACTCTTTATCCCAAATGTTGCATATTATATTATCACCCACCAAAGTGTTGGTTTTGTGGTTTTCGTTTTGACGCATAGATACAAGATGACTGCATGGCGGAAGCGTACCAAGACGTGATAGAAAAATGAATCGTAGAGACCAAGAACCAATGGGCGCGTGATGACCCTTCTTTTATTTTGATCACGATGCTGTTTGTTATGGTACGTTTTGAGTCTTATGGGACGATCTTGTAGATGTCCGCGATTGCATATTCTCTCACTGTACGGTTTTCAAACCCTTCCTATTTATTGTCTCTTTTAGTTTGGTTTTTATGATCTACAGATCGGCTGTTTTCCAATGGCCTTTTTTCGCTCTCCTCGCCGGAATTGTCATAGCGACCGTGATGTGGTACCTCGTAAACCACTTCATGCGTAACCAGCGTCCCCACAGTCCCGAGCAGTTCGTCGAATGGTTCTACGCGCTCGACATCCACTTCAATGCTTTCATCCCCTTCTTCCTCATCTGCGGCGTTCTCCAGGTGCCTCCCTTCCTTTCCTTTCATTCCAGCACTTCCTGCTCCCGCTGCTGCTCCGTCCTGGCTGGCTAGCGGTGGTGTGCTCAGATCTTCTGATAATCGCGGGTATCGCCTGCTACACCTACATCACGTTCCTCGGGTATATGTGTACTGGCTTTTCTCTGCATGTGTTGGCTAATGAGCAGACCTTCCCTTCGTGAAGACGCCATTCGTGATGTTGCTGGTGGGCGGCTGCGTGTGCTGCGTGGTGCTGTGTCTGATGATGTGCGGAGTGAATCTCACGGAGTGGTGGCTGCGCCAGTACTTCTGAGCTGCGCTGCTGTACCATGGACTTCTCATTCTGACTCTTCTTCTCCATCGTCATCATTATCATCATTATCATCATTATCATCATTATCATCATTATCTTCTTCTTCTTTGTGCTTCTTTGTTGTTTGTTCAATGAAACAGACAAGGATTCAATGAATATCGTGGGTTCGGTGCCTTGCGTGCTTACAAATCGTCGAAAAAGCCATCGTTCCCGCTCGTTTTGTTCACTTTCCGACGCTTCAAATTCTTCGCAGATGTCGGCTTGCTTCGTTTGCCGCGCTTTTTACTGGGCTTCGCGTCCGAATCTTCATCCGAATCCTCATCCGAGTCCTCCTCCGAATCCACGCCTTCCTTCTTCTCTTTCTCCTTCTCCTTCTCCTTGTCATCTTCGCCCTCCTTGTCATCTTCATCGTCATCTTCGTTCAGAATGGCCATGTCAAACAGCCGCAGCACGTTGTCATGCGACGACGCAGCGAGAAACGCCCGGTCGAACGACCATTCCATCCGCTCCACCGGGAATTCCTCGAACATCCCGGCAACGCCGAGGAACTGGTTGGGCATAACCTGCACGATGCGCAGAATGCCGTCCTCGCTGCCGGTACAAATAGTGTCCTCGTCGACTTTGAGGATTCCGTCGATGCTCTCGGGATGGCCGGTGATCCGATCCATTAGCTGGTCTTCTTCGTCCCATTTGTAAACGTTGACGTTGCCTTCTTGCGTGCCCGCGCACACGCAAGTGCCGTTCTTGATCACGCAGCAGGAGAGGAGCTCGTCCATGCAGGTGCTGGTTTGATAGAGCAGATCGCGCTGTTTGAGGCAGATCATGGAGAGCGAGCCGTCGGCACTGGACACCACGACGCTGTTTCGCTCTTTGTTGTATGCGAAGTCGGAAATATAGTCTTGATGATGTGTGAAATTGGCCATGGTGGGATGGTTTGGATTGGGATTCCACAACTACAGGACATTAAAAAACAAAAGAGAGAGAGAAAGGAAACGCTACCTTGAGACCACCTTCTTCGTCTCCGGAGAAGCAGGAGGAATCGTTCACCACAAACACGCGGCAGACTTCCGCAGTGTGTTTTTTCTCCTTGGCACATCTCCAAAGCACCTTGCCTAGGTAATCAATGGGTAGGTTCCTTTACCGTCCAGATCCATTGTAAACACGAAGCCATCTTCACAACCACAGAACAATTTGGTAGCATTGGGATTAAACATCGCCGATCGAATTACACTCTTCTCAACTCGCAAAGTCTTTAGCAATTTGTCTTTTTTGTCATCAAACTGGTGCCTTTCGAGTGATGCGTGCGAAAAAGCAAATACAATTCAATGGAACCATCGACGATCACGACCGCTGCGACATTTCCGACTTTGGAAAGGGAAATATCGATAATCTACAGCTCGAGCCGTTCACCCAACGCAACGTCGTCTGAGCACTTAATCTCAATAGGTGGATTATCCATCGCTGGGAAAATCAAAAAATACAAATTTGTAAGAGAAACCAAAAAAGTCTATCGATTTTTAAACCTGTCTATTTCATATCGCGTGCATAAATATTGAAAATGATTCGTTGTGCACAATCAAAGAGGAGGGCAAATACCTCGAACAGTCCATTCTTCAAAATGTTAACGACGTCAATGCGTATTGTGCCTCCGCGTGTAGAGAAAAGAGGCCTTCTTAAAATCCAGATCTGCAAAAAATAAAGAGAAATTAAGTGAAGAAAACAGTCATTATTTACCATTCAAACGTGTGGTGATCATATCATTGTTTGTTTTTTGTTTCATCAGTATCACTACCAAGAACTTTGTTAATATAGTGAAATTCGTGTTGTCAATAAGTGATTTTCGTATACACTACGTATTCATTCAGTCGATGTACCGTTATTAGTAGATCATTGTTCAATGAGCTCAAAAAATGATACCATAAAAGAAACACGGAAAAGGAATTTCAGTCTGAGTGATGTAAGTAGTTCTTGCACGGACACGCCTTCACCGGTATGAGAGATCGGTTCGTTTCGATGCATAGGTTGTTTCTGATACAAATATAAATGAGAACATAAAGGATGATTCAACACAGAAGCGTCAAAACGTTCCGTTTAAGCTAAATCGGAAAGCACGCGTATCGAGCAGCAGCGAAATGATGATTGCTGCGCGAAAGGGAGACATTGCCCATTTAGCCAAGTTGCTTCAAAACAGAGAGTTACTCAAAGAGCAGGACTCTCATGGCTACACTCCTCTCTTTTATGCAGTCAGTGGACGTCACGTGGGTAGGAGTGTTTTGTGTGGTTTATGCTAGATGCGGTTCGTTTCTTACTGGAAGCCGGTGCTTCGCTTCGTCACCAAGCGGCTCAAGGAACGACCGTATTGATGTACGCCATCTTCAACAGCAACGAGCCGTGCATGGAGTGCCTCTGCACCTACGCTTCTCGCCAACAGCAGCAACAACAACAGAGACAGCAACAGAAACAACAACAACAACGTGGTCAGCATGGTCAGCATGGTCAGCATGGTCAGCATGGTCAGCATGGTCAGCATGGTCAAAGTGGTCAACTTGGTACCTCCAATACCTCCAATACCTCCAGTTCCTCCTGCTTGGATTGGACGGCGGGCAGCTACGCGGAGGACGCGTCGTTCGTTCCCCTGTGCCTTGGCTCGCACTCCTCGCCTCCCCGTCTGATCGATCCGCCCATCAACCCTCTCCTCTCCTTCCCCCCGCTCTCCTCCTCCGCCTCGCCTCCCTCCCGCTGCTCCCTCTCCCCTCCTCTCTCCGCCTCCGCCTCTCCTCCGCTCTCCGCCTCTCCTCGCCGCGTCCTCGACCTCCAGAACACCGACGGGCTCACCGCCCTCATGCTCGCCTGCAAGGCCTCCTCCGCCTCCTTCTGCGAGATCCTCCTTCGCCACGGCGCCGACGCCTCTCTCCGCGACTTCTCCGGCCAGCCCGCTCTCGCCCACGCGCTCGCGCACAACGCGGGCGACTGCGTCCAATCGCTCCTCCGCCACGCCGGCTTCATCGACACGCGCTCGCGCGCCAGCCCGCACGGCGCGCTCTTCACCGCCGCCCAGCTCAACGAGCCCGCCGTGCTGCGTCTGCTCGCTCTGCGCGCGCCCTTCCTCCTCCAGTTCCTCCGCGAGATCGCTCAGCGCCCCGCGCGCCGCGAAGAAATCGCCGTCGAGGTCGCGCTGCGCGACGAGCTTCCGCGCCTCCCCGACGCTCCGCGCGCCCAGCTCGCCGCCGTCTGCGTGCGGCAGGCGCAGGACTGTCTCGGCCGGCTGCTGGCCGTCGCCGAGCGCCGCGCCGATCGGCGCTTCCGCGGGAGTCTCGCGGGTCTGGCGGGCTGCGCGAAGTGGTGCATCAAGATGGCCAAGGTGCTCTCCAAGGACCCCCAATTGCCCGATTTCGAGCCTTTTTGGGCCCATATCGAGCAGATGGTCCGCAACCAGGCCGCGCCTTCCCCGCGGGGAGGCGAGTCGGAGGCGTCCAGCGGGAGCTCCGAGGAAGGCGCGGCGAACGGGGATGCCTGCGGACTCGCGGGGGAGTCGCGGCGCGAGGGCAAATTGCGCGGGAAATCGGCTTCGCGGCTGCTGCTGTCGTTTCTGGAGATTTACACGCTGGCACATTATCGACTCGCTCCCCGCGGGGATGGAACCGAGGAACCGAGGGAGGCGCTGAGTCGGCTGCAGTCGGTGGACTCGCTGGACCCGCGGTTAATAGCGTGTTTTTGCGAGAATCGTGAGTATTTGCGGTAGGAGAGGAGGGAGGAGATGATGTGCAGAGGATTGGTGGAAAGCGACCCGGAAGTGGTGGATATGCTGCATTTCTTCAAACACGCGTTTACCTTGTTTCTAAGGAAGTTTTAATTGTCTGTATCTTATGATGGCTGATTTAATTGGCGACACCTCTTGAATTGCTTTTTTTTATTTTTAACTCATACGAATATTTCTATGCCTATGCTTATGCATTCAAGGTTTGAATTCTGCGATGAGTTGTATGTGTACATCGATCCAAAACAACTGATTGTTTGTTTTATTCATTTATTCATTTTTCATTCCTTTTTCTTCTTTTTTTGACATCCGTTTGTCGACTGCAATGTGGCTGCTCTGGAGTGTCCTGCTTTGGAGTATGCTGGCTTGTCTAGCTGTGCAGCGTAACGAGATTGCACACTTTGTATCCTAGATCCCATCTCTGTCCGAATCGATGATGTCATTGGGTCTCAGATCATTGGACACATCGAAAACAGCGATATTGCTCGCATCTCTTTCTACATGGGAAATGTGGAATCGGAAGATATCAGCCAAGTGACAGAACGGGCGTCCTTTCTATTTGACACCATCCAAGGCTCGCAGTTTCGCATCTCGATCGATTTGCAGCAATACTTAAAATCTCCGGTGATCTATGTGGTCGCCCAAGATCTCTTGTCTTTGGAAAGAACAATTCTCAAGTATTCGATCAACCCAGAATTGGTTCGATGTGATGAAAACCTCCTCGAAATCAAGGAAATCAAGGACATGAGTGATTCCTGTGCTGAGGTTACCATTTTGTATCATGGTATTGGAGATGTGTTTGTCCTCGGAGCTGCTACGGTCGATGAAATGCCCGAGACGAAAACGATCATCAGCGATGGAATCTATTTAGGAAAGTTGCCCTTTTCTCTTTTCCCTCTGATGTAGACAGCGAAATCATGCGGTAAAGACGGTTCTCTGCGGAATCTATCGAAATTCCGTCTATACGTTCTACGCCACAGTGATCGATGCGCAATGTATTCACACCACTGTGTCAAAATCGTTTGTTCCGAGTATTTTTGAATACAAAATGAACGTTTTACTGGCAGAGTTTGCCTTTTCAACGTACGGAGACTCGTCATTTACGAATGCTTGGATGCGTCGTTTTTACGGTTCGATTTGGTTCTCTTTGTTTTATGCGATTAGCCGGCGTTGGAAATTTCGCTTTACAATATCGACGCTATCATCCATGTTCGATCTTCTCTTCCTCCTCTGTTCTAATGATTAGATATTTCGCTTCCAAGCGTGTTGCAGTCCGTTAAAGTCTCCGAAGGCGGCGTTTTGCTCGGTTCGACAGCGGAGGTGAACAAACTGCTCGAAGAATTCGACCAGGCAGAGGACGAAATAGGTGAGAAATCGCAGCGCTGTTAACTGTAGAATTGTCGAATTATGGCCAGGCGCTCATCGAATGGCGAGAATGCAGCGTAACGAACCGTTTATTCAATGGAGCGTTGTATGTGTTGGGCGAGGGAGATCTGTACGTAATGGCTACGAAGGAAGAACAAGAAGTGTCCGCCTATGAAGTTATCACGTTCGGATCGTTTATTGGGACGTTCGATCAGGAGGCTGTGAAATTGCAGGTGAAATTGGAAAATAGCGATCGGCATCGCTACCACGCGGTGATAAAATATAAGGAGCAGGTCTTTGGGCCGTTTTCGGAAGTGTGCTAAGTGTTTGTTGTTTGTTGGCAGTTCTGAGCACTTGATTTGGTAGAACTACAATTCAAATAGGAATAATAAAATAAATAATCGATTTTGGTGTGAGAAGTGTGCTTGGTATTCGCTTGTACAGTTCCTTCGCAACGAGAATGATAAAAATGCCAAAATAGGAGAGAAACCCTTGTGTTATCATCTCGAAAGCGATAGGCAAAACAAGATTGCATTGCGAAAAAAGGTCGAAATTCTGGAATTATCTCACCTGAACAATAATAGCAATCTTTTGAATTATGAGTGCCTCAGTTGGTATTGATATGGGATTCGGTTCCCAAGTCGTTGAGAAATACGAAAATCCTGCTGACGAGAAGTCTGAACCAAAGGCGGTTACTCAGACCACAGAAAGGGGAGACCAGCAGTTTGAGTTTGAATGTATTGTGTGGTGTGATTGCTAGCTATAAAATTGAATACAGCTTCTCGAAATTGGGATTAGCAGACAGAACCTCTCCCTACGTGCGTGTTTGTTTGTAATTTCATAGCTAGGACAAGGACAGTTTTAAGCGCATCGCACTCTTCTCGGTTGACTACCTTCAGTCATCGTTGGATATAGAAAAGGAATCAGTTGTGAATGGGGTGTCGCTGTCCAAGAAAGATGACCAAATCTACTTCACCTTTCCCGAGACGAAACAAGAATTGAGTGTTTCGACGGCTGTTGGGCTTCTGTTTTTATACGAGTTCTATTGCATGCTCCGACAGGAAGGAACCGTCGTCGATTCCTTCTTCTCGGTCATGATGCGTGACTATACGGCGCATCTCGCTCAGCTCAAGCCTATTTACGCCGTACGTGGATTGGCTTTCGTTTCTATCCAGGTTCCCCACTTTTTCCAGAACCCCGACATCCAGCGTCTGCAAGCGGTGCAAGCGAGCCTCCACATTCCGGAGAGCTCCTTCGTGCTGCGTTCGCTCCCCTGCGTGCTGCACTGCTTCTACTCTTCGTGGAAGAAGGCGTACGAGAGCAACAAAGAAGTCAAGAAGTGCTACGTGGCCCTGGATTTCGGCGAAACCTCCTCGCACATCTATCTCCTCCGCACCAATCGCGTACTCTTCCCTCCTTCCTTCCACCTAGCATCACTGGAAGATCGCCTGCCATCTGCATTCATCGGATGCCTCGCTCCGCGCGATCGCCGCCGCCTTCGGCGAGGCGGTCAAGGCGACGTCGCCGGAGGCGAAGCTGCTGTTCAGCACGACGTCTGGCCGCGTGGCGCTGCAGAAGTTGTCGATGAAGTGGATGTCGAAGCTGTACGCGAAGTCGAGCCGGCAGGTGGAAATAATCGAGGAAACCATGCCGGACATTGGAGAGACGAAGGAGTTCAAAGCGACGGTGACGCGCGAGAGCTTCCAGAAGGAGCTGGCTCGGTCGAAGGCTTTGGACGCGTTCTACGAATTGATTCGGAAGCTGATCGACGTGCTGGAAGCGTATCATCTCAAAGCGGACTCGCTGGTGACCACGTCTCCCATCGTCGAGCTCGACGAGCTCCGTCTCTTCATCCCCGCCTCCCTGCGCAGCCTCGCGAGCGACACGCGCGTGAAGGCGCAGCTGGAGCCTGGCTTCGTCGCGGCGGGCGCGCTGCTGCTGCAGGATCTCATTCAGAAGCAGAGCATCGCGGTGGACCCCGCGTTCTACGGATCGATCTTCTGGCCCTCGGCGGAGCTGCGCGCCGCCAACGACGCGGCGTGGAAGATCTCGGGCGTCATGAAGCTGAGCCACACCAAGACGGACGTCCCCGCGGTTACCGAGCTGCCCGCCGAGGCGCTGCAGGCGCTGCGCGGGCAGACGGACGCGTTCGTGGCCGCGCAGGTCGACGTGGAGGCGCGGCGCGACGAGGTGCAGAAGCAGCGCGCGGAGCTCTGGGGACACTACGAGCGCGTCGCGAAGAATCTGGGCACGCTCCAGGACTACGCAGAAAAACAACTCAAACTCGCACACAACGCCAGAGCTGCGGAGGCGAGTGCTGCTCCTACGGAAGGAACTGCTGAAGGAACTGCGGAGGCTGCTCCTGCTTCTACAGAGGCTCCTGCTGCTGCTACTGAGGCTCCTGCTGCTGCTACTGAGGCTTCTGCGGAAGGAACGGGGGCTGCAGAGGGTGCGAGTGCGACGGAGCCGCGACTGGCCGATGTGAGGAGGAAGCTGAAGGAGATTCGGAAGAATATTGAGGACGACACGCTTATGTTCGGGTCGCCGGAGAACATGAAGAATTTGTTGGTGGAACTGGAGAACTGCAACCAGGAATTGCTGAGATTCGGATCGTCGGTGCCTACTGTGGCGCTAGATGCAACGCCGGTCATACCACCTAGTAAGTGAACGAGGAGAAGAAGGGCTAATGGCTAGTAATCCCTATGGAAGTGGAGAAACCGCCACAGAAGAAGCGCCGTGGTTGCTGCAAGGGAAAATCAGATGTGGCTCCAAGAGGACCCGATAATTAGAGATTGTGTGGTTTTTTTGTTCAACAAACAATCAACAAAAAGACAAAAAGAATACCTAGAGAACCATTAGCTGTTGAACTTTTCCAAGACAGAAAGGCAAAAATGCTCCCCGTCAGACATAAAAGCACATCTCTTTGCGCCTAATACGGCCGCCTGTGTCTATTGACAGATCACAAACGTTTTGACTATAGGCAGTCGAAACAGTACAAATACCTACCTTGACTAAGAAAAACAATGAAAGAATGAATGGGAAATACAAAGACCCTATTTGGGTCCGTTTTGAATATTAATCAGAAAATCGTAGTACAAAAATGGGGTATAAATTATATGATTCGGTACCATTATTCGTAAATGCCGGTTATTTTGGATCATGAACAAGGCTACTCAAGAATCATAGATCAAAGTGCTGTTTGCAAATCTATTTTGCATCGATTTTAAGAGTAGATCTATTTTTCGATTTTACTGATGTCTAGTTGAATTAAGTAGAATTGCAGTCACAATTTCGAAATGAAGTGGGATTCTGTCAATGGGATGCTCATTTACTAGTCAACAGTACTATCAGCAGCAATATACGATGATGCAAGGGATCTCTGGAGCTCCGGGTGTTTCTGGCAATGCACAAGCCCCGTTCGATCCTTTTGTGATGAATCAACAGCAGAAGGACTGGTATGTTCAGCTGTTTAATACGATGGTAATAGAAAGTGGTTGAGATGATTGTCTAGGACACAGATCGAGATGGCGAGGTTTCTCAGCCAGAGGCTGTCGGCTACTTTATGCAGAGTGGCCTGCCCATGAATGCATTAGTTCACATCTACCAAATGTGTGATTTGAATAAGGATGGAAAATTGGATATGCAAGAGTTTATCTGCGCTATTCACATCGTCATGACGTGCAGATATGTTTGTATCTCCGTTCAGCGTTGATTTCTAGGGAATCCCTGTACCGAACACAATTCCCGCCAGTCTCGCCCAAGAGATGAAGCCTGTAGCGCCTGTAGCGCCTGTAGAACCAGAGGAGCCGGTGAAGCCAGAGGAACCGGTGAAGCCAGAGGAACCCGAGGCTCCGAGCGCAGCTACTGCGGATTTTGGCCTGGACTGGAACAGTATTCCTGCCAATCCTCCAGAAGAAATGAAGGAAGAGCCCACAGAGGATTTCTTCGAGCAGCCCATCGAGCAGCCCACTGAAAATCCCATTGAGAACCCCATTGAAATGCCCATCGAGCAGCCCACTGAGAACCCATCGGAAGAGCCTGCTGAGCAGTCCCTTGTCGCCGCCATCGCCCAGCCCGCGGAGGCCTCGCTGGACTTGATGGACGACTTGCTCGCCGCCGCTCCGCAGCCCGCCTCCAGCGACTCCGCGCCCACGCAGCCCGCCCTCGACGGACTCGACGATCTCCTCGACGCTCCCATCGACCAGCCCAACGATGAGCCAATGGACGCTCCTATCGATGAGCCAATGGACGCTCCTATCGATGAGCCATTGGACGCTCCTATCGATGAGCCCCTGGACGGACCTCTGGACGCTCCTATCGACGCTCCTCTCGATGAGCCCCTGGACGGGGACTTCGGTCTGGGCGGCACTGGCGATCTCTCGGACTTCATCGACGACATGCTGGACCAGAAGCCGCTGAGTCCCTCGGACATCCTCGGCGAGCCGCTGCCGCCGCTGTCCTCCGCGTCCTCCGCGCCGCCCGCCTCCCAGCCCGCCAGCGACGATTTCCTGGCCGCCCTGGAGCCCGCCTCCGCGTCCCTCGGCGCCTCGCTGGAGCAGACGACCGTCCCGGTGGAGGAGGGCGTTCCCTCGGTCATCAGCAGCAGCAAGGAGACGCTCCAGACGCGCTGGAAGGCCAACATGACCAAGTGGCGCTCGCAGGAGCTCGCCTACCAGCATCTCTGCTTGTCAAACGCCGACCAGTCCTCGGCCAACCAGGCGCTGCGCGCCTCCATCGCCGAGGCGCAGGCCAAGCTGGAGGCGCTGCAGAGCGCCACGGACCAAAAGATGCACCGCATCGCGGTGCTGCAGGCGCGGCTCAACAACCACATCGTGGAGCACTCCATCACCTACCCCGTCAGCGCCTCGCTCGCCAAGCCCGACCTCGCCAATCTCTTCGAGCCGCCCGTTCCGCGCTCCGACGACGAGGACGACGAGGCTCCGTTCATCCCCGACGTCCCCGCCTTCTGGCGCTCCCCGATCCTCGACCTCAACGGCCAGGCGCTGCCCGCCTACAAGCGGACGCGCCGCGCGCAGAAGTTCCTCCGCAAGGCCGCCGAGCCGACGCCCAGCGACGCGTCGAAGCGCGAGGCGATCGGGGATAGCGAGGACGAGACGCCGAAGGAGGAGCCCAGCGCGCCGCAGCGGATGAAGACGGCGTTCCTGCCGTCGGCGGCGCCGAATCGGTGGTACGCGAGCGCGCGGAGCGATCGACGCACGCCGGTGGTGGGTCTGGAGACGGTGAAGATGGTGCCGGCGGAGGGAAAGAAGGAGGAGAAGAAGGAGACGCTGCGGCCGAGACCGATGGCGATGGAAGCGGAGAGCTACAGCTATTCGGAGTATTCGGATTATTACTCGGATTACTCGGATTATTCGGATTATTCGGATTATAGCTATTCGAATTATAGCTATTCGGAGTTTGGTGAAGAGGAGAAGGAGAAGGAGGAAGAAGGGAAGAGGATCGAGGAGGAGCTGGAGAAGCAGAGGGAGAGGATCATGCAGCGCGAGGACGACGAATTGTTCGCTATGTCCGACGAGAACGCGGCCTTTTCGGACGACGATCTCCCCGCAGAGAAGCCTGCAGAGAAGCCCAAAGAAGAGGAGCCCAAGGAAGAAGAAAAGAAGGAAGAAGAGCCCAAGGAAGAAAAGAAGAAGGAGCTCAAGGAGGAAGTGAGCGATGTGGACTTCGGTGAGGAGGAAGAAGAGGAGGCGAAGCCAGCGCCGAAGGAGGAAAAAGAGGAGGAAGAAAAGAAGGAGGCGAAGGGAAAGAAGGGAGGCAAGAAGGAGAAGAAGGCTGGAAAGAAGGAGAAGAAGGCCGGCAAGAAGGAGAAATCCCCCAAACCCGCCGAGGAGCCGAAGGACGAGCCCAAGGAAGTGAGCGACGACGAGGAGCCGAAGGACGAGCCCAAGGAAGTGAGCGACGACGAGGAGCCGAAGGACGAGCCCAAGGAAGTGAGCGACGACGAGGAGCCCAGCAAGGAACCCAGCAAGGAACCCATCGAAGTACCCAGCAAGGAACCGAAGGAGGTGAGTGACGACGACGAGGAGGAGCCCGCTCCGGAGCCCAAAAAGGGCGATGCGGAGGCCATCGAGGAAGAGCTCAGCGAGGAGCCCAAGGAAAAAGAAGAAGAAGGAGAAGGAGAAGAAAAGGCCGCAGAAGCGAAGCCGACGGAAGCGAAGGAAGTGAAGGCAGGAAAGGATAAAAAGAAGGGAGGCAAGAAGAAGGAGGGCAAGAAGAAGGGAGGCAAGAAGGAAGAGGACAAAGCCAAGGAGGAAGCCAAGCCCAAGGAACGCAGAGGCCGGCGAGGCAAAGCGGCCGCGGAGGAGAAAGGAGGAGTGCTGGGCACGCTGAATGAACTGCAAGCCAAAAAGCCCAAGAAGAAGTCGAAAAAGGCAGCCGCTGCCAAGAAGTAATCCGCCCATCGCTTTGTGTTTGATTGTGTTTTTTGGGTGTTTGAGCGAGAAACAAGCAAATAAACCTTCGATAAGATGAAATGAAATGAAATGAAATGAAATTAGATGATAGAGCAAACAACAAAATACTCTACTGGAAGAAATGTGGAACAAACAAGGAACATATGATTAAGAATATAATACCCAGTACCCTTCACGATACTTATAAACCCTGGATTAAAAATACTATCACCGAACTGGCACTCCATATGGGTTTGAATCAAGCAAATGCTCGCATTCATCCCAATGGGGATGATTTTGTAAATGTCATCAAGTGAAAGACCCGCTTTCTGGATTACCAAATGCACGTTACGAACTATCCTTTCAATCATACTCCTCAATGCTTTCGCGATATCCATCTTCTCCAATGTCAAATACTCCTCCGCCTTTATGTTCTTCTTTCGCATCACCCTTCGCGTTGAGCTCGGAATCTCAATGCTGATCTCTTCCACATCGTTTATCAAGAGAAGCCAATCGCGTATGTTCCTTTGCACAAGCAAAACCTCCTTCATTCGAGCATCACTTCCCTCATTGCTGGAATACAAATCGATATCATACTTTAAAAAAAACATTTCGCAAAAGGTAGATTCGATTTTCTTCACAAAGAGATCCAAGCTAATGCTACTATCCACAATGTCTGCCACAAAGTGAGGCGTGCCGTCTTCCAAACGGATGACTGAACATATTAAATTAGAGCCGCATAATTGATACAACACTAAATTACAGTTTTCAAATCCACTATCACGAAAGGCCACGCAAGTATCCAGCAAAGAATACCCGATGCAGACAGACCTTTTCATACAGCTTTCCACACGAATCCCAGCTTTCTCCGTGATGGCCTTGTAACTAGCTATTTGTTTCTCATTAAAATCATCCGGAATCACTAGAACACAGAAATGAACTTGAATCTCTATGTGCTTCTCGCAAGATTCAACCAAATAGCGAATAATAGTACAGACAACGTCATCCACAGGCCAATCATGTTTCTCTGCATTTTCAATGTGATATACAATCTTTCCATTCGCTTTCATTTCCAATGGGACACAACTCTTTAGATTCTCTAAAGCTAACTCCTGCGAAGACAGGCTTCTTCCAAATAGATTAAAACTTCTGGTTATAGTGCTTCTGGGATACTGTGACTGAAACGAGCTATTGGCGACATAAACATTATCTGGTAAAATAGTAACAACACTAGGGAGGATCGGACTGTTATGCCCGTCCAAAAGTTCATACATATTTCCATCATGCAAATAAACTGCCTGACAAACTGAATCATCCACATAAATCCCGATAATATCGCGATATAAACTCATACAAATGTGAATAACTAAAACGCAATAACATTAAATTGACTGAAGTGATGCCGAACAATTGGTTCATCTTGGGACGGGCGTTTCACCCAAGTTTGCCTTTTTGTTTCTCAGGGATTATTGGGTATAGAAGCCAATGGCTAAACGTTCGGGAAGACCAAAGCCAAAATCGATCAAGAGCAAGGCGATTAACAAGAATAGCAAGCGTAAGCTTGACACTCTTGGAAAGAAGCTGAAGAAGGGGTATGCTGGTGAGGCGATTCTCTACATGACTCGTTCTCAAGCGCTGCGTAAGTTAAGTCTGAGTTTGAAGGATTTCCGGTATTGGGTAGTGTGGATGGGTAATCATTAGCCGAATTTGCATTTTGAAGGGAATCTATCCCCGCGAGCCCAAGCACAAGCCAAACAAGACGCAAACCTATTATCATGCGAAGGATATCGCGTATATCTCCCACGAGCCGATTATCGATTACTTCCGCAAGATGAAAACGTTCCTAAAGAAGGTAGTTTACGCTTTCCCTTTTCTAGCTAGCTCTCTCGCTCTCACGGTCGTGGTGAGAAATCGGAAGTTCTCCGCAAATGGGAGAACAAGCCCGAGATGAATCTGGATCATCTGGTCAAGGAGCGTTATCCGACGTTCAACGTATTATCTTTTCTTCTAACTTTTTTTTCTAATATTCCTAGTCCGCTCTGACCGATCTGGACGACGCTCTGTCGATGATCCATCTGTTCGCCCTTCTGCCCGCCACATCGAGCATCCGAGCCTCGAAATCGCAGACATGCCGTCGTCTGTGCCACGAGTGGAACTTCTACATCATCCAGAGCCGCAGTCTGCGGAAGGTTTTCATCAGCATTAAGGGCGTCTACTACCAAGCGGAGATCCAGGGCCAGAAAATCACTTGGCTCGTTCCGCACAAGTTCTCTCAGGACCTTCCTGGCGACGTCGACTTCCAGGTCATGCTCACCTTCCTCGACTTCTACCAAGTGTTTCTCCGATTCGTCCTCTACCGCCTCTATTTTACCGCGGGAATGAAGTACCCGCCCTCCGTCGACGCCCTCCGCGACTGCGAGGGCGCAGAAATCGACGCGTTAACCGCGGAACTCGACGTGGCCCCCGCGGACAGCGAGGAATCGCGGGAATTGGCCGGTCGGCGCGGGCGTTTCATCTGAGGGGTAGAGAAAAGCGCGAAGAACATTGCCGCCATGACGGTTTCGCTGCAGAACCTTCCGAGTCCCGCGGGGGAGGGCTACGAATTGGAGGAGGCGTTCGCGGAGAGCGAAGAAGCGCGGGAATTGCTGCGCAAACAGCGGGAGGCGAAGCAGCGGACCAACTTATTCGCGGGGAAAGTGTTCTTCCTCGCGCGGGAGGTTCCGCGGGGAATGCTGGAGTTCGTGCTGCGGAGTTTTGGCGGGAAAGTGGGGTGGGAGGGCCCCCACTCCCCGCTCTCCCCCGCGGATCCCGCCATCACGCACGTGATCGTCGACCGGCCCGCGCCCGCGCAGGGACTGCAGTCGCCCCGCGGGGATCGGGAGTTCGTGCAGCCGCAGTGGGTTCTGGACTGCGTCAACAACAATCTCATCATCCCCGCGGATCGCTACGCACCCGGAAAAACGCTCCCGCCGCACTTGTCGCCGTTCGTGGACAACCAGGCCGAAGGGTGGAAACGGGGAAACCGGGTAACGGGTAGATACACGCCGGAATACCAGAAGGAGATCGATGCGATGAAACGGTCCGCCGAGGGAACCGAAGGAACCGCGGGAACCCAAGGAACCCAAGGAGACGACGAGGAGGGTAATCGTGGAAACGGAGAAACGGAGAAACCGGAGGATGTGGGGAGATTCGCGCGGGAAATCGAGCGAGAGGAGATTGGGGAGGAGGAAAAACCGCGGGAAGCCGAAGAGGAGAAACCGGTGGAAACCGAGGAACTGGAGAAACTGGAGAAACAGGAGGAGAAGAAGGCGAAGAAGGAAGAGGAGGAGAAGGAACGACGATTGCTGATGGCGAAGAAAAAGCACCAGCGAATTTACCGGCAATTGGAGCAGGAGGAGAAGAAGAAGGAAAAGAGGGTGAAAGAGCTGAAGAGCAAGGCCGAGAAGGCGAAAAAGGGAAAGTAAAGTGTCGTTTTAGTCCTGTTAGAAACCAAGTTTGTTTGAAAAATGTTGAGACCTTGGCTTTGCGAGTCCATTAAAAACACAGTATATGGATTGAAGAGGGACGTGACATCGTCTTTGGGAACGCTGACACAGATTCTGTCTTTTGATGAAAATGAGGCAGTCATTTTGCTTCATGATGGAGAATATCTGATATATGGGATTTTGGACGATAAAACAAGGAAAGATCTCACCCGGGTAGCAAAAGAAGCAAACAAGAACCTTTCTCAATCCTTTGCCGTCTTAGAAGGCTTCTCTTTTTCAAAGGCGAATATTATGGATAATAGTGGAAATTGTAGTGCCCTCGTTATCTAATTACTTGTAGACGTTGATAATTATGTTATTCATATTACAGGAATGTCTATCGTGAAATGGATGTTCGATGAATCTCTTTCAAATGAATCAAAGACTCTTTTGTCAAATCTTGAGTTGGCTACACTGATCAGCAAGATGCCATATGGTATTATTGGTGACTCTAATTATGTATATATCTATATATCTATCATTTTCTAATATTCTAGGTTCTTCCTTTGCCGCCCATTTTGAATTACACAGTCTCTGAATACGACGACAGTATTCATGCCGTAAACAATGCAGAAAGCTTTGAGCACTCTCCCAGCAGCACTCTCTTTCCCTCCACAGCCGACCCATCCAAGCCAGATGAATCTCCTTCTCATCCAAATGAGCCTGCAAACGAAGAGGAATCTCCAATAGCCGAACAGCAATCCCATCCAGAGCCCCCATCGAGTCCAAGCCAGCCCTCAGCCCCCATCGAGCTTCTACCTCCGTCTTTAATCATTCCCTTATCGGAAGATTTTCAAATAAACCCCATCGCAGTGCAGGAAAAGCTGGATTCGGATTCACTCATTGCGCCCTTCCCTTTATTAGAAACACAGCCGATTGCCACAAAACCCCAAAACACGTCGAAATACTTTGACGAGGCTTCGCAGCAAGCCACAGAGGGACTCCCCATCCCGTTTACGCAGCCAAGTTGCATCCCACTCAATCAGAAACTTAAGAGAAGACCGGATTTGTCGAGTCCGAAGTTGAAGTCATTGGGATTTAATGTAGATATTGAGAATATGTTGGAATGTAGAATGTCTCGTTTGAGATGGAGTGGAGGAGTCGATGGAAGTAGATGCTGCTTTAGAGGATTGCTGTTAGAGAACAAAGAAGATATTTTGTAATGTATTTTGAGTGTGAAAACTGTTTTTTGGTGTAAAAAAGGAAAATGGAATGATGTTTGTGAATCCAATAAAAAAGGAATGAAGATATTTCTTTCATAATACATTGTTAGAATCTAAAAAATGGTTTTCAGAATTATTGAGTATATTCACTGTAGAGTTTCTATTTAATCGTGAGAATCTTGTGAAGCGTCAAGTTAATAATACAATACTATTGTGAAGATTTAACAAAACTGAATCGTCGCAGTGAAGATCTTCCATTTTTAATAAGTACTATATTTCATTCTCAACATCGATTACAAGAATAAGAGGAACATACTGGCTAAATCATTCTGGGTTGTGATGATGGATAAGAGTTAATCGATGATTGGATTATTATTCAATGACCAAAGTAATGATGGTAAGGGGTGTGGAACAATCAACGCCATAAAGTAAGTATTGCATAACCAGTGATCATTAAATGGAATGGACTGAAATGTGTAAATCCAGTGTTGGAATTACCATTCAGAACAATATTCATTATCAATAACCAATCCTTTATTGATTTAGATAAGATTAGCGAGCATAGGTGAAACATCTATGAATCAAATCAAATCAATCAAACTATACTCAATATTGATTTTGATCGAACTTTCTGGAATGAATAAGGTAGCTTGACATTCTGAAGATTTGGAATATCTAAAAACAATCAATATTCAATATTCAGAAATACTTTCCATTGTTACTATTGAAGGATTGCAGAAGCAATATACCTGTGAATTGATGGATGTTAGATTTGGAAGATCTACAAAGCAAATCATAACCAATCAATTCATTATTACTTCGCATTGTCAAAGAAGTCGAATCATCTCCTTTCCCACAAAGTGCATACTTACCGAGTCGAATGGATTGTAATGATGGAAGATCTACATCAATCATTTCATTCGAATTCATTCAATACTTTCCATTATTGTTGATAAGGATCTTTGGAATGCATAATCACCTAATGTAATGGATTGTAGATTTGGAAGATCTATGTATCATTCAAATATTCAATATCATATCATTTCTTACCTCGAATCACAAACGAACTATAACAGAAATTGCTTGAACCACTTCTAACTTCACCAATTTGAATGGATTGTAATTGTGGTAGATTCTTCAATTCAAATTCGCCAGCAAAATCAGTGAAACTGTTTTCACCAATATGAATGGATTCCAATGATTCGCAATTCAATATGTGGAATGATTTCGATTCATCATATTCAAAATACCTGTTTTGTGTAAATGAATTGCTCCCGATTTTGATAGTTTTCAATCGATTCAACCCATCGATTTGGAATGTTTTCACTGATCCAAAACAATTATCGCTAATCTCAAGAGATCGTAGCCACTCGAATCGATTCAAATCCAATAACCTTAAATCATAATCACTGTTTGCACACGTCACCAAATCCGTTACTGTCCAATCCATTTTATTCAATTCGGAATTATTGTGGATTTCAACTCGTTTGGTAGGTATATGATCACTCTTTCTTACACTCTCCATTTTATCTGGATTTTCTTTTTTCAATACACTTCGAATACTTTCTTTCATTCCTTTCACATACCAGCCTTCATACAAATCGATTCCTCCTTTCTTCTCTAACCCATGCTCCCATTCACTTTCACGAATTGCTGTTCCACTTGCTTCATCAATCAAATATCCCAATCCATGTCGTACATATTTACCATTTTCCATACTATATCCTCCTATATAGATTGGAATTCGATTCAATATTTCCACATTCCCATTTTTACTATTGTTTGCAGCATATTCGATCATTTGGTTATTATCAGCATCAAATTCACGAACAATCTGAATCAATTTGTCTTTCAACCAATATCCTTCTATCTTCTCTTTACCATCATTTTCTATATCATATTCGATTCCATAACCATCTCGATTCATTTCTTCATCAAATCCACCTCGATAGATCACCATATCATTATCATTCTCTTCATCATTCTCACACTTACATCGAATTGTCATGATCAATCCTTCTTTACTATTTTCGATCATTCTTCGATCTCCATCATTTCCAAGGATCGAATCCCAGTTTTCTCTTTGTAATGCTTTACCACTCTCATATTCTGTCACTCCACCAATTCGTTTACCATTTTTCGTCATCCATGATAGACTCAGGATTCCACGATTGAATAATTGACATCGACCTTCAACTTTACCATCTTTCAATTCACTCAACAAATATTCATTCGAATGGTCTCCTTGATATAGAGTCACTTCATAATCGACTCCATTAATGGAAATCTTCTTCTTTTTAGAGGTAATATAGTCGTTAAGGAAATAACTGGATTCTCTAAATTGCTTTGATAAACCTATATTTCAATGCTATCTATGCATGTGTACTTTCAAAACTGTTAACCATAATGAAAGAAATAAAAATATGCCCATTTCTTCATTGTTTATCCATTTTGACACATTACTATGGTCATGCTGTTTTTCTTTAGTCGTATTTTTCAGAAATATTGACACATAACCCTGTCTATTATTCGTTGCATCTTCATAATTATCAGTACGTTCATATTACTGCTACTCTGTCACTATTACAAAGAAGCACAAAGGTTAGACAATACAATATAGTTTTTGCAATAATTTGGATGTTGTTGCTTCATTTGCTTACACAAGCCCAAAGTTCTATTTTATAGTAGACAATACATTTTGCCATTGTTGTACGGACATCAATATTACGTTTAATTGATACAATTTTGCATTTTTCATACCCTCTCCCCAAACTGGTCATTATATAAGATATTTTGGTTTCGATATTAGTACACACAACAATAATCAATGGGAAATGTACCGTTGTGACAAAATACCATTTTCTCATCATTCACCTGTCTCTTGTGAATTGTTGAATTATATGCTGTTGCAGTACTGCAACAATTTTAAACATTATTTGTTAACTTGCTTCGTTTCGTTATGCTCATTCAAAGTGGTAACATAATTATTATATATAGACTGATACACTCACATGTAGTATCAAACATACGCCAAAGAAAGATAATGATATAGTGAGATCCAATCTTCTATTCTATACCAATACTGCTTAAAAGCAATATGATCAGAAATACTAGAATAGCAATAACAGTGCAAAGCATTTCTATCATGCACAACGCATTAGACCGAATACAATTGTTCCTTCACTTATAAGCGATGACCGTCATCGAAATCACTCTATTTCCACTTTCATACTGTCTCACCCCTGGACAGATAGAACAACAAAGCTTTTCTGTTGCATCTGCCCCGAAATATCTCACAACCGACACATCATCACCGCCTAATGAAGCATCCCATTCCATTATGTAAACAAACACTCCAATCTCAAAAAACAAAACAAAACAACAGTAGCAACAGCTCTCATGACCCCATGTTATTCATTTCCACGTTCAGCGTCCCCGATTGATCTCTCTGCGCATTGAGATAATCCGGGTTCACCGTCAAATATACCAACTCGGTGATGGCTTCACGGCACACAGGACATCGATCCGACTGCAATCGCAGCGTGTTCGCGCATTCTGCACAGCAACAGACATGACGACATGGCATGACACAGGTGTCCCGATCGTTCGTCATACAAATCACACACTCGCGACCCTCTCCTTCTTCTTTCGACATATCGCCCAACCCATATAATTCGCTCATAAAATACCCCCGATTTTGGACAACACATTTCTGAGTGACCACTTTCAGCTTGGCAACGCCGGAAATCACACGGATGGCGCAGTAAACTTGGAGAGTGTTCACAGAAATCGGATCGGGAGTGTCCACACTGAGACGCAGGATTAATGACCAGCGTTCCTTTAGGTTCGAAGGGTTTAGCTGAATATCGCTAAGAGAAAAAACGCAGACACCGGACTCTGCGCTGTTATAAGAAAACTCACCGTTCTAAACATGAACTGTGGATATCATTACTACCGGCAAAATAGGAATTTTGGGTGGCTGCGGCCTGCAATCATTCAGTGTTGTGGGCAATAGCGTATGCTTTAATGGTACGAGATTATCATCCGTTTCTTCGCGTACAAAAGAGAATCTTCACTCAACTCGGAGTGTTAAATGATACATTTGTAAAGAACTGGGTTTTAAGCACTTCCCCTTGAAACACACTCCCAGTTTCTCAGGATCGCCTGGTGATGGGCATAGTGCGACGCTCCTAGGATTTATGGAGATCGGACATTCAATCTTGTATAAAGTTTTGGGATTATACTATCGTTTACAAACAATAACTACAATCTACAGGTTCAAATCGAGGAGCAAGAAACGGAGGTTGTAGACCATCTGTTCGACGAACTAGATTGTTTACCATCTCTACATTAGTACAAACGAAGGAGCAGATTACCTGGAGGAGGCTGCCCATGCGTTACGGTTGTAGACTCGGTGCTTCCCATTTGAAATAATCTTAAAAAAAGGCAGACGAGCAAAACGGTTTTCCTATCATTTTGGCAACTATTCTAAAAACAAGGTAGTTTACAATAAACATTATTGTAACGATACATAATAATGCCTTATGCTAGAAGAAATTTGAGAAAGAAGGGACCAAAAGTCTCTCTGAAACAAAAGAACTACATTAAGTTCAGAAAGGGTGCTTTCGGAAGCCAGGCGATTCGGGTATGATGTTTCTGGTATGTCTAATTGAATAGAAAGTGTGGGATAACAAAAAGACCATCCGACAGAATTACGAACGTTTAGGTCTTTGCACGGATGTCAATGCCGTGAAAAGAGAAGAAGCTTCGAATATAAAACCTGTTATCGGTAGGTATGGGAATGAGTGGTGAGTAATATAGAGTTTGTTCCTCAGGAAGTTGTGAAGAAGGAGAATCTTCAGATGAATATGTTTGATCAAGAGCACGTTCGTAACTTGATTGAGCGTTATGGAGAGGATTACGAGGTAAGATAACTTTTGTATCGTAATGGATAGGCTATGTTTAGAGATATCAAGTTAAATGTTGACCAGTGGTCTGTTGGTCAGATTAAGAAAAAGTGTGCCTTGTATAAGAAAATATTGGCTGCTGTGAATGAAAAGGTATCTAAGAAGGAGAAGGAAGAAGAAGAAGACTCTATGAATATGGAAAAGGAGGAGGATGAAAGTCTTTTAGAGGAATAAAACACTGTTTAGAGTTACAAACAAACAAATTGAAAGAGGTCTCTTATAGTAATGTCTTAATTCTCGAAGCTGCGGAGAATATCAGAATCACCAGCATCCAAAATGCACACAGCAGAGCAGTTGAACATCTTTCCGCAAGCAGTTCCCAAATCACTGCAGTCTCCCTGATAGTGGTGAACAGTGGTCTTGGAGAGCATAGCATAATACTCAATCTCCGACTTTCTCAGAGGAGAGCAGTTGGTAGCAACAAGGATCAGCTTAGCTATACATCACGACCTCTCCGAACACAAACCCTTTCCGCTACGCAGACTTTTCAGAACAGATTTGTATCCGAGCAGAAGCTTTCCACTTCGCACGACAAGCTGCAACTTGGTGTTAATGCTATCAGCGTTCTTCTTCTAAAATACGGTTAGACACGTTACTCAAGAGAAATATTGCAGTTTTCACAGAAATGACACTTACATTCGACTTGGTGATGGCGGGCATTATGAAAGATAAAATAAGGTACCTCTTTTTCTAAAGAAATGACAATTTGTAAAAAGAAGGGCAATCCTGGGGTAAAAATGACTCCCTGTTAATTTCTTAAGAATCGAATTTAAATATTCGGACCCCCTACATGCTTACATTTTTCTCAATTCACATTTCTTTACAGATTCTACAAAGATTCTATATGCCAAATAGGATATATACTTTTGTTGTAATAGTGGAATACGAAAATAGGTGTTATCCTTGTGTATTTTATACCGATTGTTTTGGATCATGGAATCAGCGCTGAATATACTTAATAGAATGTTTACAGTATATAGAAAACACTTTTCACCGATTCGAATAGGAATAGATAACATTTGCTTGTTCTGCGAATTGTGATTTGCAGACGTGATAACGAAATTAAATATATGGCACGTCGAAATTCGCACTCAAAACTAACCTTGGTGCTTGTACTAGGTGTGGTACGAAACTGAATGATAGAGGTATATTGTTGTGTTCATTCACGTGTATCTACCTGTATTATTCGTTATTGGGTGTGCATTGTGCGCATTTGGGTGTTCCTTGAAATTATAGCTCTTTTTGTGTTCTGCAAATGAAGAAGGGACAGTGGCTATTCTTGGCTATTGAAGTTGGAGTTTCGACATATCTCTTTGTTTCCTGGTTGTCCAAACGGATTATGTATATCAGTACAACTCGAATTGTACTATAAAACTTTGTTTGCTGATTAGTCTAATCGTCTCTTGCTGCGAGACGAAACTCTCGGTCTTCATCAAACCTTGAAAAGTATATGTGAGAATGTGGACGTTTTATTTTTATATGAAACTAGATTTCTCAAGGAGTTGATTATCTCAACAAAAAGAACCAAAGTGGATTTATCTATCTCAAGATTAGTAGGAAGAAACTAAACGATGTTCGCTATATTCTGGGTCAAGACCTGCCTGTTTCCAGTATCCTTTTGATTTAAATTTGTGTGCTAAGTCCAAGAGCTTCCTCTTTTAGAATGCATTGAATCTCTTATTGATGCAATCGTACTCGTTCTTGATTCACACAATCCTTCGAAGCGTATTTTCTGCTTGAGGGATTGACCATAGAAAATATCGAAAATATCGAAAATCAAATGTCCAATTTACAAACAACCGTTTTTTTTACTCTTCATCCCATTTTTTGTAGATGGACAGTGCTCTCCATGTTCCGCCTTCTCTTAGTAATGTTTCCTCCTATTTCCGGCATGTCCATTTTTGGAGGGATTTGTTTTGTTATCTTCGACCCACATCTCCATTCTTTGTCACTTTTCCAATGATTCAACGGAAAATGGTATTCCAAAAATTCGCCTCTTTCCATAGACGCGAAGGATTTCATCCGAAGTCTTTTCCATTCACACTCATGATCATCAAACCATCACTTCCATTCTCTTCTTCCCCGCGGTTACCAATCACCATTCTTCGCATGTCGTCCTGCTGGTTTCGCCCAATGCTTGTGTGGCGGAATGCTATTACGACTGCGATCCTTCTGTCCATTTCTATACAAAACTCGGCTATCACGTGCTCGTGTACGATTACCGCGGGAGTGGAGGGTCCACCGGCGATGTAACTCCCGAGAATACTGTTTCGGACGCACGATTAGCCGTGGAATTCGTCGAAAAGAAGTACAAAATTAGCCTCGAAATTGTGCATGGGACGAGTATTGGAGGTTTCGTTGTCCCGCGGGTATCCAATGAAACTCCCCTCTTGATATTCGATCGAACATTCTGCGACATGAATTCCCTCGTATCCGAATTCGTCCGTATTTTTGGAAAATGACCCTCGAAAATAGCCTCCATAATCGCGGTTTTGGTCAAAATTTGTCGTCGATGGCCGATGAAAATAGCCCCTATTTTTGACATTCATCGAAACTCCCTGATTTTGTTTGACCCCGAAGACGAAATCGTTTGTTTCCCCGCTTCGCTCATCACGGGTCTGACATCACGCTATTGTCGTCCAGATTCCGACGTGAACGAAATCGAAACTTTGTTTTTGGCGGGAATTCAAAAAGGGCGGGAAATCGTCGGTCGAATTCCCACGGTAAACGACATCGAAAGCGAATTGAGCAATTACGAAGCGATGACCGAATGGCAGGTTATCGAAATGGAGGGAGTTTCACAACGAACCAAGGTAGTTTCTTTTTCGATGGAATAGTATTCCGTCTAGCTCGCAATTCTCTTTTACAAGACTTTTATTTGTGGAATTCCAATAAAGTCCCTGTTTTTTGCTCCCCAGGCGCAGCAGCGCGAGGGAGTTTCATTCATCGTTCGGTTTTTGATGGTTTCACCGCGGTTTTTCGCTCATTTCCAGACTTGGCGGCATCGCGTGACGACGTTTCTTTCCCGCGGAATTGACTGGGATCGCCTGTAGAACCGCGGTTTTGCTTCGACATAGGGGGGAAATTCTGGCCATGCCGAGTTTCCACGATTGTGCCACGCGGGAATTCGGCGAATTGGTCGCGTTGGTAAGGGAAGTTTCTCCGTTTCTCCATAGTGGGAGCGCGTGAAGGAGTGCAATAACCGCGAGAATGGAGTGATTCCAGGTGGAAACGTGGAAAGGTGGTAAGAAATAGGGAACATCCGGGTGTTGGCGATTCATTGCGGACATAACGGAATTCTGAATGGAAAGGAATTTGAGTTTGTGCAGCAGGTGATCGAGGAGATGGGAAATGAATCCAACAAGTCGAAAGAATTGAATGAATTGAATGAATTGAATGAATTGAATGAATTGAATGAATTGAATGAATTGAATGAATTGAATGAATTGAATGAATTGAAAGATTTGAATGATATTAACACATTGAATCAAATGAATGAATTGAATGATTCCAATGAATTGAATGGTGCCTTTGGCTCTTCTCGATGGAACAAGTCGATGAAGAGAAGAACGCGAGAAGAAGAAGAAGAAGAAGAAGAAGAGTTTGGACAATTCACTCCGATCGAAATGAAATCGATGAGCAAAGATGAATCAGATTATGACTTGGACAACGACAAAGAAATGATTTTCAATAATAACAATAATGAAGAAGAAGAATCGGATTACTAAAACAAACAAACACTCTTTTATTGCTCTGTTTTCTTTAACACTTCCTCGATTTCTTCCACAGACAGCAACTCGCTTTCTTTGATTGGATCATTCCATGCCTCCAGTTTCCACGATTCCACGTCAAATCGTTCCTTCAGAGAAACCGTCCCCGTTCCACTGTTTCCACTGTTTCCACTGTTTCCACTGTTTCCACTGTTTCGACTATTTGAATCGCGTTTAAACCACTCTTTTCGTTCTTTATGATATACAAAACCGCGGTTATACAACTCCTGGGCAGCCAACAACTACGCATAAGAACCGCGATTCACGCCCACTTGTAGGTACTCCCGCGGTAATCCATAAAAAATGAAAAGCAGCACATCGGACTACATGTCAAAAAAAGTCCAGAATTCCGCACATCAAACGACTTGAATTGCGAGGGAAACAGCGGGGGTTTCATCATATCCACCGCGGAATCCAGCGCCTCATTGGTCCCGACATCCCCGCGGAAAAGTTCGTGCAGAACGGGCGGCAGCACGTTTCTACAATGAAACTCCCCTGGAATGGTCACGAAACTCCCGGTTTGATGTGTAACTCCTCGTCGGTGAAGGCGAATTGAATGGCGTCGGGCGATTTGATTGGCTTTTTGAGGATCGATTTGGGCGGCAAATTCCGGAAGTTTTGGGGGGAAAATGGATTTGGCGGGGTGGTGAGGGCGGGGTTCCAGAGAGTGGAGGGAGGCAGATCGGGGGAAGGTCTGGAGAGAAGAGATGAGGATGGGGGTACAATGGGGGCATCATGAATTTATTTGGGTCGTTTTGGTCCGAAAGAGACACTGAATAATAAAAAAATCAAAAATAGAGAGGAAATACGGCTATTGGTCGATTGGGAGTAGGGAGGAGGAAGACCGCCGTTTTGGGGGTGAGGCATTGGTGGAACGGAGTACATGCGGTAATAGTCGGAGTTCATGTACTGCGTGGACATCATGTTCTGACTTTGTCGGTTTATATCGTGTTCTAGGAGAGATTGGAAAGGGACAATGCATACCTTGCGGAAAAGGATGATCATAACCCCATGGATAGGCTAATTCAAAAATTGGAAGAACAAATTACTGGGATCGTTTACTGGATTATAGGGAAATGGATTGACAGGAACGCCAATATAACCTAGACTCATCAAAGCAAAGGGATATAATACCACTCATTGGAATTGATCCAGGCATTTTATCTATTCATTATTAATCAACACACACCTTTTTACCTTGGTTTGTTGGTCCCACAGAAACTGGAACAAATATATCACCTAAAGCATCAAACGCATATTTCAAACACACTATATCCGTGAAATAGATTAGATTGCTGGGGATGCGAAAATGGATAGTCTGCCATTTGTATCTATATTATTTATCGAATACTACTATTTGATCAAAACCAAATATAAATTATTGATGGATATATGAAATAAGAATACTTCAAAAGTCGAAAAGCAAAAAATCGGCCAATTTTCTCACTTATTCCGAATGGAAACAAACACGACAAGCAACGAGTCAATACTATACTATATACTACACTAAACCGACTGAATCATTTTGGTTTTCTTGAAAACAATTCTAAAACATTGGACGGATAGTGGTTAATCGATTCAATCACATCAACCACCTTATTCCCTTCTTGTTAAACAGTTTTCAGTTTCCATACCTTCACATAAATGCCATTCGATTTGCTTTGCATCTTTCAGGTTTCGGTTTGTTTCAAAAACTTCTCTCACGTTCGAACACATCTATTTTATTATTTATTTCCACGAAACGCACCTTTCTTCTCATAATTGAGTCAGGGCAATTTTGTGATACTCTAAGAGCTCTTTTGTATAGAGTAAGGACAGCTCTCCTCGTACTCATCGATTTGGAGTGGGAGAAAAGAAAAGTGTAGTCATTTGAGTCTAGTATAAAGATGTTCATGTTTTGCATGACCATGTTGTTTATAACTCAGTGATTGTGGTTCACACATGATTCAAATAATCTTTTCAAGCAGAGAAACGAATGATTCACTCAATTAGCCAACCCTTTTTCCATTTCTTGTATGCTGCATCATCAATACATTGTATACATGTCGATACATCACTACCAACAAACCTAACCCTCAAGATTCGCTCACTTCTCGCCTATGCTTCCAACAAACAATCCATTAAAAAGATCTTTTATTCATCCACTTCACTGCTTAAATCTTCTTCTTGATAATCTCCAGTTGCTCAATCACTCCCTCCACTCCAGCAATCGCAGAATCCACCAACAACGCATCGCATCCAGGCAGGCAAATCTTCTCCACAGCCTTCAGTTCATCACGAAGCAGCTGGATTCGCTTCAGATAGTCGTGCTTTTCGATCTGCAGCGACAGCGTCGTGTTCCAGCTTCCAGCGCCTCCGAACTGGACCGATCCCGGGTTGCAGTAGTCGTCCTTCACAGCCCAGCTGTCACGATGAGCCACGAACTTCAGGAACGGAGCATCGTTCATATCCACGTTCGATTCCTACACTTCAAACCATCCATTCTCCATCTACAGGGATCGAGGGACGATACACTCCCTGCTTCGCTTCCACGGTGCAGAAGGCCAGAAGAGGCACCGCATAGGGAATCCATTCCGACGGTTCCTCCTTCAGATTCCGCAAGGTCGCCATATATCCGGTGAGATTGTTCTGAATCAGCGCGGCTGCCTCTCGTCCCAAAGCATACGCATAGTCGCAGTCGAACAGAGAAGGGAACGAGGTTCGAGCCTGATAGCCGAGGAAGTGAGTCTGATAATCGAAGTGTCCGTTGTAGCTTCCCTCTTCCTTACGACGCTGCAGTTCCTTCTTCACCAAATCGCCGATCATGACTTCCGTCGAAATCGCGTGGAGTTGGAAGCTTCCGCGCGATTCGGGAGGATTGAAGATCTGCTTCTGGATCACAGCAGGCAAGAAATCGAAGAGCGCCTTGCTCCACGGCGTGAGCTTCGCGTAGATCTCCTCGTGCTTCATTCCCTTGTTCACATAGGTCGAAATCTCGTCCAGCAAATAGTAGAACTCAGAGATCGCCTTGATCAAACCCTCAGGAATCAGCACCACGCCATAGTTCAATCCCTTCTCAGCGCGCTGGCAAATCATATCCGCGATCTTGTTCACCACCTGCAGCAGCGTCATTCGCTTGGCCGCCACTTCCTCCGAAATCACCGCATAGTTCGGATGGCTCTGCAAGGCGGATTCAAGCACCACGTGGGAAGGAGAACGGCCCAGCAGACGAATGAAGTGGTAGTACTTCGCAGCGGAGCGCGAGTCCGTGCAGATGTTGCCGATCAGCTGCGAGACGGTGCGGCAGAACGTGTCGAAACCCACCGTCGTTTCGATGAAATGGTTCTTTAAATCGCGGGAGTAGTCGCAAGGAACCACCACAATGCGAGTCGTTACGCCACTGTTCAGGAAGAACTCGGTGAGAAGAGTGGCATCCGTGGCCGTGTAGGCGCCTCCGATCAGCACAAGACCATGGAGATTGAGCTTCGTGCAAGTGGCAACCACTTTCGAGTAGTCTTCCTCCGAAATTTTATCGGCAGAACGACCCAGAAGATCGTAGCCGCCCATGTTGCGATACAGCTTCAGCTTCTCTTCCGTCAGCTCCACGGAAGATCCTTCGAACAGACCCGACGTACCTCCGATAAAACCGTAAAGCTTGCTGTTGGGATTCATTTTGTGGAGGTAATCGAACACGCCGGTAATCACATTATGGCCTCCAGAACTCTGACGACCACAGAACACAATACCAACGTTCAGAGCATCCGTGCGGCCCTCTTCACTAGAATTACTTAACAATGCAAACGGAGCGTACTCTACAAACTTCATGATAGGATAATGAATCGAGTTGGGGAAGTAGCCTTCAAGAAGAGGACGGTCGATATCTTTGAAGGTGGTGTGATCGAAGAACTCCACCTAGCTGTTAGCTCGTTCACAGATACACTACATTGACCTTTTCCGGATTTTCGAAGCAAGCCGGATAGCGAGGCTTGTAGTTGATTCGGTCCTTCGCAAGAGGGCTCAGGTCCTCGATGTTTCGCTCTCCCTCATCAATGTGAATGTTTCCGGTCTGAATAGATTCAAAGGTAGCCATGAGATATTATCAAACAGTGAATATTTGGGAAGTGGGGATGAATGGCTCTAAGAAACCAAACATTAGGGAGTTTCAGCATGACGACAAACGTATGTTGTATTTCACAAACAGTTCCGTACTTTATTACACATTAAACCGCAGTCTCCTTTCTTTTTCTCCTCTAGAGCGCAAAATCGTAAAAGATTCGCCCGCTTTGGTCCGTTGCGAGTAGACTGAACATTTCAACCCTTTTCGTTTCAAAAACTCGTCGCTTGACACTTGGTTGTCAAACGTTTTCTGGAGTTGGGAAGAAATCCCTCCAAAGCTGCTTCCTTCTGAATAGATGAGATAGTCGCTATCCTTCAAGATGAACATATCCATGATCGCACGCTGATAAAACTTCTTCCATGTTTCAATTCCCCTATCTCCAGACTTCGCCGTCGAGGAATGGCCGATCTTGAAATCATTCACGCTGTACACAAAATTATCCCCCGTCTTTTTCACAATTGCCTTGATTTTTCTCATAACACTGTCCGAATCCGTGGAAACAAACAAGTACGTGTCATTTCGTCGCAGATTGTGCTTTCGCATATACGCCGCCGCCTCGTTCAGCGCTACATTCATTGCGTAAATCCCCTGGATCTTCCGCTCCTGATAATTCGCCAGATATCCTCCCAGGCGCAACTGGATCCCAATCATCGTCCGCTTGTGCAGCTGCGTCAAATGCCGGTTGATCAGCGTGCACATCTCGTAATCTGGATTGAGAAGCAGCCGGTACATGAGCATTCGGAACTCTCTGCCGACCCATGTGGGCGAAACAATGTCCTGAGGAACGATGGGAAGCAATCCGTTGGCTTCGAGCGTGGATCGGTAGAGAGGCACGTTGATGTGATGCGCCGTGATGTCGGAGTAGTAGATGTAACAAGGGTCGAGTTTGTATTTCAAGCGATGCAAATCGCGTCGGTAGAAGAAGTTATAAAAGTAGGGGATGCTCAGGAAGTCGTGGCACGTGACTCGACCCTCTTTTGAGGCCGAAACAAGTCGGTCCATATTCCGAAAGGGGAGGAAAAACGACTGCAAAAAGCTGGGGTTCGATCCGACTGCAGGTCAAACGCCATCAAAACGAGTACTGTGGAAGGATCGCTCGGTCACCGAAGCGACGAAGACGGTGGTCATCACGCCTCGAATGACGTTGCCCAGTCCGGACTCTTTGTGGGGTCGGTGGTTGATTGTGAATTCGGGGGTGGCGTTGAAGCGAGATTCCAGAGCCTGGAGAAAGGCGTCGAAGTTGCGTTGTTGCAGAACACGGGATTGGTATGTGACGATTGGGTCGGGGACGTTTTTGAACCGGGAATCGGGATTCATGATGTTTACCGCCGTGTGATGGTAGGAGGAACGGGAGTTCCCATTGGTTGTCAAAAGGTTCGATCGGGTTTTCCAAAACCATGAATTAGAACGAGAGGGTTGGGAAGTGCCGTCCAGTGTGTTCTGAGGAGCAGAGCTAGGATGACGGACGATTGAGACTAGCGAGGGAATAGTTGGAAATCTAAGACGAATAGCACCAGACATACACAGTTACGTTTGCTCAATGGAATAATTCCCAGCATTTGAGGGAACAACCGAACTATCATTAACAAAACCAGTATTTATTCTCCTCTCATTTGAAATAGCGTGCTCCAACTGAGATTGAACGACTTGCTTGTTGGCAAACTTCCTTTCGATAGATGTGACCACGTTCAGTTCTTCTTGCTTTGGACTATCCATTCCAGATGTAGCGTTTATCCACTTTGCATGCGAACAATGATTATTCTTTTGAACGTTCCATTCAAAAACAGTCAAGATTGGCTGATTGTTCATAAAAATTATGAACGATAGTATGTAAGCAGTTAACACACTGTATAGAAAAACACCAGATACAGGTAATTTACACATCTTAGAGATATCGATAGAGCAGGCTATTCCTAGTGTGGTATTACTTAATAATACTTATAATAGGAAATGAAAAAGCTATAAAAGTACAAAAAAGAATAATATGTTTTAGACTGGAAAGAATTGGCGTTTCCAGAATACCAAAGAGGAATGTATTTTTGGAATCGAGAAAGCAGCGTGATCATTCTATAGACATTTCTATGTGTTTTAGTTTGCAGTGTCGGGATGGGTAGAATCTAATTGCTGAACTATGTTGGACCGCAAGTAGCTTGACTGTATGATTGTAATCGAAGTCAGTATGTAAAAGAATGGATTAAGGGAAGTATAGTTCAGAGAATGAGTTTATTATGTTATTTCAATTATACATCTTCTCAATAACTATATTAGCTCATACTGAAAACAAGCAAAAAAAAAGATAGGACTGGGTACCTTTTTGATTAATGCGTATTTCTTGAGCAATTCATAATGTAGCAATTGTAACTTGTGATTCATTTGTGGCTTGCTTTCTTTCTGTGATTTCTTGAGAACTGCTTATAAGGATCAAGAAATGTGCTATTTAAGTGAATCGTATATTTATAGACCTTTCCATTCCCAATCGTTTTACAGATTTCAAGTGAAAGCAAAGAGCTATGGAATTTTACACTGTTTCATAACTTGAAGAAAGATAAAAAACTATACACGAATCGATAACTGCTGATAATAATAAAACGGATGCAAATTTTCTCAAAAGAAGTGTTTAAAAACACGACCATAATATTAAAATGACAGAGTTTAACAGTAAACCATTTGTAAAAACAAAACAAGTCACCACCAATAATAGAATTGCATCAATAGAGTAGCACGCAGGAGATGCATATTGACATATCCTGCCAAAGAATTACTGTTCGATTTCGACACGATCTATAAGAATCGAGGAAACATCTAAAAATCAAACAAACTCTGCACTGCAAAGTACTCGAAATCGACTTCGACTGGCAATTCCAGTAGGATCCGAGCAAACTCACATTTTGAACATTGGGAATGTCTAAAAATTCAAAATTGAGCACTTTGTAATACTCTCCAAATTAATGGAGCGGGGATACACAAGACTATATCCCCCAGATTTGAAAGATGTTAGATTTGGAAGATCTAAATTCATTCATGTCTACAACTTTATTCATACTTCGCATTATCAATGAATAGCATGGCTCCTCATCATCATATCTTCCATGAAGTGAATAAAAACCAAGTTGAATGGATTGCAGTGAAGGAAGATCTAGAGAATCATTCATCGCTCGCGTCCTATACTTTCAAATACTACTGATAATATATTGGCAAATGTCCAATCGCCTAATGTAATGGAGTGTAGATTGGGAAGATCTATCGAGTTCAATACTCAAAATCAGTTCAATACCTCGAAGCACAAAGGAACTACAGAAAAAGTTGTATGAACTAGTTTCAATTGTTCCGATTTGAATGGATTGTAATTGTGGTAGATTCTTCAATTCAAAGTCGCCAGCAAAATCACTGAAACTGTTTTCACTAATTTTAATCGATTCTAATGATTCGCAATTCAATATGTGGAATGATTTCGATTGGTTATGAGCAGTATTTGTCTCGGTATAATCTAGTTCATCCCACAACACATTCTTCATTTGAGTAAACGAATTGCTTCCGATTTTGATAGTCTTCAGTCGATTTAATCCATCGATGTGGAATGTTTTCACTGACCCAAAGCAGTTGTCGCCGATTTCGATTGACTCCACCAGAGAAAAACGGGAAAAATCAAATGTTAAATAGTCACTTTCATTGCATGTCCAATTGGGAATTTCTATAATTGTAATACTTGAATTGATAGAGAGAATGTAATCATTTTGATGCACCACAGAAGGAAACCGGTTTGCGAGTATAGAATGAACATCTTCGTTTAACTGTATTCATAAACGTACTTTTTACACTTGTATATACAATCGTTTCGAATGAAACAGGTAGCTCGAAATTTTGAAGATTGGGAATATCTTTTATTTATCCATATTCTTTCCTTTGAACTACTTTCCAATGTCACAATACGAGGATATTGAAAGCTGCATCCCTTAGAAGTGAAGGATGTTAGAGTTGGAAGATCTACATTCAATCATTTCGAATCGCTTGATTCATACTTCGCATTACCAAGGAACATGAAGAATCACAAAAACTACCATCTAAGGTAGCATAACCGAGTGAAATGGATTGTAATGATGGAAGATCTATTGAAATAAATTTTAACAAATTCATTCAATACTTTCCATTATTGTTGATAAAGAAATACAAAATGCATAGTCACCAATTGTAATGGATTGTAGATTTGGAAGATCTATGCATTATTCAAATATTCTATACAATTCAATACCTCGAAGCACGAGGGAACTACAAAAGAAATTCTGAGAGTCTTTTCCAATTGTACCAATTTGAATGGATTGTAATTGTGGTAGATTCTTCAATTCAAATTCGCCAGCAAAATCGCTGAAACTGTTTTCACCAATATGAATGGATTCCAATGATTCACAATTCAATATGTGGAATGATTTCGATTGATTGTTGACCCTATTGTTGGCAACACTCCAGTCATCATTCCAAATGGCCTCCTCCACTCGTGTAAATGAACTCTCACCGATTTTGATGGTTTTCAATCGATTCAATCCTTCGATTTGGAATGTTTGCACTGATTTAAAACATTCATCACCAATTTCGATTGATTCCAAATTATACAACAATGAAACATTCCAATCTTCCAATACACAATTGTTAGTCAGTTTCAAATGTTTCATTCCGATATTCAGTGGTTTGCTTCCATCTCCTTCATACTCAATATCACATTCAATTCCATTACACCATTCACATTCATTCACTAGTTTACCATATCGATCATACACTTTTCCACTTCCAAATCGCTTATCATCACACCAATATCCTTCATATTCAATCAAACCATTATTATGATAACTCGTTCCATATCCAAATCGTTTCCAATTGATCATTATGCCCTTGTACACCAATATTCCATCATCATCATACATTTCACCATATCCAAATGGAATTCCTATTTTACCTTCTTTTTCTTTTTCTTTTTCTTTTTCTTTTTCTTTTTCTGTCAACACCAATCCTTCAAATCGACTTCCATGATCCAAATCCACTATTCCTTCTACTACTTCTATGGATTGTTCTTCATTAGATGAAATATCACCGATTTGATGACTTCCAATCACTTTCAACACTTTCTGCTCATTGAGGACAAATCCTTGATTCATGAATACTCCATTATTGAATTGCAATACTACACATTGTCTATTACCCAATATGAGTGAAATCCAGCCATTTGGTTTCATTTCTTTACCCAAGCATCCCTGCACATTTTGAATAAGGGAACTATCAATATGATAGTTACTAATAGCAGAATTGACAAAATCAGCAAAGTTTTGCATCAAAATAGAAACAATTGAGTAAAATGGAGGAGATTGCGAAACTAAGCATATATCTGTACTATTACATTTCACTATTACAATTTTGGTTGTACAGAAACTATGATCAATGGTTATCTTATTATTCACCTAGAATGAGAACATACATTGTGCATCCATATATCTTCCAGTAGACTAGCTATTATAGAGCATATCCTTGAATAACCTCTATTTCATATTCATATCCATTTAAGGTATAATAGAATGAGTGATTAAGGTTTTTATGATTGCCATCATATATACATAGATATTTATCAAAGGATATAGAAAACAAACAATGAAATATTGAATCAGATACGATGTCGATAACTGGCTTCTAAGTGACAGAAATGAATTTCCATACACTATTCTTCCTTAGTGACTAAATCAGCCAGAATAGAAGATACATCTATGAATCAAATCGCATCAAACAAGCAAAACTCGAAATTGATTGTGATATTATACTTTGAAAAGATCCAGGTAAATCAATCGATTTAAGATTTGGAATATCTATTTAAAATCATTTTACTACCTTATTAACTACTATCCAATGTCACATTACAAGAGTAGGAGAAGCTATCTCCTCTCGAACTGATAGATGCCAGATTTGGAAGATCTATGTGCAATCATTTCGAATCATTTTATTATTACTTCGCATTACCAAGGAACACGACTCGTCATCTTCACTTCCATACAGTGAGTTCCAACCAAGTGTAATGGATTGTAATTTAGGCAGATCTAGATCGATCATAACATCCAAATTCTTCAATACTCTCAATAACTGTAGATAAGGAATTAGAAAACGTCTCGTCACCTAATGTAATGGACTGTAGATTTGGAAGATCTATTCAAATATTCAACAGCATATCATTCCTTACCTCGAATCACAAATGAACTGTTATAAAAGTTGCTGGAATCACCATTATGATTCCCAATTATGACAGATTGCAATTGTGGTAGATTCTTCAATTCAAAGTCGCCTCCAAATTCACTGAAACTATATTCACCAATTTGAATGGATTCCAATGATTCACAATTCAATATGTGGAATGATTTCGATTTGTCATATCCCCAATCATTCTTTTTCTGGGTGAATGAATTGCTTCCGATTTTGAGAGTTTTCAATCGATTCAATCCTTCGATTTTAAATGTTTTCATTGCCGATTTCGATTGATTCCAAATTATACAACAATGAAACATCCCAATCTTCCAATACACAATTGTCACTCAGTTTCAAATGTTTCATTCCAATATTCAGTGGTTCTGAGCCATCGCCTTCATAAATTTCTTCATTATCACTTTCAATTCCATTATACCATTCACAATCATTCACTAATTTACCATATCGATCATAGACAATTCCTTTACCAAATCGCTTATCATCACACCAATATCCTTCATATTCAATACATCCATTATTATGATAACTTGTTCCATATCCAAATCGTTTCCAATTGATTATTATGCCCTTGTACACCAATATTCCATCATCATCATACATTTCACCATATCCAAATGGAATTCCAAATTTGTTTTCTGTCAATACCAAACCTTCAAATCGACTTCCATGATCCAAATCCACGATTCCTTTTTCCACAATGGTTTCTTCTTCGTTATATGTAATATCACCTATTTGATGATTTCCAATCACTTTCAACACTTTCTGCTCATTGAGTACAAATCCTTGATTCATGAATACTCCATTATCGAATTGCAATACTATACATTCTCTGTTACTCAAAATGAGTGAAATCCAGCCATCCACTTTCCACTTCTCATTCAAACGCCCCTGTACATTTTGAATAATGGAACTATCAATATGATAGTTACTAATAGCAGAATTTATGAAATCAGCAATGCTTTGCATAAATACAATAAAGAACATGAGAAATGGTGGAAGTTTCACAACTAGTTTTTAGCATCCTTGTATTTGTATTTTGATTATTCAACAAAAATGATTGTAACTAATTAATTTCTCTAATCAACCTAAATCTATAATTATTACTAAAATGAGAAACAGTACTGTGAAACATAGGCTCAACGAGTACACTCCTTCTATTCAAAAAATTATCATTTAGCTACATTCTTTACCTTCTTCCAAGCCATTCCATATACTTACTCAAACCTTCTCCCTCACACTCTTCATTCTAATTGTACACTTGGATCATAGAAAATATCACTAGTATTCCGTATAAATAGTGCCATGGTTTTGCATAGTCTTTAAGAATTGGTTGTAATCCCTCGTTTAATACTGTTCTATGTCGTATTTTCACTGTTTAGTGAATGATGGACAAAAATACTTTAATAATTGATGAAGAGTAACGACTCTGTTCCATTCCTAAACGACAACAATACTATTTCCCATCAATTCTAAAACATCTAACATTGCTTAGCGTAAATAATGTATCTAACCCGCAAATACACAGATTCCTTTCAGTGAAAGATATCCCCTACATTTACTTGCCACTGTATTCTCCCGTAAGCTCCAAATATTACTTTTACTAATATGACCATCCTTCGAACCGCAATTCCATTTTTTGTTTGTTGTAAACTTAGTTTCGATATGTCTGATACTTATGACCCTATTTTTGATTTTTATAGCGACGACGAGAGCAACCAAGAGTCAGATACTGTCCAAGCATCAACAGTCAGAACAGAACAATGTCCATCCGTTTCCACAAAGCAGTCATATGCAAATAACGGAACATATGAGGAAAATGATAAATCTACTTACATTTCACGAACTGTTGACCAGGACGTTGGTTCGGTCGAACCTCGAAGCAAAAATGAGATATTGCGGAAATTGTAGCAGTGTTATTTTTTGATAACTCGTAGAATGGCCTCAGATTCACTTTCTGTCACGGAATACACTCGTTTAAAATGTAAACTGCTCTCTCGTTTCCATCCAGTTAAAGTCGAATCTGTCAGTTGCGTGGAATTGAGTTAATGGTAGATCATCACCCAGTGTGCTCGAAAGAAGATGATGAAGTATAAATTACAACGAAGAGATACGATTGCCATTGCTGGAATGGCAAAACTGTATGTCGGCGACTTAATTGCAATAGGTATGTCTCCATACTTTGTATGTTTATTGTAGCGCGTAAAATAATGGGGAGCGACAACACAGGGAGTGTTTCCCCCGATGCTCTCCGCCAAGCTGCGAAGCGTTGGCGAGACGACCATCCTGACATGTTTCCTTTGCTTGTTTTTTCACAAACATTCGTGTGTTTTCACTCACAATCACAGAGAAATACCCAGTACCCTTATCATTCCTATCATTCATGACTTGTCTCTTCCTCCTTCTTCGCAACAAAAAACACTCCTCGAAACAACGTCATCATCATCGATCTTCTACAAGTCACGCTTCCCCATCTCCCTCACATATTATCCGCATACGGCGTGCACACGCGGTGCATCTCCTCGAACTTGAATCCCTTCTGCTTCATCGCCTCCTCGATCTCCTCGAAGGAGATCTCAAAACTCTGCTCGTATCGCTCGTCCATTTCCTCCATCGTGATGTCCTCCGTGCACTGCCAGTGATACAGCAGCGGGCCCAGATTGATCCAGTACCCGCCCGGCTTCAGGATCTTGTGGATGACCTCGATGTAACTACAGTGGAAACAGAGAAACGGGGAAACTCGAAGACCACAGGGGCTGTGTCGATGAAGAAGCAGGTGAGAACGCAATCCCATTCGTTCTCTTGGTTCTCGTAGCTCTCCAAAAACTCGCCTGCGCACATGGAGAAGTCGCTTCCCTGCTGGATGGCTCTGCAGGGCACCACGTCGGGAACGAGGATGCAGCGGTTGTTGTCGCCCTTCGCGAAAATGTTGTTCGTGTTGTCCGTCCAGGGGTAGATTTCGATCTAGTGGTGAGAGTGGATAGAATAAATCGTCAACTGATTCAGGCTCGAACACGTGGTTCAGCATGTAGTTTGAGACTAACAACATTTGGTACGAGAACTCGTTGCCTTGACCGCCGTATCCACGCTCCACCACTTCGAAGAGGAGTCGGCTGAGGCCACAGCCGGGAACGAGGACTCTTCGTCTACGAAATAATTAAGTAAATATGCAGGAGAAAGAATACTGGTTTTCGGGATTGACACTTCCATCCTCATTTCGATGGATAGGCACGTATTTCTCAAGGGCTTCGAGTAGTGGTTTATAGCATAGATAGCGCTCTTCTTTTCCCTACTTCTAGAAAGAGGGATTCAACATACCTCACTACTCCAGTCTCGAACGATTTGATGGAGCGTGCTCTTCACTTTACTCATTTGATAAGGAGCTGAAAGACGATCGCGCTTGTGTGTTGGAATACCGAACATTTCAGTGTAGTAATTCCGTGTCTTCACCACATTTCTATTCGATAGTCAACACTATAGTACAAATCACAGTAAAAAGCGAGAGTTTGCCAAGATGCATTTCATAAACTCTTCCTGCTTCTTATCCCAAACTTCCAAGGGCATGTATTTCCGATGATTCTCAGGTAGCAACTCATAGGCGTGCTGTCTACGATTATACTCCATCTTCATATAGGGCAGATAGTCCAAAAACGAATATTGGATCTAGATAAAATGAGAAACATAACATTACGTCTCGAAAATGGGCAATCTCCTCCTGGTTATTGCGGATATCATCTTCACCCTCGCCAACAGCAGCTGATTCCTCTCTCTTTTCTACAGGTTGCATTTCCTTCCTTTTTGGCTTCCTTTTAGCCATTTTTGTGAGTTTCAATGGTTTCTGGATTTCCAAAAGAAGGGTTTTATTTTGACCATTTACACTTTTGAATGCGATCAAAGGTATGAACGATTTTGTTACAACTCTTTCTTATGTTATAGGGGTACAAAAGACAACGGAGTGAAAAAACAACCGAAGGTGCTCTTTCCGATTCTTCAGACAGCGATATCGTTATCACAACATCATTGGCAAAGAAGAAAGAGAGTGCTGTAAAGGATGATGCTGTTTCGGAACCCCAGACCCATATTGAAGAGAAAAGTGGTAAAACGAGTATCAAAGCAAAAGAAGATGTGAATCTTGAACAAACAGATAATCTGTCTACCCAGGAGCTAGTCCAATTACTGAAAACACGTCTAGACAAGTCTTCTGGGTATATACCTGATCTGTCGTACTTCTATCTCTCTTTCATTCACTTTTAGAAAACTTCCCAAACCACCTGAAGAAGAATTTGTGATTCCGCAGCAGCTAAAGGAGCAACTCCAAAAGAAAGGAAGTGGGACGAATCCACTGCTCGTTGAAGAGCGTGTCGGAATCAATATATCTCCAGAGGCAGCCCGGAAGTCACAAAAAGCCACCTACCACAAGTACTTCTTTGATATTTGGTTTGATATTACCTAGAATGCTAGCTCGAATGTGCGGAAGACGGAAGAAGGCTCTGTAATATATATATTACTGCTAGTTGATTTTGTTTGTTTGAGACAAGTTTGCCATACTTGGTTTTCCATTGCTATGGCAGCGGTCGTTTCCCACGCCAAACCTTGTGTCCGGAGGCTAATAGTGGGTCTTGGGAATATGGGCTCCGAATATCATCGCACTCGGCATAATGTGGGTTTCGGAGTATGTAAGACATTTGCATCCGAATATCTGCCAAATATGAACTCGGATGATGTTGAGTGGAAGTGGAGAGTGGCGAAATCGTGCAAATGTTCTCTTTTGCAGACAACAATTCATTTTAGTCAAAACTCGAGTCTTGGCCTTGATCTAGTGGATCATGTTTCCGATCGTGCTTGTCAAAAGACTGTAACCAACGGAGTTCCGTTTCCAAACATCCAACTCTCGATGTCGCTACCACTAACGTATATGAATAACAGCGGGCAGTCGGTTGTGCTCTTTTCGAAGCAAAACAATTATCGACTCAAGGCTCCAAGCTCGAAGAACAATATGGACGAAATTCTGATTGTTCATGACGATATCTCAATTCCATTTGGAGAAATTCGATTTAGTCCGAAAGGTGGCTCAGGAGGTCAGAATGGTGTTAAGTCGATTCTGAAGTGCATGGCTACGGAGAAGATTCCTCGTTTGCGAGTTGGGATTGGCGCTTCTGCAGGAGAGGGACCGATGCGAGCGGATGCTCGTTATGTGATCGGTCGCTGGGACTGCACACAGTTGAATATTTTACCGTACGTAATCCATTTTGCGTGTGAAGGGTTACGTGTATATCTGCATCGAGGAATCAATGCGGCTGCTAGTTGTTGTAACTTTAAAAACTGTGTCGAAGCGTATAAGGCGTTGTACCCAGACTGTGATTCGGGAAGAGTAAGTCGTTTTGAGCACTTTGAAGTGGATGATATAGTGAACAAAAACTGACATTGTTTGTTTAAAAGCAATGCGAAAATTGACTCCATAGTAGGATCACGCTGTCCACTGTGTAACAAATGTAGTTGTAATCATTCTGCAAATACAACTTGCATTCACTGCATGGGAAAGGATACGGACGGAGAAGCGATTCGTTGGCTGTGCCAACATGGCCCTGTAGGAAATTGCTTGAATCGAGGAGATTCTGACTTCTTAGGGTCAGATGTGTCCGAACTGCGTGAAACTGAAAAAAGGGGAAAAGGTCGAGCTGGAGTTCTTATGCCAGCACGGTCCAAATCAATAGTTGCAGTGTTGACAAGCATTTCATTTGTAGTTGCACAAACTGCCTTAATACGGCGGATCATAGCAATGTGAAGCATCTATCCTTCGAAGACTACCTAAATCAGGAGAAGAAATTATGTACACATGGTCCAAACCAGCGCTGTCCGCATTGCACGATGCCGACGCTTCCATCCTACAAAGTAAAAAAGTTCTGTCGCAATCATCCTCCCTACCCTCGCGGTCTCTGCACGTCCTGCCAGCCGAAACCGTGCACCCTCGCCCGTCAAGTCCCCGTTTTTTTATCGCTCTCACCTAGAAATACCGTCATGTCGATAATGTCCAAGTGGTCGACAAGAAGTGCCTAGACCGCTTCGTCCAGAACTGGCTTCACCACAACGAGCAAATCCAATACCTAGCCTATCTCTACGGCCGCTACGAGCGCCTGGAAGGCACCCACGGCGTTCGCGAGATCGCTTTCGTTTATTCGCTTTACATCCCCAAGCAGCGCTTCATTAACGGAAAAATCGAGCTCCTCGCCTCCGATCCCTACCGAAAAGCCGCCGACGCCGTCGCTCGGCGCCTCGACCTCCGCATCATCGGCGCCATCTACACGCGACCCTCCCAGAAAGAGCGAATAACCGCGGGAGACGTCGACCTCATCGCGAAACTCCAGTGGGGCGAGCGGACCCGCGGGGATTTCTGCTCGCGATTCGTGAGCGTGGTGGTGGAGCGGAATGAATCGCGGGAAATCGAGCCTTTTGCCTACATGCTTTCGGACCAGTGCATGTGCATGTACCGCGACGGAATGATCGAATCCCCGCGGAAAGGCAGCGACTTGGTCCACGTGCGGAATCGGACTCCCGCGGGGGAACTGCTTTCCGTGGTGATTCGGAACGACGCGAAATTGGGAAGCCAAGAAGTGACAGAATTCGAGGCTATTTTCTTCCTGGTGGAACTCACGATTTCATTGGTCCGCGCGGGGAAACGCCCGCTGGTGTTCGAGAAGAGCGATTTTCCCGCGGTGAATTCGGAGGAGGAAACGCACGCGACGCTTTTGAGTGGGAAATTTTGGCGGGAAAGTGCGTAATGGAATAGGAGAAATGGTGGAAACGCTGCGGAGCGGTCAGAAAAGCGAGGCGGCGATGCGGCAAGTGGTGTCGGATTTCAATCTGCTGATCGAATTGGCGTTCGTGAGGGATGGAGGGAAGAGTGAGGCGTAGACCGCGGGGGAAGACTCGGTGGAGGAGGTGTGTCGGAGCCTGCGAGAGAAGAAGCCGTTGTCGAGAAATGCGCTGCAGTTGTTGGAGGTGTTGGGAACGAGCGAGTTGTTATGAGGAAAGGCGTTGTGTTTGTTTGAATAAAAAGAATAATAAGAATAAGAATAATAATAATGATAGTAGTAGTAGTAGTAATAGTAATAGTGGTAATTGAAGCAGCAATGATTGCAGCAGTAGCAACACTCATTGAAGCAGCAATCACTGCAGCAGTAACCACAAATAACCAACACTAAAAGTATAGCTGTGAAGCTTCGAATTCACTCTATACACAATTCGAACTCGAAAACTTCGTAACATTCCAAGCAAACTATCTCACTGAGTTATATACAGTCCACTCATTCCACCATCACAATGATTCCATCTTTCAGTTACGAACGATTGTCATTTGTTTTTCTGCAAAGATGAGTGATTATGGAATGGACTCAACGATAGCTAAGGAATTCGATCGATGGTAGAATTTTATCCAAATCGTACTAATCAACTAGCGTGAAGGAAGGGCTACTTCGATCCGATGTAGAAGGACTTCGAATGAAGTGGATAAGCGGCCCAAAACATTTCATTGCTCAATACCATCCCACCTGGCAAATTGTGGTATTTTGTGAGTTTTACAATCTAGCATCGTAGAAACGAAAGCCGTACTTTCGACACCCATCGATGAAGGAACCATTTTCGAACGAGGCTTTCAATTTTACGAAAGTCCGCGAAAGCGAGTGTTTGGCCAAATACATTGTTTCCAACGGAAAGGTAGTATTCCTTCCTCACGTATTTCGTGTGTTGCTGGGAGTGAGTGTAAGAATGTGTCTTCTGTTCCCTCTCCTTCAAGTTCTGCTAGCACATCCAATGTATCTGATTCGGCCGGTGAAACAAACACAGTGTACACAATCCTGTTAAACGGTTTACCCCTCCTTTTTATGTCCCTCACTTTTCAGTGTCTCCCATTTGCCACAACCACCATCTTATCATTCCAAACCTTCAGCAATGCCATAATCAGGTCTGGGACGACCGCTATACCATCGATCTGATCGACATGTCTGTGAATTCGGAGCGTCCCGACTACGTGCTTTTTTTCAATTCTCTCGGCGGATTTTCGTCTGTTAATCATCTCCATGTTTGATTCATTCGCCCTTTTCAACTAGTACCAAGTCATGTACACTTCCTCCTTTTACGCGACGGCCACCTCCCATCCGGACCCTCCGCTCCCTTCTTCCTTTTCTCCGTCCAAACTGCCTCTCGAACTCGCTACGAGCGAATTTCTTCGGAAGATCGGGTCCATTGAGATGAGCGTGATTACCGACTGGCTGTGTCAAACTGTGAAACTTCGATTTTCAGGCGAGGGAGCGTACGGACATCACGATAGAGAAGTTATGGCCGCCTTGACCAACATCGTGATTGACATGTGTTATGTGAAGGAGATTCCGTATGATGTGATTTTTACAAAGTAGAAATGGTTTGGAAGAGTGAGAAATAGCAACGGAAAGGAAGTGTACGTGTTTGTGAGGAAGTACCAGCAGCCGCTGGAAGATCTGCATGTCAATGTGAGAATGGAGGAAACGGTTGTTTTGTAGCCTGCCTGCGTGGAACTGACTGGAGTTGTGGTCTATCGATCGGAAGAAATGTTTAATCAAGCAAAGTGGGAAAACGTGTTGGAATTGATTGTAGTGAGGAAACTCTGATGGAGCGGTGCAAAGAAGTGGTGCATTTGGAGGAAGAAGTGTGGAAAGCGTACCTTGATTCATTGCTCACACGTTTGGACAACGAACAGATTTATTTTTGTTTTTTTGATTCACTCTTATCCCACACGCGCGATTTCTTTGACTTCTTTGGCTGTTGTTGCTCTTCAAGCGCCTGCTTTTCCCTCTGCTCCATCTCCCACTTTCGGTATCTCCAGGACAGATTGATGTAAATGTACGTTAAACTAAATTCACACACAACGGGCAAAACCGTACGATCCGGAGCAACACCAGCAAAACCACAGTCCATTCGGCGAGGTGAAGGGACCGACAACGATCAAGATCGCAATTACCAACATCAGCCACGAAGAGGGTTTCTACCCCATTATCTCTCCCCCTCCAAATACAAACCTTCGGTGGAAGCGCATCTACACCGTTTTCGTTACCCGGATTCATCAAAAAACAAACAAAAGAAAAGAATGAAACATTACAATACACAAGTTTCCTTTTATGAATTCTCCTCAACGACACTCTCCATTCGATCACTCGAATGTGGGTCTGCGCACACACACGAGAAATCCCACTCCTCGCTCTCTTTCTCCTCTCTATAAAAATAGTCCCGATTTCCGGCATCCTACAAATCCAAACGCAGATCAAAAACCCGGTCTTCCTCAATATCGGGAATCGTCTCCAGCAGCTTCAGCAGCTCCGCTCGTCCTTCCTCGGCCCCCTGGAACCATCGATGATCTTCAAGATCTTCGGCGGTCGCTCGCTCCTCCGGCTGCTTCACCAGCACCTTCTCGATGAACGACTGGAACGCCGAGGAGGGAGTGGACTTGTACACGTCGTAATACGAGTCGAACGACGGCGCCTCGCCCTGCAAAATCCGAGCGAAAATCTCGCGCGTGTCGAACCGAGCGAGCGGCGGGAAGCCTTTGTAGAGCTCCAGCGCGGTGATTCCAAGCGACCACAAGTCCGCCTACGCAGAATCAACCAGAGAGAGAGGAAGCAGGATACGGATGAAGAGATGAGACTGTCGCTGACCACTTCGGGAGCCATCCAGCAGGGCGTTCCGACGAATCCGTGAGCGGAGTGACGTTTGGAGGAGTTGGTGGAGGGAATGACGCCGAAGTCGGAGAGACAGATGGATCCGTTGGAATCGACGAGGATATTGGCTGCTTTGATGTCTCTAACGTGGAATGGAAGTAAAATTGAAACAAGTGGAGGTAGCTGGAAGAATGGATGTAAATTAGACCTTTCAAAACCTCGTGAATCACATAGCAGATGATATTCTCCTAGCAGTAAGCAAATCAAAAGAGGCAAACGCTGAGTCCCTGTACTGCGGGATTTTGCTTCGAATCACGCACGATATTCAGGATCCGATAAAGCGATCCCTTTTTCATGAACGGCGTGACGATCCACATAAAGTTCCTCACACAAAAACAGCAGTTCAACGGAAGAACATTCGGATGCTTACAGAGTCGGATCTTTTCCATCTCGCTTCGAATTCCATCAAAATCAATCAGCGGATTGTCAAGATCAATCACTCGGATAGCAACCTCTTCATCCTTCTCTGCACACTTCGCTTTATACACCGTTGCATACGATCCCTAGAGGTAATCTTCACAAAGCACATATGCAGTTCCAACGACTCCTAATATCTGGTAATGCGAAATACCTATGGGCCATTCATCGTTCCCAGCACTTCTACAAATCAGGATCTAGCCAAATTACCCACATCATATGGTAAACTAGTGGAAATACTAAACAGCCAGACTCGGCAAATAGGAAAAAAACCCGGCTATTTCTGTCAGGTACAAATGAGTGATCAACAAACAACCTGCCTATTTTACATTGTTACAATATCTTGCAAGGAAACCAGCAGCCGCGTGAAATACGTTTTGTTCCTACGCTTGCACATACACTCCAAAACCCACTTATCGGACGTATCCACTAACCGAATCGTCTGAATTACGATAAACAGAAGCGGAAGCCACTCTGTGAGCAGCACGTAGCCAACCACAAAGTACATGTTATTCTACACGGAGCATTCAGTGTGCGAATCTCACGATTTCCGGTCTGGAAAAAAAGGTTATCACGAGTCGAGCGATTACACGCAGCGACAGACAGACGATGGGGATCACCAATCGAAACATCGAGAAAAAAAGCTGTCTGCGTTTGTTCTGAATGGGAATGAGTGCATATCTGCAAATAAAGTGAGTGTAAGTGTGTGAAGCGCGTACTGGATCAGCACGACTTGGTAATAGCCGAATCGAATGAATTCAATGATCGCAAAAAGTTCCAAAACGCAAAAAACAATCGAATTCAGAACCAAAAACAGCTCTAAGGGCGCGATAGAGACGATGTAGCAGACCGTGGAGGCCACCAAATATAAAAGAATCAGCTACATAAAAGAATGGAAGGACTAGCACGATGATGAATAACAACATGCGGATGCGAAGATCGTTTCGCTCCTGGATCACAGCGATCGCTGGATGGGTGTTCAGAGAGTGGATGCTGCTAATAAACAATGTTTGTCGAGAGAGTACCAAGTCAACGAGTACTGGAAGATGGTGACGAAAAATAGAAAATTGCTAAGTTCGTCAATACAGAGCAGATATAAATAGGAATAGCTGTAAAAGGGCATCAAGCCGATTACATGCTCCTTATACTCAAGTCCGTTCAGAAGCAAGAAGTGAATACAACGGGCTATGCTTTAGAGTTGAATGGAGCACGTACTGAGTCCATAACAAAACACATAGCGACAGACAGCTGGAATTCCCATATAAATACCACTGGACATGCTTAGTCTGCAATTCAAAATGGAAGAAGGAGCCCAACTTAATCACACAGTAGATATCGAGCAAGAGCAATACGAGCATGGCTAATGCGACGACCACTTCGCAAAACCCAAGTACCATTTCGCAATAATATACAAAACGATCACCAAAAATAGAATACGAAACAATGGAATTTTTGGGAATTGCAGAATATCGACCAAAAAGAATTGCCACCCAAATTACTATTCTTTTGAAAAGGACTGAAAATCATGTATGGAGTGTAGAGTAATGTGGTTTATAGTGCAGAGAACAGAATGTATGGGAACTTGTACAACAATCCCTACTCCAATTCAAATCCTTACGCGGAATCGACTTCGAATTTGCTCGCAGGAGCGATCCCAGGAGAGGAGCAACCGTCAAAAAACGGAGAGGACGATCTGCAAAGTTTGAATTCCGTTTACTGTTTTTTGGTGCGTATTATCGAATAGAAACCGACAATCAAAACGATTCTACCCATGACAATCAAGCAAATCAACGAAGCTGTCACGCAGCAAGAAACAACACATCTGTTTATGGGAAAAGATGTGCGTGAGGTTTTCTCTTGTGTTTTTGCACTTTATTGCACAGGTGGTCGTGGTTGGTTTGGTGTCGTGTTCTCAGCAAGGGCAGCGATACGATTTTTCGATCTGCGATGGAACGGGATCAATTTCTGCGCGATTATATGTGGGTCAGAACAATGCGGACATGGAGGTAATGTCGTGACTTGTTTCCTGCCTCAACTTTTAGAACATCCGGATATGCACGAGTCATTGGCTCGCTGAGCACGAGCAATGGAACCAACTCTATAAACATCTACCACATGGACAAAATCAACAGCTTTAACGCCATCACTCTTCACTACTTGAGTGTTCTCCAGATGTACTTGTACTATAATAATAAAAACACATCGAGCCACAGCACGGTAGATCGTGATTTGTTTTTTTTTTGATGTCTAGACCACGGAAAAAGCGTCTGCGGCCAATTCAAACGCAATCGACGCCACTCCGAGCGACGCATCGAACACCGTGGAGATGCTGGTGAAACAAGGATTTCGGTCGCTGCAAGAGCGTTATCCGCGCGGCGTGTCCGTATCTGCGCTGACGGAGCATGTGAAGCAGTACGGAGTGTCGAAGGAGCAGGTGGAGAATGTGCTGGGCGATTTGGAGCGGAAAATGGAGATTATCGCTACCGACGTGAATGTATTTATTTTAAACGATATGTGAAGTGTTTGTTGAACAATCACTGAAGGGATATGGTTGTGAAACTCCCTAAGACTTTTAGACAAAACTGGAATATGAACAAGCGGAATCGTGCTCAAGTGCGGTTGATGCGAGATTATGAAGAAATACAAAATGATCCTCCTTATGTATACATTGAGAGCGAACTTTGACTGTAGGGCATTAGTGCGTCTCCAACAAATATGGACGATCTCTTCATGTGGGATGCTATGATTTCTGGCCCTGACGATTCCCCCTGGGAAGGTAATTTAGGTCCGTGCTTTTTAGATAGGTGGCATGTTTGCCTTACAGTTGCGTTTTTCCGAGGACTACCCATCTGTGCCTCCAATTGTTCGATTTGCAACTCCCATTTTCCATCCCAATGGTAACCGCTTGGCTGTGCCCGATATATAGTTTTTTCGGACGGGATGGTGTGTCTCGATATAATAAAAGATAAATGGTCCCCTGTCAATACAGTGAGTATGATATTAACTTCCATTCAGGTTATTTCCTCTCATTTTTCTGAGGTTTAGAGTCTTTTAAATGATCCCAACCCGAACAGCCCTGCAAACTCGGAGGCTGCTTCTGTAGCGGGTTGTTCAGTGTCTTTATTTTTAGTTGTACGTTAACAACATCCGCGAATATAAACGCCGCGTACGCGAATGCGCGGAGCGATCTCTTCAAATGAACTCGTGTTTTGTTTGTTCCATCAAACAGCCACATCAACTTCAAATCAGGAAAGCAAATCTTCAACACTTCGAATTTCCCTATTAAAAAAACACGTTCATTCATTCATTCATTCATTCATTCAATCATTCATTCACAGCCTGGCTTCTCTTCTCTTCTCTTCTCTCTTCAATGCGCCTCCACCTCATCCAGCGGATCGCGCTTCACGCTAAACACGTTTCCTTCTCGCAGCTGCTCTACGCCTCACTCTCTCTCCCTTCTCCCACGCAGCAGCTTCGGATCGCTCGTGATATACGACCCCACATAGCTCGCCTTCCTCGCTCCCTCCTCCATCAGCCGCTCCATTTCTCTCTTCATCGCCTATCCCTCACGCCGCCTCCCTTTCCCCACTCGAATTCGTTTTTTCCCGCCCGCCGTCAGCTTCACGCTCCCCTCCGTTTCCCCAGTTTCTCCAGTTTCCACCTCCAGATCCGCTTCCTCCGCGGATTTCCGCAGCCAATCAGCGTCGCGGTCCGTCTTCGTCGCCGCCGCGACTTCCCGCGCGATTTCCCGCGCGATCCCCACGCACCGAATCACCGCGGGACTCACCGCGGCCCCCACGGGGAAACCGGGGAACCCGTTCGGCGCACCGCAGTACTGGCAGATCTCGCGGTAAAGTTTCTTCTCCCCCGCGGTGACCATGGCGATGGCGAGTCCGCGCGTTCCCCCGCGGGCAGTGCGGCCGCAGCGGTGGACGAAGATGACCGGAGTGGGAGGAAGGTGGAAATGGAGAACCGTGTGGACGGCGGGGAGGTCGAGACCGCGCGCAGCGACGTCGGTGGCGAGGAGAAGCGCGTCGGAAAGACTGCGGAAGCGGTTGAGGTGCTGGATGCGCTGCTTCTGCTGCATGCCTGAGTAGATGCGAAGCACCGGCACGCGCAGCTGCGACAGCAGAGAGTATACTGACTTCAGCACGCCTAGGAAAGAGAAAGGGGAAACGGAGAACTGATCGAGTTGAAGAACACCAGCGTGCGACCGCGGTATTGACGGCTGAACGCGTACAGGAACGCTTCTTTCTCGTGCGCACCCGCGAAATGCACGCTGCGGATCGACAGGCTCCGCGGCAACGCCGTCGGTTTCTCCGTTTCCACCGTTGATGCAGTGCTCGAAGAAGAACTCGAATTCGAATTCGAAGAAGAATCGCCGGTTACCACGATTTCAGGGTTTCCACGTTTCCCCAGTTGACGCATCCAGGTGCGGAGCTGGCGGGTCTGGGGCGAATTGGTCTGCACTTGGAGCGTGGCTGAGAAAAAGAGGGCTTGGGATCGAAGCTCTGTTTGTCAATTGTTTTTCTCATAAAAAAATACCCAGGTTTTTTGGAACGACCATCGAGGAAGCAAGACATTCCACGATCGATTTCATCTCTGGATAAGCTCCGGGTGTGATCTATTGACAAAAAAAGTCCCGATTTTTGTACCAGCTTATCGGCTTCGTCCCACACGATAAATCGTAGATTCTTCAAATTCGAAGGTCCCAATTTGTAGTTCTCCATAAAGTACCATATTCTTCCGGGTGTCCCAATTATAATCTCGGGGTTATGGCTCAACATTCGTTCTTGTTTGGGAATCGCCAATCCTCCGATCAGTCCCGCGGTTCTACGCCTCGATTTCGTGTTGGCAACGCTACCGAATATTCGTGTTTTCGGTCAGACGCGTGATAACGCGGTTGATTTGAAGCGAGAGTTCGCGAGTCGGAGAGATGATGATGCATCGCACATTCCACTCCGCCTTCTCGGCTGGCTCCTCGGACGCGTGCTTCAGCAGCCAATCAATCACCGGAACACAGAAAGCGAGTGTTTTGCCGCTGCCCGTGGGTGCCGCGCCGAGCACATCTTTCCCGCGGAACGCCGCCTCGATGGCTTTTTCCTGGATAACCGTGGGTTTGGCGCACTGGATCTGCGTGAGCTTCTGCACGAGGGAGTCGTGGAGGTGGAACTCCGTCCATTCGGTGGATCCATAAAGAAGCTTGGCTTCTGCAATTCCAGAAATCGAGGCGATTTCTTCTTTGAGCTCTTCCTGCTTTTTCTGCGATCTGGGGGTGAAGGACAGTGCGGAAGCGAGTACTTGGATTCTTTCTTGACGGTTTTTTCCTTCTTCTCCGTGTGCGAAGCATCGGCTTTCAATGCGCGTCGTTTGTGTCTGGGAGTGAGAAAAACGGCGTAGAGGCACTGAGTTGAGCGGTTGTGGATGGCCAGTTGCTTGGCGCTGGCGAACGAGCGGTCGCAAATGGCGCAGTGGAAGGAGGGGAACAAACTCGACGACGACGACGAAGAAGAAGTAGCAGTAGAAGTAGCGTCGGGAGAAGCATCCGCTGCATTCTCTGTAGAGTCTTCCTTCTTCGTCTGATCTTTTTCTTCACTCCCATGGTCATTCGCCTCTTCACTGGCATTACTCATATTCTCTACAAAATCATGATTACCCTTCTCGATATACCCTCTTCAGACACAGAAGCCGCCTCAGCTTCCATCCCTGTGTCTTCATCACTCGCCAGTAGATCAGCGTCCTCATCACCGGCATCTATCTTTTTCCTATATGTCACACTCACATTTGACGCACATTCTCTCCTCATTTTCCTTGTTCAACTCCTCCAAGGATCCTGTTCACTCATTTCCACCACTCATACCTACCGTGATACACTTCCAAACCCATAAAACCTTCCAACGGGTCATCTCCAAAAACATTCGCATCCTCAAACGCATCCGTCCAACGACTGCTTCCATGCACCTTTGTACTCAACTTCGGATAGAATTTCGTTTCTTCCCTACGAAATAAACCAGCCTATTCAAAGATCAACGCAGAAGGTTCCAAATCCTCGTTCTCTTTCGGAGGCCTTCCAAACTTAATCTTCTTTGGCATGAATCCCCAAAAAACTAAATGACAGAAAAAGAATAGAAAGTTGATGACTGATGAGCGTTCGAATTTGATTCCAACAAACAAAATCTCTGTCAATCCCCTCCATTGTGATCACTTTATTCAGCTTCAGCCTCGACCTTAGCAATGCGAGCCCTACAAATCAACCCACCAACTCACTCCTCACTTGGCATTGATCACACGGATGGACAGCTCCTTAGCACGCTTGACAATCTCCATGCGCTTGCGGGAAGACACGCTGTGAGCGATCTCAGCGCAGTACTTCTCGTTGTGCATCATCAGAAGCTCCAGGTCCTTCACGTTGCTCACGGTGAACTTGTACAGTCCGCAGGGGAGCATGTTGCGGGTCTTGGCGTCCGATCCGTAACCAATGTTGGGCATCAGAGTGGCACCACGGAAGCGGCGTCTGCAGCGTCCATCAATACCCTTGGGCTTTCTCCAGTGCTGCTACGAGGAACCTCCTCTCCACACAGCCTACATTCATTCTCTTGAACTTATCAGCCTGGAAACGAGGGAAAGAAACAGTTCGCTTCTTCACAATCTTCACTTTACGAGCAGGACTCATTTTAATCTATATGTAGGTTAATTGCCTGTTCCTTCCTTTCACTCTCTTATTTTAGAAGACCTGAGTCCTCTACTCAAGTACGACAACTTACTTTATTGATCGGAGTGATTGACAATAAATCTGTAGAGAGACCAGCCATCCACTCTTGGTTCGCGGGAGTTTCATCCATTCGATTCCCGCGGTATTTCCTGCTTTCACAATCACTAGTAAATAGCGATAGGAAGTGTGTCGATTCGTTTAAAATAGTGATTTATAAAGTTGGGTACATGTAGTTTGTAAAAGGATGCATGGAATCTCTTTGGCATGGTTTCACTACACGATTTCAATAGGATTGTGAAAAGACTTGTTTGGAGTCATAGACCTTATTCACATATACACTATTATTGAATAGCCACATTTGTCAGACTTTTTCTATTTGACGTTTCCAGCGATTCCGTTAAGAAGGTAGTCGGTCCGTTCCTAATTTTCCATTTTGCTAAAATACGAATCATGACCGAGGCAGGAACAACCGTCTCCATAAGCGTATTGCTTGTAATTAATTAATGATAATAGAAACCGTATTGTATAGTAGACAAAAAGGTCGTTGAAAAGCTGAATCGACGCCAGTCCGGGATCAGTATGATCGTTTGTGCTAGTGATTGTTTGTTAGTGTAGGATATTCGAAATTTCTTTCTTTGGTTATTCACCATGGACAGTTTGCCGCCCACTTGGGTTTTTGTTGGAAATAAGCCACTGATAGCAAATGTAACGTTTGTAATAGTTAATCGAGATGATGTGGGTACGAATCAAATGTGTGAATAATGAACGTAGTGAATGCAGACGAGATTCTCAAGGACACAATTCAGGTTCCCGTTCGCAAGACGCAAATTCCAGAATTGTGGGACCAGTATCTGCTCTATGGCGTGCAGACAGGGAAGAGAGAGCGAAGCGAAGGCGAAAGAGAGAACGAGAAGACCGAGCGATTATCCTATCTCTCCATGTGTCTAACGAAAAATGAGTTGGAAGAAAACAATTACATGGTGATCAAAAGCGAGAGTAACACTCCTGAATTCGGTATTGTAACACACAGAACACGCAGAAGCGTTAGAGAAGCAAGGCTTCAAGATCATCAACACATCCCCCGCCGATGATGAATCGTTTCCTTTCGTTTGGATCGCTTTGAATCGTAGAAACCTGCTCAGTCTCGATTGTGAAATGGTGGAAACCGAGGGGAAACGGGACGAAGTCGCTCGTGTTTCCCTCGTTTCCACGAAGGGTGTTCTCCTGGACGAGTTCGTTCTTCCCGAAGGCAAAATCACCGATTATCGCACGCAGTACTCCGGAGTCACGGCAGAACATCTCGCTTCCTGCAAAAATAGTTTCTATTTTTGTCATTCTCAACCGCAGCCTTCGAATCGATTCAGCAGCGCGTTTATTCGGAAATGACCAAAATCCCCTCGATTTTAGTGGGCCATTCGCTGGAAAACGACCTGGCTGTGCTGAAGCTGGTTCATAGCCACATCATCGACACAGCTGTGCGTTACACGCATCCCACTCCTGGATACAAGCATTCCTTGCGCTATTTAGTAGCCAATTATTTAAATCGGAGCATTCAAGGCGGCAAGAAGGGACATGATCCCCGCGAGGATGCGAAGGCCGCTTTGGATTTGACGATCTTTTATGCGAGTGGCGTGGGGTGAGGAGGAAGAGGGTGAGGAGTAGGGTGTTACGTTCAAGCGGAGCTTCGAAACGCCCAAGCCGTCGCCCAATCGGCGAAGCTGTTTGTTACAACAGATCGCCAAGGCGGATCCACGATGGAGAATCGCGTTTATGGGGTGGAACGACTATGTTATGAGCGTTAGTCGAACGAGTGCGGTGGGAGATATGCTGATGCTGAAGAACCGACCGATGATCATTCAAAAGTGAGCTAGAGGGAGAGGTTGAATGTAGATTGAAAGCATTAGCGAAGGGGCCTACGGTCCCGCGGTTTACCTATGTGTATGGAGTGGAGTATTCATTTCACGAGATCAACGTGAAGCAAGCAAAGGAAGCAAAGCAAGCAAAAGAAACGAAGCAAGCGAAGAAAACAGAGGAACCGCTTGATTTAAAGGAGCTGGTGGAGGCGTTTCGAGCAAACTACTCGAATAGCATGCTTTGTGTACTGCTGATGAAGCCTGGGGATGGAGAAGTGGCCGGTCATTTTATTCCAATTGTGCATTTTTCGTTTTGTGTTTGATGAAAATGATATGAGCGGAACCGCGGGAATATGGGAATTGATTGGAGGACAAAGCAGGTAGTTGTTACTGTGCCTATTCAATTATTTTGGCTACTCTTTTTGATACCAGTGGACACTTATAGTATCTAGGGATAGTAGGAAGGTGTGGCTAATCTCGCTAACTTCTAGAGGAATGAATTCGTTATTCCAGAATTCAGTGGATTTACCAAGTCAAGATCCAAAACCAATTATGTGTGTATCCGATGAGGGAGGTTCTCACGTAATGCCTCTCATAAAGATATCCTCAGAGAAAGAAATGGATGCGGATATCTTGTTTTCTCCCAAGGTGGCGGATCCAACAGAAAAAGTCAAACAGGAAGACAAACCTGCTTTGAAGTCACGGGAATCTGGCGCGCAAGCATCCCTACGTGAATCGGAAAGCGAGGGAAACTCAATGGGCGTGTTATATCAAAGCTCCATGGGAAGTCTCCACCAAGACTCCCACCAGCACGGGAGAAATGGTACTGTAGAGGGATTGAATACGAGTTTAGAATTGGAATCGCGTTTAAATAGTCCTTTGTTAACAGGGAACGGATTTGTGTCTCCTGCTTATCGTACCTCTTTTTATTTGAGTTTTGACGCTCCAGAAATGGATATGCTCGATCCGACGCGTTTCATGTCCTCCAACTACGCCACTCCCTTGCCTCTCTCCCTCAACCCCACATTTTTCAACGCCAATTCGACCGGAATTCTCCCCGAACCCCCCGATCCTCGCGGCAATCTCGCCTCCCAGCCCTCCCTTCCGCCCTCCTCCAAGCTGGACGCCTCGCCTCCCTTCGGCGCGAGCATGCTCCATCCGCCCATGCAATCCGCCTTTCAGGAGTCCATGCTCAATCTCAGTCTTCATCCTCCGCGCGATTCCGTCATCCTCAACGAGATCTCTCGGCCCTCTCTCCCTCTCTACCCCGCCTCCTCCCCTCTCGTGACCCCTGTTTCCTCCTCCTCGCTCTCTACGCTCCCCTTCGACTCCGCCGAGCGTCCCTCGCTCGAGGAGTCGCAGCAAGCCGAGCTGCAGAGCCGCATTCCCTCCTACATCCGCGAGGCCGTGCAGAGCCACAAGGATTTCCCGCTCTCCTACAACCGCCTTCTCGCCGCCAAGCTCGCTCAGATCCCCGGATTCCCCGCGGAAACGCTGTCGTTCGCGCAGCTGCAGCGGTTCGGGATGCAGGAGCCGTTCGTGGTGAACGGGGTTTTTCCGGGGTGCTCGTACCCGCTGGACTCGCTGAGCCTGTCGTTTTTCATGCAGCAGCTGGGGGAGTTCTACGAGGGCTCGGTGCAGATGGTGAGGACGGCGAGGGGCGGTGAGGCGTAGATCGAGGGAACGCGGTTCAAGTGCAGCCTGAAGACGTGCGACGCGCTGCTGCGATTGAACCAGTGGCCGCTCTGCGTGATTCTGGACAGCAGCGCGATGAACTCGATCGGAGCGTATTCCCACGGGGAACTCATCCGGCAGATGGACTGGTCGCGCATGCTGCTCGAATTCGAAAAGAAGGAGAAGCTGAAGAACCGCGCGGCGCTGTCGGTCGTGGTGCGGGTGATCGGGTCGGCTGATGGGTAGGCGCCCAATAGCATCGTGTTCCTGACGTCGCGGGGCATTTACGACGGGCGTTTCGTTCATGGGATCAGCAATACCGCGATTTTTGTGCATAAAGGGCACGTGTGTGTGTACTATGCGAGTGTGGGCGGGAAAATGAATCTGGAAGCCGCGCAAAGCTCGCTGCAAGTGATCACGTCGCTCCCCGTGATTCTGAAGGTGGAGCTCTTCGAGGGGCAAAACCTGGTGATTCCCACGGGGAAGCTGTACAGCATCCAGGCCGTGGAAGCGTCGACGGTGGTGATCTCTCGTTTTTTCTGCGGGCTGACGATTCGGCGGCAGATCACGTCGTACCGGCAGCTGTACAACTCGAACGTTCGCTTTGGGGAGAGGGTTGAGCGTAGCCCACCGACGACCAGTTCAAGTGGCAGTTCTGGAAGATTATCTGGCTGGTGGCCATGCGGTATCTGCGGTATCTGCGGCAGAGCTCGGGGCTGACGCTGAGTCCGAGCGTGGTGGACGAGATGCTGCTGTCGGCGCAGGAGAAGCAGAGCGTTCCGTTCGTGATCGTGGCGCTGAAGATCATGCACGAGAACTACGGGTCGCAGCACAACGACCTCCAGCAGTTCGAGCAGCTCCTCGCGGCGAAGATGGAGTGTCTGGGCCCGCTGGATCTGCTGATGGAGCTGGCGACGCGCTGCCGCGACAATCCGTGGAACTGCGAGTCGCACAAACTGCAGCATCCTGACGACATGTCCATGACCAGCGAGGACACGCAGGCCGTGCTCGATATCAGCCCCTATCCCGAGAGCATTGACTCCAACGTTTGCATCGATCAGTTCGTCGAGGATGCCGAGATCCCCCGGGAAATGGGCAGTCTGGCCAGGGAGCGGGAACAAACCGGCGAAATGGACGCAGCCAGAGACACAAACAGGAATACAAATAGGAATACAGTCAGGGACACAGTCAGGGACACAAACAGGAACACAGTCAGAGACACAGTCAGAGACACAAACAGGAACACAGTCAGAGACACAAACAGGGACGCAGCAGCTGTTCAGCGAGTTGGAGAAACTGGAGAAACTGGGGAAAAGGGGAAACTGAAAGCGATGAACGCGACGATGGGGCAATGGGGAGGAACCAATCCAATGCGTGGAACCGATGGCTACCCTGATGCCCTGCACAAAACTCCCTTTCCCACGGGAGAAACTGGAGAAACTGGAGAAACCGGAGAAACGGAGGAGAGCGAGGAGAGTTGGGAGTTTCGTTGTGAATGTGGCGTGGAGGGCCACAATTATGACGATGGACGTGCGCTGGTGCAGTGTTGTCGGTGCAAATCGTGGTGCCACCAGGAATGTGTGGGATATAAACCGGAGAAAGACGAAGAGTTCTTTTGCAAGTGGTGCAGAAAGATGGGAAGGTCGAAGAAGAGGAAAGCGGAGAGTCCGGCGGGGGACCCGGATCGAAGCAAAGGGGGGAGGAGGGGCAGACTATAGAGCAGCGCATTTCTGTTTTTTTAATCTTTTCCATTGTTGTGTCTTTGTTGAATAACCGATGGAGATTGAGCAAACTGGATCTTTCAATGATCATCCTTCTCTTGATCCACGTTGCCTTGCTCGAATCAGTATAACCCCTAGAAAAAGCGATTTACAGCAAGAAAGATGAAGATCCGAGAGTGCAGTATATGAAGAGTTTACTAAAGAATGTGGGAATCACGTCCTATGAGGATGACGTGATCCCTATGCTTATTGAATTTAAAAATGGTACCATGCGTTATGACTCTCCGAATTAGAATATACAAAAAGACTATTGTCCGAAGCAAAGAATTACGCTGAGCATGCTCGTCTTTCTCAAATTTCAGATCGCTGTATTATAGAGGCGGAGGATTCTCTCAACCGCTCCAACTTTTCGACGAAACGCTATGTAGGGGATGTGATTGGGCAAACATTGTAGTATTTGAATCTAGCCAGGTCAACAACATCAGAAACACCACGCAAAGATGAAAACGGAGTGACTTTGCCTCATCAATCCCAACTTCTATCAACGTCTACATATGATGTAGTCCCTGTAAAAAATTGAATTGTTTGTTGAAAATCTTGCTTCATTACGGAATTGAGAGCAATGGCCCCTAATTAATAGGGACCCTTTCGTCGGAATTAGGCCCAATTCTGCTTTGTGGTTGTCTTCCCATCAGTATTCCCCAGACTAAGACATACTTCAATGGGTCGTGTTATTCGAGGTAGGTCGGTGTGCCATATTGCGAGTGTTTGGTGAGATTTGCAGTATTCGTAATATTTGTTGATTTCCGTTTTTTGTGGCTGAGTTTGGCGTCTAACTGCGTGTGTAGGACAAAGAAAGGGAGCTAAAGGAGCTGTCTTCCAGGCTCACACTCACCTGCGTAAGGGAGTGCCTCAATTCCGTGCCTTGGACTATTCTGAGCGCAACGGATTCCTGAAGGGAGTGGTGCGAGAGATCGTTCACGATTCCGGTCGTGGCGCTCCTCTTGCTCGCGTGACTTTCCGCAATCCGTATTTTCGTTTGACAGATGGTCGCTAATGGGTAGTTACCACTTCAAGGTGGACAAGGAGCTGTTCCTGGCTGCTGAGGGTATGTTCACTGGCCAGAGCGTGTTCTGCGGTAAGAAGGCGGATATCAGCGTCGGTAACGTGCTTCCTCTGCGTGAGCTTCCTGAAGGAACTGTTGTGTGCAACGTGGAGCACAAGGTGGGCGATCGTGGCAGTCTGGCTCGCTGCTCTGGCGACTACGTGACTGTGATTGGCCACTCGGATGACCGCAGCATGACGTTCATCCGTCTGCCTTCGGGCATCAAGAAGACGGTTTCTTCGAGGTATGCTTTTCTCTCTTTGTGTTGGTTGTAACGCGTAGCTGCCGTGGCATGGTGGGAATCGTGGCTGGCGGAGGCCGCATGGACAAGCCGATGCTGAAGGCGGGTCGTGCGTACCACAAGTTCGCTGTGAAGCGCAATGAGTGGCCGAAGGTGCGCGGTGTGTGCATGAACCCTGTGGATCACCCGCACGGAGGAGGTAACCACCAGCACATTGGTAAGCCTTCGACTCGCAGCCGTGGCACTTGCCCCGGAAAGAAGGTCGGTCTCATTGCTGCTCGTCGCACTGGACGTATTCGTGGACGTGTGGAGCCTTAAGAATGATCTTCTGGAGGAGATGATGGGTTTGAAAGTCTTAGAATTGGCGTGGAGTGGAGTGTTTGTTGAACAAACATTTTGGATTGCATGAATGGATTTGGTGCGCCAGTCATTGTGGGCGCACCAAATCTAATTCTCCGTTTCAACATTTTATTTCTCAACATCGCATTCTATCTGGTTCGTCTCGGAAATGATAGACTCGACTGAACTTGCGGCAACGATTATCATCGTAGTGTCTGGCTTGACTGGACTGCTCTTTGCGTGGTATCAAAGAACTCAGGTTTCTAAGGTGGTGTAAGTGGTTGAAGGGCCGTGTGACGAGTAGTGTAAAGCACATGCCTAAGGGCGATGACCCGAAGGAAGGCCTCGTTGAGGCTGAGGGTGGTAGCGCTAGTTACGATGAGGCTATTACGGAGCGTCTCGTAACGATCCAGAAATACATTTCTGACGGAGCCCATGCTTTCCTGAAGGCTGAGTATGGAATTCTGCTCTGGTTCATTATTGGCTTTGGTCTTTTCATCTTTGTGCTCCTGGGCTGGTCGAAGTCCTGCGGTACTGCTATGCCCGTGCTCAATGGCACGGAATGCTCTACCGTGAACCCTCAGGATGGCTGCAAGTGGGAGATCGCTGAGAAGGATCTGGGTTACTGCTGGCTTTCCGGTGGTCTCTCTGCTCTGGCTTTCCTGCTCGGTGGTTCGACCTCGATTCTTTGCGGATACATTGGTATGGTGATTGCTGTGTACTCGAACGCTCGCACTGCCACCATGTGCCAGGTGTCCTGGACGGACGGCTTCAACACCGCCTTCCGCGCTGGAAGCGTGATGGGTTTCTGCCTGACCTCCATCGGTCTTCTGTTCCTGTACGCTGCGATCTGGATCTGGAGCATCTTCCTGCCTTGGGACTCGACGAACGCGCACGTGTCTGAGGTTCTGTTCGAGTGCATCACTGGCTACGGTCTGGGCGGTTCTTCGATCGCTCTGTTCGGTCGTGTGGGCGGAGGCATCTACACCAAGGCCGCCGATGTGGGCGCCGATCTGGTGGGCAAGGTCGAAGTGGGCATTCCCGAGGATGATCCTCGTAACCCCGCTGTGATTGCCGATAACGTGGGTGACAACGTGGGTGATGTGGCCGGAATGGGCGCCGATCTGTTCGGATCCTTCGCGGAATCGACGTGCGCCGCGCTGGTGGTGGCGTCGACCTCCGACGAGCTGAACAAGAACTGGGGCTTCATGATGTTCCCGCTGCTGGTGTCTGCTGGCGGCATTCTGTCGTCCTTCCTGACCTCCTTCTTCGCCACCTCGGTGCCGGGTCTGAAGGTGACGCAGGAGCGCCACGTGGAGCGCAACCTGTCCATCCAGCTGTACATCTCGACGATCTTCGCGACGGTGGCCGTGGCGCTGATGGCGCAGTTCTTCCTCCCCGACCGTTTCTGCTCGCGTGTGGTGGAGGAGGCGGTGAACGGCAGCTGGTGCGTGAAGTACACGAAGCGCTGGGAGGCGTATCTGTGCGTGATCGCGGGTCTGTGGTCGGGTCTGATCATCGGTAAGGCCACGGACTTCATGACCTCCTACAACTACAAGCCCGTGCGCGAGGTGGCCGAGTCCTGCATGACCGGCGCCGCCACGAACATCATCAGCGGTCTGGCGCTGGGCTACAAGTCGGTGGTGATTCCCATCTTCGCGCTGGCGGTGACCATCTTCCTCTCGTTCTTCTTCGCCAACATGTACGGCGTGGCGCTGGCGGCGCTGGGCATGCTGTCGACGCTGTCGACCTCGCTGACGATCGACGCGTACGGCCCCATCACGGATAACGCGGGAGGCATCGCCGAGATGACCGGACTCTCCGCCTCGGTGCGCGAGAAGACCGACGCGCTGGACGCTGCGGGCAACACGACGGCGGCCATCGGCAAGGGCTTCGCCATCGGCTCGGCGGCGCTGGTGTCGCTGGCGCTGTTCGGCGCGTTCGTGACGCGGACGCACATCGAGGGCGTGGATATTTTGAAGCCGATCACGTTCGCGGGCCTGGTGGTGGGCGCGATGCTGCCGTACTGGTTCTCCGCGATGACGATGAAGTCGGTGGGCAAGGCGGCGCAGAAGATGGTGAACGAGGTGAAGCAGCAGTTCCGCGAGCACCCCGGCATCATGACCAACCAGGAGCTGCCCAACTACGAGCGCTGCGTGGCCATCTCCACCAACGCGTCGCTGTACGAGATGATCAAGCCCGGCGTGCTGGTGATCTGCACGCCCATCGTGGTGGGCTATCTGTTCGGCGTGAAGGCGCTCACCGGCGTTCTGGCGGGCGGTCTGGTGTCCGGCGTGCAGATGGCCATCTCGGCGTCCAACACCGGAGGCGCCTGGGACAACGCCAAGAAGTTCATCGAGAAGGGAGAGTGCGGAGGCAAGGGATCCGCCGCTCACAAGGCCGGAGTCGTCGGAGACACCGTGGGAGATCCGCTGAAGGATACCTCCGGCCCGTCGCTGAACATTCTCATGAAGCTGATGGCCATCGTGTCCCTCGTCTTCGCGCCCTCGTTCTCCTCGCATCTCACCGGCCTCCACCAGTGGTTCGAGAGAGACTAAGCTTGCGTGCTGTGTGGTTTGTGGTTTCTGGCTTATTGCTTGTGGCTTGTTTGTTCCAAACGCAGAGGAGATTTGCCCATGAAGGGAAAGGGTGTGCAACGAGTATACTTTTGTCATCCTGCCAGTGTCCATTCGTTCGAGAAACTTTATGGCTCATCACCCATGGCTGTACAACTTCCTAATTCCCTCTCTCTCTTTGAGAAAAAAGTTGAAAAATCGATCAGCCAATCAGATTGCGAGGATCAGATGAATCATCGATTCTGCCCTGGATTCTAATCTTCCTCTGAAGATTAGTACGAATGCGGCTTATTTCCGTCGAGAACAACGAAAAGCTGACAATCACCGGCCAGCCAGTACCGCCAGTGCACGTAGGCTCCGTATGGTTGAGGCAGCGGTCTCATATGCTAGATAAATATCCTCACGGCTGGATGCAGCGTACCCACGCGGAGGGCAGATCACCTCGTAGACGATCGAGAACATGATTCGCGAGGTGCAGGAAGAAGGAAGGCGTCTGGAGCGGAGACGGTCGCTCCCCACGCTAGAGTCTCTTCAACAAACACTTGATGACCATGAACGACGATTAGATCACTGCGAAGCACTAAACGACGATTTGAGGCAGCAGTTCGACGACCTCGTTGTTCCTTTTTGTCTCTGCGACGTAGTCCCGACTCGTGAACTCTTCCCTTCTCTCCGGTTCTTCTCAGTCCGAAAACGGACCTGTCTCGCATATCAGCGTCGTTCACGACGAACTGTCGATGCCGCAGGGCAGTCCGCGCATGCGGCAGGGTCGATTCCCTTCGTACGAGCCCAATGGCCGCGATGACCCCATCGACTTCATGGACCCTCAAAATCTGAACGACGCGCAAAATTTCCACACCCATCACCAACGCCACGGCCGCCACAACCCGTCCAGCCGCCATGCCAACCAGAACACATACAACGAGGTCAATGAATTTCCCCCTCCCTCCGACGACGATTTCACGATCATTCCCGTCATGAACGGCTCCTCTCTTCCCCCTCTCTCCCACAAACCCGTTCAGCTCGGCCAGGTGGATCAGTGGTCGATTTCGATGGTGGACGAGCTCGTTCAGAGCGCGTTTTCAACGCTCCAGCTGTGGATGCGCGAGCGCGAGCAGCTGCTCATGCTCAAGCGACTGCTTCTACGTCGGTTTTGTGATGTGGAGTCGCGCGCGACCGCGTGGTATCGCGCAGAAATCGCGCAGATGGAGGTGTGGAAAGGGAGTTTGTGTGTTGGGTAGCGATTCAACCGGGCGGAAGTGGCGCGTGTGCAGAACGAGGGGGCGCAGATTCGACGATTGGTGCGCGAGCGAGAGCAAATCGGAGAGGTGAGCGAGTTTCTGCAGCCTCTGTCCGATCTCCAAGTAGCCAGCTCGACTCCCTCCGCTGACTCCGAGAAATGTGGCGAGACGCAGATGGGGTCCGCGTCGCCGATCGGTGCGGTTACCGTGACCGCGGAGGGGGATTCGTTGCTGGAGACGGATCGCAGCGAGGGAGATAAACGGCACAGAGAACACGTCCGAATGCGCGAGGAACCGCCGGGGAACTGCAATATGGCCGTGATTAAGACGGTGGAAGATCGGCTCGGGGACATTTGCGAGCAAGTGAGCGAAGAGCTGTTCCTCCAGCCGACGCTATTTGAACGCGTCGGCCAAATCATGGAGAACATCGAACCGGAACTGCCGGAGTGTCTTCGCGAGCTTTGCGCATTGATGTTCTGCAATTTTGTGAAATCCTCACTCGTTGCGCCGAGCGTGGAGCTGACATGTAGACGAAGGATTTGATCGTCACCGAGAAGGGAACCCAGAAAGTCCTTCGCGATAAGTTGAGAGTGAATTGAGATCGTATTGGATAAACTGTAGGAACAAATGGCGATCCGCATTAGCAACTTTAGAGACGAGTTCATAGAATACGCAGCGGTTGTCAGCAGAGAAGACGAGGGAATCGCTTCTCACCAAGTGGTTTCGATCGCTTGCGCGAGGAATCACATGTGTTCCGAGATAAAACGGCACTCGCTGCAACTACAGAAAACGATACGAGATTACATCCGCGAGGTGACAAAGGAAGTAGCGGAAGAAGTAATAATGGCGCAGATCACATTGCATGTTTGAACGAATCACGACTCCAAAAATCGGGGTTATTTGACTTGGTTAATCCTCAAGATTATTTCCTTTGATTTTTGATATTGTATGATACGAGGTGTTGCAGGAGCAATAACTGTAACAATCACGGTGGTACTGGTCGCCATTGCCACTTATCTTCTTCTTCGCTACTATCGCGAAAAATCGGTTGCATTCTCTTATTCTATAATTGTTTATCTATCTTGGTAGTTCACTGAATCAAGTTATGAAGGATTAGGTTCTTTGCTTTTATTGGCATTGTTCTGTTTCCTCTCGATATCGGATACGCATTAGAAGATCACAAAGCGAGCGATACCATCAAGTTAATCTGGGATGCTATCTATTGGTTCACTTTTTATCTCTCCTGGGTCCACGGACCAATTATGTCTGAATATTGGGCTTCTGGAGAGTTCACTCCAAAGTAGGCGTACTTCATCTGTACTAGGTGCAGAAAGCGTTTTAAGGAATCCTTGTGGGTCAATGCCTCGTTTTATATCCGTATCGTGATTATTGTGGGAATCGCTGGACCCATATTCATGATTGTAAGCAAAACGTACGCTTTATACTTATTTTCCATTTCTAATTATTGTAGTTCAATTCAAGAGATTCAGTCTCTGGTGATAGCTCTCTCCAACTCCTATGGTCTTGTGCTGGTTGTTCTTTTGCTTGGCCCGGGTCTGATCGAGCTTCCGGTGAAGTAGAATTCGTTCGTCCAATCAAATCGCAGCCTTTGGCTTCGTCGCGACCTACATCGTGAATTACGCGTTTTGTACACCAAGTTGTTTTTTTCGGATCGAATCGACTGGCAGAGCGTATCAGCTGGACAACGACAAATACGAATACGAATTCAAAGTGGTTTCGATGAAAATGAACGTCCGCGAGATCGAGAAAACGCTTACCTCCGCCAAGCGCAGCGCTGAGATCCTCGAGATTGTCTCAAACGTTTGCCTGCTGCTTCTCCTCTTGTTACACGCAGATGTTGCAGAGCCTGCCGTCCGACGAGGAGATCAATTACAAGCGGCACATGGCGGGGATCGTGGATAAATCGGACTGGGTGCAGCTATCGTTGATGGACTGCATGAGTATGATGGACAACGACGTGATTTCCATTCTCTCCAAGGTGCGTTCATGTTCATCATCATGTCACCGATCAGCTGAACTCCAAGCTGAAGCGAACCTGCCTGATGTTTGAGCGGAAGGTCTCCCAGTACGAGGAATGCGTAGACCGAATTGTGCAGCTCCACGCCGACCTGCATGAGCCCATCATCGTTCGCTCTCTCCGCTTCTTTTGATGGGTAGGACGTGTCCACCGGCGCGGAAATCGAGTATTCCTACGAGGTATCGAAGTGGTCGCGCGCCTGGAAGCCGATTTGGTACAATTCTCGCTATTTTGTGCTCTCTGTAAAATCGTGGGGATTTCTGCCATTCCATAGATTCTGTCGATTCTGTCGGCGATTCTGTCGGCGTGCGTGCTGATCACGGAGGTCACGACGGTGATCTTCCAGCGCGTGGATTCGAGCTTTTCGCTGATCGGTCTTCCGCTGCGGTGGTTCAAAGACAGCGTGTTTTTGCGTATTTTGTTCTCGGGGATGTCCCTCATGTATCTGTTTGTTTGTTTCTTTCGGTCGTGGTTCTTGTTTCGAATCCCGTTCGTGGACACGTACGGGCTGTACTATCACCATACGGACGTGTACGCGTTGGCGTTCAATGCGGAGTATGTGTGTCGAATCCAGTTCTCGCTGTGCTATCACTTTGTGATGCTGCTGCAGCTGAATGAGTCGGAGTATGGGTCCATTGCGTTGTCGTCGCTGCTGGGGCAGATGAAGACGATTAAGTTCCTGGGCGATGAGTTCAACACGAACATGCCGATTGTGCTGGTGTTGACGTCGCTGGTGACGCTGGGGAAGATGTTGTGGTCGATTCGGAGAGAGAAAAAGATGGAGGATGTGAGGGAAAGGGGGAGGAGTGAGGCGTAGAAGCAGGGATTGCTGATTAATGGAGTGAATGAGGAGAAGGCGGGGCGCGATATCGTGGCGATTACGCTGAAGAGAAGGCAGCGAGTGCGGCTGGATCAGGAAATGGCGGCGATGGGAGCGCAGGAGTCGTATATGTACCGAAGTCCTCGAGTGGAGATGTAACATTCGCTTGTTATTGTGGCGGTTGTTTGTTGGATGAAATGGAGGGGAGGGAAAGGAGAGGAATGAATGAATAAGTGGAAAGGAGGGGAAGGGAATGAATAAGTGGAAAGGAGAGAAATGAATGAATGAATGAACAAATAAAAAGTATGAATAAAGGAGAATCAATAAAGCGTGAAAACAATATAATAAATCCATGAATCAAAAAAGTACAAAACCCTCACCCACCAATTCCCGAATCTACGCAACTCTCACTCTCGTTCACCAACCTCCTTTCAATCGTTTCAATAGGAACAAACAAAATACACACAACAGAGTTGGAGAGAAGCAGAATGAACAATCTCAGCTTGGAATGGATTGATGTTGATCCCAAATACATTGCGAACGTCCAGCAAATCGAAGAAAAACTCACATATCATCGTGCTAAAGGACAACGACGTTAGCGGATCAAGCGTTCTTAGCGTCGACGAAAGCGGAGACAGCAGAGCTACGACCATTTCTTCCACGACCACTTCAGTGGACAGCGAATCCAGCGCTGTTTGGGATTCTGCCCATTTCCTCAGTTGATCGGTGGCGAACTCTTCAGGAACTGCACCATTCACGGTCTCTCGAACTAAGCTTTCGATCTGATGAAATGATTCCTGCGAATGATGCTGCCAAACAGAGCAAACCAGGGATAAATGCAAGAACGGAAATGTGTGGTGGAGCCAAGCGTCCGACAAAGAAGGTTTGGCTCGGAACGTCGCATGACTGACCGCTTTGTCGAGCTTTAAAAGCAACTCGACAAGGGAATTTGGGAAGGATTGCTGCGCGATACGCAATCGATGGTTGATCAACCCGAAGTGGAGCGCTAGCCGGCTTTCTTCGGGTGTCAGCGCAACGCTCAAACCCTCAAAAATGTCAGCGGGGATGGATGAAGTTTCGTTCTCACTCGAAACAATGTGATATTCAAACGAAGAAACTTCGGTTTACCCCACTCTGCGCTCGTACTGTCTTTTCGCGCTAACACAAAGCCATGTTGCCGAAACAGGCAATGTGAAACATGCTCGTGTGTTACTAAAAATTCCTCCATGTTTTGAATCACTTCAAATCGAATTTGATTCCTAAACAAAAGCGTCCCGAACGCTGCTACATGGAGTTTGACTGCTGGTAAACATGGAAAGCAACGAAGATAGGCTGGCCGTTCATTTCCAATGACTGCACAAACACTTCTTCCTCAAAATAGTACAAACTAAAGGCCTAGAGAGAAACGACTACCATTTCTACTCCTCGTTCCAGTCGCGGATCCACTTGTCCCTTGTCGAGTTGTTGCAAGTAACGCCTTGCTAAACTCGGAAGAAGACGACTACAGCTAGAAGAAAAAGAAGCGCAGAGAGGGTTGCTTTTTTGCAGAAAGCTATAATCAAAATCAAACCTAAAAATCGGAGGAAAGAGAAGAAGACCGATACAGGTGAAGAGGGCATTCTGGATCCATATGGTTACAATTTGCAGATAGATAATCGTTCATACCAAGTTAAAATATTGGCATTTCTGTCACAAGAAGCGGCATGTATATCCTTTTCAGAGATCCCATTTGATTCTCTTCCTTTTAAATTAGTAGATATTGATATTCCAAAGGATACCATATTTCTATTCTTTCATCAACAACCATGGACAAAACAATGGAAGAGTAGTATTTCGGGGGTCACTATTTCATTTTCTTAGAGTGGATAAGTCATTCCACAACCTTTGTCGAATCGGTGACTTGGAGGGGGTTATGGAATATGTCGATAGTGGAATCGACATCAATGTAGTTTTACATACCCAGAGTCTTATTCTCAGATGTTAGATGACGATGAACGAACGGGACTTCATTGGGCTGCTTCGTCGAAAAATCCAGAGTTGGTACAGTATTTACTCTCACTGCCCGGCACCAAACTAAATTGTCAAGATGAGGTCTTTCATCACGATATTTATTGAGGTTCAGGCTGGAACGACCCCACTCATGTGCGCCGTATCCACTGGAAGAAAGCAAAATGTGATTCTTTTACTGGAAGCTGGAGCAAATGTGAATCTTGAGAACGAAAACAAGGAAACAGTGTTGCATATGACAAAAAGTATTTTTAGGATGTCTAGTTTAATCACAGACAATGCAGATATTCTGGAATTGTTCATCGACCAAATCACGGATATTAACAAAAAGGTATGTCTTTTACACTTCCATTCTTCTCTCAGAATGATTACGGTATCACTGCTCTAATGAAAGCGGCGTCTCTAGGCAGCCTTGACTCCCTAACCATTCTTTTGAATCATGGAGCCGATATGTACGCAACGGACCATGAAGGAAACACAGCTGCTCACTACGCTGCGTTTGACAACCAGCGCAAAGCCTATCTGCTCCTGAAGCAACATGGTACGTATGTAATGTATGTCTGAATGGGAGGATTCGACGAGAACACGGTCAACAAGGAGAACAAAACGCCTCTGGACTATGTACATTATCGTCTTTGTTCCAAAAAACAAATCTCTTAGTTCTTTGCCTTATTGCTTAGCCTGAACATACTTAAGAACAACGCCCAGAGCGGGGGTGTCCTCACCGAAATCGGTAATGACAGCGCTGGAGCATCTCAAGACCTTGCGGGGCTTACCCTCGCTGTCGATCTTGCAGAGACCGCACCATTCACCCAGAGTCTTTCCCTCGGGGATCTTGATCAGAGGAACCTGACGCTCCTGGCAGAGGGCCTGAACATTACCGCAAACACACGAAACTCACCTCAATCAGACGAGTGTAAGAAGACTCATCGCAATCCTCAGCAAGGAAGCAAATCTGGGCCACATTGCGGTCCAGGGCCTTGACGGCCAGACGGAGACCACGCTGAAGTCCCTCATGGTGAAGGGCGTTCTTCAGCACCTCGCGGACAGCGGTCATAATGTCCATTTCAGGTTGAACGTTCACGCTACTGATTACTCCTCCGCTTCGATACTACGGCTCGTTAATAACAGGGGCAGCTTCCTCAGCCATGTTTTCAAATGGTGTCCTTAGAAGAGAACTAATTTGTGGTTCAACTCTTCTGTTTAGTGACCATTTCAAATCCTTGATTATCATGACTCAACTATTACTTTTTGATTTTAGGAATTCCCAATTCTTTTCACAGATGGCAATCTCTCTGTCAGAGCTAGGAAGGCTTTATCTTGTGCAGCTTGTCAAGGGATGCAAGGATGAAAACTGTTGTAACATGAATTGTGCTCGAAACAACACAAGTATCTTACTTATTTACGCATTATTAAAACTAGTAAGTGATAAAAATGTAGCCGCGTCAAGAGCTATTCATTTGGCTAAGAATGGTACTTGCTTCAGCTGTACATACGTGAATCGATGTTTCCATTGTGATGACGAAACGTTGAAAGAATATATTCCGCAATCGTTTTTTGAAAACAAGGAAGCTGCGCAAAAACTCCTCAAGTGTGCAATGGAATTGTTGCTTATTTGATAGAATGCTTATATTGTCGATCCAAGATGACAAATATAAACGTATCAATACACAAGCAGCTGGATTTACTTCTCTGTTCGATCAAAATCCTTATGTATCGATCGTACTTGCGGCTGCAGGTTTCCGCTTTGATCATGGCTACTTTGAATTCACTTCACCCTCCAAAACAAACCGAGTGATTCTCCTTCTGAATCAACAGTTGAATGTTTGACTATCATACTTGCTTTACTGTAGAAAGTGGAGCCGTTTCACTACACTCGCTTCACCAACACGACAGAAGTAGCATCCAAATTGCTATTCTATCATAGCTTCACTTAGCTCCTGAAAGCAAACTGATCAACGACAAAGTCTCGCTGTTTTCGTACACTCCATTCGCCTCAAAGCAAGGCCGAATGGTTCTTCCTCCTCTTCTGAATCTGCTCGTCCCTCTGGACCTAACCATTCATGGAGCTATCAAGAACTCCATTTTCGCTCTGGTGTGGAGTTCGGATCGCAGCGAATTGGAGGAGATGAGCGTTCAGGATGGGTTGTTGCGCCTTTCCAACGGAGCCACTCCTCGAACTCCGATTTCGACCCTTCTTTTTGATTTCCGAAAATCGTACTGATTCATTCTGTTTTGGGATTTAATGAAAAGTACAAAAATCTCGATCGATCGGAACACCAAAGTCTCGATTGTGGAACCTTCGTACCACGCTCTCCAGTTCCCCGTTTCGCCGATTTCTGCCATCGAAACGGTTCGGTTGGTTGTAATCCGCGGGGAATTCATCGTTTTCGTGAATGTGGGCATCAGAGAAAGGAATAAAAAAAGGACGACTGCGTGCTTCGAACCGAGGCCGGTCCGTTCATTCCCTTCGAGTCGAGTTATCTTGGCATCCTTGGATGGAACGATGGTTTGGGAGAAAGCGAAGCCGAAGTGAGCGAAGTTGAAGTGAAGACGGACGTGGATGAGGAGCAAATCCGACAATCGTTTTCATTGGTTGATGCATCGACGGAAATCGTGGCTATTTTTGGAGTTGTGTGAGAAGTAGCATCCGGATTTGCGCGATCGGCCGATTGACACGTTGTTTGATTTGTGTCGATTCGAAGCTCCGGAATGGCGATCGCGATGTCCGTTGCGAGGCCGCGAAAACCGCGAAAAGACGACGAGGATTCTGCATTGTCATGATATGCGAGGCGGTTATCAGCAAGATGCGAATAGCTATGTTGAAATGGAAGAAGGAATTGAGTTGATAGGGAGTTCATTCTCCGTATTATTGCTTTCATGATTGGTCTTCGATTGACCTGTTTGTTTATTTTTCTCATCATTTCATTACGATTCCAATATCCTCTTTTTCCAATTCTTTGTTTTTTGTGTTAATTGTTGTTTGTTGTTGTTGTTGTTACAAGTTCATTTTCATTGTGATCATTATCATACTTTTATTTTACTGCGATCATTCCGATCATTCCAATCATTCCAATCATTCCAATTATTCCAATTATTCCAATTATTCCAATCATTCTTATTGCTTTTACGCTTCCTTTACATTCACCCTGCATCATGGATCGATGCTGCTCACCAGAATAGTGTTCCATGCCTCGGAACCATCATTCTAGAAGGCCAAACCGAGCCAATTCTTCACCAACTTTTGACAGGACCGGATGGAGCCAGTCAACGCCAGCCCACGTATCAACTCGCACGGAATGTGTCGATAGATTCGACCCCTTCTTTGCAGACCGATTGGCTTCGCTTTGCGCAGAATGCAACTTCGATGGATACCTCGTCAACATCGAAATCCCCGCCATTTCGCCCGCGCTGGTTCGCTTGCTCATCGACTTTCTAAAAGAACTTCGAGCCAAACTGAAGTCGATTTCGGAGTTTCATCAGGTGATTTGGTACGATAGCATCGATAACCGCGGTTATCTCAATTACCAGAATAAACTGAATGCCCAAAATAAGCCCTATTTCGACGTGGTTGACGGAATTTTCCTCAATTATTGGTGGAAACCGGACGACCTCGTGTTGACCCGGCGAACCGCGGGGAGCAGGTATTTGTGACGGAGCGTTTTCATGAGAGCGTGCGACGTGTATGTCGGAGTGGACGTTTGGGGCCGCGGAACGAATTCCGGCGGGGGTTACAACACGATTACGGACGTGGCGTTGATTGCCCGCCAAGGTATGGTTTCCACGTTTCCCCGATTGGTAGGGCTGTCGTGCGCGCTGTTCGCTCCCGGGTGGATTTTCGAGCACGAATTCGACTGCGAATTCTCCGCGGCCTACGAGCAAAAAGAGCGGGAATTCTGGAATTCCACGGTGACGAGCGCGACGGAGGACGGCCAATTGCTGCTCTCGAAGAGCTCCACGTGCATAGCGAATTACGTAGGCATGCGTCCCGCGGTTCTTGGTAGAGTGGGAAGCGGTCCAACGGGTTCCTGTTTCCCCTTTTCTCCAATTTCGCGCGGATGTTCGGCTCCATGGAATTCGTGCGCGGAGTTCCATGGAACTTCGCAGCGTATTCCCCGCGGTTCTGCAGCATGCTGCCGCTGCTGGATGAAACGGCCGACGGAGGGAGCGAATTGGAGGGAAAATGGGCGGGAAACGACGGCTATCAAGGAAACGGCTGTTTGGAGATCCGCGGTTATTTGGGAGGGAAGAAGAAGCGGCAGGCGATTACGCTGTTCCGATTGGACGATGCGATGACGATGGAACCACTGGTCGTGTCGGTGGTGATGAAAAAAGAAGCAGAGAAGTGGGTTCGAACCGACGGCCTGATGCGTAGAACGGAGTGGAACTTGCTGCTCGATTTCGCGCTGGAGGACGTGGAGAATTTGAAAACAGAGGAATCTGATGCAGCAGAGGAAGGAAATGAAGCAAAAGAAGAGAAAGAACCGGAGATTATCATTCATCGCCGATTAGTGGAGAAAACCACTTCTGCGGGAGCAGGTTTGGTTATAAAGCTCATGATCTATTTTTAGAAGTGATTTCTCCATTTCTCCATACGCGATGTGGAGGCGACTGGGAACGATGGTGGTGGATGATTCCCCCGATTCTCGCGCGTTCCACGGTTCTGTGTCTACGCTCGATTCAATTCGAATGTCGCAGCGATTCGTACGAAGAGAGTCGGTTCAAGCTGGGTTGGCTGTATTGTGCTCCGCTGAATCTTCACGCTGCCGTGTACCACGTGGATTGTAGGCGATTCGGGCGGCTCAAGACGAAGATTTGCCGCGCAACGTGACGTTTTCGGTGTTGGCGAATCCGCCGCAGCGAAATAAGCAGGAAGCCCTGCAGTGTTCGTATGGAATTCTGCGGTGGCAGGCGGCGGTGAAGGAGGTGAACACGGGGGAAGCGATGGTTCCGGTGGTGGATTTCTGGCGAGTGTTCGTGGACGGGAAATACTGGGGCAAAACGCGGAGCTTGTCGTTCTGCTTGAAGAAAAGTGGGAGAAAAGAGGGAAGATGACGGGTAGAAGTGGGGGCCAAGCCGAGGAAGTACGCGATTCTGATTCAGCCGGTGACGATTTATGGATCTTCTGTGCCGTTAAAGAAGTGCGAAGTGATATCGATTCGGTTTTAGGAGTGTTTATTGAATAATGAATGAAGTGTGTGTGAATGAATCATCGAATGAATCATCGAATGAATCATCGAATGAATCATCGAATGAATCATCGAATGAATCATCGAATGAATCATCGAATGAATCATCGAATGAATCATCGAATGAATCATCGAATGAATCATCGAATGAATCATCGAATGAATGAATCACCGAATCTAGAATTATGTGTGTAAATAACATGGATTCGAAGGAGTATCTCCATTCATTTTTTCATCAATTCGATCAATTGAAATATCTAATTCATGAAACACTTTAATGTACAGGAATCCAACAATCAACCATCTCTCCACTCATTCAACTCCTTCCTCAACACCACAGAAACATCCCCATTTCCACTCATTTCGTTCAACAAACACCTCAAAAACGCAAAATGCCACCACAGCCACACACCCAACCCTCCTTTACGGAAAGAAGTTCCGCTTCGTCGGTCCCAGAATCGTCCTTCCCCGCACCGCCACGATATAAATCACATTTCGCACCGAGCTCACATAATCCGTCACCACAATATCGAACGAAGTGTCCCTAAATTGCCCCGCCTGCTCTCCGTATCGCATCACATCGCGTTCAGTCGGGTCTTTGCGGACTTTGCTCTCCGGTCGGACCATGTAATACACGTCGTAGGGTCCGTTCAGGATCAGGCAGCGCACGTACACAGCGTTATGCAGCGTCTGGACCTGACGAATGCGGATCGGCGACGCGCCGCCAGACCCAGGATTCGTGTCTAGACGTGAACTCCGAGAAAGAAGCGAACTCGAGACGTTGGCGTTGAGATTTCCCGAGTTTTTGTTTTGGTCTGGAGATGAGAAAGGAGGAAAGAAAGGGGATACCGACACGCTCTGGACGGTTCCGCTGCTTGAGTTTGGCGCGAACGATGTCTACGCGAATCAACAAATCGATTCAATGAGGTACAAGAGGAAGGAGGATGTCTGGGAGGGTCGGGAACGATGAGCGGATTGTCCAGAGGAACTTCCATGATGCGGCTTTTGCTGTTCTCCACGCGACAGCCGATGTAAGCAAAGTGGTACGAAGATGGGACATCATCGACAGGATAGGTGAAGTAGTGGCCGAATTTCCCTCTGGAGTGAAGAAAGACAAGAAGGGACAAACAATCCAACGTAGTTCGCATCTTGGAACAAATCGACGTCCAGAATGTAGGAGGAAGAATCCCTCAGCATCAAATAATACTGCGTCTCCATTGCCGTGTTTCCTCGCATAATAATCGACTTGCTGCCGTTAACCTTCACATAGGTCGCCTCAAAAGAAACATCGTTACCAAGGATGTCTAGGATGAATCGAGATCAAGAGGACTACAGCTGTATAGAGGCAAATTAATATAAATAGGTCTGGTAAAACAATTGTTGTGGTTGTACACACCAGCAATATAAATGGCCCCGGGGAAGTTGTAATACTTATCCACGGGAACGGACCACTTCGACCCCTTCACAAATTTCCCCTGAAAAATACCATTCTCAATAACGTATTCAGACGTAAAAGGAGGCGTCGTATCATCCACAATAAGCACGAAAATTGCCAATATATCGGTTACCACATCACCCGTAATAGAATACGGAGTGACTTCATATTTCAGCGTCGGGTGAATGCAAGCTACAAGTAAGCACTCCTTCGAAAAGCGAACTATCCACAGACGCAGAATTGGTGTTCGAAGTACTAGGTTTTGCTAGAGAGGTCAATCTCCTCCGACACCACTTACTGGTGGCAACCGAATATATTAATACAACTATAATAGCACACAAGACATAGGAATAAAGGCTAAGGACCTTCTGCCTCTGGATCAACATTCTTTTGAACAAACAGTCCACAATGATACAAAATCTCTCTCAAAAACACAATGACACTGGCAAGAGGTCACAGCACACTTCCTTTCCTCTTCGCCATCCTCCCTCGCAAACCATTCTTGCACATGCCTCAAATGACCGCCATGGCCACATCGCAGACACATCGCCACAAGCCCCGAGTTCTTCGTTTTGCAAACAGAACAAAGCGAGTAAATGTCAACATATTTCCCGCCCTTTTCGGCTCGAATCTTTAAAAATCGACTATCGCTGTTTTCGTTCCTTTCTGCTTTTCCTGCATGAGGCTTGCTCCACTCTCGATTAGAACCAGTCTTTGGTCCTGTTTGGAGGTACGGAATCGATTCGATAGGAGGGGCTGACTCCTCGCCAGAAAAGAGCATATGCTTCATATTCGATCGAGGCATCCCATTTCTCCCAAAATTCAGTTGGTCGTCCTTCGAAGCAGTCTGAAAAGTGATTTCCGGATTCTACACAAAATAGTCCCGATTTTTGGAATTCTACATAGACTTCCAACAGCTGGATTTTCAGCCGATGACACACGTTGCGAAGCGCAACAACCTCTTCATAAAGTTGTTCGCGGTTCAGCAAATCCAGATAGCCATCCACCCAGGTAGGAACTTCCTTGAGTGCCAATTCGTCGTGCTTCAGGAATTCCCACATGACGAAGGAAATCATAACGGCGTTTTGGATGTCTCCCTCCCGCACTAACGCAGGGATGAAGGAGAGGTCTTCCTTGAGATTGAGCTGGACCTTCAGAGCGCAAGGATTCGATTCGAGGATGGAGGAACACTCGCTGACGCTGTTTTCGCGATGATACGACGAGATCGAATTGCCTCTGGACGCTGCGAGTCAGCGAATCAAAGCAAGCAAGCAAACGAGTCAAGTGGGGCGAAACGAAGGAGTGCGAGCGAATGCGAACAGTCTCGGTGTCCTCGTCTTGAATGGCTTCCACCAAGTCTTTCAGCAGCAGCCAAATCGTTTCGATCGCGGGCATGCAGCAAGAGCGGCAGATATCCGCGTTGTATTTGCACAATTCAGCGGTCGATTGACAGCCCTCGCAGGGAAGAACGCGATAATGATGAGCCAGGTAGATGAGTCGCTGCTGATTATACATGAATCCCTCGATGGCATCCGAAGGATCGATGGTTTGCACGACGAGAATGGAGTCTATGGAAGAAATCGCGAGCGAACGCACTCTCTCCGGTGAGCGAAAACAGCTGGTTTTCTTTGAGATCCAGCGGGATGTGCGGCTTCTCGCGCGACGTGGCGTTCAAAACGACGGCGATTTTCTGGTAGTTGGTAATCGAGAGCGCGCTCATGCAGACGATCGACGAGAAGAGCGGCAAGGAGCGCAGCTGGAACACGTCGATGGAGGTCTCGGTGCCTCGCTGCTGCAGAACGGAGAGATATTCCTCGCTGGAGGTCGATCCGGGATGCGTCATCCAGCAGACCTCGTTGATTTTCTGGGTTTGCGAGAGGAATCGGAAGGGCAAACTCCTAACATTCAATCCTCAACCCACACGAACGGGCGGCGAATGTCCCACACAGCGACGGCACTTCCGTCGGCCATGCCGCAGGCGGCCAAAACGTCTGCGGGAGAGAGAAAGAAAGAGAGAAGGGTACTGGGGTTCTGCGGGTTCCAGCTGATGTCTTTGATTTCGAATTCGGTGCGAATGCCTTCGGGACAGTAGTCTTGCTGGCCCGGCAGATGCGAAAACGAAGCGTAGAGATTGCTGAGCTTGTGCGAGGCAGTGTAGAAGAGCAGAATGGACTTGTTGGCGGTGCCTGCAGCCATGATGTTGGGCTTGTATGGATTGTAGTGAATGGTGGTGATCGTGCCCGTGGCCTCGTAGCAGAAAATGTGGTTCAGCGACGTGGAGGCCATATCGAAAAGCTGGGAAAAAGGGAAGGGAGAAAGCTTACCTTGATGGTTTTATCGTCGTGAATGCAACAGAAATGATTGGGATGGAATGGATCGAACTTGACGTAGGAGACTCCCGAGGAGGAGCTGTTTAAAGACCATTTGGAAGCGTACTGCTCTTGTCTGCGGTCCTACGAATGAATGAATAAAAAAGTGATTGTGAACCCATAAGAGAATCACGCCCTCTTGGAAACAGGAGAGCAGCAAATTCGTGTCTTTGTTGTTCCAACTCAGTCCCTGACATGCGGATTGATAGGAGCCGAGCAGCGAGCGCGACTTTGAATTTCGATCGTAATTGAAATCCCACAGGAAGATGTTTCCTGTGGCAGTGGCTGTGGCCATCGTGTACACTCATCAATCAACGAACAGAAAGCCCTACTCTCGCTTGGATGGGGTTTGAGATGAGTAATGGGGTAGGGGCTCTCTCTGCGTCGGTCTCGCGTCGCTTTGGTCTGTTCCTGCCTGTATTTCCACGCAGAATCGAGCGTGATCACATCAAAATCGAAACGTTAGTGGAAACCGAAAATCGATACTGTTTTTGCATCCAATCAGCACCTTGCTGTTATCAATCCTACTAGGATAGAAGGTTGTCACCACTTCGTCAACATGAATATGAACGAGTGGATCCACACCATAGAAAGACATGGCTCTTGAAGCAAAGAATAGAGAATGTTAGAAAGCGGTCACAGGAAAGCAAAAGTGACATGGAGCTGCATAGTTCTAAGTTTGTAAACAACCAATTAATCTGTGAAAGGTAGCGAGCCACCTTCTCAAAGCAGTCCGATTCCAACAAACAAAAACAACTATCCCTAACAGCAAAAGACAGAGACTTGGCCACTGGCGCTTGTTCATAGCTAATGAACTGGTTTTCTTTCGGAGTGACAATACGATCCAAATCGACCTGCTTCTTCTTCAACTCCTCGATTCTCCGGTCTTCCGATCCCGATTCCTCCTCGATCTCGTTCCCCCATTTGCACGATTTGTCTGCCTTTCGATTGGCGATCCAATTATCCGGCACTATTCCTCGTATCCGCCCTTCACGCCTACTACAAAAATGGCTGCCAGGCAGAGTCGACGGGAGACTCATCTGCAAAGCCTGCATGGATTGCGTGGAGCGCTGCGGCAGCTGCAAGCGACGACGCGGAGGCGAGACGACCCACTCGCTTTCCAAGACTTCGCGTAGCGTGATTCGCTTTGCGGGGTCCTTTTCGAGCATGCATCGCACGAGATTCTGCGCGCTGGGGCTGATGGAGCTCCATTCTTCGGAGGGGAAATCGATCGTGCCGTTTCTAGAACTGAACGGCGATCGATGGCGATACAAAGTGAAGAGTAAAATGTCGCGCGTGTCGTTGCCTTGGTAGGGAGGATAGCCGATGAGCAGGATGTACAAGAGAACGCCGAGCGAATACACATCGCACGCTGCGGAATACTGCAAGTTCTACGCGTCAGCCACGCCTCATCCATCCTCCTCCCTACGGAAATGATTTCGGGAGCAATATATCCGGCCGTGCCGATGATTTCGTCGGGCGGACATTCCTCCACGTCCTGCACATAGCAACAGCCGAAGTCGGCGAGTTTCATGAGGGAATTGGGCTCCTTGCTTTCGAAAATGACGTTCTCGAGCTTCACATCGAGATGAAGAATCTGCTTTTCGTGCAACGCTTCCAGGCCTCGCGCAATATGCCGAATGATGCGAGCCGATTCCCATTCTACATCGCGAAAAGGCGGCCGACTGATACCCGAGAGCGCGCCGGTCTGACAGATTCGCTTGTAGAGATCGTCGCCGCCGAGATACTCCATCACGATGTTGATCAAATAGTCGTCTTCGTAGATCTCGTGGATGGTGACAAGGTTTTCGTTGTAGACGCGTTGCTACAGTGAAGAGAAGTGCACGAATCTACTTTGATCGTTCCCAGAACCATCAGCTCGTGCTTCAGAATCGTCCGATCCACCTTCTTCTTATTGATTACTTTAATCGCGTATTTCTTGAGGTTTGCCTAGAGAGCAGCGTGGAACAAGGAGTACATTGCATTCACCGAGTCGAACGATCCCATACCGACCCTTTCCCAGAACGGGACCGAAAGAAAAATGGTCGTAAACACTGCCAACACCACGAAGCGTAGGACGGCTGTTGATTCGCTGTACCAGGAATTTACAGACCTGGATGCACTGAATCCACATGTCCTAACGCTCACAGAAACGAATCGAAAGCATACGCGGTCCTCTTGCGTGAGGCCATCCAGAATGTAAAGACGATCGGTGGGACTCGGAAGAACAGAAAAGGAATAGGGGTGATTCGATATGGTTTCGAGCGAAATCCGACAATTTGGAGAGATTTCTGCGCGGTGTCGCATCTTGTTGTGATTGCCCACCTAAAAGTCATTCCTCTTTGTTGCAAAAACCTCCCAATACGACAAGTTCATACCAGAAAGAATGAAAAAGCGCATTTTCCACATACGAAGACGCTTAAACCCCTTTTTCATCATATTTCCCTCCACTCGCAGCTGAAAGAGTGTTCATGGGCATCACTCCTGGACATACTCATTACATCTTCGCGGGATAGAGACAAAATGTCATGGCCGTTACAAATGATTGAGCGAGACTGACTAACCGGACTATAGACAATATCCTCGCTAGCCACAGATGGCTTAACAAATATGCTATCAACACTTGGTTTTTGGCTCACATCGGCTAAAGAAAAGGTTTTACTTCCAGCTTGTTTGTCCTTAATCACTTGGTTATAAGCTGATAGCCAAGAACCCCTTGAGGGTTCTTGATCAAGTGGTAGTTCATCAAAATCGGGGCAACTAACTCTCTCCATTATGACTTTTATATTACAAAAAGCGATATACTATAAATGCAACAAAAAGTATAATGATTCTATGAATGCCAGAAATTCTGACTATTTTGCACGAATGAATTTGTGTTTTCTCACGTTTCTTACTCCTATGACGCTATGTCTTGTATATAGAAAGCCATCACACAATGAAAAAGTATTTTAAAACAATAATCAGTGATTGTCAAAGAAAAATGAGTATTTGGTTACTATAAGTCTATGAAGCATCCATTTTGAATTTATGGTAGGTGAGTAAACACTTTGATTGAGAGCAATCCGATTTTTGGAATTCCAGAAATCAGGAAGATCAATTCGTTTCATTGAGAGTCGGTAGAATTAAACCTTTACAATTGTCAATTTATTCATTTATCTGACCCCAATTTCGTAAATCTTTAATAGAATCCACTGTTAATTCGTATACAATTGAGAAGAGTATAATAATAGTAGAAGTAGAAAAGAGATGATGAGTATACTCGGAGTTATTACATATATCCTAATCACGATTCTCGTGTTGCTTTTGGTATGTTCTAATTTAAAAATTGAACAGTTCTAACTTGTTTTATAGATAGTATATATTGTATGCAAGAGTCTATTGATTGTTGTTCACCAGACGGAGTGTAATGAATTTGAAAGTAGATTGACATATTAGCTGTGGTAGTGGAGAGTTTTGGTCGTTTCAAACGAATTTTGGGTCCTGGAATTCACTGTTTGATTCCGATTATCGAGACACCTCGTCCATTCACATGGGTTGAGACGGTGATGAGAAATGGCAGTATTTCGGAGCTTTCGTTTTCGAATGCTCGTGTTGATACCCGTGAAACATTATTCAGTTTTTCGCGTCAAGAAGTGTATACGAAAGATACAATTTTACTGGATGTGAACTCTTTGATGTACTACAAGATTGTGGATGTGAAGAAGGCTGTGTATGAAGTAGATGATTTGCATGGAGCGATTGTGAACGTTGCTCAGACCCAACTGAAAGAAGTATTTGGTCGCATGACTTTCCAGGAATGTATGACAAGTCAAGATCAAATCAACGAGTATCGTGTTTTTGATTGAATTTGATGTGCGTAGATACATGCGTGAAGCGTTTTCGTCGCGGTTCTTGACGTGGGGAATCGAGGTTGAGCGTATGGAATTGCTGGACATCGAGCCGCGTCAGACGGTAGTGGACTCGATGAAGACGCAAATGATCGCTGAGCGCGTGCGTCGCAGCCAGTTCATCGAAGCGGAGGGGAAGAAGACGGCGACGCGAATTCGTTCGGAGGGAACGAAGGTGGTGAAGCAGAACGAGGGTCTTGCTCAGCAAGAAACGACGCGCAAGATTTCGGAGGGCGAAGCGGAGGGCCGAATCGAGCTGGCGCGCGCGGAAAGCCAGAGTTTGGAGCTGGTGCGATCGGCGCTGCAGATGTACAGCAACAGCCAAGCGAAGTACATGCTGGCGATGCGGTACCTGGAGCTGCTGAACACGGTGGGATACGTGTGTCAGAACAAAACGATCTATCTGCCGTACGAATCGGACGCGCTGAGCGGAAGCATCGCGGGTCTGCGGGCGATTTACGGAAGAGAGAAGAAGGCGTCGAGACGCAGAAAAGAGCTGATTGAGAAAGAGAGCGAGACGAGTGACACGGAGGAACAAGAACAAGAAGAGAAGAAGAAGGAGAAGAGAAATGAAGGTGCGCGTGGCGTGGGAGCGGGTAACGGAGCGATGGAAGACGTGAGAATGGTGGATGTGCGAGCGACGCCGATGGGAACGGTTCCGAACTTTGACGATCTGAATTGAGGAAAGAAAGAAGGAAAGAATGGAGAGAGAATGTGCGAATTGAGAAATAGAACGAAGTATGTTTGATTAATAAACAGAATAACTCAAATGGTTACAGACGAGTTTCCACTTTTTTGAGTGGCTTTCTCATTTCTTTTTTTAGAGATGGAGATTCTTAAGCCGTAATAGTATATATTTGGTTCTATATATAGCGTCGTTTCACCTAGCATATTAAGCGCCGATTTCGCAAACTTGGAACGTGATTGTAAAATGATTATTGAAGTATATGCTATGCGTTCATGTCACTGTTTAGAAGGGCGCTGACTGGCTCCATATTGATATTATGGTTCGTTTGTGATTTGTCTTTTACTCTAGGACGGTCATTTTGTCCCGAACCTTACTATCGGTGCACCTGTAGTGAAGTGCATTCGAAAGCATTTAAAGTAGTGAAGTTTTGTGCTGTTAATGGTAGTGTCTTTATGGATTGCCATTTGATGGTGGATAATCCTGAAAGCTATATCATCCCTCTTAAGGATGCTGGAGCCAATTTGTTCACCTTCCATGTAGAGGCGACCAGTAGGTTTTTGTACACTTTGAGCGAATAGAAAACCCGAAGGATGTGATTCAACGCGTGCACGAAGCCGGAATGTACTGCGGAATCACTTTGAAGCCAGGAACTCCTGTTAGCGCGATCGAGGAGTTCATTCCTTTAGTGTAGGTCTGGTGTGGGCGGTTCAACGTAGCGATTTAGTGCTGGTCATGACGGTGGAGCCCGGGTTTGGAGGCCAGAAGTTCATGGAAGAGTGTTTAGTGAAGGTGGAGGCAGTGCGTGCACTGTCGAAGACTGTTTACATCGAAGTGGATGGAGGTGTGTCTGCGAAGAACGCAGAGCTTTGCGCAAGGAAGGGAGCGAATGTCCTCGTGTCTGGGTCTGCAATTTTCGGCTCAGCAGATATCGCGGCGACGATTCGAGAGATGAAGGAAGCCCTGAAGAAATATCTGTAACCATTTGAGTTATTCTGTTTATTAATCAAACATACTTCGTTCTATTTCTCAATTCGCATATTCTCTCTCCATTCTTCCTTTTCTTTCCTTTCCTCAGTTCAGATCGTCAAAGTTCGGAACCGTTCCCATCGGCGTCGCTCGCACATCCACCATTCTCACTTCTTCCATCGCTCCGTTCCCCGCTCCCACGCCACGCGCACCTTCATTTCTCTTCTCCTTCTTCTTCTCTTCTTGTTCTTCCGTGTCACTCGTCTCGCTCTCTTTTTCAATCAGCTCTTTTCTGCGTCTCGATGCCTTCTTCTCTCTTCCGTAAATCGCCCGCAGACCCGCGATGCTTCCGCTCAGCGCGTCCGATTCGTACGGCAGATAGATCGTTTTGTTCTGACACACGTATCCCACCGTGTTCAGCAGCTCCAGGTACCGCATCGCCAGCATGTACTTCGCTTGGCTGTTGCTGTACATCTGCAGCGCCGATCGCACCAGCTCCAAACTCTGACTTTCCGCGCGCGCCAGCTCGATTCGGCCCTCCGCTTCGCCCTCCGAAATCTTGCGCGTCGTTTCTTGCTGCGCAAGACCCTCGTTCTGCTTCACCACCTTCGTTCCCTCCGAACGAATTCGCGTCGCCGTCTTCTTCCCCTCCGCTTCGATGAACTGGCTGCGACGCACGCGCTCAGCGATCATTTGCGTCTTCATCGAGTCCACTACCGTCTGACGCGGCTCGATGTCCAGCAATTCCATACGCTCAACCTCGATTCCCCACGTCAAGAACCGCGACGAAAACGCTTCACGCATGTATCTACGCATATCAAATTCAATCAAAAACACGATACTCGTTGATTTGATCTTGACTTGTCATACATTCCTGGAAAGTCATGCGACCAAATACTTCTTTCAGTTGGGTCTGAGCAACGTTCACAATTGCTCCATGCAAATCATCTACTTCATACACAGCCTTCTTCACATCCACAATCTTGTAGTACATCAAAGAGTTCACATCCAGTAAAATTGTATCTTTCGTATACACTTCTTGACGCGAAAAACTGAATAATGTTTCACGGGTATCAACACGAGCATTCGAAAACGAAAGCTCCGAAATACTGCCATTTCTCATCACCGTCTCAACCCATGTGAATGGACGAGGTGTCTCGATAATCGGAATCAAACAGTGAATTCCAGGACCCAAAATTCGTTTGAAACGACCAAAACTCTCCACTACCACAGCTAATATGTCAATCTACTTTCAAATTCATTACACTCCGTCTGGTGAACAACAATCAATAGACTCTTGCATACAATATATACTATCTATAAAACAAGTTAGAACTGTTCAATTTTTAAATTAGAACATACCAAAAGCAACACGAGAATCGTGATTAGGATATATGTAATAACTCCGAGTATACTCATCATCTCTTTTCTACTTCTACTATTATTATACTCTTCTCAATTGTATACGAATTAACAGTGGATTCTATTAAAGATTTACGAAATTGGGGTCAGATAAATGAATAAATTGACAATTGTAAAGGTTTAATTCTACCGACTCTCAATGAAACGAATTGATCTTCCTGATTTCTGGATTTCCAAAAATCTTATCTATTATGTTGAAATTTGAATAGAAAAATAGAAGGTCCCACCGAGATTTGAACTCGGATTGCAGGATTCAGAGTCCTGAGTGCTAACCATTACACCATGGGACCATATATTCCTGCTTTTATGTATACTATATAAGTAGCATAGGATAATCTCTTTGATTTGAATAAAGTGAAAATTACAACTTTATAGAATGAACCAATCAATTCAATCGTTAATTTTACTTATTCCTTGCAATATAGAAGGAAATAAAGCAAGAGTTGGGTGTTGTGATTATTGATTCTAAATATGAATGGTTCTTGTAGTATGTATTGATAATTAGTTGCTTTTTTCCAATTTTATGTTCAATGGGACTAAAATGAATCGAAATAACGGTTATTCCCAACATTTAGGGGCAATGGTATTCGGTGCTTCGATTCACCGTATCTTTATTTATTCCCAATTAACCAGTCACTTTTTTTGATATTTATATGTTTTTTTAAATTATCTATTCAATATAAAGTGAAATTTGGAAAATGAGTGCTTTTGATTGGGTTATGCTTGCTTTGTTGATTGCATTTGCTCTCTTTTGCATAATCTTCCTAGTGCGTCACAGCATTCGATGCGTGAGCGAAAGAGAACACATAATTGTGGAACGTCTAGGAACCTATTCAAAATCCCTAGAGCCTGGTGTGAACTTTGTAGCTCCATTCCTCGACAGGACGAAATTTGTCTATAACCGCTATGTGATCAGCTCTGGATATTCGAAAGGACAGTTAATCGAAACCTATTCTGATGTGATTTCTACTCAAAACGAAGTCCTTGATTTCCCTGAGCAGTAGGTTCGTGCTCTTCATGTGATTTGTAGACCCGTTATCACCCGTGATAATGCCATGATTTATTTGGATGCCGTAGAAATCACATGGATTTTTAATTTCTAGGTGCTGCAGTACCGAATCACCAATCCAAAGATGATGGTCTACTCTGTGAACAATCTTCCCAATGTTCTGTCCCGCCTCCTGCAGGCTCGTCTTCGTGACGTGGCTGGTTCTCTGGACGTGGACCGTATCATCGAAGATACCGCTATTCTGGATCGTGTAGCCGGCGAATTGGACATCATCGCTTGCAATTGGGGCGTTAAAATCGAGATGGTGAAGATCCAGAAGGTGAGTGCGCACGAGCTGGAAGAGGTGCTGGCGCAGAAGAAGAACGCGGATTTCAAGAACAAGGAAGTGGTGATTACTGCCAAGTCGGATAAGCAGACCTGCATCATCAACGCCGAAGGAGAACGGGATCGAAAGATCCGCGAGGCCGAGGGAGAGGCGCAGCGTGTGGTGACCGCGGCGCGCGGCCAGGCGCAGGCCATGCTGAACGACGCGCAGGCGGAGGCGCGGTCGATCCAGGAGATTTCGCGGTCGTTGGAGGGGTCGGGCGACGATCCGTCGAAGTATTTGATCGCGATGAAGTACATTGCGATGCTGAAGGAAATCTGCGCGCTGCCGCAAACGAAGGTGGTGCTGGTGCCGCAGGAAACGTTGATGGCGCAGACGTCGCAGTTGCTGGGATTGAATACGATTATCCCACGCCATTAAGAATGAATAAACCGACTGACTTGACTGAGTCATTGAACTAGAGATCTATCATTTGCTGTTGTAATTAAGAATATGTTTGTTTCAACAATGCGCATGAATATCATATCCTAGCCAAACTACACTCTCGTCTCTCTCCTTACTTCTGTCCCTGCTGAGCCATCTGCATCTGGCGCTGATAGGCCATCTGGTAATAGGCCATCTGCTGGTAGTACGCCATCTGCTGCTGGTACGCCATCCACTGCTGCGGGGTCATGTTGCCGGCCATGCCGGGCATTCCAGCCATCGCCTGCGGACCCTGCTGGCCCTGAGGAGCCTGGGCAGGAGAGGCAGCCGCTTGCGCGGGCGCAGCGGCCTGGGCGGGCGAGGCGGCGGGCGCAGGCGCGAACATGCTGTTCACGTCGTCAGCTGCGGAGGTGGCCTTGGCATCAGGGACAGGGGAAGGCTGGCTCATTCCCAGGAAATCGTCCTCCTGAGGCGACTTGGGCGCCTTCGCGGCAGGCTTCTTGGCGACCTTCTTCACGACCTTCTTCACGACCTTCTTCTTCGGCTTCTCCTCGGCCGCAGCGGGCTCCTCGTCACCGAAGTCCACGTCCTCCTCCTCTTGCTGCTGCACCTTCTTGGGAGCGGCCTTCTTCACGGCCTTCTTCTTCGGACCCTCGTCGAACACGTCCTCCTCCTCCTCAGCGGGGGCAGCGGCAGCAGGAGCCTCCTCAGCCTGCTCCTCAGCTTCCTCGGCGGGCTCTTCCTCAGCGTCGTCCTTCGCCATGAACATCTTCTCCTCGTAAGCGAGACGAATGAAGTTTTTGTATTTATCAAGAGAATCGCCGGGGTGAGGTCTGTACTTCTCGACATCTCCATGGGACAGCCACTTGGCGATGCAAGCCTTGTTACCTCCACCGTGCTTTTCAGAAAGAGCACGCACTTCCTTCAGAGTCCAGGTCGACATGGTAACACTCTTCACTCTGTGCGAGAAAGACTGGTGGGCAGATTTACACATGTGGCACACGAAAGAGCTGTAAGGAACTAAAAATAAGAAGTAGGCAGGAAACAAGATACCGCACACATTGGTGTGACCGAGCTTCGCATAGTCGCCACAGTTAGCGCAATGCTTATTATCCTCGATCTTGCGCAGCTTAGCAAGCAAATCTTCAGGCTTCTGCTTCTTTTCTCCAGACATAGCAAAAAACGAACTTAGATAATATGGATAATGAATTCCGAACATGCGATCACATTAGGGACAAGGGTTTGGGGCAAAAGCGACCGTATTTAATAAACACAAAAACCTTGGTTCTATCATTACTTCTTCTTTCCTTCAGTACCCACGTTGAATTTGAAGAAGATCACATCTCCGTCCTGTACCTCGTAGTTTCGTCCCTCCTGCTTCAGCTTACCGGCAGCCTTAATGGCAGCCTCGGTCTTCAGCTCCTTAAAGTCCTCGAATTTGTAGACCTCGGCGCAGATGAATCCCTTCTCGAAGTCGGTATGGATCACACCGGCAGCCTGGGGAGCGAGCGTTCCCTTTCGGATGGTCCAGCACTTGACCTCATCGGCTCCCGCGGTGAAGAAGTGAATCAGATTCAGCACATGGTATCCGGTGGTGATGATACGAGGCAGCTGGCTCTTCGTGTGGTACTTCTCGCAATACGCCTTGGCCTCCTCCTCGGACATGTTGAGCAGCTTGGTCTCGAAGCGAGCGCTGAAGGGAATCACCTGCTCGCCGAGGCCCATGGCAGCGACCTTCTCGCGGACCTTGTCCATCCTACGATGCACCCAGCCACACTCCCGTACAGCGGATCCTTGCGCAGGATGTAGTTCTTCTCGCTCAGGTTGCACAGGTACACGATCGGCTTCGCCGACAGCAGCTGGTACGTGTTGATCACTTCGATCTCAGCCGCGTTCCAGCGCACAGCACGGATGTCCTTGCCCTCCTGCATCGTCTCCAGAATCTTCTTCAGCGTCTCGTACTCCTCTTTCGCAGCCTTGCCGCCAAGACCACGCGCCACCGACTTCGCCATGCTCTCGACTTGGTTCTGGATCTAGAGAGTGAGAACACGCCCAAGGATCGAAGGTACCGTCTCAATGTCCTTCTTCAAGAGCTCATCGCGAATGATGTCCATATCACGCACCGGATCCACGCTTCCCTCCACGTGAGTCACGTTCTTGCTGTCAAAGCAACGGAGGACTTGGAAAATGGCATCCACCGCACGAATATGCGAGAGGAAAGCATTACCCAGACCCGCTCCTTCCGAAGCTCCCTTCACCAGTCCAGCAATATCTGTAATCTGCAATACAGCCGAAACCTCGCTCTTGGGCTTAAAAGCTTGGACCATGTAATCAAAACGTTCATCAGGCACGGGCACACGAGCAACATTAGGATCAATTGTGCAGAAGGGGTAGTTTTCCGCAGGAACCTAGTTCTGAAAAGCGTTTCTAACAGCTACGTTCAACTTGGAGAGATCGTTGAAGAGACTCGACTTTCCAACGTTAGGCATTCCCACAATTCCGATACGAACATTGTTTCCTAAGGATTAGTAATCAAAAAACAATCTGCGAACCAGGTCTTCCCAAGACTGGCAAAGCTTCTTTGACTTCTTCCTTTTTACCCATAACGCAATTATCACGAACCAGAGAGATAATAATGAACAGCCTATTGTAGTGTTCAGTTATCATTGTCTATCATGAATTACTGTACGTCTCCACTGTGAGTCTGATGCCATTCAATCAATTCAAATGGAAGGAAGAGGAAATCAGCCTACAACATCGGAGTCAAGGAGCAACAGTCGCTCTCGTTCTCGCTCTTCTAGAAGGCACCATTCCAGTCGTAGTCGTTATTCCTCTCACCGTCATCATCGACGCAGTTCATCGCGTCGCTATAGTCCATCTTATTCGAGAAGCCGAAGGTAAAACTCATTCGAAATGAACTAGCGTATAGTAGTAGTAGACGATATCACCGTCGTCACCACTCTTCTGAAAGAAGTCGATCTCGTTCTAACTCGAGCTATCGAGGCCATTCTTCTAGACATGGCGATTCTTATTATTCTTCGAACAGAAGATCATCGGGCGGCTATAGTTCGTCGCATCCTTCCTATTCTGATGCTCCGTTTCGCCTTCCTGCCTCTTTTCAATTGTAGAGTTGATACACGTCGGTATGAGAGCGCGTATCATGGAGGCCGCTCCTACGATGACAATTCCTTTGCAGGTGCTCATCTGAAAGACATTCAGTGGGACATGAACCAGCTCATCAAGTTCGAAAAGAACTTTTACCATGTACAGTTTGTTCCATCGCTGTTACCTAGGAACACCCCGCCATCACGAAGATGCCCGACTCTGAAGTGGAGCAGTGGCGTCATGACAACCAAATCATTTGTCAAGGCGAAAACATTCCCAAGCCCGTTCTATCTTTCGATGTTTCACCCTTCCCTGGTACTTTCTCTCTCTTTCTCCTCTTTTCTAATTCCTAGCCGATGTTCTCGATGTGATTCACCGAGCAGGCTTCAAAGCCCCCACTCCCATCCAATCGCAGGGCTGGCCCATGGCTCTTTCCGGTCGCGACGTGGTCGGCATTGCCGCTACTGGCTCGGGCAAAACCTTGGCGTTCATTCTCCCCGCCATCATCCACATCCGCGCCCAGCCCATGCTGCGGCCGGGCGACGGTCCGATCTGTTTGGTGCTGTCCCCCACGCGCGAGCTGGCCAATCAGACGCAGGAGGAGTGCGCACGGTTCGGAACCTCGAGCGGAATTCGGAACACCTGCGTGTATGGAGGCGTGCCGCGCCGGCAGCAAGCCTACGATCTGCGTCGAGGCGCGGAGATCGTGATTGCGACGCCGGGCCGTTTGCTGGACTTCTTGGAGTCGGGCGTGACGAACCTGCGCCGCGTGACGTATCTGGTGATGGACGAAGCAGACCGCATGCTCGACATGGGATTCGAGCCGCAGATCCGAAAGATCGTCTCGCAGATCCGACCGGATCGGCAGACTTTGATGTGGTCTGCGACCTGGCCGAAGGAGGTGCAGGCGCTGGCTCGCGATTTCCTGACGAATCCGATCCAGGTGAACATTGGCTCGCTGGACTTGAAGGTGACCGACCACGTGAAGCAGGTGATCAAATGCGTGACGGAGGGGCAGAAGCTGGACGAAACGCTGAAGATCCTGCGGTCCAAGAACCCGGAATCGCGCTGTATCATCTTCACCCAGTCCAAGCGCGGCGCGGACGAGCTGACGCGCATTCTGCGGCAGCGAGGATTCAACGCGTTGGCGATCCACGGAGATAAGGAGCAGCGCGAGCGTGATTTCGTGCTTCACGAGTTCAAATCAGGTCGCGTGACGATTATGGTGGCGACCGATGTGGCGTCGCGTGGTCTGGACGTGAAGGATATCCGCGTGGTGATCAATTACGACTTCCCGTCCTGCGTGGAGGATTATATCCATCGCGTGGGACGAGCGGGACGCAAGACGGCGGACGGATACAGCGAGGGAATGGCGGTGTCGTTCTTCACGGACACGTCGGCGAAGGTAACACGCGTAGGGAGCGGGAGAAGGCAGTGAGCGTGTAGGAACTCATCAAAGTGCTGCGAGAAGCCCATCAGGATGTGCCTCCCGAGCTGGAACGTTATGCGTTTTCTTCGTATGGAGGAAATGGAGGAGGTCGATATGGAGGAAGCCGCTATGGAGGAGGAGGCGGCGGATATCGTGGGAATTACGGAATGACTGGGAGCAACAATGTTCCGATTGGGAGAGATTATTGAATGTATCTTTAAATTGTCGTTGTTTGTTGAATGAATGAATGAAGGAAGGAAGGAAGGAAGGAATGTGTGTAGGGATTGAGAGTGAATTAAAAAACATTGTTATGAGGATCATGGTGGTAGTAAAAGTTAGATGAATCATTGTGACTGTAAGATTGGAATGATACCAGAGGAGAGAAAGAGAACATTGGAATTATATCATTATAGGGTCCTCATCCTTCTATTCTTACCCAAATCGATCTACCATTTCACTCACTAATCGTTGCTTTTCGAAAACACAAACACAACACAACCCTAAAACGTTTGACATAGCGATGTTTTATCCCCTTTTCACTTCTTTTTGCAATTGTCGCACACAAATGCTTTCCCAGAAACCGAGACAACGCACTTCTACGCAATTCATTCAACCACTGATCTCGTACTGTGTGAAAATACTGTCGACACGAATTCTTCCGTCCCTTGCACTGAACCACACTTGATCCATTGAACACAGGACAGCCACAAACAGAACAGATTCGATTCATGCAGTGACCACAATGCCATCCTTTCCTAAAATCGCGATATTCCGCACAGAAGGAGTGATAGAAACGGTCGCACGAAGAACACTTCACTACTAATCCTTCCTTCTTGCAGATCTGACAGACAAATCCCTTTTTGCGAATCAGCGATTTGGGAACCGACTGCATGACTTTGATGCAGCAATCGCACAGCTGGTCTAGCTTGCATCGATGCTTGCCTGAAATGGCTTCTTTCACGCAGAGGGAGTGGAAGAATTGCTGACATCCCGAGCATTGCTGCAATTCCTTTTGGCCTTTGCAAATGGAACAAAAAGCCGGTTGCGAATCAGACTTGGAGCGACAAAACTTGCAAACGCGTTTTATCATTTTTCCACACCGAGAATCAAAATACTCCCCGCATTTCTGGCATTGAGAGCATTTCCCAACAATCCCGCATTTCACGCAGAAACGATCGATAGCAACGCTCGAATCGACATGCCGATTCTTCACGATCTCCCTCTCTTCCACGATCTCCCTCTCAGGCATTTCTTCCAAAATCCCGACCAATACGTTTGTGATCATCACGACTGAACGAGGAGAAAGACAATACACGCCGAACTAGAAGTAAAGATCCGTGACAAAACCAAACATCGCAATAAACATCGAAGATCCGAGCCGATTTGAAAATCCCCAGGCTATTTCTGGCATTATTCGTTTTGAGAATATCGATAAGCTGAGAGACGCTGCAAATTCGGATCGATTCTCCGGACATTTCCTAACGGAATTATGACACAGCACGAATGGACATACAGAAATACCACACTTGCTATAAAGAAGTGCTTGCAATCGCTCAAAATTGGCAGAAATCGTTTCTTCCACAGGTATTTCTTCGTTTTTCGGCAATTTCTCAGCTTCACTCTGCATCGATTCTCCGCGTTCGGCTTCGGTCTCTGCTTCAACTTCGTCCACCTCGATGTGTTCTTTCCACAACTGACGGAGCACTTCCTGATCCTTCTCGTTTTCTGTCGCAATGATCGAAGAGAAGACATCTTCCGAACAAATCACAAACCAGCTTTCTTTCGGCTGCGGAGTTTCGAGCAATCGCTGATAGATTGAGCCTATTTCACATTCAATTCAAATCCAAACGATTGCATAACGGTCCTACATCCGAAAGCAGAGGCGATATCTGCTGACCAGAAGTCGTGAAGTAAACGCGTCTTTTATCGTTCGGGAGGAAATAGTATTTCCGATTCGGAGAGATAAAGGATGGCTGCAATCGACGAACACCACGAAGCTCCACGATGTGGCAGGTATATTGGCTTTCTTCGTTCTGTTGGGCTCGGCATTCCTCTAAGGTGGATTGGAGCTTGACCATAATGGGATGCGATCCCAAGCCGATCGATTCCGCTAATTCGGCCAAATTCCCGTCTACGAAGCGAGGGAGAAACTTGAAGCACTCCTGGACCAATCGATGGATCCAAATCTGTTGATTCTTGGTGACACGTTCTTCGTTCTGCTGCGTGACTCGTTTCTTTAAAGAGTAGGGATTCTCCACACAGTAGCTGATTTGATTCAATTCCACGCGAAAGCGATCCACTGCAGATAGCTTCTTTTTTCTATGGCTGAGAATTGAAGAATACGAGAACGATGCATTTTTGGGACGGCCGCGAGAGACGATTTCCCCTGTAATCGGGTTGACAGAGAAAATGAGAGAATCGCGAAGTGAATTTGTGAGAGAGGCTAGATTAATGGCTTCCTTAAAGAGCGTTAGAAGAGCATGAAGGGGAGGCGAAGAGCTGGATGAAGTGAGAAAGACACTACAGAGATCCGTGATGGTTTGATCAAAAAGAGAGGTCTGGGAAGGGGAGTGGAGTAGGAGAATGGCCAAGAGAACGAATGGCCAGTTGTTTGAGTCCACTTTCAATCGGACGCAGTCAAAATTCACAACGAACTTGAGCAATGCTTCATGACAAGAGATTATGTGATTGATTGCCTGAGTTTCGTCGAGAAGGATCGGAAGATCTGCTTCATTGCTCATCAGAAACGACACAAAGCGAATACCAAGAGCATCGATAAGATCAAGATAATACTCCGGTGGCCTTCCTTCTAGATCTACTATCTCTCCTGTATAGAATAAAAGCCCCAGACCAAAATCCTTCAAATCCGGTAAACGAATTGACAACGCTGATTCGAACCGAGCAAAAAACAACCAAATAGAAAACACAGAAGACGCAATGCTTGGTTCACACTGTAAATAGGATGAAAGTGATACTGAGTCAGGTTTCTTGGTAATTTCTGATAGTTTCTGGCGAGAAATTTGCTCAACAGCGTGATTCTTTGGATTGAGTTGCTTTTCAAGAGCAGCCAAGTTTTCCTTTATAAAAAACTTTTGAAGAGCAAAAAGAGCCATCTTACATTGAAGCGACTCTCTTTCTTCTTGTTCCTTCTCCAAAAGTGATTCCCTATGTGTAAAAAGGATAGACCAATAGAAACAATTCATTTCCCACAATATTGCGACTTTTAGACTGCCTAGTATTGTATGCGGAACGATTTCCCATATCAGAACCTAAAATCAATACATCAAAAAGCAGGGACTCGATTTTGATTCAGAAATCACACAGTGAATTCGTTTCCCACGAATTGACGAGTAAAAGCCATCAGTGGAGAGATATCTGCGGCTTTTATTCATCTCCTAATCCGTTTGTTCAACTTTGTGAATATGGACAACTAATCTTTGAATTGCACTGGTTTGAAATTGGCGATTCATGTAATCATATAAATAGATAATAAAACCGATTCCAATAGCTTTTTGTGTTCTATCTTGCTTTTGAAGTGCATGGTTCACAATTGCAATGCAAATAAAGGATACTAGTCATGTGAATAAAGAAACGTTTTGAAATACACTCTGGGATTGTATTATTGCGGTAGCTGGTACAATTTGCAGGAGCAATGAGTAATCCCGGTTCTATTCTTTCCTTTCTGTGTCTCTGTTTGTGAATATCCAGTATATCAAAATAGAAACCTAGTGTACTAAGTCATTCTTGTTTTTAAGTATGAATGGGGAGAAAATTTCAAGAGAATGCCCTTAAATAGAAGACTGGAATTATACGTACTGGAAGTAACTACATCTGAGTCTGCTACAAATGTGAACATATCAAGAAATGAATATTTCTCATTCTGATTTAACATTTATAATAATAATAGTTTCAGAATCAAAAAAACCCTCTAAGGTTTTCCCAAACGACCTCACCGTTTATCGTATTTTTGTTCAGTGCATTTTCTAAAGGGCGCGTGATCAACAATATATATTGAATAAGTCCCCAACTAGTACAGACACTTCACACCTGTCTATTCTTGAGAAGGCATAAACACCTACTCAAAGGATAAGAGAATCATAATAATAATGCATGTGTTACTAACATGAATAAGGGAGAAGATCTTTATAAATTCACACAGACACACATTGTCGCCACCATATATTATATCAATGCTGGAATAAAAAATGATTAATGGTGGGATTCAAATATATAGGATACAAAACAAATAAATCTGTAAAACCTTTAGGAGTATCAATTGCGAACCAAAAGAAAATACTACATTGCTTTTATCACACTTAATGATGGTAGCCATGACCCTGAAAAAACTATTTTTGAAGGAATAGCGTGATGATATTGTATTTAAAATAAAGAGAGTCTAAATTTGATCAAAAGCGAACTTGTATTCAGAAAAAATATCATTCATGAATCTCCTTTTTCTTATTTCTTATTTTGTATATATGTGCGTATTAATAGTTCGCAGTATCTCGTTGTTGTAACGATTGATTATAGAAACAATTTACTATGATGGAGACATCGATAAATTATATATCAATACTCAAAACGAAGAGAAAAGAAAAATACAAAATAACTCTTATTCGGTTGTTTTCCCGAACGATTCTACCCTTGAAAACGAGATCGAGCATCCTAATTTTAAAAACGTCATTCAGTACAAAGTGAACAACAATTACAAGATTATCTCAAAGGGTATTTTCGATGAGATCCATTGGTATACACAACCGTATTACTACAATCGATCTGACTGGTATGGCTGTGTCAAAAATACAATTTAGGGAATCACAGTTTAACAACATTATCAAGACTATTCGTGAGGTTTATACTAAAATGTAAAAATAACGGAAACTAGTTCAGAATATAGAGAAAGCGGCAAAAGAATTGATAATACTCAATATCAATTAGATAAATACTCCACAGCAAGTGTGAGAGTCGTAAACCATACAGAATGTCCATTTATTGAAGGCCATAACATTTGCCTTAGTAAAGACTACAAATGGACTATATTTTTAAAACAGGGAACGTTAGATATTCACAGTTTGGTTCCAGGAAGTATGAATTTTGCAGACCTTATTTCGAGGTTTCGTCACAACTCATTCCGTCAATATAGTGAATAAAAGAATTCCGCAGAACGTTCAGTGGATTGATAGCGGAGTTTATTTTGTTTCCCAGCCTCGAAGAAATAATCATCTAGGACACTTTATTGAAGGAATTAATCAAGCTTTGCTTGTACTTCGCTTTCCATCATTGTATCCAAAATTTACTAATTGGTATATTCCCAAATTTGGTTATAAGGAATTTGAATGGACTAAAATATATTTACGGCTGTTACACAATCTATTTCCTGATGATTTTAAACCAACTTTACAGCTCGCGAATAGTATTTCTTTGAACAAAGTAACATGTTTCAGATCAGCTGTAAAACACTTAATTTGGATGATTAACTATAGATATTAATGGATCGATGTATTTTTGCTGGGGGATGGTCGTATTGGCCAGGATTTTTCGCTCAAGATGTTATGAGAGCATCATCATATAAGCATATAAATATTACATCAAGAAAGAATAACCCAGGGGAGTTCCATCTAATTATCATAGATAGAAATGATAACAGAGGTTTTGCCCTACACAAAAAATGGAAGTCAATAATACAAACATATTATCCAGTAATGGAATTGAGCCAATTGATATTTAGGTAATAGATATTTCCTATCACCTTATGGACAATCTATCATTCCGAGATCAAGTACTATTGTTTTACACCGCAGATATCGTGCTATCCACGCATGGCTGTGCTTTAACAAATCTTATGTTTTCCACCCCACATACGGTGGCAATTGAATGCCACCCTCCCTACTACTTTGAACCAAGTTACATGACAATTACCATGATTTCACGAGTTCACTACATTCAAGTAACTACTTTCTATCCACATCAAATGTCCAATAATCGATGGAGAGAAGCTGAATTAGCCTATTACAATGGTTATTTCTTTCCAAATAAGAAACTGCTTCACAAAAGGTATGTCTATGATAGTGTGAATCCTCCTCTCTTCAAAGTGTTAACAGCAATAAAAGATGCAACTGAATACCTAAGGCGTTGGCGTTTTATATATAATACGAACTATAAATGGTCACCCATCTTTCCCTTTACTTTTTGTTTATCACACTTTGCGCTTTTTCGGAGGAAACAAAGCAAACATAATTCCACTACATTATTATTGTTACTTAGAATCTATGAAGTCCAAAATATTATAACTATTGTGATTCATCCGCCGTAGAGTGATCTAATAATTCCATCGTTTACCCAGAAAAGATCAAACTTATTTGATTCGATTGTTTACAATATTAGTATCATCTCAATAAGCTACTAGTTATATACTTATTTGTATTACCGTTTAAAATGCTTCATCTGTATATTACCATTTTCATAGCTAGACAAATATTGGCGTTTAAAATTACCTTTATTGTAAAAACTAAAAATAGTGAATATCTTTGATAGAGAATTCCAACCATTTACTTCATTAAAAATAATAATTAGTTATTATACATCAGTTTGAAGTTTATGTCATATAATAAAATGAAAATGTATACTACTCAAATTAGATAAATGTATATCATATTGTTTATATATCTGTGTGCTGTCAGCTAAAACAATTTATAAAATAAATAATCAAAACGTTCCTTTGCTTAGTGCTGTTTTCCATTTATTGTTTATTATTCATTTTCATACCTGTTTTTATTATTATAGCCTTATTCTTAATTCATCTCTAATATGTTAAAGTATTTGCTTGTCAGTTTGCTATGCTCTTATCTATTTTATTGCTATGTTGTATTATACGATACAGAATATGACTATTCAATACAGTATATAGGAGCAAAGCAATCAAATACAACGCCCATAAAATCTAGAATGTTAAAAAAAGTACTGTCTATCAATACGAACATCTCACAAGGATCTCATATGCAGAAGAACAATATTAGTTCAACAAATCAGAACTCATATGAAGCTCCGATGGTTTATACAACCGTTGAATCACTAATAAAAAAGCGTGCCATGAATAAGACTATCATTCTTTACTGTACAGATAATTCATATATTGACCTATTTTTGAATGGATATTATGCCAGTCAGTTATGGAAATATGAGAATCTGGCAGTTACTTGCTTTGATAGACTTTGCTACCAAAAACTTTACAAGCTGAATATTCCTGTGGCTCTTCTCAATGTGGAAAGTGATACGTCTGTTGACATTACAAAAGCTGCTATATGCCATACTAAGGCGTTCCATAACAAGGTGCATTACAAACTGGTATTGTGGCAAATTGTAATAAATATGAATATTCAAATACTGTACGTTGATTCCGATGTAATATTACTTCAAAATCCTTTATTCTATCTAAATTCTTTTACTGGATATGACATTATTGCCCAACGTGACGGAGAGCTATGTTCTGGATTTATGTATATGTATCCTACAAGGAATACAAAATTGGCAGTAGAAAGATCAATTAAAATACGACCTAAGCTGCCAGATGCCAATGATCAAGACGCGCTTATTGCCGCCTTTAGAACGATCCGTGATTTTCGCTTGAAATTACTACCATTTGATACTGTTCCATCTGGTGAAGTGTTTTTCAAATCTCATCATTATTACTGGGATCCAATCAGTCCAAAGCAGTTGACTATTCATAACAACTACATCCATGGTTTGGAAAACAAACTATATAGATTTAAAGAGATTAAGATGTATAAACTGGATAGAAATCGAGAATATAGCAATCCATTAGCCAAGTATTTGACAATTGAAATATGGAGTAGGTACATACATATAATTAGAATCTAGATTACAAATCTGAATTAAAAAACGCTATAAAGCTTGCTAAAAGACTTAAGAGAATACTAGTAATTCCACCATTTAAGTATCGAATGAATAGCCACTTTTCCACATTATTCGATATTTTTGGCAGTGATGGTAGCAATGCCATTGTGAGTAAATATAAAAACGTAATTAGGGAATCTGTAGGTAATATGAAGGGTATAATTACTAGGTATTCTTTACAAACGAACTAGTACCACACTCAATCGTGCTTCAAGATCGAATGGAAAACGTCATTTCATTCAAAAAGCCATGCAAAGATAATACAATTCTTCACAGTGAATTTCCACCACGAGCGAATAATCAAAACCACTTGGAATGTCAAAAATGTCATGGTTCCATTTCCAATTGTGCCTATAACTACTTTAAGCATTCAAACAAATCTGTAGTAAAGCTCTATTCATTATAAATTAATTTTTGTTAAAAGCAGTATATCTATATGTTCGATGAAGTCACAAATTTCAACACTATCGCCCCATTGTATATCTGTATGATTTATGACTGTATTATTATCCACTTAAAATGTATTCCTATTGTTTCACAACCATAATAGTTTGCTCCTAATTTTGAAAAATTACGGACTCCACATTATATTTTACGGCTTGTTGTAAAATCGTCCTCAATCATTGTAGTTCATAGGAAAAAGGTTACTAGATTGCAAACTAGTATATTATATAATTGTTCTTAGGTTATGCTATAGTTATCACGTGATATGATTTATGTCTGGACTATATAATGTTGAAATGAGAAATAACAAAGAATATAAGAGGAAATCAGCAGTACGAATGATTTAGTAACAGTCTCCCTACATGGATTGATGTTAAGTCATATTGGAAATAATAACTGTAAGCTATTATGCTCTAAGAAGGCAAGTCATCATAAATAAAGAATTTCTCGAAGAATGGGAATGTAAAAATAACTATTATCTAAATTATTTAGTGAATAATGTGAGTGTTAGTTTTTATTTATATGAGAGATGTATGATTGGAAGCAAACTACTATCCAAACAAGCAATAAGTGAGAGAATAGTGAATGAAAATGATAGGATAATACTTGATGTGAATATATATAATCAGGTATACTTATATATGTGATGTAGAAATATATTGTATGCAAAAACAATAATGCAAGATACTCCTATATATGTGGAAACTACTAAAGATGAAATATCGGACAAAAGATTATTCATTTGATGAAATTGCTGACAAAAATACTTTAACTCAGTTGATATATAAATCTTGCATATAATTGTTTAGAAAATGAGTTGAGTCACTATGCTATATTATAAATAGCAATGTTAATTAGCTATCATTCATATTTATCTAAACAACCACATAATATAACTATTGCATATCAAAAAATCTCTCTTTACAGATCGATAATATTTGTTGATTCTCAACATACTACACTGTAATACAAAAAGAATGCATATCTCCAAAATGAATCGAAATGATACATCGCGTAAAAAACAAACAAACAATCAGTCCTGTTCATCTGGTATTGGTTCATAATAACTATTCTGTATGTCTGTACAAATGGGAAAGTGCGGCTTTCCTCCAAAATCTCTCTCCAACCTACTCAAAATACTTTTATAAACATTCTCCATTTTCACCATCACTTCCTCATGTAAATAATCCGTTTTAAATTTCGAACTACTTTATATGATTCTCAATTCCCTACAACGGATGTGGATAATCCATCGCAAACGCATTATTCAGAATCATCATGTCATAATTTCGCTGTCGGAATTCCTCGATTAGTGCCACTTTGTCGTACCCATAATCCATAAAACGACTATCAAACAGTGGCGTTTTTGGTGTGTGTTTCACCATCACATACGGCTCCATCATATCCGTAATGAAACATTTGATCCGCGACACACGTGTTCTCGTGAAATACCATTCCGGCATCACATAATACTATTCCTCACCTTTTCATCTCGCATGTACATGCGTTCGTATCTTATCTTTCGAGGAAGTGCATAACTGACTATTTACACACATCATCAATTCTTTTTTATTCGATGGTTGAATCGCACTCGCTCTATACTAACATGTCATTAAAACACGAACAGATGAGCGCAGGATTCTACGCTGTTGCAATAGCTCAATAAACCGAGAGTGAAGAAAATCGGAAGGATCACAAGCACATCATCGGCTTCGTAGAGGAATCGTGGGAGATGAGTTAATTCATAGTATGCATTTGCTGTGTGGAATTCATAATAGGATTTTTACTGGTCAGGTGGAGATCAATGTCCATGACGATGTAGTGCGAAGTTTTAACGTTGCTGATTCCGAACGAGCGCATGGCGTTCATGGGGTAATGACCGTATTCGGGTCGGGAAGGACCGACAAGATAAAGTAAAATAGTGAGACGCTTAGGAAGGTAATGATCGCGAATGTATGCAAGACATTCAGATTCGAGATCTAACGTTCCCATAATGACTAGGATAATGTTTCTGTGGAGTGAGAAAAATAGAAGTGGAAAATACCCGTGAAAGCGGTAAAGAAGTTCGGGAATGGTAAATAGCCTATTGAGACCAAAGATCGAATAGATGGCTGTAACGTCGTATTTAGTATTATTCTTAGGCGGATAATGAGCTATTCTTTACAAAAGCAATAAAAAAGAAATACGATTTTCTACAGTATAGATTTCGTTTGTTTCGGTGTTGCCAATGAATTTACGAATAAGCAAATCATTTACGGCATTTTTCTTGAAGAATGTGTAATTTGTATTTGCCTTGCATCCCTCACATACTGTACCGACTGGAGTGTATCGCAAAGAGTTGAAATACGCAGTTGTCTCTTTTGTATTGTTTCTTTTAAGAATCTTAGAGACTTTTGGCATGAATGAACATGGAGAAAACGGGGATGCATTTGTGCATTTGCTTGTTACATATTTCTTTAGTTGAGCATCTCTTCTCTTCAGCAGCTTTGCATTCATCTTAATGGCATGCGACTTAGAGACAAATTCCTGATCGCCATGAGCATTAGGATTCTGCCTTCGAGGAATTTTAATTGTCTTATTCACAGATTGAACTATCCTCGGAGTTGTCTGAATTGCTTTTTGCCATTTGAAAGAAATCTCATTTGTACCATTCGTATTATTGAATGATGTCATAGGTATTCTTGTAGGAATATTTGTAAACAATTCCATAAAATCTGTGTAAACCATCGATCGTGCTCGAATATTAATAAGAGCAATGTTTAAATATAGAAAAACAAAACTGATTGAAATATACATTTCTAAAAAACAAATAATCAAATAATGTGGATAGGGACCATGGTGAACTATTTATATAGCTCAGGAAACCATTAAAAGTGCAATATTCTAAATAAATAATTATGATAAAATCATAAATTGCAAAACTATTTCTTTAAGACTACTGAGTGGTAGCATGCATGAAAAAGAAGCATCGGTAATTATTGGTATTAATGTCTATAGATACACTTTTCATCGACTTTATAGAATTACTTCCGATTAATAATCTAAATAATACTATCAATAATACTATGAATGGAGAGACCGCGAAACTGGATATACTTTTAATATATATTACTCATATTGAAAAAAAGCCTAAGCAGAATTTATGGTAATAACATTATTCTCACTATTATGCATTTTAACAATATAATAGGTTGTGTTGCTATTATTCATGCCTTTAGTAGCCACTGAATGATTCGTTTACTTCAGGAAAGCATGGTTGCCAATCATAGTGTTTCTTTCGTTGTTGTCTCTATCAAGTGTACCATGGTTATTTAGTTTACACTTATATCAGTTGTTAACAGTATTTTTCTTCAACTTCACAACCTAATAGAATTGATTGTTTATATATTTGATTTAAATGCTCCAGTATTTCTGTGTAATAGTTTCAGTAGCACGAGCTTATCCAATTGCAATAAGGCTCAACATAAACATAATATTATAATACTGTATAGTTAGCTAAAACCAAAATAATACCCATCCTTACGTTTTGTATTGTTAGACATTCCCACATAAAATATCAATACTCATTATTTTCTATTATTTAATAAACGAAATACATTTTTCTTTTTCCTCTAATGTTTAAAATAGTTTTTACAGACACATGTATTGATTGTCCTAAATTTGTTTTCATTATTTGTTTTTTGTGAATAGCATTTTAATCTATCAGATTGAAAAGGTATTTATTCAATAAACTACGCTTTTCGTATCATACAGACTTTTCAATTTTATGTGATAACAATTCAAATTGACAATCTGACATTATCTACTTATTTCACTACATTGATTAATGGTAATCATTTATTCAATAGAAATACTTGCGCAAAACCAAAAAAATACCATTTAATAATACACATAGTTTTAAAATTCAGATTATACTATGATGTATGTTATTCATTATTAAAACTATTTTTTTGGCTATAAATATTATGTACGTATGTCAGTCTATCTAATTTTATTTTGTCGCAAGAAAAATCTCATGTGAAACTGAATAACCAAATTGATCTCAACATCAGTAAAACGAATAAAGTAATCTCTAATTCATCAGTTACCACCAGCGTTATTCCTCATACTAACAAAACAATAATCCCGAATTGTATCACTGTGTCTCTCTATTCTCCATAATATGCGAATTTAACGGCATATTTGCGATACAAAAAAAGAAGAAAAAATGAATTCTTTAGCCTTAACCACCCGCTAAAGTGGCTAACAACTTGCGTTCGATCAGAGGATTAATGATGATTTCCATGGCAAATAATGCTAATTTCTGTATTAAATACCTTGATTTCTTTACTATTATGGAGGATTCCTTTGGCTTTCTTTCATATCCCAGTAATAAAGAATACATTACAGCGGAACCATGATTATGCTGTTAATTGGGCAAAAAAGAGTGAATGCAATTTCTTAATTTCTCATAGTTTGGAAATACAAACTAGTGATGATTTATCATTATTATTTCATAAATGCAGAAACTTCATTAATGAAATTACAGCTAATACTTTACAGAAAATCACGGTCATTATATCAGTATTTAAAAATATATTTAAACCAAAGAGATATTTTGTTGATTATGTCGAAGAAGTATTAGCAAAGATGCAAGGTATAAAGGTCGGAGTACAGTTAAGATTTGGGGGAAAAACAGCTGTTTCTTAAAAAAGAGTAATTCTAAAATCCTAATCATATTAATTTTACTATATCAATCAAATTCTAAATGTTACATCAAGATAAATACTCGATATAGATTGTTTTTATCTACTGATTCTCCATCAATCAAGAAAACTTTATCTCCATTGAACACAACACTGGCAACAGCCGAAAAATACTCTATTGGACATACAAATAGATGCAAGTTGCATTTTTCGCAAAGAGCTATCACGGATATATACATTTTGTCTCGTTGTGATATATATATCTACATTCTCAAGG